AAAACGATAGCGCTCAGCATGAAACTCATCACTGTAACGGATGTCGCGATAGTTGTCTTTGTAAGGTCGGTGGAGAAGCGTAACATCAGCTCAATTAACAGGATCATCCTGTGTTCTTTGATCCATATGCTTCTTCAGAGACACCGAGGTTCGAATCACGCACCAATGAGATTTTAGCAGCCCTGAAAGTACTACGAGTATGCTTGGTAAGATGTGCTCATTCCCTTACTGTTGATACTTGCATTCATGACCCTAATGGTATATCTAGAGATGATCCGGTGTTGCCCCTGCTGGCTAAGCCTCCTGGCGACGCAGATATCGCGATCTGTTCAACAGATCAACCCTCAGGAAGTAGGACCATGTTGAAGGCGAAGGCAATCATCCATATTCCATACGGAATACCTAAGACAAAACAATCAATCTAAGGGTTACTCGTATTCATGAGTCGCACTAGTATCGTACAAGCCTCTCTTACAAAACCAATGCCTTTAGCTTGTGTCATTCAAGCGGGGCTGGTGGGGCCAACTGTTGTGCACATCAGACGTTCTCCAGGGCTCATAGGTCGGCCCAGTTGGCCCCCAGACCTGAGATGCATCTAAATGCGAAATTGCGATGTTTTGAATATATTGTGTCGAGGCGCAGAGTTTAAAACTTTGTGAGGGTAGAAGGAAAAGCACTATCGTTCGTCGAGCAGTATTTTTGGCAATAATGAAGGCTGATACCAACATTCGACTCCAAGTCGAGCATTCTCTGGTACTGTCAGCAATACACACGTCTCGTGGCAATCTTCTTTTGTTCTCACTCCTCAATCTCAATGAGACGGAATCGCACCGTCATGACCATGAGTGTTCCTTCAGACCACCTTTGATCAAATACTACATCTCGCTTATTCTCGACTTCGTACATGTTCTCAACGTACAAAGTTACCTACTTCCAGTTATACTCTCTTCGTCTAGTGCAGAGGCATGTTGTCAAAGCTCAAGTCCGTAATCTGCTGGTGTCCGCTACTGTCACTGCTCCTTCCAAAATGTGTACACGTATGGTATTTGCATCCAAGTTGCAATACGTTCCCAGGCTTTGTCCAAGCCGTCACTGATACTTTCACATTTTCTGCCAAAACTGTCAGCCTGCACGACGAGAACAACTCCTACGTCGTAGATCTCGCCAATCTGATTGCATCCGGAAACCAAGCAAAGGACCTCATCGCTGAGCTTTCTTGACAAAAGTGGGGAGCACGAACAAGAAGCCTTTAGAACATCTCCGAGCCCTAGGTCAAATGAGTTATCTAAGAGAGGCGGGAAACATTCGGCTCAAGGATGCAGGTTCAGGAGAAGTCGTATGTCAAATTTATCCATCCTCTGAAACAGCGAGTGTTCTGACTTGAGCTTCTAACCTCATAAAGATCATTGTTTGCGGCTTTTCGGACATGCATGACGAAGTCAAGGACGGGGCAACAAACCATCTTGATCCTGTAATGGACATCGTGGAACCGGCACATGATATCTACCAAGGATGCAAGTATGGGCATCTGTCCGGGTACAGATATATAGGTGCTTACATGGCCAGTTTCGGGGAAGATAACGCGCGTGGGTTTGCCTCCTTATTCCTCGCTGTATGCCCTCTGCTGCGCAGAAGCTGAGAGACTTTCCCAGAGGTAATCTGGTTCTGCCCGTCATTCCTATCCTATGTCGCACAGTCCAAGTTCCAGTCTAGCAACCAAGTCAAGCCTGAGTATTGTTTCCAATTTCTATGGGTTTTCCCTTGCGCTCTTTGAAGGCTTATCATATTCTTTGTCTAGCTGGCAGGTCAATCTCCCCCCTGACGTCACGGATACCCTGAAGTCGTACTACTCAACTCCTATGGATTTATACGCCCATCTTGGAGCTTCCGATTGTACGTGTTGTCAACTCACCCCTTCCTGATCCCACCCAAAAACCCGTCGCGACACTCATCCTAGGAGCCCATACTCCCCAAAGATGTCTCAAGACTTGACTTGACCCTAAGAAGCAAACGCTGACTACCAAACAACTCTCAGCTCCATGAGCCCCTGCGTTCCTACGCCGCCGGCGATTTAGACGATCTGGAGCCGCCAAGTGATCAAACCCTGGGTTGGCTCCAGGGGGGTTGGAATCACGTGCTGTCGATCAAGGCCAACGCCGCGAACGGCGCCGAAAGCGGTGCCATGTATTGCGTGGGGGGCTCTGCGATCTCGCGGGGCTGGATGCCCCAAGCGGACACATCTTCCGTTGCGATAAGGCCGCAGGTGTAGTGGTAATCCTAAGTAATCCAGGGACGTCAGGCGGCCTTGATCTGAAGAGGTTGACCCGGCATGGAATTGGAGGTCCATCTCGACAAGGGTTCCAGGAAATGTTTAGGACACACGGCTTTGGAGAGGTCCCGTGTGAAGTGGCGCAAGGTCGGCTGTGTGAGTAGAGTCATCGGGGAAAGTCATCGATGGCGTTTTTCTTCGACTGTCTCCTCAAGTTATGAGAATGAGAATCAAAGGGCGAAGACTACCGACGCGTAAGAGACGGCCAGCGCCAACAGAGCGAATGTGCCTTTGGGGTTGAGCGGGCCTTGGCCGACTGCGACCTTTTCGTGTACTCGAGTTTCCCAAACGTGGGGACAACCAATGGCTCTTGGGAGAACCTACGATAGACTCGATTCTCCAACGGCGACCATGGTCTGTCTGCTTGTGTTGCACTTAGGGGTATTGGTTCGAGGCGGGGCGGGGGCAATACAAATACTGGCTCATGTAGGTAAATTTGATAGATCAAAAATCTATCTACCACACAAATTTCCGTTCTTCTTGCGATACTTGAAAGTTATTTGTGAAAGCAAAAACAGAAGAATACATGTCTAGTAGTAGTAATCTGGACCTCGATGGCGTCGAGGCATGTAGCGAACGTCGTATGCCGTCCCCCTCCGCGATCCCTCCCTGTCAATGGTCACCCTCCCGCTCCTCTCCATTTCTCTCATCCTCTCGATCCTTGCATCAGATTGCGCATCACGTTCCTCCCTGTCATGCCTCTCCAACTCCCTCATCCTCCTCGCCCATGCTTCATCTTCCTCTCTCCTGAGCCGAAGCCGTTCCTGCTCCCGCGGCAGCTCCGCTCCGTGGTCATACACGTCGACAGCACGGGAAAAGTCCCCAGTGGTGTCTCGATACACTGCAGGCCGGTGGTGTATTGGGACCAAGGCTCTCGAGGGGTGAGCCGGAGGACGATCAAGGTCATAGCTGGGGGCTCTGAATTGCGACGGTCGCTCTGGTGAGACACTGCTTCGGCGATGGCGAGCGGCAACGCTGATAGCAGGTTCGACTTCGTAGTGTCCGTCATCACGGTAACGAGGGCCATAGGAGTATCGTAGAGAAGTCAGCCTCCGACCATGACGGTCTAGATCCAGGTCGAGGTCCTGCCTTGGGTGGATCCAATCGGACGATACATCGCGGAACCTCTGAGCCGGCGCTAGATAAGGACGCCTGTGCTCTTCCTCTCCATGGTTAAGATATACCGGTCGTTCTCTCTCTTGAGTATACGGTGTCCACTCGATGTTGTCCTTGTCGTAAGACCGTTCATTCCTTTCTTTGTCGGATTCCTTCTCTTTACGATACTCACGGCTCTCGCCTGAGGCTACCGTATCTGGTGTTGCATCAGTTTTTGTCCACGAGTTATCACTATCTAATTCAGAGGAGAGACTCGAAAGAGAGGGAGAACTGGAAAGGTTGTCTCGCTTCTTCCGAGTCTCGGGCGTGATATGAACGACCTTGGGAACCTTCTTCTTCTTGGGTTTGGAATTGTTGACCTTTTCAAGGTGACCTTGGGTACTGTGCATTTCTTGATGGATGAGGGGGACGCTATGGGGTTGAGGAGGCTGTCTCACGCCTTGAGCCGGAGAGTCAAGGGAGTTAAGCGGGTGGGGCGCGGTATGGAAGGGCGGAAGTTTGTCGCCGACATGTTGCACGCCGTGGCCGAAAGATTGACCGTGTGCTGGAGACTCCGGAAAGGCTCCATGTTCAGGATGACCGGCAAAAGAGACAGCGGCGCCTCCGTGCCCTACGTCCTGGCTTCCGCTACCAAAGTTCCTGACCCTCCCAGGCTCATCTCCGCTGGTAACGTCCATTACTTGGGATGGCAATTTTGTAGGAAAGTCCATTGAAAGGTCCGTCGAAGAATCATGGGGAAAGTGCGCTATTAGTTGTCTCTTCAAGATGACTTGCATTGACACTGTCTCGGTACTTTTGCTCTTGGTTTTCCGTGAATCGAGCTTTATGGAGGCAAGCACATATTCAAATCCATAATCACCGTCGACCTTGGTACGTTCGTGAATAAGATTATCGACTTGCTTTCTTTTGGAGCCCTTCATTCTTTCATCGTTATACTCGTCAAGCGCGGATGTGTGCTTTCTCCTATTTCTTTTAATCTGATCCTTGAGATCTTCTTGGGAGACCGGCATGGGAGCCAACTTGGCAACGGCCCATGTCTCTTTCTGGCCGGTTTGCTTAGAATCGCATTTAGTAAAATTATAACCCTCATAGCTGACTTGTCTTGATTTACTGTTGTGGGATAGATGACGACCATCAGAACTGCTCTCATGGAAGCTTTCGTGGCCATGAACCAGCCGAGGAGCCAGGCGAGGGGGAAAGGGTGCCAATAATCTTCCACCTTGACGGAGACGCGGTGATAACGGAGTCGCGAGTGGGGGAGATAGTATCTGGTCTGGTAACACTGGCGGGGTTGGTGGAGCAGGTGGCAAGTCTCTGCTTATGCGACCTGCCAGCGCTGATGATGGATCATGCAATCGTTTACTGATGGGAGAAGAATGCAAATGTTTCTTGGAGTTAGACTTCTTCGTGTCGTCCTTCAGGTCTCTGGAAATTGAAGTTGGCGACGCTGTCGCAGCTGGCTTCTTTGAAGAGGCGAATCGAGCGGGTTTGTTGTCTTTTGAATTGCTGATACTCTTACCATTGTCCCCATCTTTCTGCTGAGAGTCACTATCTGATTTCTTCTTGAAGTTCGGATACATAGATCGTATTGACCAGGGGACTGGACTCGTCTGCTGCGTAGACGTGTTGGCTATAGTCCTCTGCCGTACGTCTTTAGAATTCTCAACTGAGGACCTTTCCGACCTTTCATCTAAAATATCCTTGGCACCTTGTGAAATGGAACCCTCAATTCCGGGTGCTACATCTTCGTTCTGTCTCGAACAAGTAGTCCGCAGGTGGCATAGCAAGTTGGACCTGACATCGCGTGAGGTACCTTCAAATCTCGCGTTGCATGAGTTGCAGTAGTCCACAATCGGTGTGGAGGTTTTGATGGCCGACGGAGCTGGGGACGTTGATGCTTGAGACGATGAGTGGCCAGCGAGCTTCTGAAGATCCCTTGGAAGTTCGACTTTATCCATCTTGGAATCGTTGAACGCAACTTTCTTTTTGTTGCTCCTAGCTGTGATTGTAACCTGCTCTGCTGCAGCTTCGGCGTGCTGCGCAAGCCACGTAAGAATATCAGCCTTGGTAGGAAGGGACACGGGGTCCGCTCCGAGCTTTTTCTCCATGTCTCGAAGTGTCGCGTTCAGAGGAACAACATAGATATCGCCCATCGCATCCGAAGCTACGACATGCCCATATACTTCACAAGTCGACGGGTCCACGACCCAAGAGCCACAGTCGCCAGCATTGAGCACTAGGAGCATCAGCCAAGGGTGTGAATACATTCGAGAAGGGCACTGACCTGAACCATGGGGCAAGACAAGCGTATAAGTCTTCGTAAAGGCTTTGGCTGGTCCCATCATAAGGAAAGACAAAGAGGTCGAGAGTGTTCCATTCTTGACGCCCCCCATACCACTCAGTAAGATGACTGATCGACTAGACCCATCCTCCGTAAATTTCCCGTTTTCCTTCAGCGGGCGGTTTTCGGCAGCCTCCTCCTCACGATCAAACAGTAGTAAGAGATTGGGGCGGTAATCTGCCGGTTTGTCGAATTCAATCAAAGCCCAATCAAGATCATCTCCCGTTCCTGTCCCCTCGTTTGAAGCGGCAGAAACGCATCCTATCTTTGGCCACAGTGCTCCCAACTGTGTGCTCTGCGAAACAGCCCTTGTTTTGTCGCCTGCGGGAAACGAATCCTGCACTTCTTCATCGCTTTCAAAGGAATCATCAAGCTCGTATTCTTCTTCACCTGAGTAGAACCCTTCGTCTTCCTCGTCTTTCTCCGTTTTGACTCTGCCTCTATCCGTAATAACGATGAAAAGGACATTGCATACCACTACTTTGGTGAACATCTAGCGGAGCTATACGATGAGTTGGAAAACCCAACGCCGCGCGGATCATTCGAGAAATGGCTGGAACGTAGAAGCGGTGCGAGATACGTGATGTTAGCTACGCTTATAGGCGTCATCTTCGCGGTGATACTGGGAATGGCAGGATTGGCAGTAGGAGGCTACCAAGCTTGGGTTGGCTATCAACAATGGCAGCATCCCGTATCAAGCGCGTAGGAAGGACCCGGGGTCTCCATCCAGGGACCTGAGGTTGGACGGTTTCCGAAGATTGTTGACTGTGAAGCAATGTCTGGTCCTTGCGATGGAATTAAATTCCAGGTTAAATTTTTTGGGCTCAAGATGTTTGGCAAACCGTGAATCCCTTGGAAGGACAAGAAGGACAAGCGATGTATTGCACCAGGTACAATGCCTAGTATCGGGCTACACTACGCCAAGTGCTGTCATCAAGTGTGGCTTTGATCGCCGGAAGGATCAGCTACTGCACCCCTCGCATAAATGCTGATATGGCAACAGCGGTGAGACTGTGGACCCCGCATTTGATAACCAAATCAAACTGTGTCTCTACCCCCTGCAAAAGCCAATAATAGTCTTCCGTTGTTGTTATTGTTGTTATTGCAGTCGACGTCGAAGGTGAACAGATGTAGTACAGATAAAGTTCCAGCATTTCGGGATGATCCCAAAGATAAGAGTCACGTGTTTTCTGCGTTTATACACGGTAAGCGACAATAGTCGATATTGCCGCATTGGGAGAATTCAAAGGACTGTGTGACTAAACATGGATAGCTTTTGGCGAACGTGCTTTGGTGATGTGAGGTAGACGGCATACATACAAGCGCAATTTGAAAGTAGCGAGGAGAATACGGTGGACTGCCTTAGATCGAAGGATTAGCAGCAGAGCATGACCGATCAGTGCAACGGGGAGGTGCCTGGAAACTTGAACAAGTGAATATGGCTGTAATACAATCGCCCTTTGAGCATTTCGACTTAGGCGTGATCCGTTCAGTCATTGATCACGATTTGTTCTGTCTTTGGCCTCGCTTAATCTGGGTGTCCGTCAGATTTCCATTTACCACCGCATTACCCCTGTCCCAACGTAGCAGCCCAAGCAAAGCATATACCCTAGTCTCCCGAAAGCTTGCAAACGCTCAACTGGATACCGCCCCCGCAGATCATTTCATGGATTCAGACCTGCTCTTTGCAAAAGTTTCCAGGCCGCAGGAGAGAAGTAGGCAACTAAACCAGTAACAAGGTACCACTGGATCACAAATTCGCAGTCAGTGTTGTCTATTTGAGGGGTATACCAGGGTTTGGAACATTTATCGAGAGTAAAGACTCCCGAGGCATCACAAGACTCAAGATTTGCTCCAAAAGGGGTTAATAGGGGCTCCGAAAATACGTACGATAAGAGGCAGGTAATCCATCTTCACCTTGCCTGTTGCCTTAATCCCCACTCCTTTGCCGACCCATTTATTACCGCCATCTTCTTCCGCCATTTGCACCATCCCACGTGCCAGGTCATCGTAGGAGATGCCGGGCATGACTTCCTCTTGTGAAAGTTCATATCCACGCGGGATATCTTTAATTAGTGCAGGAGGTTCGGCGGTAATCAAAGGGATCCACGACTGCTCCTTTAGATACTTGATTGATTTCCTGAGATCTTCGTAAATCTGAATTGTGATTTCGGGGTCAGTATTGCCTAAATCAGAGGGGATATCGCGCCTTGGAGCGTTCTTGAGAGTAACAACTTCCGAGACATGTCTCAAGACTGAACATCTGGTCCAAAAATGGATATATGGAGTCCAAAAATACGTACGTAATAGCACCCGCGTTCAAGCACCCAGTGAAGCAGCCGTGGCGTAGATTCCGAAAAAGTTGGGTTCAGAGAAGCCGAGGTCAGGAAAACCAAGATGGGACATTTGAAAGTTGGACCTTCGTCTTTTCGCAACGCCTCCAGTGCACATACAATACTGTGGGCTGTCCGTTGAGCGATGGAGCAGCCTGGCTCGTTGGAATTCTGAGCGATGGCGCTGAAAATTACATCTGTGTTTCGTAGACAATTTTTGAGTACGTCTGCGCTTGAGAGATCACCAACGAAACTCTGAATGTTTTCTGCGGTCTTGACGTATGGGTGCAATGACTCGACTTTGGGTGCAGACCGCGCATATAAGTTGATGTTGACTTTCACTGGTCTCTCGTGAAGATATCTGAGGAGCGAGGATCCAGTGGAGCCTGAGAAAAGATCGGATTCAATGTTAATAGTTTTACAGACGAGGAAAGTGTGGGTCGAGGGTGTCTTGATAGATGACTAGAACTCAATATCGACCAATGAAATACTGCGTTGATAAATTTAATACGTACCTGTTACCCCCAGGATGGCATATGATGGCATCTCGATCTACTTGACAGGGAGAGAGTGATGGAGGAAGGCAAGTAAGGTGTGCTGCTTTGGAACGGTAGGAGAATTAGACCATGAGATCCAAATGGATAAGATATGAGGCTTTTACTGGAGTCATGTTTCCAAGTCCGAGATCTGTCGCATGCGCTGTACAATAAGTAGGTATCATGACGTCCATTACCACCATCGTATTCGTACCCGACTTGGTTGGGGACAAAAGTCGTGGGAAACCGACTTTGGAGTGCACATAATGTTGTACCTACCCCTCGCGGGTGACAAAAAGAATGGAACGCCAAGCCAGACTACTGCGCGGAGACACACATACAAATTTCTATGTATCTCTCTGTTCTAGTATCCTGTCATTGCTCCTTTACCGTCTATGACTGCTTGTAACCTATTTGGCATACTATCCACTTTCTCGTTAATAAACGATATGGAAATATTAGTCCACCCCTCGTCAATTAGTGCCTTAGTCGTACTGTCGTCAGTGCGGGCTTGGCGTTCCAATCTTTTTGTCACCCGCGAGCTACCTTAAGCGTTGAACCTTCCTTCAGAGATGCCCGTAGATAGGTATATCCGAAGTGTCCCCGGACGCAATCCATCCTCTGCACCTTCAAGGCTCGAGCCAACACCCTTACGAGCCCCTAGAGTAACCCCTTCGAAATGGACACGAATCCGATCCACTCTCGCCATCTTCTCTGCAGATGAACAATCAGTGCCCTGTCGAATCCCGCCTCAACGCCCTTCACAATGCCCGCTTCAGCCAACACCACTACCTGGGTCCCGGAAAATTACAAAACCCCTTCCTTTCCCTCTCTCTACTGGCTCGTTGGACCGGATAATCTCGTCCAGCCCAGGTTCCTCTACCACGTTCACGATATCTGGCGCTTCACTCTGTTCTGGACGACCATCATCTTCGAGGCTGTACATTTGCTGGTTGGGACGTACGCGGTGGTGATTGTGTGGTGGGGAGGGAGGAACAAATTGAAGGAGGATGGGAAAGAGAACGGGGGCGGAAAGGAGGTTAAGAGAGGGCGGGAGGAGTCACTGAAGAATATCAAGGTGCTGTGGGTGGTGCCAGTCGTGTATGGAATCGTGGCAGGCGTGGAAGCATTGTTGGCAGGGAGCGTAGTGGGGTTGATGTGAGTATGCTTGCTGTGCTCTGATCTACGTACGACAGCGATTCTGTGGGAGAGAAAGGTTGTGGAGTTATGGTGTATCGTAAGGGGGCAAGTTGCTGATTGTTTGGCAGACTCGGCGCTGTGTACAACGCCGGAGGCTTCAGGATGTCGACTTGGATCCCGTTCGTATGGTCTCTGATTAGTGTGCTAGTGCTGATCGTGTCGTCATTCTCCATACAAGGCGGACTATGACCAAGGCAAACGATTTAGCTGAATGTGAACGGTGAATGAGTTTGAGTATTATTTTAATTGCAACGTGTATGCTCATGGCGTCTAGGACACCGAAGCTTCGAACGTCCACCTGGCACGCCCAAGCCACCACAGCTTTCCTATCACGCAACATCTCGCAGCAGACACACGAACAGGAGCACTGCAAAGCCGAAGTCAACCGCAACGGTCTTGCACTTGGAATTCAGCTTAAGAGGTGATGCCGGCTGAAGCGTCAACCACCTTTCCATCCGTTGGTGGTCTTGGCTTGGCCCATGAATCCCTGAGAATTCCCATATTATTCTAGCGGCGCTTGTCATACCACATTCCATCATCAGGCGCCATTGCCAATATTGACGAACGTGCCCCTCGTTTTGGATTGAGTGGCGCGCCAGTCCGAACCGTGTTGATCTTGACGGCCAAGTATGCTCCTTTGACCGCTTCTCGAAACCATGGTACCTCCAATTCTGGTACGTTCTGTCTGATGAGTTCGATCAACGACGAGGCGTCTGGTGCACCGTCTATCAGGCCGACCATTCCAACTCGCGGAATACCTAAAACGGTCTTCAATTGGGCTTCGGTTCCTTCTGGGAGTGATATAATCCTTGTTGATGGTGATGAAGGCACAGCGAGAGATGCGGCTTTGGTAAGAAGCGGCAAATGTGAATAGAGAACAGGTGGCTGGCCAGAGCGAGGAACAAAGACTGCGGCCAATGGCTTGATGTTGGCAGGGTTGAGACAAGGTCGTGCAGAAGTCTCCATTGCCACTACTGTACCTGGGATCTCATCTTTATCGGTGCTTGGACTAACTTTTTGAGCCAAACGTTCCAAATATCTGGTGGTCGTGTTGAAGCCAACAGTCAAGTGGTCATGGATCTCCGGTTGTGCAAGAGCACTCGTTCTTGCAAGTCGCCCTTTGGAAAAGGCCGCCTGTCGGTCTTTGACGATTGGATCGTCTTCTCTCTTCCTCTTCTTCGCCCGCTTTCCTTTAGAAGAAGCAACGTTCCGCGACCTGTGTTCACCAATGGGACTGAGCAGGCTGCACGAAGGATGAAATCAGCCTTCGACCTTCGGAGACCAGGGTATCTACAATCGGAGGCAAGGTATGCTCCCTGTCGTGTTGTATGAGAATTGCAAAATCAAAGCAGAATTGGTCAAGACAGTCAGGCATTTTGCCCTTGTTGCGATTGGGAAAGACCTGCCTGCAGAGCATGTCCAGTATCTTTGTCTGGTCATCGGCAGATACGACTGGCCTGGAGAATTGGTCAATACGAATTGGTTGGGGCTCCTGAAGGTTGAACTCACCATTGCACATGTGTGTATGGCGTATCTAGGCTGGAGATTGTCTTGGACTTTCTAGATGCTGCTGATAGATTTTTGCCCTCCATGACATCTACTTGCTCTGGGTTCAAGCTCGCAGCTCTGCCACCCTAATCCTCCAACATGTATTTTACAGTAGCACGTCAAGCTAATGGAATGTTTGATTGGGTGTTTTTGGGCAGGGTGTGTTTCTCGGAGGCTTTATTCATTATTACCTTACGTTCGATTCCTGATGGCGCTGATCCCATGGTGGAGTTGTTTTTAGTTTTCTGAGTGGTGAGAGAATTCTGATCGAGATGTTGTTGCGGCCACATACTCTAGCCTAAAGAGTCGCCCACCATGACCTCATACACTACTCTAGGTCAAAGCCCAATTGTGCACCGTAAGAATGCGAATCATCAATTAATTAAACCAATAGAAGTGTTTGCTTTGATTCAACACTACTGCGGTCTGTAGAGACCAAAGCCTCCAAGCTCCCAAGCTCCCAAGCTCCCAAGCTACGAACTTTGAAGGGTCCGAGGGGTCTTAGTTCCGTAACTTGTACCTTAGAAATTTTCGCGGGTTCGTAACCAATGAGCGCATCGCGGGGTAGAGTAGACTACTCATACTAGCGCGTTTTTCTGCCTAACTTACCCTTAATCCTGGTTGATGATCATCAATCAATTGTCACTTTCCGAAGAGACACATACATAGAGTACCCGACACACCCTCGTCAGCTTCAAACAACAACAACAGCTTCACCACTCTACACAATCCAAAAATCATAGAGCTCATCCTGACTCATCCTTTGCACTCTCCAGCTTCATCACTAGTCTTCTCATCTACTTCACTCACTTCATCCACTCAGCCTCAGCTTCTTGGCCACAATCAATCGGCCCAGAACGCTTGGCAAGCACAATGTCATGGACTCAGTTCTAACACGCTCGGCCTTTACGCCTACTCGTGCAAAGTCCGCTGGGGCCAGAGAGCCTATGGAAGACACCGACGCTTCCGGCACAAGGAAACGCCCTCGCTTGGACAGTGGAGACCGATTTTACAGAAGCATGTCTGCCGACAGACTGGGAGCTACCCCGACCGACCCTGAGCTTGCTAAAGATCCAACAACACCTCCACGCGCCCACATCTCATCCCATCCCTCAGAAACAGCTGGTGGGCTCCCATCTATGAGCCTTACACCCAGCAAAGAAGTGACCATCAACGTCCGAGAACCCAGCACGATCACCTCTCCAACACAGACATCCGCCCAAATCGGTGGCACACCTTCGTTGCGGGGTGGAGGCGGAGGTGACCATGTCCCGTCTAGCTCTAATGACCCGTCCAGCAAATTGGACTCTTCGCCATCCAATGTCATCTCCGTGACCTCCTCTCCTCCGCGCAGCCCCGAGATTGAAGTCGCCGAGATCGAAGATATGAATGATGAATCAGGAGAGACAAGATGGAAACCTTTGATAAGCGCCACAAGTCTCATGGATGCGAAGGACATCCAACAGAGTGTATTAGAAGACTTTCCGTATCTAGGTGAGAGGAGCAGGAACCTGCGGAAAACTGTAGCTGTGCTCGCCCAGACCTTTGAGAAGGGTGAGTGGTTCCGTTGCTTGTAGGGAATGTGCCAGCTGACTCCTCTAAAGGTGACCTCGATGATGGTGAATACTTTCGCCGTCTATCCATCTGGATCGAAATGTATCTTGAAACAACAGAGCCACACACCTCTCAGTGGTGGGAGATGTACCATGAACAGCGTGCCTTCTGGGAAGAGTTTCCTTCCTTGGTGGACGGCCTCTTGAAACGAAGGTAGTGCTTGCCCTTTTATGTAATACATGACTATACTGATTGTAATCGATTTCAGCAACAAGATTGGGAATGTCAAGTTGGCGCAATCGAGTATTGGCGATACGACGAGCAGCATCGACCCTCTGCAGGATTTCTTCGTTGCGTACACAGCATTGGCTATGCGAATGGCCCGAATCGATAACCAGACGCTGGCTGGACACTTGGAAGATCCTGGGAATCCTCCAGATCTGATCTGCAATCGCTATCTTATCTTTTTGAACCAACTCCAAAGCCATACGTCTCCATTCTGGAAGTCCGTCGTCGATACATCGAGGTACGACGTCAAAGTCCCAGTGACCGCAATAGTCAGCAGATTCATACAACCACCAGCAAGTGGTATCAGATGTATGACCGAAATCTGTAGAGAACTCTTCGAGCGTTCCCAAAAATGTCCCGTTATAACTCAAAGTATTTGGGTCCACTTAAACATCGCCAATAAGGTGATGAATCATTACCGAGTTTTGCAAAGCAGCAGTGCGGCGACCGAGGAGGCGTGGCTCCCCTCGTTAAGGGATCTGCCTTATCAAATGTATCAGTTCTTCGCGGTCATTGACAATCAGTTCCAGACCTTGATCAGCAAGCAGGTCTCGGCCTTGTCCATCGAAACTAGTCAAGGCCTTGTCAATGGGATGTCAACGCTTCTTCAGAATATAGCGTGCTCAGACGAGCAGCTGACCCGCAAGTATATACACGAAGAACTTGCTCTTACTCAAGATTTCGACAGGGATGATGGGGCTCTTCTTGTCGAGTTAGCTTGGAAATTTGGGTTGTTGAAGAAGTGCATTCTTGAAGGCCGGATGGAAATCAGAGTCCAGGGTGTCGATACAATGCAGCTGGAGTTGGTGCAAGTGTATCAAAAATACGTCCAAAATCGCGAAGGCGGTAAAGACCATCCGACAGCCCAGTATCTTTCCGACTTCATGCTCGATAACAAGCTTGTGGATTATTTCGTTGGTGTTGAATCCCACCCACAGCTAATCAACAGATGTGCCAATATTGTGGGTTTTCTTGTTGTCACAGGCAGATATACCGAAGTTCAGTCGGATGTCATTTGGAAAGGAGTCGTCACAAGTCCAGATTCACGATTCATCGATGCATTACTAATTATGCTAAACGGTATCTTCAACATCGCCGGCTACCCGATACTACTTTACCTGACAGCGAAACTCAACGAAATTCCAATTCATGCTTTTGATGCCAGCATGAACAATTATGGCAGAACGCTGCTTGACCATCTTCGAAGAACGTGGAGCCTGAGCCAAAGCGAGAACCCTGTTTTCCCCCAGAGGATGGATATGGCACCGTTCCACTTATGCATTCGGCTCATCCGCCAATCTTTAGCCGAGAGCTCTTTGGAGCACTCGAGAAAGCGAGAGATTCACAATTTCGCAAGAAACGAACTTGCAAGCTTGCTCGAGTTTGGACCTAGTGATTCGGACAGAAAAGCCATCTACAAGGAATGCATCAAAGACATTTCAGATCGGACCGAATATGCGACAGGCAGTATTTCCGCCATGTCTGCTCTGATTAACCAGAACCCAGAAGGGGAAATAATAATGTTAACTAAAGGGTCGAATGTGACATCTCTGATGATCGAAGAGTTCGCGCATATGATAGACATCGAACGATCTTCAAACGGTCACTCTCAGATGCTTGAAGAGCGCTTGGACATCCGTTGCAACCTTATCCAACACATCATAGTTTCAGCCCCAGACACTATCACCACCAGCGCTGGCGGTAAACTATGGGACTTTGCAGTAGGGTCTCGGGCGCCTCATGACCGGGCCCGCTCATATGGCTGGATGTGCTTCCTCAAAGCATTACGACGATGCAAGGCCACCGAGAATCCCTTTGTTGACCAACTGATCAAAGAGTATCTTCCCCGACTACAACCCCGGTACTACAACAGTGGTTGCCTGCAATTCGTCCAAGAGGTTGTCCATTACCAATCATGTATGGCAACATCCCGACTCGATAAGGACGCTAATGGAGGGCCGACTGCAACAGATCTACTTTGGCAATTGTCACTGACAGCGCCTCCGGGTAGCATAGAACATAAATCCATCAGCTTGCTTGTTGCATTGTGTCTTGATTCGCCAGACGTTCAACGCAGAACACAGGCTGCGACTGACGCCATACACATCGAGATAATTCAACGTTGTATCCGACAATTGAGCTCCGCGGCCTCCAAGTTACGATCTTACAGCGACGGGACATCCAGTGGGGAAGATGAACCAATGGTAATTGTTGCCTCCGAAGATGAGGTCCAGGCGCAAAAGTTGTGCTTCTCCAGATCTCTCATGATACTAAAGGAGTTCATTCACGGCGTTCGGTCACGTCCCCAATACAGCCCCCAGCCACAGAGTCAGCCTCAGCTGCCTCAAGAATCCCGCGGGCTCAAAGGCGACCCTATCAGTATCCGTTACCAATCGTTTAGTGGTGGTGCAGGTACTGACATTCGAACGCTGGAAGTTGGGGACCTTGAGACCATACAAGACTTGTCCAGTCGCTTGATCTCATTGACAAGCTTTCCCAATTTTAGTGCAATTGCAGGGGGTCAAGTCTTGAATTTGAAGAGTATCGCTAACCAGACGCTCCGAAGTCTGAAGTTCGATCAGAAGGGTCTTCTCATTGTCAGGAGAGTTGCAGATGCTGAGTCCGTGCCACCTCTTTCTCAAGCATCCGGTTTGCGGCCGGTCGAGCTAGAAATACTGGCTCATTTCTCCGAATTGTATCAGCTGTTGGGTATGGAGGACAAGCTTGCCAAAGAAGTGGGTCCTGGAAACCAGTCTCGCAACCTTTTCGACTACTGATGGTGTGTAGGTCCATGAGTTTTTGGTTGCGTTTCCGCCTCACAGCAGTATTACGGCATTGATTCTTTCCCAAGACACGACGCTGGAAGCTGTCTTTCCTCCGACCGCGCCCTTCAAAATTCTCTACTCGGTCTACGCGCTCAGGACTTGCCTGGTACAGCAGACGCAGAATGTACGCAAGCATCCTAGATGTTCTTTTTTTTTGTTTTTTAAATGGTATCTTCTAACACTGGTTAGGGTCCTGCGAACGTTGATTTCATACATCATGGCATTCAGTTATTGAGTGCAACCATGTCGACACTGAACCTCAACCTTGGGTCGCATGGCGCCGAAGTCGATATCGTCGTGGCATTAGGCCTCGTAGACTGTCTACATATGTTCCTCAAAGGTTTGCGCCCGTCTTTTCCCTGTTACATCATTTACTGACCTAAGCCTTTATCCAGAGCCTATGCCTGCCGAAGTCGGCTTGTCGGTGTTCCCCAATCCACTGGCGCTCCTGAAGCGTCTGCTGTCCATGATCTCAGAGGCTCTTACCGTATTGAACAGCTCCGAGGCCGATTTCCTGGCTATCAACTCCTTTGCGGCCCTTTTAAAAGCATCTCTCTGCTCCGATACTTTCTGGAAACACCTCAAGGACGCGGATGTGTGCTCCGAGCTCTTGCAACGACTTTTGCTCGACGAACCAAAGTGGCAGACACGTGTCAGAGTGGCTGAGTGGGTAAAAAGTATATGTCGATCTCAATCTGCGTAAGTGCTGGACAGTCATTCAACAAGGCTCACTTGAGAGATCTGCTAATTCAATGGGCAGATCCCAAACAGCAACAGCGGAAAACTTCAACTCTTACCTCTGGGAGAACATAGCGAAGGTTATTCCTCATTGCCTTCAATATAGAAACACAGCCTCGCAACAGTTCTTTGAAGTTGCGACGCTCCTCTTCAGATCGACTGGTGACGCATATTATGGGACGCTCGATGTATCGAGTTACGTTCATGGTTGGAGCGGACTACTTTTGAAACATGAACACGAAGAGGTTGGTAGGAGTGCTCTAGATTGACTTTTAATCACTAATGATGAACAGTTCGTGGGTCGCGACCAGATAGACTGGATTGTCCTTGGACTTTCTTCTCTGCTGAACTGGTCTTTCCAGGTCCTTAAGTCGCTGGGCAAGCCTTTGGAAGCGCCGTAGGTCTCCTGGCTCTAAGCTTATGAGTTCCTCTAACTCCTATAGTGACGGCCTTGCGGAAAAGCTCTTCCGAGCTCACCTCTTTCCTGAGATACCAAGTTCCATCAATGGCGCTCTGACCCAGACTCGAATGCCGAATCTCTTTACGAGAACGCGTGAGGAAATTTACTCCATCATCTTGGCGTTGAGCAATGACATGGGTGGTTATCAAAAATTGCTGATGCTTGTCAGAGATTTGCTCTCCCAAGGTGAGGAATCCCAGGCATGGTCATGGGGTCTCGCTCAAATCTCAGAAGAATGTCACTATGAGCCGAACCTCAACTTCGATCGAACAAAATGCATCCGAGCTCCAGCAGGATATCCTGGCCTAAGGAATCTATCCAATACCTGCTATATGAACTCTTTGTTCACTCAGCTCTTCATGAACGTCAAATTCCGAGGATTCATGCTCAACACCAATGTTGCAGATGGATCCTCATCCCAGAGACTGCTCCACGAAACCCAACAGCTGTTTGCTTTTATGCAAGAGTCGATGCTGAAATTTGTGGATCCCTCGGGCATCGCGGAATCCCTAATCACGTATGACAATACCGCCATCGATGTCTCAATACAAATGGATGTTGATGAGTTCTACAACTTGCTCTTTGACAGATGGGAGAGTCAGATCTTGTCCGGCGCCGACAAAAAGACATTTCGCGCTTTCTATGGCGGCCAAATTGTGCAGCAAATCAAGTCTAAGGAGTGTTCACACATCTCTGAAAGATTGGAACCTTTTTCGGCGATTCAATGTGACATTCAGGGGAAGCTGACATTACTGGACAGTCTCAACGCCTATGTGGGTGGGGAGGTCATGGAAGGAGGTTGGTACACAATTCCAAATGATGTGTTCTGGATGAACTAACTGTTTCTTCAAGACAACAAATACTCCTGTACATCATGCGGCTGTTATGTTGATGCAGTTAAAAGGTTCGTACTTCCCAATGAGTGCTATCCCTTGCTATTTGCTAATGGCTATCAGGGCTTGCCTCAAGGATATCCCGAATAATCTCATATTCCACTTGAAGAGGTTCGACTACGATGTCATGACTGGTATGCGAAGTAAAATCAACGACATCTTCGAATTTCCAGAACAGATTGACATGGCTCCTTATCATGTCGATTATCTGAAAGATCCGGGGGAGTCAGCTTCGACCGATTTGTTCAACCTCGTCGGTGTGCTCGTTCATAGCGGTACCGCCGAATCCGGCCACTACTACTCGTACATTCAGGAGCGCCCGTTAGGCTCTGCAAGCGGCAAGACATGGGTCGAGTTCAATGACATCGATGTGGTACCTTTCGACAACTCACATATTCCGGATCAGTGCTTTGGAGGCTTCAACGAATCTTCCGGTTACTCGTCACGTTATTTGAAGTCCTGGAATGCGTATATGTTGTTCTACGAGAGATGCGACCCCAAATCGCCACACGACGAAACTCATTCTCCCAAATCGTTTGGGGTCCCAGCCAAGAGTCCAATGCCGACTGAGATCGAAACCCCTGTCGCTTTCAATAACGGGGGTTGGCTTCGGACCTATTGCATGTTCGATCCGGCGCATGCAGCCTTCGTAAGACAACTTCTGGAGCAGCTTCGGATCGTGAACGAAGACAAGTGTACGGAAGACCATGGAATGGAGAAGGAAGCCATTCTGCTGTCGTTAGATCATCTCGACAGGGTACTATCGAGATCCAAAGATTGTCCCGATTTTGGGAAGATGCTTGCTTCGCTAACCAAAGTTATCGGTTCTTGCTCGACCTGCTGCAGAATCGCCCTAGACTGGGTGCTGCATCATGAGTCCGCTCTGCGTAACCTGCTGCTCCGCTGTCCTTCTCCGAAAGTCCGCAAGGACTTTGCTGGCATGATCCTTGTTGCACTCAAGCATCTTCGAAACAACGAGCCGCGGTGGTTTGGCTTTGACGAAGCAGACGAGATCGCGCGCGTAACATCAAGAAAGGATATGCACCCGGATGGTGTCTTTCCAAGACTCGTTCGCCGTCTGAAAGACCTTTGGAACTTCATGCCTGTACACATACGCGCCTGGGATGACTACTTTGGTCTGTTGGCCGAAATGGTCCTGTTCGGGGTACATGAGTGTCACGTTCTTCTAAACCAAGGATTTCTTTCAGGCTGTCTGGAAATTCTGCTTGTTGACAACCCCAAAGTTCCACGACTCCGCAACGAGCATCCTCACTACGGCCATTATTTCCGCCTTGTGGAGAAGGGCCGAAACTTCTCCTTGAACAAGCTCACCGAGCTGCTCGCCAACCTCCTGGACAAAGTGGAACTACGAGACGAAACCGTACGGGGAACCCGTGAGCGCAAGGTGAGGAAAGACGGAATGCCGTTGACTTTTATTGAGGATCAATACATGCGTTTCGGATGCGACCTTTCACGCTCGAAGGATACTTGTGTATTTTTGACCAAGATCCTCGAAGCGGGCAGCAATCCGCCAGCTACGAAGAGAATAATCCGAGCGATGGTCCTTGCAGAGCCGGACTTTGGCACGCTCACACTGGTTCAGAATACGATCATCAGTGGCATCAACATCGATCCGGCAACTTTGGCTGCGCCTTTTCTGCGCGCCGCAATCGTCTTTTGTGAATCTTGTCCAGCGGAAATCAATGCCCGGCATGTCATCAACTACATTGCTGGAGAGGTCGACACAATTGGGGTGTTTGGAGGGCGGGAGCATCTCGACTTTTTTACCCAGGCACGCCGAATACAAAGCCTAAGCCTTGAGAGATCGCCAGACTTCTTCAATCGCTGCGTCCTGAAGACAGTGCCGCAATGGGCGCCTCCATTAGTGATGTACTTTGAGGAGCCTGTGCGAAATAGCACAATCGACCTCCTTAAGACGCTTGTATTTGGCCATGACATCAAGGCCATGGATGACGAGGAGTATGCTGAACTTATCGAAAGGGTTGGGAGAGATCTTCAAGTAGCTTGTACGAGGCGCTGCCACTTATTGGTGCAGGCGCAGAAGACCCAGGACGCCAAGAGCGTGGAACAGGTCATCACTGTTATCAGACACTGTCTTCAGATGTACTACGGACCGGAACATGATCAAAGGCCTATTGTTGAAGCCGAAAGTAAGTCTACTTGAACGATCCATGTTCCTTCCTCTTTACTGACGGCTATGAAGATATCGTAGCCAGCCTAGAGGCTTTGACGGTTTCTGATGTGGATGAAGCGGCTTCAGGTAATATCTTGCTGATGGATCATCATTTTTAATTATTCTGACCTGTTCTAGAAACTTGGAACAATGCATCCGACGACATACCTACAGACTCAGATTCGGAGTTCCCCTCTCCGTAGATGATCCAGCATTACAAGGAAGCCAATTCAATCCGCAACACCTAAACATGACGGAGTACAAAACGAGTAATTTGCAATCCTGGCGCAGAGTAAAGATTGGGGATCCACGTGATAGCATGGAAACGAAGCGATGCATTGAACGGCGCACATGGACCAGGACAACGATAGACTACTTGGTGAGGAGTTCATTCTTGCAGGATCTTGGCGATAAAAGCCTTGCGCATGTGGAGGACGATGAGCTGGCAAGCTCCAGGCGTGTACTCAGGAAGGGTGCCGATGATTATTGCGAGGCGTTCGGCGTCACAGCTTCATTTTCCGCACGAACGATCAATTGGCGGCCTAAGGAGGACAGGCCCTGAATGTGAAATAGAGATGTCTTCAATGCATTACCTTCCTCTCCAAGTCCGAGGTGTCCGTTTGATAAAATGTAAGGCCAAGTCCTCAAAACCCTTCTAATTGAGGCATCTAGGATAATATTATGTCTCTAGTGGCTTGCTAGCCCTTTTGCCCATCCCTGACTTTGGTTCCTCATGCAGAGCGCCTTTAAGAATTTGCTTGGTTTCGATTCTTAGGATGCACACCGTTCGTCGTTCATTGTCTCTTTGCTTTGTTTGCGTTGTCGCCTTCCGCTGCCTCCAAAGATCTCTTTTCCCGCCCCCCCCCCTCTCACAAGCTACAGCTCCCTTGTCGAGCAAGTCGACTGCATGATTCAAGACACGCCGTCGCTGAGAGTCTTTGCGCCTGCTACGCAGTATGGATCGAATGAATGGTGTGATGGGTCGGTCCTACGAGTAGGACGGTGGGTGCCTACCGGTTCAAGCGGTAGGCGCGGCGAGCAGTCGGAGGTATTGGACGGATCAGCGGTGGGAGCTACGGGGCGGGTGACTCTGCCATGTGTTACGGTGATGGGGCGGCGTCTGAGAATACGGACGCGGGCTGTGGTTCGGTCGGGGTATAACATTCGAAGTCATGTTGGAGCTTTGGCGGGGTTCGTTGCGTGTGATATGCGTGGTGTAGATGCTTTGCGGTCTGATATCGTGGGATTTCGATACTAACACGGATACGAAACGGGTCGAAGGAGTGAGTGACTCGACGCATGTGACTTGCCGAAGGCTGATGGACTGAGAGCCAAGAGTCGCGAGTTCATCAAGTGTTCTGTTCACGCAGGACCAAGATGGCAGGGTTCATAACTATCGATGGAGCTTTTGTGGATAGTGCCTCGCCTCGGGAAGACACCGTGTTAGACATAATCTCGGGAGATTGGATTCGCAACAAGAGCGTGGTGAGATTGAAGAGGCCCCGTAAACGGGATAGTTCGAAAGACCTCTACCGTGGGAATTGATGACAGCGGCCCAGGAACAAGATACTTGAAATGAGATAATACGGACACCTGGAAAATTTCCTTGAACCCACACATCCGAATGACCATATAGCAGTAGTACCAATTGTCATAGATCGAAAAGGACGCATTTGATAGAAGGGGCAAATTTTAGTGTCGTAGAGTACGCTGCAAACGAATATGACCTCAACTGCAGATCTAGCATCAGATAAGCAAAGAGATCTAGAGGGGAATCTTTTGTTGCTCTAGAGTAAAGGAGAAAGCCCTAAGAATGGCGCATCCTCATCACCTGTAGCCTGGAAAACACGAGACAGTAGGATATGGAGAGAAGGTTCTGGACACGGCTTTCTAGATGTGAGCTAATGACATTCATCGCTATGAGAATGCCTGAGGACAGAGCTGTCCACGTCTTATGCGAGGGCTTCATAGTGCATCTTCAAAATTCGCTTCCTCATCTTCGTCGGAATCGTTGTCCACCTGCTCTTCTGCCTCAGATTTGACCGCGCTTGCCCCATTCTTTCGATCCTCGAACTTAACCTTCTTAAGTACCGGACCATCTCCTTCCTCGATTGCTTGGCCAGAGCCTATAGGAGTAGAAGTATTGGTTGCAGGTGCGCTGCTTCCAGATTCGCTCCCTTTCCGCTTGACGCTTCCATTGGTCTGAGAAACTGGCGGCCCTTTCCAATTTTCGGACATGGAACTTGAAGGCGTGCCGTTTCGCGATGCTGACAAGACATCTTCAAAGTCGCCTTCATCCTCGTCTTCCGATGCTGCTTCTTGCTCTCGTGCTACTCTCTTCCTTTCTTGTTCTATGTCCTCTTCTCGCCTCATCTCCGCATAGTATGCCGCCATTTGCTCATCCTCGGTGCTAATTTTCTTTTCGTCTTCTTCCTCTTTCAGCAAAGCACGGCCATTTACCTGCTGTTCACCATCTTTCTTCCCAGCCACGGTGGTCTCTCCAGTGACAGTAGAAGTCGTATGCCAGACCGGTAAGATGTTCTGCGCTGCAATATTTGCTTTTCGCTGAGCTTCTGCAGCTTGTTCCGCGGTTGTTCTTTCGGAGCCTGTAGTCACAGAGACATCTAATTGCGCGGCAACGAGCTGGGGCATCATGCCTTTCACCGCAGCTGGAGGAGGCTCTGGAGCGTTGAAAGTCACTCTTTGCTGTCCTGGGTTCACAACTATATTTCTCTCCACAAGAACGGCGTGCGAGAAAGCAGTATCGAAGTCGTTACTCGGAATGTCCTCGGAATCAACTTGTTGCAGCATTTTGAGCAGACCAAAAAGCTGATCCATGAGCCTGCTCTGCTTCGCGTGTCCCGTCGAGTCGCCAGCATCGAGTTGCTCTTTTCTCTCGAGAAGACCGCCGCAACGATGACACTCAAACCCCTCTGGGACTGGTATATCCAGCACTTCAAGTTCTGTCCACTGAGCTTTACATCTCGGACAGTGAAAATCCTTTTTCTCCTCGCTCGGCTTGTACATGCTTTCAACTTTTTGAGTCAGTTGGAAAATGCGATACTTGATGGCATCGATGGTTGCATGAAAGTCGACATAGTAGTAGTCTTTGTTTATCGGTCGTTGCTGACCCTCGCGAGTTTCCAGGCGCGAGTGACTTGAAGGTCTCGTTAGCCGAGACCTCAGGAAAGTGCAGCACGAAGCAAGCAGCTGACGTACACTGATAGCAGACGGTCCTCCTTTAACTTTCCGCATAGCTTTCGCAGCTCTTTGCTCGGGATCTGCAACAGGTATGCAAGGTCCTCATTGGGCAATCTGTCAGGTCATTCAGCTCCAACCACCCAACGTTGCTGGGCTCGCACGAACGCCGAGTGGACCATCAACGCATCGATGACCAAAACGAAGGGCGTATCATAGAAAGCCCGTACCACGCTGCGTATGAGCGTCTTTGCGAGATCCATGGCTGTGATGATCAAGAACGCGGCTACCTATCAGAGAGTCTGATTCTTGGGGGGAGGTGGTTCTGTAAGATGCTCAGCAAGCGCCTCAAGGAGTGAAGGCTGAGAGGAAAGCCATCGTCCAAACGACTCGGAGTGTTGAGTCGAGTAGATCTAGATGGAGAGAAGTTTTGGGTGAGGGTATGTGAATTGCACCACTTCGAAAAGACCTCAGGAACAAAGAGAGAGATTTTCAATTGTTTGCGAATTGCTCATTACTCAATGGTGCTCATGCGAGTACCAATCTAGCGCAGCCTTACCGGACATTACTAGTTGTCGGGCATAAGAGGATATCCAACGTAGTCCCACTCCACACAAATTTACAATGTATGAGCAACCATTGATGATTCCCAGTCCTGCGCAGAGAACAGTCAATCTACTAAGACATTCGGTATCTACGAGCTTCTCTCATCGAACATCCACCACCATGGCTTCCCAAGAGAACCGAGAGCATTCTGCTCGGTCGACAACCCACCAAAACGGAGAGGGATTACCACATTTTGCGCACAACAGAGGTACCGGCAATTCGAGAGTGGGAGGCAGAGGCAACTCGCGATCTGGACACAGAGGTGGCTCGGGAGGCCGAGGACGTCGAGGAGATCAAGGGCATCGAGGAAATGGGGCAGGTAGAGGAGCTTGGGTGGGGTCCAATAAGAAGAAAGAAGTCGGGCGCGCAGAATGGGCGTATGTGAATCAGACTTCATCATCCTTATCCGGACTAATTCATGAAGTCGTACTCCATTTGACCGAAGAGCACGCAACAACGAGCGAGCTGCGAAACGACAAAAAGTAGACGGCCGAAAGGAGGACCTACCAGTCTACGCTACCAAGTTTTCGAAAGAGGAGATTGAGACTCAGGAGAAGAAACCTAAGCGGAAGGTCGCTGTGATGCTTGGTTACTCCGGCACTGGATATAAGGGCATGCAGCTGTAAGCGTCTCCGCAAGGGTCTGGGCATCGCATTGCACCTCTAACAACCCTCAGAAATCACCATGAGAAGACTATCGAGGGCGACCTATTCAAGGCCTTTGTTGATTCAGGTGCGATATCGAAAGCCAACGCCGATGACCCGAAGAAGTCCTCGCTCATCAGATGCGCTCGTACTGACAAGGGAGTCCATGCTGCTGGCAATGTGATATCGTTGAAACTCATCGTCGAGGACCCAGATATAGTCGCCAAGATCAATGAGCATCTGAGCCCACAGATACGAGTTTGGGGCATCGAGAGAACCAATGGTAGCTTCAGCTGCTACCAGCACTGCGATTCGAGGACTTATCAATATCTCATTCCATCACACTGCTTTCTACCACCTCATCCGAAAAGCTTCCTTGCCAAACAGATGGTAGAGCTTGCAGAAGAGGCCAACGATCTGGAAGGCTATCAATCCCGTCAAAAGGAGGTTGAAGACGTCTGGTCTAAGATGGAAGAGGAATATGTCAGACCTGTCATTGAAGAGATGGAACTCTCAATACGGGACGAAGTACTCAGAGCATTCTATGAGCACGACAACAGTCCTGCAAATAGCGCATCGACGATTGGTACCGAAGCTCTGAAGCAAACCATCAGTGGTGTTCCCAACCAGGTTAAAGTTATCTCAGCAGTTGAGGATGTTAGTGCCACGGAAAGCAAAAATAGTCAAGAAAGCACTGCAGACATCTCCTCAGTCCTAGCGCTCGAAACAGTCAATGTAGAAGCCATGGAGACGCGAGAAGAGAGGCCGAGAGAACTTACGCCTGTGGAAATCGCCCTTCGTGATCTTAAAGCCGCCCATATCAAGGCAAAAAAGGCTTATCGAATTCACCCTGCTCGCGTTGCGCGAGTCCGCTCCCACCTGTCCCGCTATATTGGCACACATAAATTCCACAACTACACAATCGAAAAGACCTTCAGAGATCCTTCCGCCACAAGGGTTATAAAAGCCTTCAACGTAGACGCTGTCCCTATCATCATCAATGACACAGAGTGGCTTTCGCTCAAAGTCTGGGGTCAGAGCTTCATGATGCACCAAATACGTAAAATGGTCAGTATGATCGCTTTGCTCGTCCGCTGCGGTTGTCACGAGGGCCGCATACAGGACTCCTATATGGCTGATAAACTCAGCATACCCAAAGCACCTAGTCTGGGCCTTCTACTTGAATGCCCTGTGTTTGAGGTCTACAATGAGAAGCTTGAAGGGTTCGGATACAACAAGATCGATTTCAGCAGATATGAGGAGGAGATGGAAGAATTCAAGCAGCGGGAGATCTATGGGCGCATTTTCCGAGAAGAGGAAAGGGACCATACCTTCCACTCTTTCTTCGCGGGTATGGATAACACCCGGAGTTCGCAGTTGTTCTATCTGTCAAGCGCTGGAGTCGAAGCTACCAAGAAAGAGATCAAGAAAGATACGTTGACGGACGCGGCGGCGAAGACGAATATTGGCGAAGTCTTGAGTGAAGATGAGGGAGACGCAATAGACGAAGAAGGATGAGGTGGAATAGATTCTCATGGGCCCCGCATAGTTGACTATTACAACCCGTGATACCTGTACAATTCTGAATCATCAAGCCTGCTTGACACCAGGAAAACGGTTCCAACCCGCTAGCACATCGCTGGTACTCGGGCACTTTTCGTGTAAATTCGGTGGAGATATCATCGACATCTCGCAGCACATACCACAAGAATAAAGCCAAAAAAAGTGGTTGTTGTCTCAATCTCTGGGCCTCCGCCTGCGTTGCTGGTCGACGTTCTTAGGTCTAGAGTACTGGCCTAATTTTCAAATTCTGCCCACATTTACTCGTTCTACAAGCAGGAAGAAGCAATCATCATCCGACCTACGGTGTTCTCTTGAACGTCTCGAGTCAGGCACTGAGACCTCAAATATGACACACCAAAAGCCAAGAAAGCCCCCCCAAAAATCAAACTTTTACGTCTTTTCAAGAGACTGGCGGCGTGACTTCATGACTCATGGAGTCTTTCGACACATTCACCGGGCCAGCACGTCAAGCGTCGGCATTGACCACTCTAAGACAATCCAAGACTGTAACACATCTTTCGAAGAAATGGCCACTGAAAACCCCCACGTTCGTGCCGCCGATATCCCATCGTCGACCATGCAGGGCAAAGAGCGCATCATGCCCCATCTACCGGCTTGACGCAACCGAGCACGTCAATCAAGATCATCCTCGCGACATCTCTAGCGCTGGACCCAGGAGCGCTGGTTTTTTTGAGAAAGCGAGGGCAGCAGAGCGCGTTTTGGAGCATCGTTTGACGTTGGAGTGTTTGGGGCTTGGTCCTCGATCGGAGCTGGGTATCGAGCTGGTTGGCAGGAGATGGGGAAGGGATGGGCACGGGCGGCGGGAAGGGGAAAGGGTTCAAGAGGAAGGCTGGTGCTGGGAAAAGGATCCAGGCATGCAGGGTTGGGGTCGGCGCAGAACCCTGGCGCAGTACTGTCCTCAAGGAACGCGGGCTGCATGCTAAGAGAGACTCCGTACTGTGATCTTGCAGACTGTTGAGGTTGTGGGAGCGTGTAGCGACGTCTTTGACCGTCAAAGGAGCGGGTTATGTATGTATGGCTGGCTGTTTGTCTAGTAGAGTACGGATAGCGCAGAATGCTGCAGAAATTGCACAAGTTTTGATCTTTCGATGTTTATGTGCCTAAAATGCAGGGTATATCCAGCAGGCTGGTGCCCATCAAGATGATACCCACAAGGGATCTACAGTAAATATGTATATTACACCAACATTTCTCAAATTAATGCTTGCCCCTTAAACATGCCCTCTTTGACTTCTCTAACGACATCCCGTCTGTCATTCTTGCCAACAAGAACGATACCACGTCCCCGTCGTCCCATTCGACCGGTCCTACCGAGTCGATGGATGAAGTCGATGGTGGAGTGTGGCACATCGTACAAGATGACGTGCCGTACTGCCAGGGTATCAATGCCTCGTGAGCCAAGATCAGTAGTCACGAGAACTTTTGTGTTGGGCAGATGGCGTCGCGGTGGAGGGGTGACTGGGCTTGCGGTATGATTGAATGCAATGTAGTTGGGGCCGCTCCGCGGAGCGGAGGCGTCCTTGGCAGTTTCCGGTGCGGTCTTAGGCGTAATCGTTGTGAAACCTCCCAGCGTCTCTGATTGTCGTTGTTCTGGCGTATCCCGGTTTAGAGCAACAGCGTCAATGCCTTTTGAGGTCAGATACTCGGCAACTTCTTGTGTTTTTTCGCGCTCGTTGACGAATACCAATATACGCTTGATGTCAGCGCGCTCGGTATCGCCTGGAGCGTGTTCAGCTGCAGCTTTGCCGATGGACCAAATGGTATCCGCGCAGGCCAGAATTTTGTTGCCGCGATAGGGTTCCTTTTCCACGTCTACGACGCCGAGCTGTACGCGCCGAGGAATAGCGTGGAGATTAGGCGTTACGAGTCGCCGCATATCTGGGAAGCGCTGGCGTAAGTAAGAGTCTAGGCTTCGAGGAATTGTTGCTGAGCAGAGTATGAGCTGCTGCAGAGATGGGGTGGATTTGTCGATGACGGTTGATGTGGAAGGGGCAAAGGAGCGGTCGAGTAGGGAGTCGGCTTCGTCTATAACGAGATGGGAGACGCGGCTGAGGATATTGGGATCTGATTCCGAAATGCTAGCTAGTAAATGAGGAGTGGAGATGAGGACGTCGATTCCAGTAGGTGCGAAAAGACGATTGCGAATGACCTTTCCACTATAGGCGGACGATATAAGCCCGGAGCGGAACTTCACTGTGTGTGATAAAAGCTTCGTAAGATTGCCAACTTGTGTTACGAGCTCGGAGGTTGGGACAAGAATGATGGCTCTTGGCCGGCCAGTGGTTGGATGAGGTGCATTGGACAACGGAGGAGGCTCCAGGGCATGAAAATTAACCTTCTTCCTCTCTTCCTCCTCTCGAATCTTTTTCTGAGCTTCCAGCTCTACATCTATGACCTCTGCGCGTTTTATAGCATCCAATACCGGCAACAGATAGGCCAGCGTCTTCCCCGATCCAGTTTCTGCAGCAAGCAAGAACTGCTCCATCTCCTTCTTCCCGGATGCAGCCGATCTTCTCCGGGCCGCTCTTGTCTCATTGCCCAGCAAAATAGGTATCGCCAATCGCTGTATGGGCGTGGGAACAAGGTCGACCATGCCGGACAGCGCTTGGGTAGCAATCGATTCCTTTACCATTGGTAATAAGGGAAATTCATCAAAGCTTTCGGTCTCGCTAATCTTTGCTTTAATTGAAGCCCTTTGCCCATATGATACAGCACTCAGAGCCTTCTGCATCTTCAAGGCATGAAAAGGTTCTCTTGCTTTCTTTGGACGTTCTCTTCCCCCAGAAGACCTCCTCACCTCGGCTTCTGAGCGGGCGTGGGGTTCACGTCGTATATCTGCTGACCCTTGGTTCATGCCGGCGAACGGGCTGTTAGTTCGCCTTCTCACTGGTTGGCCACTTGGGGTAGTTCTAGTAGGTGGGCGAGAGACTTTAGGTGACAAGCTCATCCTGGACGGAGGACGACGGCGCTGCAGTTGCGCCATTGACCTTCTGGGCTGCCATGGCCGATATAATGCTGGAGGAGATGAGTGCCAAAAGGCTCTGTGTTGACAGAACAAACAAATTGTCCGCGCAGAGCGCGACATTGAGAAAGTTCAATGCACCTCAATTCTCACCAGAACATTTTTGCAAGAGCCAAGATTGCATGATCCCCTCGATCCCTGCACTTGCGCGTTTGTTGCCGGGCCAACGTTAGCGGATGCGCTAATTCAATGGTTTCGCGCTTGAAGCTCCGATTTGTGTCGTGCTCAAACAATATTCCTCGGTCAGGTACCAGCCTCATGCATTGTCAGGCACAGCATTGTCCCTCATGATTGAAATGTCACTGCTCTAGAAAGACCCGATATAAAATCTCCCTGTCAATCACTGGTCAAAATACTACTACTGTGACTGGGGCATTGTTCCTGCGGGGCCTCGAGATAAACACATTCCTCGGCTGCCATTCGAGCAATCACCAGCAGTCAGAATACAGCTCTAGCATTGGTGGATTCCATAGGGGTTGGAGGTCTTGAACTTACCGTTATGTCTCAATCCGTATGTTTTTATCATCCATGAGCATATGGACAATGCGCTGGCTCGCCCAATCATAACACTGAACCATGGAACCAGATCCAGCCACTGCGCATCCAGAAGAACACCCCTTCATCTTCTCCTAACAAAACGAGCGCTCCACTGACTAAAAGGCCGCTCGCTGAACTGGGGCCTATGGAGCAAAGACGGAACTCTCCAAGCTACAATCAAAACACTAAGGTGAGAGCAATGGCTAGTTAAGACGACGCCTCGACTAATTGTCTTTCAGAAGAGCCTTTTCAATGGGGACTCATCCCCATTTGATCAATCGCCAATTGCCTCTAATTCGCCTCGTCTGTACTGGCAGAATCGTGATCCAGCATCTCCAACTAGGTCCAACGCAGAAAACCGGAACCCCCTGAGTGACCGCGATGGCTCCCCATCTCCCGCCAAAAGGTCATCAATCGAGAACTTGAAACGTGCGTCTCGTGTAAAGAATAGCAATATGTTCGCTCGTGAACACAAGCAAGAGTATGACCCTACATCAAGCCCCATGATTGAGAGGCCGCTGGCAACAGGCAGGCCGCTTAGCGTGCAACAAGGCAATGCATATGGTGGTAGCGGACTCCAAAACTCCCGGCAGGGGGGAAGTATGAGGATGCCTGTCAACGGTACGCTGCGATCGCCAGTCAAAACGAACGGTATCTCTGAAGAGTCAATGTCTCCCAGCAAAGCACCGACGTCTCCGACGAAATCATCCATGTCTAGTAAGAGCAGGTACTCACAGCCGCACCAGGCCTTTGACCTGGAGAACAGCATCTGGTCTGAGGAGGAGGGGGAGGAGGAGGAGCAGTCTGCCGAGCGTGAGCTACCTCCCGGCAAGTCACTGCATCGCCATGCCAAGAGTGTCACGTTTGACGCTGCGCCTCCTCAAGTAAACGAATATGAGATGACTACCCCCGATCCATCATCTGTGGCATCAGGGTCTCGTGAGGGAAGTTACGACTCTGTGAATGAAGGAGAAGACGAGAGCTTCGACCGAGGCTCTTCCATTGAGCGAGATGATAGCTTCGACGCATCGCTTGAAGACACCGAGAAGACTCCTGTGGTTCTGCCCGAGGATTGGCGCTTCATGAGCCCAGCAGTTGCCAATGAAGATCTCGTAGCACATGTTGAGAGTCCATTTGATGGAGAGCAAAGCGGCCCAGCCCCGACAGCACAACCTTCTTCAATACCCGATGCACGAGTCTCGCCGACGAGGACAGATTCCGTTAATTCCAACGGCGAGCGCCGGCCATTGCCACCTCTTCCAGCATTGGGCACGCCATTATTCCCTCGTGCTCGGTCAGACTCAAACAATAGTCTTTCTGCCACTGCCGAACGCGTGAGTAGTTTCCAGCGTGTCTCTCCGGCACCACATCGCCCAGCGTCGATTTCGAAAGCAGAGATTCAGGGGATGGGAGGCTGTTCTATGTCCATCGAGGATCGTCTGCGCTTGATGATGATCGATGATCCGGACAAGCGCAGCTCGCCAGTTGAGGAACAACAAGAGCAACGGGAGAGGCGACTTCGACGCGGATCCCCTCTGAGAGGCTCAGAACCGGGAGAAGGCGACAGAGAAATCCAAATTCATGAAGAAGAAGTTGAGAACGACGATGTAGCAAGTCTTGGAGAATATAAGCTGCCTCCACGAATCTCAAGAGAGTCGATCCTCCGTAAGGTCAAGAGTCGCACCTTCAACGAGCCTGAGGATGACACCTCGTTCCTGGGGCTGAGCCCAACCTCTGATAAAGGCGTCTACAATAACCTGGACCCTGATACTCCAATTCCATCTCTCGAGACCGAAGAAACCGAGAAAGAGGTGATCATTAAGCAGGAACCCGATCTTGAGGACAGTGAAGTGGATGTTTACTCGATTCCGGACCTCTACAGCCAGCAACTGCAGGCCGAGTCCTACATGAACGCAATCGAGAAACTGGAAGCTTTCCGAGCATCCAGTGCCACCCACAAAGATGATGATGACGAAAGCCATTATTCTGTTGACTCTAGGGAGAGCGGACATCAAGAGCGCAAATCGGACAGTGCTACTGATGATGAAGGTCCTCCTACACCGCGAGCTCTAACGTCGAATCAGGCAGGACAAGATCTGGAGCGCAAAGAAAGCCATCGTATGTCTTTGCCTCAGTTTGCAGCATTACTAGGGGAGTCAGACTTTGGCTTTAGTATGGAGTCGTTCATGACTCCGTCGCCAGAAACCACTCAGGAGCCGGTGAAGCCCGTATTGTCATCTCAGCCGTCTTGGACGTCAGAGGTGCCAAGCGAGAAGTCATTTGCAGAGCAGATTATCGATCGACCAGTGACACCCGAAGAACAGCTCCAACCACCCAGGTTTCCAGGACAGTGGAACGACGCAGAAGACGAACCCAAGACGCCAGACTCTGTCATTCGTCACCCCATCGCACAGTCGCCCGCGCCTGACTCTCCCGGTGTGCCCGAGCCAGTCGCAACGATCAAAGCGCCGGGGAGCAAGCTGAAGACTCGGCCTTCTATCACGCCAGCTGATGTGCAGGCAATGGCTGAGGTCAGGCGCCAAGTAAGCAATGGAAGCCAGGTTCCAGCTGTACCCAAGATCCCAGAGCGACACTCGAGTCGGCCGTCTGTCGTTGCAGAATCTGATGAACCTCATTGTGACCCTGCAAGCCAGGTAGCATCCGTAGAGACTTTTGAAGAGCGAGACACGTCGAAGCCATCTAAACGAAAGAGTAGCCTGCTTCCATTGGAAGTCTCAGTGCAAGCTAGTGATGGCCTCGGATTGGGTATAGAGAGCGAATTTGATCGCGTGATCGAAGCCCAAAAGGTGGCGTTCAACTCTCCTACCCCTGACATGGCTTCCCGGCCATGGTCCCCTGGACACGCAGAACACATGCCTGGACAAGAGTTCAGACCATTTAGAGAGGGTTATGCTAACAAGACTTTCCGTACACAGAAAGGCTACTTGATGAGACAAAACACCAAAGTCATCATCGCTAGCAGCGCCTCCCATGAATCTGCCGACTCTGCCACCGAGACTCAGGATACTCAAGACCCTGCTGCGCGAGGCACGCGATCTGCAGGTAACTCTCCCAGAAAGCCAAGTCATACGCAGACCTGGACGGCAGAGCCATGGAACGGCAAAATCAGGCGTAAGAGTATTCGAAAATCAGGCGGCATACCCTCGAAAGCGCCAGGTAGTGGGCCAGCTCCTCCATTGCCCGGTCAGCATAGCAACGTAGCCAGCGGTCTTGGCAGCGTTACCGAAGACGAATCCATGCAGAATACAGAGGAAATTGGAGAAGATGGTGAAAGAGGCAGACTCTTTGTGAAGGTCGTAAGGGTCAAAGACCTAGACCTTCCTCTGCCGAAAGGTGTGATTATTTCAGAAATCCTTACGTTTTTTCACAGCTAACCACGACTGCAGGGGAGCGTTCATTTTTTGCTTTGACTCTCGACAACGGCTTGCACTGTGTCACTACGGCATGGTTGGAGCTTGGCAAGACCGCTCCAATTGGACAAGAATTCGAACTTGTTGTGCTGAACGACCTGGAGTTCCAGCTCACCCTGCAAACCAAGCTCGAAGAGCCAAAAGCCCAGCCTGTCGTCGAGTCTCCCACAAAGAGTTCCAGCCCTTCAAAACCTTCGACATTCAGTCGTGTTTTTGCCTCTCCGCGCAAGCGCAAAGAGCTTGAGATGAAACGTCAAGAAGAGGCCCAGCAGGCCGAGCGACAAAAGCAACAAGCCAGCAAACGAGTTGTTCAGCCTACCGCTTGGGATCTTCTACATGGTCTTGTGGCCAAAGATGGTAGCTTCGCACGTTCGTACGTTTGTCTCAAAGACCACGAAACCAGTGCATATGGCAAACCTTATACTGTGGATGTACCATGCTTCAACGAGTGGGCAACTGAAGATGCACATACCATGAGCAGCGTCAAGAGCAAGCGCAGCGCCATGAACGGTGGTGTCCAGCGTAAGGCGCCTTACCGAGTTGGCAAACTTGAGCTGCAGCTTCTGTTTGTACCTAAACCCAAGGATGCAAAGGATGAGGATATGCCGAAGAGCATGAACGCTTGCATTCGTGAGCTGAGGGAAGCCGAAAGTGCGACCCCTAAGAAATGGGAAGGTAATCTCAGCCAACAAGGTGGCGATTGTCCAGTAAGTCTTGGTCTTTCCTCAACGGATTTGAGCACAGCTGAACAGATGCTAGTACTGGCGGCGACGTTTCTTCACCCTTGATGGGTCCAAATTCACCGCTTACCATGAAGCTACGCGCCAACCCAGAGCCACCATCAATCTCGCCAAAGCCAGCAAGTTGATTGATGATAAGTCGGCTCTTATGCGCAACGATGTCCCCGCCAAGGGCAAAGGTCGGAGAAAATCTGCATTTGCTGAAGAAGAAGAGGGGTACATGTTTGTTGAGGAAGGCTTTCGCGTCCGCTTTGCCAATGGAGAGACCATCGATTTCTATGCTGATAGCGCCGCTGAGAAGGATGGCTGGATGAAGGTTCTCTCGGAAGTTGTAGGCAAAGACACCACTAAGCCTAAATCCTGGACCGATCTTGTTCTGGCAAAGCAACGCGCAGCTGCTTCACGGATCGAGCAGGCCAAGCAAGGACAGACCAAAACGTCTTCTGGTTCTGCCAAGCAGGCACCACCCCTGAGGTCTGCACCAGCCACGCCAGCAAAGCATTTCTCACATCCCATTGTCGCAACGCCGGCGCCGGACAAGAGCCCTAGACGTTCTGATATTGGGTCGAGGACAGCAGAAAGAGCGAAGACGAGGTCGATGATGTTTTGAACGGGTGGTAAAGCTTTTCGGAGTAGAATACTTAACGCCCAGCGTTTACTGTACAGCAGGTGTCCACCTGTACCGATACATGAGGGACTGTCTATGAGCTTCTTATGTCCGGCGTTATCTTATCATTTCGTTTTAGCAAATGATCCTCGCTCTGTACAATGGTGCTGGTGCTGCTGGTGTCTTGAGCTGCAAAGTATCAAAGCAGCCGGTAGTTTAAAAAAGCTCTTCCAATTCACTGTATTCACGATTCAAGCTTCCTAGCTCTACATCATGCTCGTTCATGATCATCGACAGAGCACGCAGATGCCCAAAACGTAGCTCGAAAGACATACTATTTCTTGCCCTTCTTCTTCCCCTTCGCTTGCCCGCCACCAGGCTTCTTCTCGGCGGCTTTGATGACCCCTTCCCCACCGCCTGCTTTGGCTTCGGCACCCTTCTCACCACTCATCCCTCCCTGCGTCTTCTCCGCTGCCTTCTGCCTGCCCTTCCTGCCTTTCGGCCGATAGGTGGATCGATCCTTGAGCGGCAACCACCGCTCGGGATCAGGCGTCTTCGATGGATCGTACTCCTTGGGCAATCTGGACTTGCGCACACGCTTTTTGGCGGGCTTGGGTTTCTCGTCCAGGGCGCGCTTGCGAGAAGCGGCTGTTGTGCTGGTCGATGGTAAAGAGGGCACGCCAGCTTCTTCGAGCGCCGCGACGTCTATGCCCACGGTGAGACGGGCGACCGAGGTTAAGGTGTCGGCTTCTGAAGACACCATTCCGGGGGAGGTAAGGGCGTGGGACGCCACATAGCCTGCTGTTGCAGATTTGGAACCCGGGTCTTGCGTGTGGAGGGTGGCGAATACATCGCGAGCTAGAGACTGGTGTTCTGGGTCTGAGGAGTTGAGGAGAGAGAGGCCTGCAGCCTGCAGGAGCGTCGTGGGAGGTTTCGATTTGTGACGCCAGTAGGACGCCGCTTTCGCGAGGGTAGTTTTGATTTGGGATTTCCGACCTTGGGAGGTGTAGAGGGAGACTTGGAGGGCCACTAGCCCTGGCGCGTAGAGGACGTCTTGATCTGAAGGGGTTTGAGATTCGGAGAGGCGTTTGAGGAGAGAATCGAGGACGGTTATTGCTGAGCCGTGATTGTTGGTCATGACGTAGAGCTGGATGATGGTCATGACGAGGCCGATGTCCTTTGGTCGCTTCTCGAGCAGTGGGAGTATTTGTTTGAGGCCTAACTTTGCGAGCTGGCTTTGGGCATGGGCGGCGGCGTTGAGGACGGATATGTTGTTGATGTGTGATGACAGCGTTGGGATAGAGTTAGAGAGAATGTTACCGGTGGCTTTGATCACGCCGTTAGATTTCGAGGCGAGGAGATCGAGAGCCAGGCCATTTTGTTGCATTCGCTCTGCTTGCAGGCGGAAAAGGTTGTCGGTTTTTGGCGGTTTTTCTGTGCTGTGGAAGAGGCGATGGGATAGATAGGGGTTCGAGGACGGAGACGACAGTGCCAGCTTGTTATTCTTGGCAATCTGCCTCGTGGAGAGATCTGGTATCCTAAATACGCATCAGCTGCTGCTGAGAAACCTCGTTGTAGGCCGTTCCCTTACTCTTCAAGTGCGATACCCGAGGCCAGCGTTTCTGCTTCTTCGGTTTTCCCGAGCATGCTGACCACATACAACTGTTGGACACTGATTGGGAGGAGTTCTGCGATTTTCTCTTGATCTGTGAGATCGTCGAGAGCATTACAGAGATCTGAAAGCACATCATGAGCTTGTTCCACAATTTGGGCAGCAATACCCACCTCTTGCTCTCTTCAACAGCATCTCTCCCTGACCAAGCTCCCCTCTAGCAATTGATCCACAAGCCGCATTATAAGCTGTCTCGAAGGCTTCTAGGTCCTCCCTCCCCAGCTTCTTCTTCTGCACCAAATCCCCTCGCCTCGTCCACTCCAACTGCGCATCCGTAGCTCCGCTATTGATCCTGAGGTCATTCTCTTCGCTCTCATTGGCCGTCTGGCTGCCAGCCAAATTTCTGTAAAGTGCCGCAGCATTGGCAAAGTCCTCTGACCGATATGACTACACCATTTGTGAGCACGAGCCCACCTTCTCTTTTTGGAAAGGGAACACAAACAGCTTGAGCCTCGACATGCCTCGCTCCTCTTTCCTCAGATATACGCTTCGCAGCGATCTTTGCCTCTTCAAAATCTCCGATTTTGTATAGCGCATACGCTCTTTCAGTGGGTACTCTTTGCTTTAATCGATCCCCGCCTTCTTCAAGCACCCGCAGCGCATCGTTGTAGCGGTCCAGTTTGACGAGTGCCACGAATTTGACATGTTGGAGCTCTAGATCACCTTTCGAGTGTTTCAAAGATGCATTGCAAGCTTTTAGGACTTCCTCGTGGTCGTCAATCGAGGTCCGCTGGAGCAGCGCACTCAGTGTATTTGCAGCGGTAGCCATTCCGGCCTTTCCAGGAACACTTATCTCACGGTGGGTCACCGCTGCATCGCATCTCCTTTGAGATTATTCCAGACCTGTTTCTCTCCGTCTCCCCAGATCCAGTTGTCGCAAGTAGTCTTGGACTGTGCAGATGGTCAAATAGCGGCGGACTTTTGCTAACCGCGTCTGCCCTACAAGTACTCCGTACAGAGACTCGCTTAAAAAAAGAAGTACTCGGAGAGCAGCTCATATCTAACATTACTTCCGGGCAATTATACATATACTACTATTCAAAGTCGAGATATCTCTTTGAGTCCTTCAGTTTCATTACTACTAATAGATTTACTATTCCTCATACCTCCCGCCCACAATGGCAAAATTAGTACTTTCCAACCAGCCTTTCAAGTACTCATACACGGTAAATGTAACAGCCTGCCCTGGCGCAACCCTCATAATCCGAGGTGTAATCCCCTTGTAGAAAGCATGAAACCCTTCTTGCTTGAACATGTCGCTTGCAATGACCTTGACTCGACTTATCGCCGTTTCCCCCGGTTGGCTAGGGGTTTTCTGTAACCTTGTCTTGATCGTGTCAATTGGCGCATTGCTCAGTGGACCCATAGCACCGCTCACTAGGCCGATGAACATTGTTTGGTAGCTTGGAAGCTCCTTGTCATGATATGCCGGCTGATAGTTTTGCAGAAATGACTTGAACTTCGTGTAGGCGCTAAAGTTGACAGCCTGGTTTGTTCCCTGGCGCAAGGCGGTAAGAGATACTCCACGGTACATGGCCCCAATTCCTTCCTCTTTGAGGACGGTGTATGCGGCGTGCGCAGCATTGCGGTATTTGGGAATGTCCAATGGATCGGCCATTGAGTGATGTTGCGCTTGCAGTCGAATCTTGATGACTTCCATGGGAGTCACAACAGCAACTGCTTCAGTTACGCCAGCTGCAAGCCCAGCTGGAAAACATCAAGATTGGTCAGCTCCAGCTTGCTCAACGACCTTTATGGGAAGTACCGGGGACCCTCACCGAAGAAGGTTGCCTCCCCACTCACATGCCCGTCCTTGCTTACAAGCAATTGCTTGTACCACTCGTAGGATGTAAAGCGTATTGCCATCTTGGGCACGATGCCTGTAACGACGGCCCCAAGGCCTTTGTACAGACCCAAGGGCGTTTCCCGGTTCACAATCTCTTTGCCTGTGGTGTAGAAACCGCGTGGTTTTGCCTACTGGCCTATCAGGATACAAGCTCCCCTTGAATAGATAGACTTTCTCACTCCAGGCGCTCGTTTTCTCCGCGAAAGCTGCATCCGCACCTTAATGGTATCTGGATCGCTAAACCTTAGCGTTTGAAGGCAATGATCCACGCAACTGACCTAGGGGATGACAGGCCAGTGCCTCCATCATGCCAGCAGCACCACCAGCTGCAGTGGCAGGTCAGTAGACAATTGAACTGCGTCGACAACGTTTTTCCATACCAATCAAATTGGTGGCCGCCGAAGCAGGCTTCTTCGCTCCCGGCCCTTTAACGCTTTTTGCGGACATTCTGAAGAGTGCAAGCAGACGCAGAGAAAATTGGAGGGCAGGAAGATAGAGGACCGAGTGATAAGACGACCAAGAGACTTCAGCAGTAAAGAGACCTCGAAAGAGAATGGCTGTAGGCAAGCAAGTAGTGAAAGCAAGGCTCGACACGCGTGATCATGTTGGTCAATGAACCAGAAATGTATGAAGAGCACAGAGTGACACGAAAGCTTGACTCCAGCACGGAAAGTCAATCTGGCGAACCGCGGCAAGTTACGAGGTCGGAAGCTATGTCCGATGTGGGGTTTCAAAGCTCCATGGCTTGAATTGAGGATTCTCCGCCGTCAGGACGAGCGGAGGAGTGGCGTCTCGACCAGAGGCGGTAGCATTGGCAGACCACACAAAACCATTCGTACTCCGGTGGTCCGAAAAGTGCCCGGGCAAGAGACGAAGGGGCTTCAGGTGCACGGGCATCGTACAGCACCACAGTTCACTCATTGAATGCTCAATGGTGCTTGCCTGAGAGGCTTAGACATCAACAAACAGAGTGCGGATTGAGAATGTTGGTCCTACTAGCGCCTTTTCCAGGCCGAGGCAATTGTTTTGGCTGACTTTGCACGACCAACGATTGACGATTTCGCGAGGTCAGCAGGCCTCTCCTCTAATATTGGTACCATGCAGTCCGGCATAACCGTTTCAAAAGAGCTGCAAGACGCCTTTAACGAGCTGGTCTCCACCCCGAGCCAACGCGGCATCGTAGCAACCATCTCCTCCGAGGCCCTCATCCCCCAGCACACCCTTCCCTCCAAGTCCACCGATTTCTTCAGCGATCTACCTGCTCTTACACCACTCCTCTCCACCACCGCAGCCTCCTACATAATCCTCCGGCGGTATCAGAATGCACCGGATGGCTATGTTGCCGTCACTTACATCCCCGATACGGCGCCCGTCCGGCAAAAGATGCTTTTCGCCGCCACACGGTTGACGTTGGTGCGCGAATTGGGCACGGAGAGGTTCAGAGAGTCTCTTTTTGTGACGGAGATGAGGGAGCTGGAGAGAGAGGGGTGGGAGAAACATGATGCCCATGGGGCCTTGAGCGCGCCATTGACGGAAGAGGAAGAGAATCTGAAGGGGATCAAGGAGGCTGAGGCCGAGGCAAAGGGAGGAACGGAGGGAAGGAGGTTGGAGACGGGCGGTAAGCTGAGCATTGCTACAAGCACGGAAGCGAGAGAGGCACTAGGTATGTTCAGGGTAGGGGAAGGAGGGAACTTATTGCAATTGGTATGCTTGTGATCTGGCCGTTTGGGCATTTGGGAAGGCTGATGATTACGTTGTACAGAACATCAATGTCAAGGACGAGACAATTGAGCTCGTGGGATCGAGCAGCACAGACGCTGATGGGTTGGCTTCGGCTATATCCGACACGGAACCTCGGTACTCTTTTTTCAGGTATTCGCACCAGGTAGAAGGAAGCGAGCAGACGCCCATAGTGTTCATATACACCTGCCCGTCGGGGTCGAAGATCAAAGAGCGTATGGTGTACGCATCAACCAAGCAAGGTTTCCTGGCTTCTATGAGCTCAGAGATGGGAGTCGAAATCGCGAAGAAGGTGAGCAAGGTGGAGCAAGAACCCGGTGCTTTGGCAATAGCGACTGATATGCAATCTTTAGCTCGAGGTCTCGAGTCCTACCGAGATCACTGCTTCAACTTTAGAAGAGGAGTTTCGGCCCAAGCAGGAGCAGAAGCAGGGCTTTTCGAGACCCAAGAGGCCTGGGAAGAGGTGACCGTGAAGCCAATACTAGCATGGCATAGCCATGGGAATGCATTAGGGCTCTTGAATGTAACATAGCATGCTTTCAGCCCATGCCTAGTCACTGATTAAGCAAACGTCGTCTTTGAGCCCAACGCAGAACACGCAGTGAATGCAACGATGTTTGGACCCTGGGATGAAATTCACTCTCAAGATAATGTCGCCCAAGCGGGCTCGAATAACTCCTGGAAGTTGACAGCAATAAGCTTTTCACGGTTGTTGCTAGCTTATGGAGCGAACCACAATGCACGCCGGGCGTGACAAGGGTATCCTTCCAGCACTTCAAGACGTCGGCCTCAACGGCACAGATCACGTGTAAAACATTTGGCCCAGAGTCGCAGAGTCGGTGCCTGTTACCCAGGCAGCGAGGAGTCAGATGTGGGCCGCTCCATCAGGTGTGGGTCAGCTGCGTTGTCTCGCAAGCGGTGACACTTGACCCTCTCGCCTTTGTACAGGGACTGGTCAAGGTCAAGGGTACCGAGAATATCTCGAGATTTGGCGCTCACCTCCTCATGGGCGGATCAGCTGTGCGAAAAAGCACTGTGCGAGAGTTTGAGAGGCGATTGGAGGGAACAATATATTTCCTTTTAAGTGATCCATCTGACTACGATGTGGAGACTTTGAAAAGGACAACCCGGCCGTCAGTCTTCATACATCACACTCCAAACCATCCAATTGTCCAAAGCAGTAGTCCACATACCGTCAATGGACAACGACCCTCATGCCCTTCGAATTGGCCCTGTAGCAGGGATTGAAGAAATCATGCGCAATTTCTACATCTGTAACGTCCGTCTCATATAGCTCGAACCGGAACCGATTTGGGGCGAAAATGGCAGCGAGGGTGAGGTAGAGCTCGCAGTATGCGAGACTGCGGTTGAGATACTCGGTCAGTGGTCTAACTTCATCGTCGCTAAACGGTGGGCGAGATTCTGTCTAAAGACGGGGGACATACTTCATGCCAAGACATGATCGAGATCCTTTACCAAATGGAACCAGGTATTTGCGCAACTGAGTCTTGGAAGGTTGAAGCCATCGTTCAGGCTGAAATGAGCGGGGATTTGGGAAGAGGGAGGGGTCATCGTGGAGCATGACTGAGGTCATGCCTACAGGCGTCTGAACAAGGTCCGCCTAAGTCAATCCCGGTAGAGTAGCAATGATGAAGCTATGGAGAACGAGCCAAACGTACATTCATTGGAATTTTCCAACTCTTGTACTGCAGGGCGGTGTCTGGAAACATTCGTTGAAGCCGATGGGAGACTCCATAACCCCATCTACTTACGATTAAGCCGATTTCCCATCGAGCTTTCCAGCCTAACCAGGAAGGAGGAAAAGACTCACCTCAAAGCTTCCTGAATACAGGCAGTCTAAAAAGGTGTGAGATCGTGTGTCTGCTTAATGAAATATTGAGGAAGAAAGGCAAAACGTAAGGAATATCCCACCATGTAGGGCAGTTGCTCAAGCTCGCTCCACCTCGGCTGCGAGTCTGGCTGCGGCATTACGCTTTCGAGCTCGTGTTGTAATTTGTTTAAGATTCCTGGATTGTGAAGTATGTGGAATGCCAATACCGACAGCGTGTGCGCAGTCGTAGTTGTCCTGTTAAGCAGCCTTAGAACAGAAATCCCATATGGCATTGGGAAACATGAATACCCAGCAGCAACAACTGATAGTGCTTCCGCCAAAAGACGCTCGGTCTCTTTATCCTGAGGTCTTATTTGATCATTCGTGAGGATATCATATATAATGGTCCTCCGGCCGCTGGGCTTGCGCCCTTCGGCGTGCTCTTTCTTGATTTCTAACACCTGTGCCCGGATCGTCTGCCAATCGTCAACAAGGCATCTCACCGAGCGGACACCAACTGAGACAGACATCTTGCATGCCAAATAAAGATGATAATTTAGGACTGGCCATTTTGATAAGCGATGGAGGAATGCTTCGCATCATAGGTTCCAGCCATTCAAACTGCTTGAAGACATGGGATGTTTCCGAAACTTCCATCATCAACTGATGCCAGTGTGGAGAAAAATCAGGGCTTCGCATGAAACCAAACGGGCGTGCAAAAGCATATTGACTGATCACATCACCTGTGAGAGAGGTAAAGACATCAATCATATTGACATTGCTGCCAGCTCCTTGGACGGTTCGTAGACGTGCCACAAGTTGGTCGACGATAGACTGGACTGAAGGTTCCAAATGATATACGGAAGCTTTGGAGAAAAAAGGCGCCAGGGCTGCGGCTCGGGTGCGGTGAAGTTCGTCTACGCAGATTTCGGAGTCAGCACTGTTTATTCGAGCTAGGAAATGGAGTTGCAAGACAGGTCTGGGGGAGAGAAAGGTCTTCTTGCGACTCAATTTCTTTACCAAACAGAAAGAAGCAGCTCCGAAATGTACGTACGGCTTTCGGTTGAGAAGGTCGCAATGGTTGGACCAAACCCTTTCATAGACCACTGATATTTCATAGACCTCCGGATAGAAGTACCTACGTATAGCTCATCATAGTAGCTGTTCTATGGTCAGTGGTGAGCCGAGTTGCCTCAATGGTCTGGCGGGGCCTGACTCAGGGTCATTGATATGCAACTCGTAAGGACTGATGCGTATGATGGGGCCTCGAAGTTTGCGTTAGCGAGCGTTACATCGACGTCCACGATGGTGAGAGCGAAAGAAGCGAACCGTGGCGCTCATGCAACTCTGCGATCTTCCATGTGTAGCGACCTCGCTTGATAACATCATAGTAGAACTCGTACCACAACGTCAAAGCAGCCAGCTTCGGCCCAGGAAATCTCGCAAGAGGGCTAAGATACAGGCGGTAGACGGCTAAAGAGATGCAATATGCGGAAAATGTGAGAAGTGCAAGGAGGAGATTGTGAAGTGAGAGGAATTCCATGTTGGCGATATTCGATTCGACCATGAAGCAGCACGAAGATTAACGCCGACGTCAGTAGATGACGGCGCGGGAAGTTATGAAGGAAGAGGGTGATGCTTTTTAAGCATTGTGTTGATGCGTTGACACCTCCTCCCACCTCTCACACGCCTCTGATGGTAGGATACTCTACATATTCTATCTCTAACCAGGACCGTCCTAACCGTTACGATAAGGCTCGGATAATCAAACGAAGGATTCGGGCGGCATTAGATTTTCTAATGTGATTCGGCAGAAACCTTTGGCTCGTGCATGTTAAACCTATGGCTTGGCTTGACCTGACCAGCAGGGTTATTAGACGTAGCCTTCAGTCCTTTTTCACATTTGGTGGACTGTACCTTACGAAGGATGGTACCTAGTGGAGGCTACAGATAAGCGTGACGGGCGGGCCAAAAATAGATAACCCGCCGTGACTAGGTACTGACTAGGCAAAGTATTTTAGGTATTTTACTATTTTCTGCACATCGTCGACCTAGGTAGCCAACTTGCTTCCACCCCACTACCACCCCACTACCACCCAAATAACAATGATAATAATAATAATAATACTACTACTACACTGATGACCAAGGCTACACACTTCCAGTTGGCACAAATAACAAGCACAAGTACAAGCGAAATGCTTGATGACATAGATAGGATAATTATGCTTTCCTAATTATGGCTGTGCTGGATGATGTGCCTATTTATTTACGTGCTGACTTGCTGCGCTTTTACCTTCAGGACTACATATGATGATGATGATGACCCATCTGCCTTGTCCTTGTCCTTGCCCTCGTCTCCGTCCTCCTCGTCGTCCTCGTCCCCTCGACAATCATCCATGACCTTCCCGCTCTTCCTTTCCTCTTGATCATAAGCGTTCCAGCTCATGCTGGATATATACACTCGGCAGCCTGTCCTTTCCACTCCTATATCCCCCTCCCACCCAAAGCTCTGATCTCCTTTCCAGCTTGACCTCATGGCGACGTCCGCCTTAGAGCTCTCGCATGCTATTGATCTTTTCCTCCACAAAGACCGCACTTCATATTTCGATACTGATGCAACAGAGTCTGTCACATCGCAAGAGACTACTGCACTTCCTCCCTTACTCCCATCTTTCCATTGGGACCTGCAAACGACATGCAAGCCAATGCTTCCCGCCTTTCAGTACATCTCTCACAAGCTCTATCAACGCGAACTTTCCGTCGCTCTCATCATTTCCGATCACGAACCCCACGTTATACCGGTGTGGCCTCTCCCACGGAGATCTCAGCTCATATTCGCCAAGATCATCCGCAAAGCATGCAGGAAGTTCGGCCTAGAGCCCAGCTGGTTGACAGCGGTCGCTTCAGTCTCCAACAAATGCCTACCAAAGGTCTTCGAAGCGTACCAGCCAGACTCATATATCGTACGGAGGTCTATCGTTCAGAACGATATCATATTCAGCGACGAAGGCCTCACCTTGCTAAGCATGGACAATATCTACACATTCAAGCAGTTGCTCTGCACTCTTTCCAAGCCAGATTGGGTCGCAAATTCCCGTGACGTGTGCCTCTCTTCCTGTGTCCATCTGCTACAGCGAATCAACGAAGTCTACACAGATCCAAAATTGTCAAGAGGGTATTTAGCACGAGTGTACAAAGAAGTGGAGTTTAAGCAAAAAGCGTTTGAGGAAGTGACTTCTGCATTCTCCACAAATTACTGCACGGCAAGCATTAGAGATGTCACGATGCTTGAACCGGACTACACTGCTTTGACGGACATGGCTCTTGACTGGGAAAGCGATGACGATGGAGACGCTGCGGAACTACCAGACACATCCACCACCCGCGATCCCAGCAGTGACTCCGATCAGATAATCAGCCCAATAGCAACAGTCGACCTAAGCACGCTCGACTCATGGGAAACGGATACACCCCCGCCAGCCGATATGATCAGTCCTCTAGAAGGAGTCAGATACCCAACCATCCAAAGACCATCCTCAGTGCGCGAATCCCTCGTCGACCCCATGGCGCCTTGGTCCTTTCCCATACCTCCACCCTTACGATCTCTGAAGAGCCGACGGGCGATAGAGAGACAGAACGCCGAGCCGCCCGCGCCTGCTTCGGCACCTTTGCGACGGGCGTCCGAGGGTGACTCGCAGCCGCCTTCGAAGCCGACGGATTCCTGGAGTTCGTCGGAGGTCATGCAAAGTCCACTGGGATGGTTGGAGAGTTGGAGTACCAATGCGCCCAGTCTTCTGTGCCAAAACTGCCACGATACCATCAATTTCGACGTGGGAAGGAGGTTTACGCTTGCTTGAGCATATACCACGTGACCATACGTCGTTGCGAGAGAAGAAGGCCCTACGAGAGACGCTAAACGATGTGTACGATCACTGTGATTTGGTATGAGGAGTGTTGCAAAGGGACTGGCGATCTAATGGTTTTCTTGTCTGTATATAAACTCCAAAAAATATAGGTTGAACGTTGTATCGATATCATGATCTGGTATTTGAGAATGTCCAAGTGGTGAACGGTCGCCAAACTCTCATCGACTCTACTGAGGAATAAAGGCTAGATTTAAGTACTCACAAATGACTTTTCGTCTCCTCCGCCCGCTCAAGCCATTCCCTAACCATCCCGTTGACTTCCACCGGCTTCTGCCACAAAGCCCAATGGCTAGCCTCCACCTCCTTCCTCGTCAAATCCGGAACAAATCGCTCCATACCGTCCGACAAACTCGGTGGTAACGCTGCATCGTTGGTCGCCTGGATGAACAAGACCGGTATATCGACAGTCTTCTTCTCAAGTCTGTGAACAATATAAGTACACGCGTTGGATGTCTGGGTATGTCTGAACGCTTACTGCAGCTCGTCCTGGAAATTTTGCTCTCGGTTCCTGTACCAGCACACTCCACACCTCTCAGCAACCCATCACACCTCCACACCTCAACTGGAAAACTCACGCGTCCCTCGCATCCCATGCCTCTCATACTCCGCCGCGTAGAACTCCAACAGCTCCTTCCCCACCAACGGCGTCCTATTCAACCTCGGCAAATTCTCATACAAAGGCCCCTCCGTGTGACTGAAGCCGGCCTCTCCGTCCGGTCCTTGACCCCCGTAGACGGAATTCAGAAACTGCTCGATTTGCGCCTTGGACTTGATGCGTTCTTCGACCTCGCCGCTCGCGAGATGCAGTTGATATCCCCAGTTCGGCATGCGCGTTCGCACCATGGTCTCGAGGGGCGTGTATGTCTTGCTGGGGGGCCAGTAGGGCGTGCAGACGGCGAAGAGGCGCGAGACGAGTTTGGGGTGCCAGAGTGCGGTTCGGTAGGCGATGGCTCCTCCCTTTTCATTTACAGTGAGCCAAAAGCACCTTCCGTACCAGAACGTTACAGACAGGCGGACTCACCCAATCATGCCCTCCCAGGATGATGGTCTCACAGCCCAACTGCTTAGCTAACTCCATGATGTCATCAGCAGCGCGCTTGAAGCTGTAGTAAGCCATGTCCGATGCTTGGTTGATTTGGGGGGCGTCGGTGCGGCCGAATCCCATGAGGTCGGGACAGACGACTCTGTAGCCCTGCCCTAGGAGCATAGGAATTTGGTTGCGCCAGCCGATGGAGAGGTCGGGCCACCCACTGGATTGAAATCCCGCAATCAGTATTGCCTATTCTAGGGACGCTTCGCGAGTAAGATCTCCCAGGGCATGTCTTTTGACTCAAGATGTCGTCCAAACGAGGAAACATGAACTCCGAAATCACTTACTGAACCTTTCCACGCAGTCAGTCGGCTGTTCCAGGGAATGGCAGAGTAACAAAATTTAATTATACCAAGAAGATGGTCGCTTTATATCCCGCTGAGGGGACGCCGAGGAGGTAGTCTGCAGACGTTGGGTCAATTGGATAAATCAGCGTATGTAGTTCTCGAGCTGACATACGGTAGTTGCTGCCATTGAGTTGAGCGTAGCAATGGCTTACTCTGGGGTCGTTGATTGGGTCAATAGAATCCATGGTAGTTTTGGTTTCAAATGAGAACAGTGAAATGCCCGTGCAATGATGGGTCCGGGTAACACTCGAGAGATGCTTTTGGTCGAAGACAAGAACAGAGGAACCCCGCCCCACCTCAGAAAACAACCGAGGCAAAGGATTCGGAGCGATCAAAGTTCCTCTTTTTTTGAATTATGAAAACCCATTGGCATTGAAATCTTCGAGCGTGAGATCATCCGTAGTTATATCATACGTATCAACACAAGCAAGGTTGCCCCTCCGCCCCCCCTCCCCCATAGTAGCCTTTTACCTTTCATCTCCCTATGCACAAGTGTTCCTTAATTCCATGTCTTCAATCTATACAGGCCGCGTGGAAGTTGCTAGGAAAATAATCAGTAGATCACTGTATCTTCCTCTCCTTCAAGCACCTCTTCCCCGTTATCTCCAAGATCCTTTACGGCCTCAGATGGCTCAGCAGGCGTTTCTTTCTCTCCAGACTCCATTGAAGCAACAGTATCGTTCATATTAGTATCTTCAGATATTTGGGGACTGGAATGCTGTTCTCCGTTAGTAGCAGCACCCACCGTGTCCACCGCCCGAGCATCCTCTTCTTTGGTTTCAAAAGGACCTGCGCCGTCATTGGTTGATGGCGGGGCTTCGTCGCTCGTGACTGCGTTATCGATGTCCCACTGCTTAGCCTCTCTTTCGATGAACTCTTCCGCTTCTTCGACCTGGGCTTTGATCTTCTCTTCGTCGCCTGGCGACAGCTCCCACGGCTTGTAGTACTATGAATATGAAGGATTAGAGCAGAACTCATTATCATCTTTGACTTGTAAAACTTACAAGCATAGGCTCAGCTCTTGTACGTAGGAAGTGTGCTCGGGCCAGCATATTTGAATGCCGTATTTGCATCTGTTAGCTCGCCAGCATACCGTTAGAAAAGAAATTCCCCATACTATTGCGCGAAACTTACAGATTGTTTGTCAAACTTCTTCTGCTCTCCCCGGCGCACCACCAAGAGAGCCTCCAGCTTCTGCTTCTTCTTCTCGTCCTGTTCTTCCGCCTGTAGCTTTAGCTTGGCCTGCTGCTTCTTCTCAATGTCCGTGCGGCGCTTTTGTGCTGTGGATGATGAGCTCTGGGATAACGTGCCGAGCAGAGCGCCAAACAGTCTTTGCCCGCGTTTGCGTTCCTCCATCTGTCCGCTCCTTCGTCGTTCTGATTGCGGGTTCGTCATGGTGTCTGGTCTGCTTCCATTCGTGTCATAATGGCCGAGTCGGGGCCTTTTTGAGTGGTCATCTGAGAACGAGGATTGTCTTCGTTTGAGAGCTGCTGGTGGGGAGGGGGTTTGCTCGGACTCTGGTAGAATGACCGCCGAAGCAACAGCTCTGTAAGTAGACGTGATTAGTACGACTTTCGTCGAGTAAAAATCCAACATGAGCTTACAGTGGTGCTTCCGCCATGATAGAGGAGCGTTGGAAAATTTGCGTTGAGTTGTGTGATGTAGTAGCAAATGGAATTAAATCAACGAGCCTCGAAGCACTTGAAATTCAGAGCTCCATAGAATAGGGCTGATCGTCTCGGATATATTTCCGAACATATTTTCCGACTAGAGAGCTAGAACATGGCTGACAAATCTGCACTTAACGCCTTTCCATCCTTCTTTCCTTTCCACACATCCCCAACCACCTCACAGCGAGAACTCCTCGAGTTCCGCCAAGATGTCTCGCCATCATCCGTAAGTCTTGCTCGTCCGCTTCTGTCATACTTCAAATGTTGACAGCCAGCACAGCGATCTAGTAATGTGCCGCAAGCAACCCGGCATAGCAATCGGTCGTCTCTGCGATAAATGTGACGGCAAATGCCCCGTTTGCGATAGCTACGTTCGCCCTACAACACTCGTCCGTATCTGCGACGAATGCTCCTTTGGCAATTACCAGAATAAGTGCGTGGTATGCGGCGGAGAGGTAAGCCTCCTATTTCCGTATCTTGCTTGGAGGGACAGAGGCTAATGGAGATGTGGGAACAGGGCATCTCTGACGCATTCTACTGCTTCGAATGTACCAGACTGGAGAAAGACAGGGATGGGTGTCCGAAGATTATCAACCTGGGCAGCTCAAGGACCGATCTGTTCTACCAGAAAAAGAACTTTAGGAACCATTGATAGGGTCATGTTGCTAAACCACCATCGGAGCCAGATTTGAAGCGGAGAGAGGAGTGATGGACAACATGGATTCGAGCTCTGTCCCTGGCTCTGGACCACGAAGGATGGAAAGGGTAGAAATCTGCATCATATCATTGTCATTGCTTCCGCCTTCTAGGCCTTGGATGACGATCGGATTCCTGCGCTTAGCGAAGGTGGAAAAGGATGGAGTTTTGCTTCCGTGCAACGGACGACGGTGTCCCTACGGGAACCCTCTGTCGCCGCATTTCGAAGGCGATCTTGTCCAACAGCTCAGGAAGTCAGAGACCGATAGTTGTGTCTGTTCAGGCGATGGATATGGAACTTTGTGCTAGAAGTCGACATTACTCTCAAAGAGAACTCATGGTTAGGGTTGACCAAGGTGGAGGAGGTAGAAGGAACAATTAGATCACTCATGGTGAATTAAGCTCCATATTTCAACAAAGCTGCGGATATCTTGCATGCTCTGAACTGACTTCCGAAAGCCAAAATACACAATAAAGGGTCTATGCCATCATACATCTGTAACCACGTTCGACCACATCTAAAGATAGCTAACTTTTACTCCCATTCCTACTGTCCTCTTGACCTTGTCCCATCCCGCACCTGTCAGTCTACCGAGCCTATTTTTGACATCGCGCCGGCTGAATGCCACTATCAAGCCTATCAGGAAGAGCACGAATCGAAGCAGAGACATTGGATTCTGAGACATTTGTTCTGGCATGTTCTTGATCAGCTGCTGGAGAGCAGATAAGACTGCAGCGCTGCGCTTGTAGATACTGCTATTCTTGGTTGGCTTTCCGGTCGATTTTATTGGTGGTGAGCGGGAAGTTGTGGGTTGTACAGCTTTGGCGGGCTTTGAGTCAGCTTTTGGAGGTACTGGCTGGAATCTAGGAGCATCTGGTGGAGCGCGAGGTTTGTCAATGCCGTAATCCTGCTCGCCATCTGACCTGTGATGAGTTACTGATGGTTCCTGCCGTAGTGTCTCCATACTATCCGGCCTCGTCTCCTCGACCGGCAAGGGTTCTTGCTCGGTCAGCTCGTCTTGTTGGGGCAAAGCGTCTTCGAAGTGATCTTGACCCTTGTTATCCTCGTCCTCAAGGGTTCGCAGTGTTTGTAAGAATTCTTCGCGAACTTCCTCGTCTAGGACCTCACTCATGTTGATGAAGTCGCGGGCGTAGTTCCACTCTCCTGTGCGAGGCAGCACGTGAAGGGTGAAGAGTTCTATGATCCTTACTCGAGCAATCAGATCTCGCGTAGTATCCGTTCCACCGCTTTGAGAGATATGACCATCATGCGGAGCATAGGAGGGATTCAAAGCTTTGAATCGATCCGTCAAGTCAAGGCTCGGGTGGCTCGATGCGGAAAGGTATGACTCGAGGTGTCGTTGATTGCCCGCCTGTATGGTAGATTGGGCTAGTAGAAGCGATGCTAGATTGAAGACCACGTCTGCATCGACATTTCCCTCCATACCACCATAACCTATGTCAACAACCTCATCCCATATTGTCCCCTCTTGAGCCTTGGCGACAAGGTTCCTCCATTCCCTGCCTCCAAATTCTGTCTTCCCATTGTCCGGGCCTAACTCGGCAACAGCGTTGAGCAAGCTAAGATAGAAACTCCACACCTTGATCCTCAATCTTGGGCTTGCTCTAGCGATTGGGGCGACATTAGCAGTCGCTTCGTCGTTGGGTGCAACATCCTGGGGGTGGGGAACAGTGATCAGTGGCTCAATGATTGACAGAGCTTCAGCAAATCTGCGAGTTACGAAAAGAGCCTCGGCCTGTTTATACACCTTTGATATCTCTGATTTGGCTTTGCGTGGTGAGGATATTGAGCCGACTGAAGAGCCAAGGAGTCGGGATGTCGCTAGCGCTTCCCCTGTAGTGTCTATGAGCGCTGTAGATGACCCATTCATTCTATTGCGTGGTGGCCTGGGTCACTGGAAAAGGTCGATGCCCGCAAAGGACTGGGCAGTCAAAAAGGCCGCCAACAGAGTATAAGGAGGCTGGGTGTAAGAAAGACAGGGATTTTTAGCGGACGGTTGTGGCGCCGATCTGATTAGATTAGATCTCTCCTACTCGAACTTACATGTAATCGACCCCATAAACTTAGTGTTCTATTTCTTCCGTGACACAAAATCAAGCATTACTCATACAGATCACCTGTGTTGGAATATTGAAGTCACTTTGACGCTTTGGTATCGGTGAAGTTTTCGGGAAAATGCAGTGGTGGGAGTCCAACGTGTCTGCACATGAAACGAGGAGCGCTCTTTCTAAAACAATCAACACAAACACTGTCTGGATGCGCGCATCAATGTTGTTTTGCTAAGTCGCATTGATTTATCACCACCTCACATTTTCTTTTGTATTGCAACTACGGCTCTGATATCACAGAAAGTATGGACGTCACTGGCCATACTTTCCAGAGCCAGCTCTTCTCTATCCTGGGAGCTATCTCACGTTCCCATTTCGTTTCCTTTGATCTCGAATTGTCAGGCATACCCAGCAAACAATTCAAGTCTAAGCCTACAGGGCAGAGTGAAGATGGAAAGCAAACGCTTCAGCAAAGATACAAAGAGATTAAGGCCGCCGCTGAGCGGTACCATGTCCTGCAATTGGGCTTGACGTGCGTGGAAGAGGATAGAGATCGAGGTACGCTTAAGAGCGCAATGTGGAATGTTGATAGGGCCTAATCGACTCTAGGGGTCTATGTTGCGCGTCCATACAACTTCTATTTAAATCCCGTGCCGGACAAGAAGTTAAATGTTGAGCGGGATTTTTCATATCAGAGTGGTGGTAGGACATCCCACAGCGTCGAAAGACGGTTGGCTGACGAGCCCAGCTGTGGAGTTCCTTCTTGGGCATGGATTTCGCATGGAGGCTCCGTTTCTGGAAGGCGTACCGTATTTCTCGAGAGAAGAAGAGGCAGCGTCGAGAGCCGCTGAGGTTGCGAAGCGGGACAGGAATAGTTTTGCGGACATTTTCATCCGGGATGAAGACACCGAGTCGCTGGAATTCATTCAGAGGGTGAGGCAAGAGGTCACGGACTGGCGGAATCGCAGTACAGTAAGGTCTCTGCTCCAATCATAATTCCAAGAGTTCTTCACTTACGTACCTCCTAGCCTGAGCCTTCTTACCTGAACATCGCCCCAATCAATTCGGCCGCGGTAGCCTACAACGGCAGGGGCCTCAATGGATACCAAAAACGCCTAGTCCACCAGCTCGTCCGCGCCGAATTCCCAGATGTCGTTTCCCTCTCGAAGCAAGACTTCGTACAGTTGGTTCCTTTCGACCAAAAGCGTGAAGATGCTCAGCTACAGCGAAAGATTGCGTGGTTCGAAAATAACCTAGTACGCCAGGTAGGGATGAGGTGGCTTGCGGAGGCTATGTGCCCAGATGTCGACCAGGTCCTCCCCAAAGAATGTGTGCCGCCGTTTGCCTCTAGCAATCTCGCAGTGTTAGCAACCTCGACGTATCCGCCCATGGATATGACGGATGAGGAACGAGGAGCTCATATCCTTCGATTTGCCGAGCTTTGTAAGACACTCAAGGACAAGCGGACCGTTCTCGTTGGACACAACCTGTTCTTGGACTTGATATACTTTTACACTTTCTTTTTCGGTCCACTACCTGATCGAGTGGAGGGTTTCCAAAAGACTATCGCACAACTATTCCCACTCGTGTTCGACACCAAATACCTTGCGGACAAGATCAACGACAATTCTCCTCTCTACAAGTCGTCTCTTCAGGAAATAGACCAGGAGCTTTCCAAGCTTCCCGTTCCGATCATAGGTATGAACTTTAAACGCGTCCTTGAGGGCCCTCTTAAACTAGATATACTGACTGTTGGATACAGAAACGCCACTCGGGCACAGCAAATATCTCTCGGACTCCCCGTTCCACGAAGCAGGCTTTGATAGCTTCACAACAGCTAAAGTGCTCATCCGCCTTTCTGCCAGAATCGAAGGAGAGGCGAAAGGAGACGAGTCACCATCATCAGAGGAGGAGATATACTACTCAGCATCAGAAGATGGCAACCTCCCTTCCGATCTAAATGACTTGCTAACCCGGAAATCGATCTCGGACGAAGATGCCTTGAAGCGGCGAAAGCAGATTGCTCGGGTGTTTCAGAAACGCGCCGCGATAAAGACTCCAGCAGAAACGCAGGCCGCGATAGAAACTCCATCAGAAACGCAAGACGCATTGGATAGGCAAGCTGCGCTCTTCAGAGACTTAGGCCTTGACGATCAGGAGTCCCGGTCAGGAACCCAAACGAACAATCGTCCACTGATGTCGAATAATCCATACGCACTCCTTGAGGATTTAAGTCTCAACAGCGATGTAGAGCCCAATTCTGCGCACGTGGTTGCAGCTTCCATCCCTGTGGTGCACACCATGATGCCTGCTGGAGGCAGTTCTTTCTGGATTCGGTATGGCAATAAACTACGCGTCAATGGTACGGTGGAGGAGGTCTGCGTCATCAAGTGAATGGATGAATTCGAGAGTAGGCCCTAGTGGTTTGGTTTGAGAAGACGAATCTCCCTTACCCTGGCAGCTATCAGGTGTCGTTCGGCACAAAAATTATCTGTTAATAGAATAGAACTATGTTGCGACCCACACACAGTCAGTATTCCTAGCCCTTATCTCTCGCGCGAAACACCCACCTAGGAATGTCTCCATGCAATTCTATGTATGTGCTTCGTACCTCGAGCAGCCTTCCTAGGCTGTCAATAGAATTCTCCTTAGTTGGCCTTCATATCTGAATTAGAAGTGGTTCCTTCCCTCTACCAAGCTCTGCTTCACTCGGATCCAAATATCCAATGGCGGATTTTTCGGCATTTCTCTGCCTCTCAAGATCTTGGTGAGGCTTCCTTGACCCTCAATGGACAGATGACACATCTGCAGACTAGATTCCCTCGTGCTGCATGTCTATGTCCCAAAATGATGCTACGTCGTTGTAAAAAGAGTATCCTCCTATCGGCCAGTCAGCTGCAGAGTCCACTCCAATTTCCCTTCGTCGAATTACTTCTCTGAGATACTCCCCAACATCCGCCTGCCTAAAACACACAATGCCTGTTGGCTCAAGCCTTCTTGCCTCAGCTGTCGATCTTGCTGTGACACCGAAACCCTATGCGTCCATAAGCTACGTTCCTCTATCACCACCTCGGGATGGCACGACAATTCACTCACTAGAGGCGTATCATCCATTCCTAACACTACAACTCCTTGATGCTCCGGGCAATCCTCGCTCCACCTTCCCACGTGGGCTTTCACGATGTTTCCTCCGTACTATATTTCGAATTAGTAGAAGTTAATAAAATGACTTGTCTTTATAATTACAAGGAATGGCATCACGCCGTTCTGTTTCACCCATAGCTGAGATAATTGTTAGCCAAAATGAGTTTGCCAAGGGGTGACCGAGCCAACCTTGTAGCGAGCATGCGGTGCTATAACATTCAAAGATGTAATATGGAGCCGAAACTTTCCAGTCTTAGTGAACTTGCCTACCCCGAAATGATTAGAACGATTTGCACCGATATAGCTGATCCTCTACTCTACATACCTAAGCAGGTTCCGACCGAAAGCAAATTCTCACGCGCGACACACGTAGAAAGATTTGCTAGATACTCCGAGCAGTAGTAGACTCGGTCCTGATTTCCAAGTCTGAAGATCATGCGTGTCTGGTCTGTGGAGGGGTTCGAATCTGCTGGGGCGATGAGATTCTTGATGGAGGGGCCCATGTAATTCGCCAGTTTCGAGAAGAGGGTTTGAGTCTCGGTTTCTGTGAGAGCACGCATCGTGATGTTGGCTGGGAATCTGAGAGGCTTTTGAAGGTACGTCTAGAATCCGGATGGAAGACAGGTTGTTTTTTGCAGGCACCAAAAAAAGGTAGAATGGGAATGGTTTTCCTCGTGCAGGAGAAAATGTCGGCACCGTAGTGCGGGCGAGGCGCGCCTCCTTATGAGTTGCAAAACCAACGAGATTGCTTGGCAAAATTGATTACGCGCCATCTCTATTTTTTTGGTAGCCAGCCCCACCAAAATTTAATGAGAACCTACTCAAATCACTGCAATCATTAACTATCACCCCCCAATCTATGTTGGCGTGGATAGCTTCAACAATGCGAGGATTGACGTGAACGCTGACGTTATCTAGGACGATAATACTACGCTCGGCGAGGTACTCGTTACACAGCGGTAGTAATTGGTCTATCAACTAGACGAGGAGGTCTTCTTTGAAGTAATAGCTCTTCTTGATCTCGGTATAGGGGAGGTAGCCTTCAGTGGTGTAGGCCGGAAGAATGCTATATGTATGTATCACCTCTTCTCATATCACTACGGTATCGAGCTGGGTCACCAATAGGAGTATATGCCATGGACCGCCACATCGTTTGTAGCTTGAACAGGGTCTCATCGATAAACACCAGCTGTTCGGCCTTCACCTGACTTGCAAATGCCTGCCATGCAACGCGGAGTTCCTCACTTTGTGGGCCTATTCGTTGACTCTTCTGGTACTCAAGTACGGCCTTCAGAGCAGCCGGTGAGAGGCTACGAGGTCGCCCAGGTATATATAGATTACGAGGAATTACTATATCGCCGTAAATCTCAATATTACGCTCCCACCGATACCCCGTTACGCGACTCGAATGGGCGTCTTTAGCTACTGCATTAGGTCGCCAATAAGACTTAAGGAGTAGTCTGGCTCGCTGGCGAATGTGTATTTCTTTGGGTGGTATCGCGTATCAGCGGAGGGGGGGAGGGAGGAAGGGTAGCTATGAACACCTAGGTCAGTCAAAAACACTAAAAAAAGAGTGTATACTCACTAGCCTGTGCCTCAAAATTATTCGATTAAGAAGTAAGACGAACTAAGAGATAAAGACTGATATAATTATTAAGAAGTACGATCTTTATAAATTTTGGTGGGGCTGACTACCAAAAAAATAGAGATGGCGCGTAATCAATTTTGCTAAGCAATCTCGTTGGTTTTGCAACTCATAACTGCCGCTTTAGCGCAATGTATAAGATTACTTGTACCTTAGGCTTTTGGAGAGTAGCCACTGCAATGTGAACTTTCTGACTACTGCGACGTTGGCTTTCGGAGCAGAATAGAGAAGACTTAAAAAAAGAACTCACTGCGAATATGTTAGCGAGTATATGTGCATGCGTGAAATAATTTAACGTGTGCGTGTGTGTGTGTGTGTGTGCATCATGTCTCCACCACCTGCCAATGCCCGCTTGCGCAAGCGGGAAAGAGACTCTGATATATCGTCTACTGAACTTGAGCCAGCAACTCCTTAAGTAACAGGCCTGGAAGCTGCACTCAAAATGCCGCCCACCGCGGACGACTGTGAGCCGCAGAAATTCGCGGACCTCAAGCTCGACCACAGGACGATGCAAGCCATCACTGACATGGGCTTTCGGGAGAAGACTTTGACACAGGTTCAGAGAGCTGCTATACCACCTTTGCTTGCCGGTCGTGGCGTCCTTGAGGCTGCAAAAACAGGCTCAGGGAAAACGCTAGCTTTCCTCCCCCCAGCTGTTGAACTGCTGTCTTCTCTGAATCCAAGCCGCGGAATGGTAATCTCAAAAAGCCAGCAACTCGAATCCACGACAAGCTAATCTGCCCAGATACTGCTGTCGTTGTCGTTTCGCCTACACGTGAGCTTGCACTGCAGATCTTTGGTGTCGCCCACCCACTTCTTGCACATCATTCTCAGACTGGGGGCACCATAACGGCAGGTGCAAATAGAAAGTCGAGACTGAGAAGCTTTCCAAGGGTATGTACGATCGTGGAAGGACACGCCTTCCTTCGGTTCGGAGTCCACCGGAAGAAACGCTGATTCTCAAGAGCATTTATAGGCATCAATCTCGTTATTGCTACGCCGGGTCGTCTCCTCGATCATTCTCTGTCCAGCCATTTGCGAGAAGTGGCTGGAAAGCCGAGGGATTTTTTGGAACATCCCTTTTTCCATGTTCCAAGATTTATTGTCTGAGGCAACTTCGAGATCATATCAATCTCCTCCGCAGTGAACACCCTATCTCTCTTGAAAATTCCCTTTTGGTGCCTCATCTTGAGAAGCTTCGACTTGATCGAACAAACTGTTCGCCCCTTTGCGACAGTGGCTGCAAAATCGATGAGTCCTTTCGAATTTCTTTTTGCCATGATTTTAGAGGCAGTTGCAAGACCATTTCAATTTCATCTGCAACCCAGAATGTTCCATTCCATATTGCCCCGGCTACCCCTTTCTTGCGTCTCACGACCCCCGGGTTTGCCCTGATTCCTTCCAGTGTTCGACCCTCTGCGAGAAGCGGTTGTAAGATTGGGGATTTCATGTTATATATCTTACTCCACTTTTCAGGCAATAAAGAGAGTTTCTGGAGCTCTTCGGAATACCATTTGAGCCCGGGGCTTTCTCTGCAATATGTACGAGACCTCTTGATCATGGTCTTGAGCGTTTCCTTGGGAGACGTCTTACCTGCTGCCATAGACGCTGGACACATAGCGTCCGTGCTGAGGAGTTCGACGACGTGGGTACTGTGGTTCTTGTCGAGACTAGGCCTCTCCAGAGATATCCTTTCGAGACTTGTGTCGATGCCTACCATCGACGCCGAAAACAGAGTTTGCATGGCTGGGGATCGAAGGACGCTGAAGCTATGAGTACTGTCGGGCCCATGCGTCTCCAGCGGGAGTGCGAGAGTCTCCCAAATACCTTTTTTGTAGGAGAGTCGTCCTTCCTCGGTTGAAGATTCTGGACATTTAACGAGGTGAGTAAACATCGACCAGGGGTACAGGATCGATGGCATCGTCAAGTTGCTTGCACACTATGTCATAGATAGATGGCCAAACGTGTAAATGTCATTTGCCATTGGGCAACTGCAGCTTATAACAACCATTCTCATCGAGTTCCCCAGTCACAAGCTTCCTAGCTGTCCAAAAGGAACAAATAACTCGCAGCATTGTCGCCTTGACTCTAGATCCGTGAGCAAGCAAAAGTGATAGCTGTGACAAAAAGTAGTAGTCTGACAATAGTAGAGACATTTCTTAATTACCTGTGATCTGCTCCCACTTGTCTTCTCGGAGTAGGAGATATGTGTTCGATTGCCACGCGTTTGAAACACAGTTTGGGCTGATAATGGCCGCACGTGCTCGCATTTTTGCCCAATCAATGTTACATTGTCAGGGTAATGATACAAGCCGTTCTCTGGGCCTGTCATGAACTCATTCTCCATCAGCTCGAGTTTGAGCGCACATATGAGTGGCTGCATCGTTTTCCCCTCATCTCTGAATAAGTGATAACTCCAAGACGGGTGCGGTACCCGTAATAAAAAATGCTCAATGTTCGAATAATTTCGTTCGTAGCAGTTGAGCTCTACAAAGATGCGTGCACTGCGGCGGCATTGATGCAAGAAGTGCCTCTAGGATGTGGTAAAGACCTTCGCACTCTTCAAGCGACTAAGCCTTCTTGAGTATGAATTGCTTCAGTGGATTAGCTACGAAGTACTGCCTTGAAGCTACTAACCCAATCACCCAGCTCGCGCGACAATACTTTTGAGTACAGTACTCGATTTCACCTACTCGTAGATGATCTACTGGGATATGCAATGTCCGATAAGTCCGGCCCCCCCAAAATGTCTGCATCTCACCAAAATTGTACCATAAACCGATTATTAGATAACTTTATCACTACGACACATGTTTCAAGATTCTGTTGATTTGGGAATCGCATTCTACGCTCCATAATTCGTTTCTTCAATTATTTCATCAAAATGTTGTGGAACGAAAGACTGCATATCCCAGTGGACACTGGATACAAGTAAGGCGGCGGTTCGGCCCTCACCCGACGCCCAATCGAGGGTGAGACCGGCGCGAAACCTCGTCTCGAAACAGATTCCAAAATTTCTATTTTGTTATTCCACCTCACAAAAATGACGGTAGGACCAGCTGTGAAGCGGAAGAAACTGTCACCTCCCGACTTTTCAGACCCAGACTCATCGACCTCTACGTTGGTCGGTCAGTCTACTACGCAGGACGATTTCTTCAATAGGGCAGCAGGATGGAACTTAGAGCAGGATTATGAGCAGAGACCTCGAAAGCAAAAGAAAAAAGAGAAAGAGAACACGAGGCTTCCGATCAAGACCGTGGAGGGAAGAGTTGAACAATTGCAAGTTCCAGAGGTCACACAAGAGGATGATGATAGCTGGCTCGCCTCTGAAGAGGAGAGCATGGAAGATTCAGGGCCTATCCAAGAGGACACCAAAATTCCTATCCGCCAACAGATACTAGAGGCAAAAGAAGAGCTAGCCCGGTTGGCTGGCCTCGTTAATGAGGACCCCGAGGAGCATGCTGGCGCATTTCGCGCATTGGGTCAAATCGCAACTTCCTCAAACCCTACAATCAAGAAGCTAGGCTTAGCTACACAACTAGCTACCTATAAAGATGTCATCCCAGGATACCGAATACGCCCAATCGCTGAAATGGACCAGACGGAGAAGGTCTCCAAGGATGTCAGGCGTCTTCGAGCATTCGAGCAATCGCTTGTCAGCTCCTACCAAGCATACATCAAGGACCTGGCAACCTGTGCAAAGGCTCGACAAGGGGGAGTATCCGAAGCAACGTCGAGCGTGAAACAGGTCGCGATAGCTTGTGCTTGTGCTCTGCTCATTGCTGTACCCCATTTCAATTTTCGAGGGGAGCTCCTGAAGATTCTGGTTGGCAAATTGAGCACTAACAGGATCGATGCGGACTTTATCAGATGTCGTGGAACACTAGAAACCTTATTCCGCAAGGACGAAGATGGCACATCATCTCTAGATGCTGTTGGGCTGATCACAAGGATGATGAAAGCGCGAAACTACCAAATTGATGAAAGTGTTCTGAATACTTTTCTTCATCTTCGGCTTCTAAGCGAATTCTCGTCCAAGGCCTCGCAGAACCGAGTCGATAAAGCGTCTACAGACAATGATGACGGAGCCAAGAAGCCCAAATTCAAGAAAGAGTTCCGCACCAAAAAGCAACGCAAGATTATGAAAGAGAGAAAGGTAGTCGAAAAGGAGTTTAAAGAGGCAGATGCTACCGTCAGCCATGAGCAGAGAGATCGTATGCAAGCCGAGACGCTCAAACTCGTCTTCGTAACATATCTCCGAATTTTGAAGGCCAGAGTTCCTCATTTGATGGGTGCCGTACTCGAAGGTCTTGCCAAGTACGCCCACATCATCAACCAGGACTTTTTCGGAGATCTCCTCGAAATTCTTAAAGATCTCACAAATTCTAAAGCTCTGCTAGAAGCTGATGAAGAGGAGCAAGAGGAAGAGGACGAGTCATCCAAGAGCACTCGAGACTCTCTAAGAGAATCCCTCCTCTACATTACCACCGCCTTCGTTCTTCTAGAGGGCCAAGATGTTGCACGCTCCACTCCATCGCTCAACCTCGATCTCACAGATTTTACAGCCCATCTTTACAAATCCTTACATTCTTTCTGCCTAAACCCAGATCTCGAGCTCTCCCACAAGTCACTGCGTCTCCCAGATCCACATGCTTCGTCATCGGCTTCGCCTACAACTACCGCACCAAGAGTAAATCTGCAAACCACGACGGTGCTCATGTTACGTGCGCTGACCTCAATCCTGACCCCTCGCTCTGTTCCTCCAGTCCGTCTGGGTGCTTTTACGAAACAGCTCTTCACTTCTACCCTGCAGCTCCCTGAAAAATCTACCTTGGCAATGGTCAGTCTATTAAACAACCTGACGAAGATCCATGGACGTAAGATTGCAGCGCTGTGGAATACAGAGGAGAGAAAAGGAGACGGTGTCTTTGATGCGATGAGAGTAGATCTGGAGGGCAGCAATCCATTTGCCAGCACGATCTGGGATGGCGAGCTGCTGAAGTTGCATTATGCGCCTGCGGTTCGGGAAGGGATACAGGGTATTGAAAGGATCATTGGGGATGTAAAGTGAGGTTGCTGGCCTCACATAATGAATAGCAAGAAGTCCTCGAGATTTTCAACTGCTAGCCCCTGTCTTTCGACCTTTCTTGCTACGCGCATCCCACCCAGCCCGTCGCTTCTGCACAATGTTCGTCAAGCGCTTTCCTGCAATTTTCCTGTGTGAATTCTCCAGTGTTTCGCGGCTACGCGAGCCATTCCTCTTTCCGAGAATATCGCCTCTTTCCAGTTCAAAGAGCGAATAGCACTAAGCGCACAGATCGAGCTTTCCCCCCTGTTTTCTGGCGATGGTTCCGCGGTGTCGTTCATTCTATGGCTCGATGCATCTTCTCGACTTCTTATGTTCAAGGCTTACTCGTCGATGCTCACTCTAGTCGCGCATCTCATCTGTTCTAATTAACTTAAATCTCAGTGTTGTGACAAGACCTTGGCCCATTTTTTCGACTATTCTGAAAGTGAAATGCAAGTCTTCGCTCCCTTCTTCCTTACCCTCTTCTTCCACCTCATCCACGGTCAATCCACTTTATCAGCAACGGCCTACGTCGGCCTCGTCCCTGACTACCCCAACTACGAGGCCGGTCCCTCTGACGTCTACACTGCAATCGACAACGCGACGGCCACCGCTGCGGTAAGTGACCCTTGCGGGCCCCTCACTCAACCGTCACCCAATCCGGCCGGCAATACCTGCAACGTCTCTATCATAGAGTCGGACGGGCCCGCCCCTTATGGTGTTCAATGCCTCACCGACTACACCGATACCCATCTCACTTTCGACGCCTGCTCCAACCAAACCATACCCGCCATCTGTGACAAGCTCGTCGACCCAGATGTGCGGAACGGCACGTGGATCTGGGCGTCCGCTGCTGCGCCCAACACGTGCCACATGGGCTTCTACCTGCCGGCCTACGACGGCAGCGCGCAGAAGCCGGATATGAATAAGTGCGTGCAGGAAATCTTCAGGCCAATGCTAGGCTATTGCAATCCGGCCACGGGCTATGAGGTGTCCGAGGGCATGTACAATTTAGGGATGGTGAACGTGAAGACTACGCCAGATGCGACTCAGGATGGACAGGCGGTGGATGTTGGATATCCGAGTTATATCATGGCTACGAGCCAATTGACGGCCAAGGCAGGGTGATCGAGGAATCGATGTGAAGAAGAATCAGACAAAGAACAAGGCTATCGAACAGTACTGGGTGGAGTCGAGCGGCGGTGCCTGTTTCATCGGATCCAGCAAGGTATGTGTGTAGCGGGTCTCGACGTTGATAGCCAGCACTTCCATATGATACGTCTCTACCTCTACTCCCTCAGTCTGCAGGGCGCTTAGAATAGTCCTTCTCAAACGCGCTTTCCGCCGTTATACGGGACAATTCCACAGGGGAACCAGTCCGTCGGTTTCGCAGTTCTGTTCAGACCCAATCCAGGTCCACGGAAATCCCTCCAATCCTATAGCGACATGCGAGACCTAGATGCGCCCCCATTTTCCATCATGACTCTCCTGCATGCAGAGTTATCAGCGAACTGATGCAGTATTCACCTGTGTCATGCACGTTCCCTTCCTTGGCCGTTGCCTATGGCAGGCCCTATCGATCTCGTATCTCCTCGCAACGTACGCCAAAGGAGTCCACGCATATCCCCAAACCAACCTCAAGAGCCCCAACAGCAATACCTCCCTCGCCCTCTCCTCCCCCAACCTCCTCCCCTCCCGCTTCTCCTCCCTCAGCCTAACCTACGGCGAGCTTTCCCCCGACCGTACGTATACCCCCGAGCCATCGTTCACAATCCGTCCCAAAACCCGAGATCGCAAGATATGATCCGGGAGCGAAATGCCCCCTCGCACTCCTGCACCCGTGTCTCCCGACCCTGGCTTCTTGCCTCGGAGCAAAAGCGCTGACCCCGGAGATCCGCGTAGGCTTCACCCCCGCGGACATCGCCCTCGCCTTCGTGGCCGCCCTGGCCCAACAAGCCCTCGAACCCTTCGACGCCCGCCTTTCCTACTTCGAATACGTCGACGCCGAAACCCCGGTCCGGATCGTTCTGCGATCGGCCCCGCATGCGCCGACCACGTTGACGGTGAGGAGCAATGTCATGTGGGCGCTGAAACAGCTGCCGATCAACCTCTTCCATGATCCCAGTATATGGGGGTTGGACTTCAAAGTGCGGTTGCTGGGGGAGGATTTGTACCTGGGGAGCCTGAGTAATAGGAACAGACCTGGCGGCGTGCTGGAGGCTGGGGGTGAGCAGGGGGGTGGGAACGGCAGCTTGGACGGCTGGGAAGAGAAGCCGAAACGTGCGCTGTCGATCACTCAACCGTCAGACACCACAGCCCGGAACCTTACAATCCCCGGCTCAACCCCAACCGACATCCAATACGACCTCCGCTTCCAGCTCACCGGCCTCCCGCTCCCCGACATCGGCATCTTTTCCGCAATCCTGGAGTTCCTCCTCGGTCTCGGCGCCCGAGACCCATACCAGGCAGTCGACTCCGCCAAGTTGGCCCTCGATACTTTACCCGTATGGATATATATCAGTTACAATGCCCAGCCGAGCTCCACGCAAAGACTGCAGGTGTATCGGGTGGTGGCGATTCTGCAGGCCATTGCGAGATATTGTGTAGGGCAGAGGATTTACCAGGAGTTGATTTTCAATCTGCTGGTTGATGATCTGTTGCTTGCCAGTGGGTGTGTAGTTAGGGGGGTGGGGGAAAGGGAGTGGTGTAGAGGGTTAGGAGGGTAGGGAGATGGGGGTTGGTTGGGGAGTGGTGGGACTTGATCTTAGCCAGAAAATTTCCGTGACAGCGTAGATTGAGAAATGAGATATGCCGAACAATACATCTAGGTGTCTTCACAAAGAGGGTAATTGTTCGCTCTAGCTGTTGATGATCTTCTTCATCTCGTCAATGTCTTTCGGTGCTGTCGTTAGATTCTCGTAACCATCCTTCGTTATCAATATGTCATCTGCACAAAAAGCAATCAGCAAATGGACGTCCAAATATTTGAGCAAGACTTGCCTTCGATTCTTACACCACCTACATCCCAGTACCTTTCCAGCACCTTCTCATCAATGAATTCTTTGTGCTTCTCGTCTTTAAGAAATGGCTCGATGATGAAGCGACAGAAGTACACTCCTGGCTCCACCGTAATGACGCTTCCCTCGGGCAACGTCCCCCTCACCCTCAAGTACTGGAACATCTTGTCTTTGTCCTCGTAGTCTGGATGACCTCCCGTATCGTGGGTATCCATACCCAAATAATGACCAAGTCCGTGCGGGAAGAAAGCGACGCTTGTCCTGGAGTCAAAGATATCTTTCTTGTCCCCCTTCAAAAGCCCCAGATCCAACAGTCCCTCGATCGCCACCTCATGCGCCTTGACATGCACATCCTCCCACGTCACCGCTGCCTTCAACATTCCCAAACACTCCTCCTGCATCTTTTGCACGATTCGATAAATTCCCTCACTCTCTTCGTTAAACGTCCCGTTCAACGGCATCGTCCTCGTGACATCGGCACAATAGCAATCATACTCCGCAGCTGCATCAACCAACAGATTCCATCTTCCCTGTAAATGCTGATTGTTGGCGACGTAATGCAATGTAGCGGCGTTATGTCCTGACCCGAATATGCCGTGGTAAGCTTGTTCTGTGCATCCAAGCGCTATCCGTCGCTCTGTGAAGACGGCTTCCAGCTCTTGTTCGTTACGTTTATGCTTCAGGTTCTTGAGCACGGCGATGTGAGCCGCGGTGGTGACCTCGTTGGCTTTCTGTAACATTGCAACTTCATATACATCTTTCGTAACTCGGCACTCGTCAACGGCAGTGTGTAAGGCGTCAAGGTTGTAGGGCATGAAATATGACTGCTCGTATTGGTCACATGGGAGGTGAGATTTGGTTGCGAATGTTAGGGGTGCGGATGATCCGGGTTTTCGAGTGGGTGCGAGGTGGTCGTAGAGTTCGGATGAAGGGCGAACTTGATCGACGTCATATTTGTGTAGAGCTTGGTCTGGGGACAAGGGCAAGCCAGACCAAATGACGGAGGAGGGATCAAGTGGGGGGATGAAGAGGGTGAGAGTGGAGGTGGGGATGTCGTAGACGAGATGGCAGTCAGGCAGATTGCAGCCAGAGAGATAAAAGAAATGACGACGCTGTCTGAGTTGTGTAAGTCAGCCGGTACTTGAGCTCTTGCCATGAGATACTCAGACCTGAAAGGTTGGGGCTCGTCGTTGTCTTCTATCATGCGAGTCTTTTGCCCCTGAATATATATCCTCGCTGGGCTGTCATCTTTGACCGTCTCTTTGAGGTATGCCGCAACTTTGGCGCAGTGGGCTTTGGCAGGGTATTTGCCCTTTAAGATTGAAGTGTGGTGTTTCATGGTGGTAGTGGAGTGAAATGAAGAAAGTTTGAGCAGACTGTGGGGTTTAGATATCTTTGGCGGTGGCAAATGAGATGTCCAAATGTTGATGAGGTAGTGGTGTCGTCTGCTGTAATGGGGTATGACTTTGGTCACGAAGGATATCATTCTTTAAAAGCAAAATCGTAAATTAGATATTTATTGTATGTCCATAGACGAGGTCCAGAAGAGGTCTAATAGCGCCTGGAAATGCCCACATCAACGCCAGATCATGCAATAGTCACAAAGTCCCGTATAATATACGTCTATAAACATGCATCGTACGCTGGCTAAAACGCAGCACATAAATCAGCCGACAGCGAAAAGCTATCTCTCTCAATCCCTCCAACGAGCCAAATATTTCTGCATATCATTCATCGGTCCAGGTGCCGCAGCAGCCTAAGTAGTTCGTTAGCAGGATACCTTTGCAGAACCAGACCCATATCGGAGCAGTTGCTTACCGTGTTCGCGTGGCTTGAAGTGCTATATGTTGCACTGACGGTCTGGGTAGTAATCGCCTTTGGCGTCGGTAGCCAGGTCTTGGCGATACTCACAGAACTCGTTGGGTACTGGGGACTAGCATTCTTCGCGGTGATCTTCGTGCCAGGCTTGCCTTGCATAGGGGCGTATCGGATGGGTCCACTTTGTAGAGTATATGGTACGGTAGCGCCAGCAGCTACAGGGCCTCCGGCACCTGCAGCATTGGCACCCGCAGCAGCAAAGTTGTTCTCCGTTGCCGGCCCATCGGTTCCTGAAAGTCCTGAGAGACCAGTGGTGACTGTGGCAGGAAAGGTTCCGGTCATTCCACTCAAAGAAAACCGATTAGAGTAATTAGTGACCGTTCCGCCAGTGCCGGCAGAAATCATCTTCAGAAAGCTGATGGATGATGTTAGCATAGCTTTTCGGCGGCAGAGATATCATCTTACTATGCGTTTTTTACACTTGCTCCGATGCTGGCGGGCACTGTTCCTGACGATGCACTTCCAGAACTGAATACTCCATTGGCCACGAGTGAAGTCAACTGAATCTATTACCCCGACTCCGTATCAGCAAAAGCACTATAAGCTTATTTGTATCTTTGCTCAGGAGCATCTAATACACACAAAGCTGCCCGCGTCATTGCCTCCTGCGCAGAGGAACAATTGGAATGATTGAAGTTCGCTTATCGGCGGTGAAGTCCCGGAATCTTTCCATGCAACCTGCAGCAATTGACCTCCCACTGCTGTAGCACCTGCGGAAGGAGACGTAAATTCAACGTCAGCGAAGGCATAAGGGGCCACGGCGACTAGGAGAAGGAGGAGTCGGAAGAGCATCGTTGATGAGAGATACGGGGAAACGAGTGTGTCTTAGGCGACGGTGTACCCGAGTGTCTACTAGATTGCGAACACGAGCAGGCGTTAGGATCGTGAGGATCGCTGTGGGCGCTGATGTTGATTACATGAATTGTTTGCTTGTAGTTTTAGACCGGTGGAACCTCGAAGTCAGCCAAGATTATGTTAGCGTTTTGGGCTTAGCGGTCCCGCGTTACCAATTAATCATTGCCCAGTTTGTCTTAAGCCTTCGCCACAGGTCCTGCTTTGTTTTCTACAGCAAATGGTGAACTACGAATGTCTGTACGATGGCCCGACGCTTTTGATGCTTCATACATTTTCATAGGGACAACTAAATGAAATCAACTCAATTTGTGACGCCCTATCAGACTCCCGTCATTATAGCTTCACTTAAAAGGCCCACTCTACATGTATCGCTGGATTCATCCTTTCGAGCCAGGCTCCCAGTACATTTGGAACCCCTGTTAGAAAAGCCATTCCCCGTGGTTGTGACCCTGGACCTGGTGATTCCGGGGATTAGAGAGCAAAGGTGTCGAGATACTCGTATAAGAGACGAACCTGAGGCCACAACTAATGCATTTCCTATGATGATGTTCCTTGAGCGGATGCCAGGCGAGTTGTCAGATACTCTGCTGTTCTGTCCATATCACCGCTGTGTCGCAGTGGAGCCCTCGCAGTTCCGGGTCCAGGTGGCGTGTCACATTGAGACCGATTGACCAACTGTTGATCCAGAACCTCTGAGGGCAGCTGCGGGGTCCGGAACTCTCTAAAATGGACAACGAGATACATTGAACTTGGGTCAGACTTTCGTTATATGTCCTCGAGGTTTGGAGGTTGTGGAGGTCCATAGCTGCCATCCCACTTGAGAATTGACTCCAAAGGCGTATGACTATCGGATGTTTTGCTAGGCCAGCAATTAAACATCTTTCTCACTATGCGGCAGCAGGAGTTTCCGCCGTAACTGTCGGTGGCTTGGACTGCTCGGCGACCAAGTCACGCGTAGGCAGTTGTGGCCGAAGGTCTTCTTGCGGTCTGTACAGACTTTCCCTATGCCTGATTGATTTAGCATGTTCCAGCAAGCCTTCTCTATCAACTCTCAGCTCAAAGTTGGTAACGAAGCAGAAGCTGACTTCCAATCTTCCCAACTCTGTCTCGCCGACACCTCCAACTTTTGCAAATCGTCGATGTGGGTAGCTGAAATCTTCCAATGCTTTCATTGCCACTCGAAGGCCGGCTAACACCAGGCGATGAACATTACGAGAAGTTACAGGAATGATTCTCTCCACCACTGCTAGTTTGAAGATGTAGAGACTTGTAGCAAGATAGACGGCTGTTGACATTGGACAATAGCGATGCAATCGCAAGAGGTATTCTTCTAGACTGATCGGGGGTGGTTTCTTCGAATAGAACTTTCTTATGATAGCGCCATGCCTTGATGATTTCGGAGTCAGCATCACTCTTTTGGGAGGCTTCCTGAGTCTCGAGATATGTCTTAGGAGCAGAGAACTCTTTGGACAAGTCGGACGACTCATAAGCCAGCATGAATGGGGAAGCACTGCCTCGGAAAGTATAACGCACTGGATATTTAGGGGCTCCATGTTTGACCCAATGACGTGCAGAGGCTCTGAGGGGCCAGCCTCAGGGCTACCAATTGGAGTTTTGGCCCTTGCGGGCACGCCGTCAACGTCTCCCGTATTCTCTGCGCCCCCGCTTTGTCGACGCCTGTGTTCCTTTGTATGGCGAGCAACGCTCTCTTTTTCAGCTTGTATCAACCCAAGATTTGGAGTGCTTGGCGGGCTGATTGGAGGGGTTGGTGGGACGTCGCCGGTAATATGGACCAAAGTCTCGACTGTGCTACAGAGCATCCTCAAAGCTGCCACGGGACTCAAGGTGAAAAGGTCGATGTCATCCGCATTTGGCAAGGTGCCTGAGTCCGTGAGGGATGATTCGGTGCCAGGAACAATGCCTCGATCTGCAGAGGGACTCGGCGGTCGTGGAAGCTGAGGAAGGGAGGTTGCTAGGTCCGGTGCAGCATGGCTCTCATTGATAGTCTCCATATCTCTAGCCAATGCTTAGTCGAGTGCTGCCTGGAATAAGAAAACACTCAATGGCCTGATGGGAAATTACTCCAGGGAAACTTCCAGCTTGTATAGGAGACAGCAGATGCGAATGCGAGCGTCACCTGGCACATATCTTGATCTTTGATAGCAGCCTTTACGGCCCATGAAGTAATGTCAGCCTCGCCAAGGCCGCGCATATATGCAAAGTCTACAATGTACAGAGGTACACTGACCGTAGATGGGCCTAGTCGCTACCGGACAGAACCATTCCCTAGCTTCTATTGATAAGTGACATGACTTTCAGATTTTGTAAGCGTTCATGTTGCGAATTTGACCCGGTTAGGGGACGTCAAGAGAAGTGAAATGCGGGGGCAGTAGAAGAGGTCTGGCCTTGTCTTAAGGCCTTTGAATCGGCCAAATCTCGCAGACAGATGTCCGCAGCTAAAGTAGATGCACATCCGATTTTAGTGACATGCATGACGATGATTAGACTCGATAATGCCTACCTGAGCCTGTATTTGTGAACGACGAGCACGCTGCCGGCGCTTGTGGTTCACCGTAGTATCAGGGAAGGGCGTTTTGAGTTTCACTTTCATCTTTCATCCACAACCCCTCCTACATCCACCCTTTCAAACTTACAATCTCACGGTTGCTTTGACTCTTAATACTCCAGATTCAATTTTGCTCAACACATTAGTTTTCAGTACCATCATCTCAAAACTCGACTGACCACGAGTGCTCCCTCTTTCAATAATCTCCCACGTTACGCCTTTACACCTCAAGGAAGGTTTTGCTCATTTGAATGACCAAATATCAGGACTTTCCAAAGACGATCCCAATCGTGTTACACAGCCACGGTTGTCTGTAGAAGTGGTCTGCTCATTGGTGCCTCCGCACGGCCGTGGGCGGCAATCCGAAGGCCGAAGACTTGGACTCTTACATAGTCGAGCACAGAGACCAAGCCAAGTCCAGCGTCATAAGCGGCTTCATCTTCGAGTTGGAGGTACATTATTCCTACAATGCTCGAACACCTCGACTGACATTGAAGCAGGTGGTGGACGGCCTCTCGCCGGAGGCGCAAAAGGGAGGGAGGTGGAGACTGGAGACTGGAGACTGGCGCGGTTGCACGTATAAAACATTTACACCAACGACCGTGCTTAACTGCCTTGGAAAATAAAACCAACTAGGACATCTACACAGCTACGAGCTCGAAATTGCATAGATGACACAGATAAACGCCCTCAACATTGATAGGCTTGTCCAAGCCCCTACGTTGAAGGTTGCTGGGGATGGATCCGCAGTTCGGACTAGCTTCTAAAAACGACCTTTGGCGTTTGCAAAACGAGATGAAGAATGTGTACGCGACACAGGCAGAGCATGCTGACCGACTATTGCGTCTCGAGCAACGTTCGGACAGCGATCCTCGTCTGAAGTCCGTGTGGGGTGGTCAATCGCCTTATCCTAGCGTCTTGAATGGGACTCCTCAGCAAGGTATGTCACGTTTTCCACATCATTGCAAAGGCGTTGCTAAGATTTTTGACTCCAGATCACGGTTACAATCCTGCTGCGGAAGCGTTCAAAAATTTTGATCAAGACCAGCCTAGTAGTATGCTCGGAAGCTTACATTTAGACACGGAGGACGAACCGAGGAGGGGCGCTGCTTCTAGAGCGAACAGTGTGCGCTTCGATGAGAGCGCTCTTCACGGTCATTTCGGTCAAGGCTCTCGGTGTTCCTCGGACTTCCTCCCTATGCGAACCGGTAGTGCGTTTGGCAGTCATCCGATGACCGAACGCTCTTCGTCACACAAGTCTGACGGCAGGCAAAGCTCTACACATTCAGCTCGAGCAAGCAGTTTTGGTTTTGAGACCCGTCCATTGTCCGCCACTGTGGCTCCCTTCGTTCCTTTGGCCCCACCTCCTGGTCTCTTCCTTTTGGGACATGTCCCTTCAATAATTCGCTGCTGGCTGGATACAAACTTCTCCAACGAGTCTTTGCTTTACGCTTCCGTTTGCACGGGCTCCTACAAGTCTATTCTGGACGTCGATTTGATAAACCGTCTAGGATACCAAGATCAAATCACAGTTGACCGTGAAGGACAAAAAATGATCAAGCTTCCAGTGTACCTTCCTGAAGCTACCATACAGCAGTCGTCATCACGCTCGAGTAGTCCTGCGCCATCGCTACCTACTCTTACGACCTCATTCGTGGTTCAAGACTTACAGTGTAAGACAGAAGCGATTCAGATCTTCCTCGGCAGCGACTTGCTTCGTACTCGCAACGGTGACGTTCACTTTTCTCTTGACCGTTTAACGTTATTTGACGATGACCGCAATAAGCTTTCTGTGCCTTTGGTCCGGCCAGAGAACGCAACTTTGTTCCAGAGTCTTCAGACAACCATCGCATCAGACACTTCGTTGAGGTCCCCTTCTGCAAACGTCTCTGGCCCGGCGAGCGAGATCTTTCAAGCCAATGGCGAGGCGAAAGAGGCGCATGTAGAGCTGTCAACTGGAAAACCTGATGACCAACCGAAGGAGACGAAGACACAAACCTCGACTAACGCTATGCCTCCACCTGCGGCTCCGTCGCCCTCAGTGATAGGAGAAGGCAGGAAAACGATAGCAGATCGTGGCAATAGCGAGTCAACATCTTCGGTTTTGGTAAACAATGACCTCAAGGACTCGGAGAGCATGACCAATGGCACCACGCCTGATACTCCGACAAAATCCGAAAGTAGCAATATATGGGGCTCCTGGCGACGAGACTCTACCCAAGGTACCCGAGTAGACCCGTTAGCCGCCGGCTCATCATCGAATACTGGCTATCAGCGAGCGGGGCGGGCTAGGGGCATGAAGGTACTCAGACCAGCAAGACTGAACACGTCTCGTGCGACTTCTGTACAACAGCAGCCGCTAGGATTTGACGCCGCACCCTCACGTTTTGGTGACTCTGGTAAGCCCGAAAACAACGAGAATCAAAGTCCTGCCACGGATCAGAGGTCGTTCTCAGGAGATGCCAAAGCCCCCTTTCAGTCTCTGACAAACAAGCCCAGGTCGTCGAATCCAGTTGGCGGAGCTTCTGCGTTCGGCTGGCTGAATCCGAGCCAGCAGAAACAGGGGCCTTCCGAGTGAGAGTTCTATTCATTCTAGGGTCCAGTCTGTGCAGGAGCTATCAACACGTCTTGCAGCTGTCACCGGCTTGTGCAATATTATGTACAATAGAAATTCAGGCATAATATGCTAAGCAAGCTCCTAGATACCGCCAGTACCAGAGCCAGTATCAAAGTACATTTCGAGCTTTCGTTGTTACACAATTCTCTCCGTCAGTCTAGTTTTTTACATTTTACACAACGTCTGTACAGCATCTCTAGTGCTTTCTTTCGTTTCCTTAACCAGCCCAGCGATCGCTTTGAATCTAGTCACAAGATTTAGCCATCTCGCTCTTTCCCAAGGCATGTGCATTGGACAGGTGAGCTCACTCGGGAATACTGGCATCCCCCATACACTCATACAGGAAGCTCTCGCTCGACGTTACGATCGCTCCTTCCGCCCTATAACACATCAAACTTAATCCTCACTCTTTCTGAACACAGCACCACACCTACCTCAACCGACTCAGCGCCACAACCCTCTCCCCGCCATTGCAGCTACTCACTCCATCCGTGAGCACATACACCCTGTGTCCCTCACTCAGCAGATCTAGCGCTGTCTGCGTAACGCATATATGCGTCTCAATTCCTACAATGGCGATTTGGTAAGGCATCTGCGAGCGTTCGGCGAGGGTGTAGCGCAATTCAGGGACGAGCATTGAAAAGGCGGTTTTATCGATTGTGTAAAGGGGTGGGTCGTTGAGTTCGGAGCAGACTGGAGGTTGTGTGAGCGAGGAAAAGAGTGGTAGGAGAGGGTCGAGGAGACTGACTTGGACCAAGACGTGAGGCGGATTGGGTGGTGGCGTAGACGGGGATGGAGAGGGTGTTGCAGGCGCGAATCATCTTTTGTGCCGTGGAGATGCTGAGGGCGTCTATCAGTATGGCAATGCACGCTGAGACTCTGCCGGGGCCACCAGTTTACACTTTGCCATATTCGAAGATGGCGGGCCGAAATTTTTCCTGGATATCGCAGATGCTGTCGAGGTTATAAGCCGACATGTGAGAGAGAATGAGCTGGGTGAGGTACAAAAGAGCGGGATTCGCTGTGCTGATTATCAGCGAAGCCCGTGGTAAATTTGAGGTTACACGTACGGAATCGATGTGGTCTTGCCATGGTTGCGAATGAGACAGAAAGATGGAAGGTATCTGGGGAGGGGAAGATGATCCAAAGACAGCTTTGTTTCGGAAAGAATAAAGATCACTGACTATTATCTTCCCTCGTTCCCCGCGCTTTCGTCTCCACTTGCCCGCAGCGGAGCGCCAAGGAGCCAAGCCCGCGGCCGAGTGATTTTAGCGTATCGCTAGCTCCAGGTACCGTGCTCCCGTGTACGGTGTACGGAAGGTCTTCGAGGACCACTAAAGTATGTATAAGGCTAAGACGCTGGCCCTCTCGAACAATCTTCCAGCCATCTCCTTCTTATATACATCTTGTATGATTCTTCTCCTACCACTGTCACTTTCTCCGTATTTCCCTCCTGGTGATTCGGTACTCCTTTTTCACTAAGCAGTACCTAACACTCGTTCAAATCGATTGCGCAAAAAGTCGGTCGCACGGGAGAAAAAGGAACTCTCATTGCGAACACAGAATTATTCGCGCACAGACACCGAGTTATGGCGGACCCCGAAGTGCGCATTTCAGGTGGAGTCGCAGACGAGTCCGGCGACGTCGATATGCAAGGTGGTGACAGCGCCGATGTCATGGAAGTGGGAGAGACGGGCGACGACGCACCAGGGGAAGAGGCAGCGGAGGATGAGGCTGCCATCGAAGCGGAGACACCTGCTGCACGAGTCACATTCGTCGAGTGAGTATCCCGAGAGAGTACGATGCGATTGAGTCGAAGCCTTCTGATCTCCACAGCTATCTCAAATCCCCAATCGTGACCCTGCACATCGGCTCCGGCGACGCCGCAACCCAGCTCACAGCTCATCAAGCCCTCCTCGTGAAATCGCCTTTCTTCGCCGACGCAATCGCGCCGGACTCTGCCTCTCCCGTGAGTCCGAACCCCATACGCTCCCTCCCCTCTCCCCCACTGACCGCTCCCCTTTCAAGAAACACTCCATCGACCTCAAAGACGACGACCTGGAAGCCACATCCTGCTTCCTCGAATACCTCTACACGGGCGAATACTTCCCCCACAAACTCCCCTCCGGCAGCCTCCAGAGCGACCCCTCCACCCCCGGCGTCGACCAAACCGGCGACCAGCTCCTCAAACACGCCAAGGTGTACACCCTCGCGGAAAAACTCTCCATGCCCGCCCTCAAAACGCTCTCCCACTCCAAGATCCACCTCGTGACCTCCACCGCCGTCGCCGAGCTGACCTACGCGCGCTACGTCTACAGCCACACGGGGCGGGAGGACGCGACGATCCGGAAACCGGTGGCGAGCTTCTGGGGCCAGAGGAGCCACGTGTTGAGGCACGAGACGGAGGGGACTTTCCGGAAGATGTGTTTGGAGTATCCGGAGTTTGCGTTTGACGTGCTGAGTTTTGTGCTGGATGCCGAGGAGAAGCGGGAGGAGAGGAGGCGGAAGGCGGATGATGGGGAGGGCGGGAAGGGCAGCGCGAGGAAGAGGGCTAGGGGGGAGAGATAGACGGAGGTCCTTGAGATGGCATGTCTGATGAGAGGGGAGAGGGGAGAGGGGTGCAAAATTTGGTGAGACGATCTGCTTCTTCTTTATTGATGTTGATGCCGTCTGTCACAATACAAAAGTACATTTCCGGACAAAGTCTTACAGATAGAGCGAAGGAATGTGTAACCATAGTATTATCAATAACAGCTGTACAACAAGCTATGCTTTCTCCCAGCTTTTGCCCCAAAAAAAAAGCAATTGGTATCAATCTCGGTAGAGATTCGCTCATGACACGCTACGGTCCTGGGTATGGTCACTGCAAGGAAGCCTCGACGGTCCGGTTCACGAGCTCGCTCACTCGTTCACCGCTTTCTATGATGGGTCTCCTGCGTCCGATCAGAGTCTTCCTTCTGCGCCGTAGAACCGCGCTCCAAACGCCGAGTCGAATCCTTCGGCTTCGCCTCGCCGCAATGCTATACAACACAACACATGCCAAAGACATCAAATCCTTCCACCTCTTTGCCGAAAGGTGTCGCCAGTGGATGGGATGGGCTTTTCAAGCCTCAACACCCACAGCAGCAAATCCTCCAGCGGCAGCATCGTCAGGAAGACCCGATTGCACAGATAAGCGGCACAAGCCACGATCGTCGCCATCAGCGCGTCCATCCAGTAGTGATTCGCGGTCGCTACAATGGTGACTAGAATCATACTCGGGTATCCCAGCCCGATGAGGCAGTAAATGGATTTCCAAAAACATGACTTTTTCGTCTCCCCCTTTTCCAAGCTTCTTCTGAAGATACCGGCATGGTAGATCATGGTGCAGCCAATCACGAATGCGTAGCCGAAATGCATGCTCGGCATGGCGGCGAGCGAATTGACAAAGTTGCCGCTCATCCAGATCGAAGTTGCTTTGTCGTGGCGCACGGAGTCTAGGAACCCATATTCAGGCGGAAGCAGGCGCGGAGGCATGCAGGGGTAAAGGGTAAACGTTAGAAAGGCGAAGAGGTTGGTAAGGGTGAGGGTACGGCGAATTGTGGCGAAGGTAGAGTGTGAGGGCGCGATGTAGTAGTACCACGCTATAAAGCTGTTGAAGGTGTTAGACGATATTTGAAGAAAAGGAGGTAGGGCATTCAAGAGACGAGAAAGGGAGCGACGGACCCTACGGTGCCAGGTATGTGGATAAGAGCGTAGGCTCGATTCAGCACGGTCAATGCATCTTGATGGCCTTGCATGAACCAGTGCTGCACGTTGTGCTCTTTGATCGGGAAAAGAAAGCTTGCCCAGCTGAATTGCTCGAACTCAAGGATTGTCAGGCCGTGCGCCTGAGCGACTTCTATAATGGATTTGGTAAATATTATTTGTGAAAAAACCTTTGTCAGTCGATAGAAGAGGTAGGTGATGATCCAATAGAACATCTCGACCAAGAATGGAAACTTTTGTAAAACACGGCTGTGTATGTGTTCCGAGAAGCGTGAGGAGTTCGGGGTGCTGATGACGAGTCCGCAGCACGTCCGTCTTTTGGAGAGATGCTTGGACGCTGATAGAGGATCTTGAGAGTCATCGTCGTGGTCCGAATCGTACCAGAGCAAGTCTTCGGTCGAGTTGGAGGAGTCGGAGTCTAGGTAGGAATCGTGGTATCCTTCTTTCCGCTTCCCGAGGATTTGAAAATTCCTTCTCCGCGTCAGAAACATAGCTCCACCCAGGATAGATAAGACAATCTTGGAGGCATTGTTAGCCGGAGGTGTTTGTCTAAGACACGGGAACAAGAGGTACCAATGGCTCTCCCCATGGAGGAAGATGATACATAGGCTGGCTCTTCCACTCCGGCGGGACTTCAAGTATTGTAAGGTTCGTCGTCATGATGAAAGCTCTCCCATAAGATAGTCTTCGCGATATTCCACACCTCCACGACCTGCTCAGACCGGGGGTCACGCGACTAGAAGGTTTTTGCCGGGCGATGGTCAAGTAATAGACACGAAGGCCAACACCGAGTGTTGATTAGAAGCGACAGTGAGATAGAAGTGAAAATGGCAGTCAGGGGATTGAGAGTTGATGTACTCTGCGGAAGTCGGATGTGAAAGTTGTAATGTTGTTGTTGTTGTTGCCCGAGCTGCAGCAAGTCAATAAAACGCACAATTATGTCATCTCATCGTCCGAGCGTGAGGGTGACAACATACGACGTGAGAGGAGATAGTACTATTAGCGAATATTTTTGGTGAAAGGCGTGTCGGGATGATATAGGGATGCTGAACATGAAGTTGCACGTTCTTTTGACCGGCAAAAGCCTTTTCCCTGTCCAATATCCCTCGGTGTTTCCAGAACTGGCCGAGTCCGAATATGGGGAATTATCACGAAGTCGGGGGGGAGGAAAGAGCAGTAGCAGCAGCTCTTGAGATGAATTGTGGAGAGGAGGAAATTGTTTTCTGCTTTCTGTGTGTATAAGTTAAGTACTGCGGAGGAAGATGATAGAGAGAATGATATACACGGTAATCTCCTTTTCTCTTTTCTCTTTCTCTTTCTATTTCTCCTCTTGCCGCCTCAGCTCGTACTTTAAGCCAAGGAGCCAAAGTCATCATGACCCTTCCGACCTAGCCGGGGAAGATGCGTATCCTCTTTTGCCAAGAACGTATCTGCCAAGAGTTCATAATTTTAGGTACATGTATACTTTTTCCTTTTTATTCTTACCGATCTTTTCAATGCAAATTTGGCTCGGACTAGTGACTAGCCTGCCTTGGCCTCATTTCCCCCCTCACCACTCGGGCCTCGAGGACACACGTTCAGGCCAACTCCAGTCTTCGAGTCCAACAAAAAGTACCTACCGTATCTTCTTCACAACTATATTTACCACGGGAAAACTGTTGCTGACATGTTTGCTCAGAATTTCAACAGTGTAAATTTTGCAAGCAAAAAATTGATCGTACAAGTAAGCCTTCTTAATAACTGGGTATTGACCCTGCGTCCACCCGGTATTCCACCCCCTCGTAAATTCATAAGAACATGAATGTACTCCGAAGATCGCCATTTGCCATGCGATAACGGCTATTAGACTTATGCTAATCTAGGCTAACGGCAATGCTGCGGATCTGTCTGTACGCGTACTTTAGCTTCGCCGCCTCGGGTGCGTGCTCGGTGGTCTCTCACTCCCTTCCCCGTGCTCAAAAAAAAGTCTTGGCAACTTGTCCCTGGAATTGAAATTGGATTTGGATTTTAACCGATCACTGCCGATCCTCAAGCATCACCGCCATTCTCTAACTCGTATCGCCATGCCTCGCGAAGCAGAACCTTCCATCAACGACCGCGCTTTTCTCCTCCAAGCTCTCCAGGAGAACATTCGCCTCGATGGCCGCGCCCTTGATGCTTACCGCCACCTCGACATATCCTTCGGCGACGACTACGGCGTCGCAGACGTTCGCTTGGGCAAGACGAGGTATCCATCTCTTGACGTGGAATCAGTTGACTGGTGGCAATCGTTGACCCGTCCATAGAGTCCTCACACGTATCTCAGCCTCCATAACAGCTCCCCGCCCCGACCGGAAGTTCGACGGCATCTTCACCATCACAACCGAGCTCTCCCCCCTCGCATCCCCCGCCTTCGAATCCGGCCGGTAAGGATCCTCCTCCCCTCCATGTCTGGGGTAAGACCTCTCCCTCTTTCCTCCCTACGCTACACACTCCGCATCCGGCCCTCCCTCACTCTTGTCCCTCAGTGATGACCAGGCTAATCCATCTCATAGCCAATCAGACCTCGAAACGCACCTCTCCCGCATCCTCGAGACCTCCCTCCGGCGCTCGCAAGCTCTATCGACCGAGTCCCTCTGCCTGGTAGCGGGCCAAAAAGTATGGGCCCTCCGCGCCGACATCCACGTTCTCGACTACGACGGCGGTCTCATAGACGCCTGCTGCCTCTCCACCCTGACCGCACTCCGGCACTACAGAATCCCGGACGCTAGCGTAAAAGGCGGCGACTTGACCGTCTACACCCCCGTGGAGCGCGACCCGGTACCGCTCGCCCTACTCCACCACCCCGTCTGTGTGACCCTCAACTTCTTCGAATCGGGTGAAAAATGGCTCGTGGACGCGACGTTGATGGAGCAGCAATGCAGTGAAGGGGAAATCGTAGTCGCGGCGAATCCGCAGGGGGAAGTGTGTCTGGTGCAGAAAGGGGGAGGAGGGGAGGTGGATGCGCTAGTGTTGCTGCGATGTGTGGAGGTGGCGATGGGGAAGGTCAGGGAGCTGGGCAAGGCCATGGATGGAGCGTTGGCGAAGGATGCGAAAAGGAGGGACAAGGGAGGGATGAGTAGGGAGTTGAGGGCGGAGAATGAGCGGTGACGGTGGTGAGAAGCGAGAACGGTGGACTTTTGAACACGCTGGGAAGCTCATCATGGGTGAAATGCTAGTAACTTTCATCCGTGGACCCAAAAGCGCAAACGTAATGTGCTAACATGCGGACCAAAAATGCCCAAAATATCATACAAAGCCATGGTCTTTGCCAATCCCCAATGAACGACCCTGTATGACAATGCTAAAATGAAAACGCTCAGGTATGGTTCAAACATGCAAACGCTAAATACGGTTGGACAGGATATAAAGGGTACAAAACCCCCAAAACGCAAATAGTCGTGCGCAATATCCCCGTTCACGAAGGATCCGTCGACCCAGCCTCCTCCAACTCTTTGACATACTTCACAAATGCCTTCTTATGCACCAACCCTGCATACTGCCCATCCCTCAGCACACAAATATACCTCAATCCCAACTTGACAAAGCACTGAAAAACAAGATCCATTGGCGAATGGATGTCCAATGCCACAGGCGCCGGATCGATATAGGGCGTGAAATCGGTAGGATCCGGTTCTCGCTCTTCTTCTTCCTCGACGTTTCCATGCCATGTTACGTTGGTGGCCATCAAGCACAACGACTGCTCTTCGTCTTCGAGGTTGTCGAGCGCGAATTGGAGATCCGGGGCAGGTATGAGGCCCACAAGGATGTCATGACGAATGACAGGGAGCCCGCCGTCGATTTCGCCGGCGTCGTGGAGATACTCGAGTTTGCGGCGGAGAGCTTGAGCAGAGACAAGGGGGGAGTTGGAGATGTCGATGACGCGATGGGAGCGGACTTTTGGGGTGATGTCTCCGAGATCTGAGGTGAAGATCGGGCGGATTTTGTTGTCGAGCAAGGGGTAAGAGTTCATGTCTGTGAGAAGGTCGTAGATGCTGAGAGGTTCGAGGGCGTCGGCGGTCCATTTGGCTACTAAGACTGAGAGGGAGAAGGGGAGCACGTGGTCTAGGCTTCCGGTGAGCTCGAAGAGGATGACGGCAAGGGTGACGGATAGTCTGGTTACGCCGCACATGGTTGCACCTGCGGCAACCAATGCGTAGACGCCGGGGGTGATGCAGCCTTCCAGATCTCCGCCTTTAGGGCAGCTACCGAAGATTGGATGATCGGGGTGCAAAAAGACGAGGTATTGGACAAGGTGGCCCACAATGCGTCCCATTAGACCACCAACAACCATGGAAGGAACGTATATCCCGGCAGGAACCTTGATGCCGAAAGTGATAATAGTCAGGATGCTTTTGATGACGAAGGCAATGCAAAGGTATCCAACAATGCCGAGAATCTCGCTTCCATGCTGAGGGCAGAGGCCAGATGTGTTATCTTTGCAAGGGCTGGCCAGTTCGAAGAGAAGTTCTGTGACTGCGAGCTTGGTGTAGCGATTCCAAAAGCTGGCTAGACCAGTGACTAACGCCACGAGTACAACTTCAAGGACCGGCCACCGTTTGATGCTGGGGATGCGTCGAAAGGTACGGGCCCATAGTCTGCATGCTTTGATGAACAGTGCACCAAGTGCACCACCTAGAATACCAAGCAGTATAAAGACAAACATTTCGAAGGACCTCCAGTCAGTAACGTAGCGTACTTCAAAGATGACTATCTTCCCAGTGCCGTAAGGATTGAGGAATTTGAGCGAAAGAGCTGCTACGATGCAGCAAAAGAAGGTCCTGAACAACGTCTTGGGCGGAAAGTAATAGCTAACCTCCTCGAGACTGAAAAGAACACCGCTAATGGGGGCCCCAAACGCGACACCGACACCGCTGGCGGCACTGGCGCTAAGAATCTCTCGCCGCTTGCCATCATTGTGGTTGTACTTTGAGAATAATCTGCAAGCAATATTTCCTACGCAAGTCGCGATATGAACATAAGGACCTTCCTTGCCGATACTAAGGCCAGATGCGACACTGAGGATGAGGGCGAAAGTCTTCACAACAAGTGTTCGAAGCCCCAGGTAACCGTGCACGACGAAGCCACTGAGAATAACTTTCACTTCAGCAACACCGCTTCCTGCAGCAGGGTAGTAGACCATGGTTCCAGGCTTTTCATCAACAACTGCGGGCCCCGTGGGACTTAAACTGATTTTCTGGCTCATATCGTCGGATTCTCCACGGTGCTTCTGCTTGTCGGCGCCCAAGTTTTCGTCCAGGGTGGAGAGTGAGAATGCTGATGGTATCTCGGTCTTAGTGATCAAGGTCAAGAAGCAGGCGCCGACAGCGAAGAATACCACGAAGAAAACGTAGGCTATGAAATCGATCCACATCCTCTCGATGCCAGTGATACTCATACGTTCTCCCCAGCTTTCCCAGGAGGGACAGTGATTCAGCCCGTAACAACACTTCCTCTTGCTGAAGTACCAGCCCTCTTTGCAATAGCCGTCCTTATAATCGAAAATAGAAGTCTCTGAAATGTTGACGAAAAACGCTACGCACGCGGTTATACATCCAATTATAGCCACAAGTATCCAGCCTTGGGCTCCGTCAAACCACGCGAATATGCGTCCTCGTAGGTCCTTCCGTGCTCGAAGATCACGTACTCGGAAGGCATCAGCGATGCTGTCGTGCACCCAATCCGTCGACGTAAACTGATCGTACCACACTCGCTCGTCCATGAATATTGAGGCTTTGGACTCGCCCATGCCATTTTCCGTGAACTTTCGCCCTGAGCCAAGTGCGCTTGCTAGGTGGAAACCCCATGAGCTGGCTCTGCTGTGATTCTTAGACATTCCGAGGCTGCCTTGACTCGACCGTCTTGAGAAGCGCGGCCGCCCGGTGTTGGGCGCCGTGTAACTCCTCATGTTGCCATCCCCAGATGCCAGCAGGCTCGAGTGTTCGTCATATGAATGTCGTTTAGAAGGCATGCGTCTTCGAAGGTCCAGCTCAGACGTCCTAGCAGAATGGAGACGGCGAGCAGCTGCAGGCGAAGTGGGTGTTATGTAGCCAGCTTGTTGAGATATGATATTATCATCCTCCTCATCTTCTTCATCGACAGTCTGAGAGGAGACGTGGGAGGACGCCGATCGAGGCATGGTGAATGGAGGGGGGATGCGAATGGGAGCAAAGCTCAAACGGAGGTTTCTACCAGGTCGATTGTCAGTCATCGTGGGTACAGTCCTCATATGGTACAAAGTGAACGACGACGTAAATATATGAAGCTCGCATCAGCAGAGCATGCAAGCACGAGGTGCAGGCAACTGCGTATATCTTACTTTCCATGGTCACAACAACACTTGTCGAGCCGCCCGGAGCAGGCTGAGTGTAACAGGTCCCAAACACGTTCAAATCCTTTGCGGTGTTTCGCATCCGAGCGAGCCAACGAAGGAATGATAAGGTCGTACTAGAACAGGCGTAAGCCGTAGACGCGGAGACGAAACACAAGGCAGTGCAGTTTCAGAGACCGTCGTGTCACGTATCATGTATCGTGAATTTTCACTACGAGTCAGACGAGCAACAAAGAAGAAAAAGATTCGAGTGAGGAATGGCCGGAAATAGAAAAATATGGAAGAATCATAACGTCGTTCCCTTGTCTCGTGGCCGGGGAATTTATCGCCAAGCTTTCCACTCGTACCGCGGGGTTGCTGAAAGTTTGATGCCATCAAGTTGTGACATGTGACATGTGACATGTGGCATGTGAGACTCTCGAGGCTCTCTTCAAGTGCATGACTTGACAATAAATTATTGTCAGACCTCTGGTCGTGGACAAGCAGTGGCCCTTCAGAAGCACTTGGAACATTAAGTATCTTAGCTCATGAAAGGGGAAGACTCTCCTTAGAGAGGCTTGAGATGACTGCCCAAATGTAGAGTACTCGCTCCGTTAGTCATTGGGTACGTACTGCGCGTAAGGACCGAAGATAGGTTGTTCAAGATACGGAAGTACTCGATTATAAAAGGGAGCACCGAGGTACGGTAAAGTGATACAAACTTTAGTATAGTAGTGACGTAGCAAGCATTTCAATGATCCAAGAGCCGACTTTTTGCTGTTCAGCAGATGAATTATAGTATGACCATTCCACCCGGTAGTAGAAAAATGTCTAGCTGGCAACCTCCAATCAAGGTCTCGACCGCCCAGACAGATGAGGAGAAGGTAGAATAATCATGAGTGACACCGAACTCTTTCTCTCTCTCTCTCTGACATGCTTGTGCCAGAAAAATATTGCTGTGGTCTTGGACTACATGTCAACCGCCTATTCGCCCGAAAACAACAAAGGTCGCTCCAGCGTTTCGCATCTCTGTACCCCAAACTCGACCTTCGCCGCCCCTACTACTTTCCCGACCTGCCATAGTAAGCAAGTTCATCAGCCCTTTATTTCCTGATCCGTACCCTACTCAATCCTCGATCCGGAATCGGATATGTCTGACTGGTATATTCGTAGCGCCCCTTGATTATGCGGACTCCCACGCAAAGGTCATGTCCGCTATCGCCGACCTGCACATCATCAGCTACGACATCGTGTTTGCGAAAGAAGGGCATGTGCTGCTAAGGTACAGCGCTGAAGGTAGTCACTGTGGGCAGCCTCACAATGGCATTGAGCCCAGCGGAAAGAAGGCGAAATGGACAGCTGCTGCTATCTTTGAGGTACAAGATGGAAAAGTACATAGCTTCACTAAAGAATGGGACAAATTGAATATGTGGAAGCAGTTGGGATGGGTATGTACATCTTGGAGCCAATCCTTCCTTCTCTGGAACCCTTTCTGAGTTGCAAGAAATGGTCTCGGAGCAAATGGTCTAATACCCCAATGATCATCTCATTGCTCGGAATTGTACCTTGAAGTGGGAAGGCTGACTCCGCAAACCTATAGATGAAGGGAGATGAGTATGCGTGAGGGATGACTGGGGACTGGTTGCGATGAGAGGCAATTGAAAGTAATCATAGAGCTCTTCGTCTCCCTCTCTCTGCATGGCAGCGTCCGATTACGGCGAGTATGTAAGCAGGATCTATCTAACAGCACGCCTTGGGAGAATAAGGTACCGCTAGCGAAAAAAAGACTGCATTGATTTCTTGTAGGCACCGCTAAATGATCAATATACTGATGGGAGTATTTAGAGCATTGACGATAAGTGGGTGCCGTTATGATGATCATGGCATTTAGGGAAAACATAATGGACGCTCCAATTGAATGAAGAATGCCAGTATCCTGCTCGTCCTGGTCGATTCGCATCGGATGCATCTTCTGGAAAGCAAGAAAGAGGAACAATTCTGATACTGCTCCTGCTGTGGCTCAGCCGTTCTTGCTCCAAGGATTTGCTTTCTGATTGCTGCCAGGGCGGTGTTGCTCCACAGAAACCTCCAGCTTTTCCAGTACAATATCTTCAAGACCATCATTCTAGATCGCCAGCTCGACAAAAGAGCTTTAAGAGCGAGAACGCTTGTAATTCCTGTGGTCCAGTGCAAGGGGTTTCATTGGTACAGTTGGTCCCTTGGTCATTGAAGGAAAAGAGAGCCTCTCGGGCGGTTGAAATCTCTGTGAAGATCAAACTCCGTAAGGCTGAAAAGGCTTGGCAGAAGAACTAGAGTGCTCAACCGAGGGAACACTGCTTTATCCTTTTTTACAGCATCAGAAATATCTACGCGAGTCTCAAGATGACGACAGGTGAGTAGTGGAGGACATCAGGCTGTGACATCTTGCTTACAATGCTACAGCTCATAGGCCCACGTTCGATCCGGTAAGCTCTTTCAATATCCTCTTCGCACGGACGCGGCTGAATGAAACAGGCCCGTGGGAAAGACGCCCAGCGGGGAGTAGCATATCACCAGCGACTACTCCCAGCACACACCCAGCTCAAAATTCGGTATGCTCGTCGTAATGTTCCTACTGCGTAAACTAACAGCCAGATAGACAGTCCGGACAAGGAGGAGATGCCGACCCTTATGTACGAGACCTCAGAGCCCAGCTCCTCGAAGCTGAAGCTGCACATTTTTCCAAGACGAATCCGGCAGCTGCCAAGACTACGGAGTCTACCATATCCAGTAAACGCAGATTAGAGGATGGTCCTGGGGAAAATGGAGAAGAAGAGGACCTACAGGCAAAGAGACGGCGTGTACTAGAGGAAACCAGGAATGTCGACGCAGACTCGGATGGCTCTAAGAGCGATGATAGTAGCGAAGAAGATAGGTATGCCAAGAAAGGCTTGGATTTGAGTCATTTGTTAATCTGAGGAACCGGACAGTGACGATGAAGAGGACGAGACCGCCGAGCTGCTGCGGGAACTCGAGAAGATCAAAAGGGAAAGGGCTGAACAGAAAGAAAAGGAAGTAAGTGTGGAGGGGAAGGAAAATAATCCGCTCCATGATACTTGCTAAGCTTTGCCTTCTAGGAGCGCGAGAAAGCATCAGCAGAGCAAGAGAAGCGAGAGAATGACATTGCTCTTGGCAATCCTCTTTTGATGCCGACGAAAGAAACTGAGACCAAACGAAGGTCTGTGTACGGCCTATTAGCTCAAACCATCGTTGACTTATATCATTCTAGATGGGACGATGATGTGGTATTTAGGAACCAGGCAAGGGGTACCGAGAATAAAGGCAAGAAGGAATTTGTCAATGTATGTGATCCTTTCAATCACGCCGGCCTAAACTAATTGCTGTCATTAGGATTTGCTTCGGTCAGACTTCCACAAACGATTTATGGTAAGTAGTCACTGAAAGCAGGTTGGATCATTGCCGAGCTAGCCAAGGCTGACAACTATGCAGGGCAAGTATGTTCGATGAGATGTCTACTTTTGCAAGGACATGAGAAAGCAATCAATTCCGCTGTTCGTTGAAGAAGGCTCAAAGGCTTCCCCTCAAAGTACATTACTGGAGTCATCTGCCTAGCGCATTTTGATCATGAAAAGGGTCTCTTGCAGCCATGGCTGTCAGGGATAAGAGACCTCCCAAGGCAGAGCGATTGATTGTACCTGCATACGGCTGCTCTCTTCTTCGAACTGTCGAGGCGGTAGTTGATGGCTATGCGAACAGTCTTGTGGACTTGATTGAATAGGTGGTAGCCAAGCTGAACCTCTCAGGATCGAGAAACCGTGCATGACCCAGTGGCAACGGCTCTATCCCAGAGCCCTCCGTCAACTTATGAAAAGCAGCGAGTAAAAGGCGGCCGAGTAGCCCCCTTGAAAAACCGGATGGGATCAAATGCCGCATAATTACCTACCTACTCTAGGATGCACCTCGGGCTCTGATCTCGATTGGAGCCAGGAAAAGCGAAGGATTTGCCCTGCTTATTGCTTTCTGCCTTCGCCGCCGACGAACCTTTTGCTCGGAGCAAAAAGAAGGCGATGATGCGCCAGCGCTACTGCGAAGCATTTCTTGCCGCGCCCATGCCAAGTTTCTGAGACGGCTTTATGCATGAGCGTGCCAGCTGAAAGTGATGTGTTCAGGACCCTCACGCAGAAAGCCAGTGAAGCCATTGGGCCAAGAAATGCATGCCTCGGAGTAGCTCAGGGGAAGGGCGTCATATTGCAGCGATCGTATCGGCTGGTGCGGGGCTCTTTGTTATTGTTGTTGGAGGTTGGAGGGGTAAATTACGCAGATTTTCTTTGCATTCCACTCCGTGTCCCTGAGAATGTTGATGCAGGGAAATTGCAACCCGCAGCTGCGCCCCGCCAAAACTTGGTCGATCGGTTGAATTCGTCAATTCGTCATCCGTGGGGTCGTGACTTTCAATTCACCCTTGCCCCGCCTTCCTTGACTTCGATACGACCCCGCCTGATTCGTTTTCATATTTAATTAACTCACTTCCTCCACCTTTCAATCTTCTCATCAGCATTCCCACAATCTAAAATCCTGTTTCCTATTACAATCCAACCAATCCAAAATCTAAAAACCTCACAACCAACCTAATCAACATGTCTGGATACGGTGATGACCAACAATCCGTGAGTGCCCACCTCACTTCCAATAGACAGCTCACTAATTTCTCTTCCTCATAGGGTGGAGGCTACGGAGTAAGTCATGACGTCTTTACTGAGACCGCGTTTGACAGCATGCTAATGTGTCTGTGCAGGGTGGTGACAGTGGCATGAGCGGTGGCCAGGGAGGCCAATCAGGCGGCGACTCCGGCTCCGGAGGCTACGGAGGTGGACAATCTGGTGGTGACTCCGGCTCTGGAGGCTACGGAGGAGGCCAATCTGGCGGCATGGGTGGTGACTCCGGCTCCGGAGGAGGATACGGTGGAGGACAATCAGGCGGCATGGGTGGTGACTCCGGCTCTGGAGGAGGATACGGTGGAGGCCAATCAGGCGGCATGGGTGGTGACTCCGGCTCTGGAGGAGGATACGGTGGAGGCCAATCAGGCGGCATGGGTGGTGACTCCGGCTCTGGAGGAGGCTACGGAGGAGGACAATCAGGCGGCATGGGTGGTGACTCCGGCTCTGGAGGAGGCTACGGTGGTGACTCTGGATCAGGCAACCAGTCTGGCGGAGGCTCAGGTAACCAATCGGGCGGAGGCTCAGGTGGAGGTAAGCTCACCCATATTCATCTTCAATGCCTGACGGTGCTAATCGTTCCCTATATAGGACTCAAGGGCAAACTAATGGGCATGGCCGAGAACAAGTTCGGTGGTGGTGGTGGTGGTGGCAGCAGCAACAACGGCAATCAGGGTGGCAGCAACTGGTAGAAAGTTCTGGCTACGTGCTTGCCCAGTCTGATAGCATGGTCTGTACAAGAGGATATGCTTGCCGGCGACTGGTGACGACACAATCCTCATGGTCCTTAGACCGAGTAGGGTCACGTTCTAGATTAGCATGAATAGCTATCAACGAGCCATTGAGAACGAATGTCCTCTCCGAGACTTCTGGTGATGCCATGACCTGTACGCCTCGATGATCGATCTCCTGTAGCTGAGTATTGAGGTTCGCATCCTCCCTCTTACATATTCCTGCCGCCGCCAGCCTCGTGCAACTTTCAATATCATGCGGGATATTCTTTCAGGCATGATTTCTACGACTGTCCTCTCCACTTGACTACCACGACCAGCAATCCTGTGTGCATGGATCCGAACCAATGCACCTCTGGTGCTCTCCTTGGTATCTACTTTCCCCCCCCCCCCCCCCCAACACGCTGCTTTTCCTTCCGTCATCCTCTCTGCAGCTTTTCCGGTGCAAATCGCTAACGCCGGTAGACCGTGCCTCCGCAGACGTAGCGCAGCTCCTGCGCCGTTTCGAGAACATCATTGCGTTTGAATCCGTCCGTGTTGCCTCACTGCAGCAAGGAGGGGGACGGTCCAGAATATATGGAAGGCTGACGTGTGGTGGAGTGTGTAGGACGGCAAGCAAGATCGCAATGCCACCGCCGTGGGGGCCTATCAGATGGAGGTCGAGACGTCGGCATTGGTACGATATCTACAATCTTCCTATTGCCCCCAACGGCTTCACAAACGATGAAGCCTACATGACTGTTGCCCGCTTCTACGGTCCATGCGCCCCCTTTTTCAGTGCATGTGGGAAGTGTCCTGACAGTATTCCGTCCCCAGATCCGGGCCGCAGAGGACATCCTGTCCCTGACACGGATACTCAAGGAAGCGTGGCTGTTTGGCAAACTGCAGACGGTGGGGAGCAGCGAGGCGGAGACGAGGGCGGAAGCTGCGGCGGTGAAGGTGGCGGCGGGATTGAGCAGGTTGCGGGGCGGCGACGGAGCGGAGGCCACGGGGTCGAATCAAGAGCCGACCGGGAGCGATGGAGACGGTAGAGGGGTTGGAAAAGAGGGTGAGGAACGAACGGGCTGAGTCATTCATAGAATTGGATATCCAAGAGTCAAAAAATGCCACGGTCAACTTTCTCAACATACATTTATCAAACACCACCGCCTCCTCTTTCCTCCCAAAACCTAACCATGCCCCCCTCTCCCACCTCCATGCCCCCCCCCCCCCCCCCACTCACCCTCATCGTAGCCACCACCCCCTCCCTCGGCATCGGTCTCCGCGGCACCCTCCCCTGGCCGCCCCTGAAACCCGACCTCGCCTTCTTCGCCCGCGTCACCAAACGTCCTCCTCCCCCGCACCTTCGACCTTCCCCTCCCCCTCCTCCTCCCCAGCCCCACACCTCCACGGGCCGCGAAGCGGCAAAGGAGAGCCGCAATGCCGTCATCATGGGCCGCAAGACGTGGGAGAGTCTGCCGCCCAAGGCGCGCCCGTTGAAGGGCAGGGTCAACGTGGTCCTGACGAGGGATGTCCGGGGGTTGGGTTTGCCGGAGGGCGAGGGGGTTTTGGGGGTCGGCGGGATCGAGGAGGGGTTGAGGCGGTTGCGGGATGCGTATCCGGGTCCGCCGGGGGGACGGGAAGGGGAGGAGGAGCGGCGGCGGCTGGACGGGGACGGTGGTGTGGGAGAAGCGGAGGCCGTGCGGCTGGGGAGGGTCTTTGTGATCGGGGGGGCGGAGGTCTATCGGCGGGCGCTGGAGATGGAGTCTTGCGAGAGGATCCTGTGGACGAGGCTGAGGGGGGAGTGGGAGTGCGACGTGTTCTTCCCGAACGGGGTGCTGCCGGTCGGGGACGAGGTTGGGGGAGACGGGACAGGGGAGGGCGGGGGGGGTGGGCCCGGGGGGGGATGGGTTAGGAGGTCTACGGAGGAGTTGGAGAGGTGGGTTGGGGAGGAAGGGGTGGGTGGGGTGAGGAGGGAGGGAGGGGTCGAGTTTGAGGTTTGTATGCTTGAGAGGGAGAGGGGGTGAGAAGGCGGATGGGCAAGACATGACGAATGGCGTGTACAGTTGCGAGACTGAGATTGGTGGAGGCATCTTGAGCCTGCTATGGATGTACGTTATGATCGCTGCAAATGAGCGCAAAGGGCTTTTGTAGAAGATCGTGTGTACATACGAGCAGTGGACTATACATGGAATGAGCTAGACAGAGGTGGAAGGGAATGTGGCCAGAAGCCAGATCCCTCCTCATGTTGGAGGCCCAGGCTCGAGGGTTCAGACACTGAACTTCTCAATGTTCGCGGCCCGAAGCCATTCAGAATCATCCTTTGATGCGCTCTGAGCAATCCTATACAGCTGGTCCAGGAACGCAGGTACAAAAGTACCAGGCCCCTTAACGTCTTCCCTCTCTCCAGCCTGCTCAGCCGCGATCTCATACATCAGGATACCTGCCAGGGCGGCAAGCAACTTATCCCCTTTGTGCACAGCGAGGAACGCTGCTATCGTGGTACCCAGCGTGCAGCCACTGCCGGTTATATTGCCGAGATAGTCATGTCCATTCTTAATTGCGTACGTTCTTTCGCCGTCACTCAGATAGTCCGTCTTCCCCGTCATGAGAACGACATTTCGTTCTCTTGCGGCCAACTTCTTCACCAATTGGGCCTTGGCAGACTCATCAGTGGTGCTAGCGCCCATGTCGACACCTTTTTGCTGCACCAAGCTTTCTCCAAGAACCGTTGTAATCTCGTTTTCGTTGCCCTTGATGAGGTCGAAATAGCCATTACTCATGAGCGTCTTGACGGACTGCCGGCGGACGGCCGTGGCTCCTGCACCGACGGGATCAAACAGGACAGGGCCTTCAACTTCATTGTACGCGCGGATTGCTGAAATGTAGTTGGTCAAGCCATCTGGTGTGACAGTGCCCATGTTGACGACCAGTGCACCGCCCAGTCCGGCCAGATCCTTAGCTTCTTCGCCGTAGTTTGCCATAATGGGACTTGCGCCGATACACAGAGCCACATTTGCTGCGAAGTTCTGGACTACTAAGTTGGTCATGTTGTGGCACAAGGGGGACTTGACGCCCAATTCTTTGACGATGCGGGGGATCTGGCTCAACAGCGTTTCGACATTCTGGTGCTCACCCGCATTAGGGCTCATGGAGACAGGGACTTTGCCTATCGAAGACCTCAATCCAGCTGCTGCTGCTTTTGGATCTTGTGCGGCTATGATGGCACTTACCACCGCTACTCCGTCAAGTCCTTTGCTTGGTGCTTTGGATTGGAACATCACACGCTGCACGTTCGAGTCATTAAGCCCTCCTATTGCAACCGTAGATATCGCCATATCCATTGTGGACAGGCGATCCAGAATCCTTTTGACCCCAGCGGTGCCTATAATTGATTTGGTGTTTTCCTTCGTGGGCGTCGCGTATACAGTTCCGATCCCCAAATATGAGGCACCTCCGCTCGCTGCTACCACAGCTTCGGAAAGATTGTTGGCTGTCACACCGATGATGGCGTCGGGACCTAGGATCCTTTGAGCTGTTCCCAAGTCCATGTCCTCCTGACCGAGGTGCACTCCATCCGCACCAACGGCCTGAGCAACACCGACGTCGTCATTGATAAGTAAGGGAACGTTGTGTTTCTTTGTGATGGCACGGAGTCGCTTTCCCATGCGAATCAGATCAGCGGTCTCGCTTTTCTTATCTCGATATTGCACGACGGTAACACCGCCCTCAACAGCTGCCTCAACCACGGAAGCAAGATCCTTGTCTCCAAGGATTGCCTGAGTGGAGTCCGTAACCAGGTAGAGGGAGTAATCGATGGCCATGTCCAGACGGTTCACATCAAGCAAATACACTCGGGAGCACAGGAGGAACATTCATCTTTCATTCCTTTACTATCTACCAAACCCGGGTCAGAATGGTTCGGTTCTTTTGCGCGCCTTCTCATTAATTGGGCAATGTAGGAAAATTACATAACAGCGAACACTGTCAAACCCCCTTGAGCGCTGAGCGATGACAATTTGATTGGTAAAAATGTTTAATGTGGGAATGATGTAAAAATAGAAGACGAGGTCTCAAGTGTCAAGAAGGGTTTCATGGAGGTCGGTAAAGCCGGAGACAATCCTCCTGTAAGCCGCTTGTAGAGTAGAGTAGAGTAGAGTAGAGTACTGTATAATCTTGCAACTTACATAGTTATTCAACTGTTGGAGTGATGGTCATGTCAAGGTAGAAATGAAGAAATGAAGAAGAGGAAGAAATGATAAAGTAAACAGCAGCTAGTTGTAGGGCAGGAAAGGTGCAGGAATCATGCGTTCATTCAATTGTTGTTGCAGGCTTGAGACGCTGGACCACATGTCACGCTAGCCCTCGGCTGACCTCGCCGAGACTTTTTCTTACCTTTGCCTTTCTCTCTCTCTTTCTCTCTCTTCTTCTTTATTTTCTCTCCCTCTGATCCCTTCTCCCTCCAACCACAACACCATCAAAATCATCAGACTCAACTTTCAAACATTAGCAGGCAACAACTCTCTCAGCAAAGCTCCTCCATCATCAAGCCAGACCCGTCTGCAACCAACTCAGTGCAGTCCCGGAAATTGCACGCATCTAATTCCTACAAAACAGAGTCACCACCAGCAATTACACGGCTGTCTATGTATTCGTGCTCTAACGCCTTCAGAAACCATCCGCCGCTCACGCTGCAACCATTTCCTATACCGCGGAAACCTTGTAGCCTCTACGCAAGATCCAACGGGTAATTCCCAGCAATCGCAAAACCCGTCTTGTACAAATTCGCGCCATCTTCCATGAGCGGCCTGGATCTCTGCATGTCTCTGTTGGCATTGTTCCGTGGTCATACTGTACTTTCGTGCTCGGCTTCCTATTTGCATTTTTACTAAAAAAGAACACGCTTCACCGCAATCATGGCTACCCTTAACATTCGTCGGGTCAGTAATCCTTGCCTTCCAGGACCCGGTCGTGGTATGCTAACCTCCACGACAGGATGTCGCCGACCCCTTCTATCGCTACAAGATGGAACGTCTTCAGTCCAAGATCGAGGGCAAAGGCAACGGTATCAAGACTGTCATCGTCAATCTGAGCAGTGTCGCTCAGTCGTTGGCGCGACCACCGTCTTGTACGCACCCTGCCGTCTCTGAGTAGGAGATACCTCGCTAACATCATTTCAGACGTCATCAAGTATTTCGGTTTCGAGCTTGGTGCTCAAACCAATACCAATCCTGCCGATGACCGTTGGATCATCAACGGTGCGCATGAAGCTTCCAAGCTGCAGGATTATCTAGACGGCTTCATCAACAAATTTGTTCTCTGCAAGATGTGTAAGAACCCGGAGACGGAAGTCAAGATCAAGGATGGACATATCACGCTGGATTGCAAGGCCTGTGGCCGACGCTCCGACGTAGACCTTCGTCTCAAGCTCAGCTCCTTCATCCTCAAGACCCAGCCAAGGAAAGGCAAAAAGGACAAGGCTGAGAAGAAAGCACGCCGAGCCATGGCCAAAGAGAACGGCGATGCCGACCAGAATGGAAATGGACATGCATCTCCCGACGGTAGCAATTCTGACAATGCCGACGCTGAAGACGGAGACCTTGCATTGGAAGCTGGAAGCGACGATGAGCTTACCCGTCGCATCAACGCCGAAGCCAAAGACTTGAATGGATCGGATACTAAGGATGACCAATGGACCGTGGATGTCTCCGAGGCCGCTGTCAAAGCTCGCGCTCAAGAGCTACCCGATGACTTCAAGCAGACGCTCACACTTGATGGTGACGACGAAGAAGGCGACGGCGAGGGAGGTGGCAACAGCGCCTACGATCAACTTGGAAGCTGGGTCATCAGCACCGCTCAATCAAAGACAGGCGGTGTCAAGGACGTAGAGGACGTTGACATCTACATCAAGGCCAAAGAGCTGGGAATCGAGACCAAGCACAAGACTTTGACTGTGCTTGCTCAGACCATCTTTGATGATTCCATCGTCGAACAGATCCCTACTCGTGCCAGCATGCTCAAGAAGGTTCGTCCGTTTTCTTTAGTCTAGCTACTCGCTGCGTTATTGACTTGTAGTAGATGATCACCTCCGAGCGTCACGAAAAAGCCTTCCTAGGTGGCACCGAACGTTTCGTCGGCAATGAGCACCCCAAGCTTGTCCCTCAGGTCCCCAAGATACTACTCGCCTTCTACCAGCAGGACCTCATCTCCGAGGGCGTGCTCAAGAATTGGGGCTCCAAGGCTAGCAAAAAATACGTCGACCTCGCCACCAGCAAAAAGGTCCGCAAGTCCGCTGAGCCGTTCTTGGAATGGCTCAATACTGCTGAAAGCGATGAGGAGGAATCCGAGGAGGAGTAAAAGCTTTATTCAAGGGACTTCCTCGCTGCTCTGGCTGCTTCTGCTTCTCTCTGGCTTAAATCGGGTCGTGTGTCGTCTTTTCGTTGCTGCAATCACTCCACTCTTGTGACAATTTTGTCTGCTCTGCTCAATCTTTAATACTCCTATGATATTGAGCGCGAACTACATCCAAATAAAAGATCCCGGCTCATCTTGCCCTTCACATGATGGGGGGATACAAAGTGACCCCAAGTCCTTATGCGGCTGGCTGCTCATGTGACTGTCTACGCATCTGACCCTGGCTCTATGTACTCCACGCTGCCCCTCCTCCCGTTCGAAATCCAACTCGGAATCTCATGCTTCCCAATCTCGTCCACTTATCGTTCCCTGAATGTATCGATTAGACAATCAATCCCCTCATAGAGCTGCGTGAACCTCTTCATCCCAATCACGGCTTCCCCAAAACCTCGCCAACCGTAGTTCGTTCTCCCAAGGTCAAAAGACAGCTATGTACTTGCCTCGAGACCTTGATCCCTTTTTCTTGTGAAAGAAACCAAAGAGGCTGAAAGCAATGTACCCTTGCGTCTTCCCCAAAGCGAGCGCAATGATATTCGATTCCAACCCGCCGCACGTATACCGTTCACCGTGGTCCAGTTTGGACATCACGATGATGCGCTGGGCCAAATGAACAACGGCTGTGTTGGTGATGGATTCGTCGATGCTTTCTTACTAATAATTAAACAGCGGTTTCATTGCGATCCGGGAAACCGTCATAGGAATTGAAAAGGAGGTGGAAGTTGTTGCCGAGGACGTGGTAGGTGTATGGATGTTGGGGAGGGGTTGCGCTGGGTGTGTTTGAGTAATGTTCCTGTTTGGTTGTTTTCTGGGGGAGACGTACCCGAGTATACTGGAGAGAGTAACATTTTTTGAAGAATGGCGGTGTGATGTTAGCGTTGAGATCGCTGGGGGAGAGCGGTGCTGGAGCGGTGTGGTAGATTTGGTGCTGCAAGGATGTAGTTGCACAATTGAAGCGAGACTGCTAAGGGGAAGACGCTGGGGATGAGCATTTTGGAGTGAGGAAGCCAGAGGGTCTGTGGGTCCGTTGTCATAAGTCCACATCAGCGAACTCCCACCCCACTATCCCCTGCAGCTTCACCGGCTTCTCCAGCTTCACCCCACCATTGTTCCTCCTCGCTTTCTCCTCGACCAACCAAAGCGCATCTGCATTCAAACCTTCGAGGACGCTTCTTACGTCTTTCCTTTCCCCTGCCAAACCTCCAAGCGCCTCGAAGGCTCCATCCTCCATATCCTCGTTAACCCCCACATCCCCCACCACCAGAAGCAGCAAATGGATCACACCGTCCCAGACCCTCCACTTCATCCCCCGAGGCACTTTCCCCTTTCCTTTGCTGTAGATTCGGTTTTCCTCTCTCATCTCCCTTTCTACTCTCTTATACAATCCAAGCAGTTTGTCCCACTCTTCTTCCACTCTGGTAAACAGAAAGTCTCCTGCGCATTCACATAGCGTAGCTAGTGCATTAGCTGCTGCAAGGGTTGTGTACGCTTCGTGATCATAAAGGCGGGCAGTGATAGAGGAGAAGAGTTGCGCTGCTATGGGCAGGAATGTATCGGTATTGGAAGCCAGGACCGGGAGAGCAGTGGTGAGGAGGTTGAGTATGTGTGTGCGGAGGGGAGGCGAAGGAGTGGTCAGGTGAGAAGGTGCCAAATTGGTAATAGAGGTTAGGAGAGTGTAGGTCTTTGAAGGGGCCGGGGCGGGAGGATCTGCTGGGACTTCTGGTGAATGATCCGGTTCTCCCAGTGGCTCGAAGTCCTTTTGCGATAGAGATGATTTAAATGAATTTGGAGACGGAGGGGACGCCGGCGCTGAGAGTGGGTGGTTGGTGTGTACTAAGTTTGAGCTAAGGAATGAAGCGATGTCTGCTATAGTGGATGGCTTGTAGACTCTTGGTCGGGTTGTGGTGTCAATGCTCGACTTGATGGCCCGCGTAGATGATTTGGCAGCTTCTTCAACGATGGCGTTGAGAACGGAGAAGAGCGATTCAACTAGTTTGGGATAGCCGTGGTAGCAGGCGAGAATGGAGAAAATTGACTCAACTAAGTCGTCGAGGTAGGGTATCAGCGCCGAACCGCACAATCGGACCATCATGACTAGGACTTGGGGTGCTTGAGGGCTGATGTCAAAGGTATTTAGTTTGAGGGTCACAGCATTAACGAGGTAGTCGGCGTTGTCGATGATCAAGGAGGCAGAATTCGGGTAATCGCAGACGGTGGAGACGGTATTAAGACATGTTATGGCGTGCTGTTGAAGAGCTGCATTATTTGATCCAAGTCGCTCAAGAATCGGGTAGAGAGCGTCAACCAGCTCAGGGCGAAAATCTTCTTTTTGGCTGCGGGCTTGCATGGCTACGGCTTCGAGGCCAAGTGCCTGGAGTTTCCAGCGATCCTCATCCTCGAACGTGGATTTTGATAATACGTCCAGTGAAAAGGAGTAAACATCGTCTAGCAGCAAGTCTTGCGAATCCTGGCCAGGCGGGAGATTCAGATATTGATCAACCATTGCTGATTCTGCTGATGGACGATTCAAGAGCTGCAGCGACAGCCAGAGCCCAGCTAGCTGCTCTTCTCCAGATGTGGTTCTCAGAGTATTGACAATGTCTTGCTGGAACCCGGTGGACATTGGCGTATCCTGGAGTTGGGCGGCCAGCATTTGGAGCCCGACCATTGTTGGACGACTGCTCGACTCACTGAAAAGCACAGGCTGAAAAATCATCGCTGATCTCGAACCGGTATTGGCGGACTGTATCAATTGTGAGACTTCGAGGCTACTTTCTGAAACAAGATGTGCCCTTGGGGACGCCTGGATAGCGGCAGACACACTCGCACGTAAGTTGACAGCCATCGAATCATTCAAGACTTCAAGGCTCATATCATGACTTTCGAGGAGTTTGAATGCTGTGGAAATTTGCTCAATGGTTCTTTTCTTCTTGGTGTCGTCATTCGATTGCATGACTCTGGGTAAAGCCACAATCCAGTCGTGCAATGAGCTTTTGATTATGTCAAGTAGACCGCCGTTGGTAGCGAAGATGCTACCAAGGTTGAAGACAGCGGCCCCATCACGAGAATGGCTGCAAAGCGCCACAAGTGTTTCGGTCAACATTGGGATAGACTGCAATAGTGATATGCTGCACTGCTGTATAATCGAAGTGCATAGCTGCATAAGTGCTTCTTGCACCTCTGATCTGTCATGATACCGTAATGGCAAGATGTTGGCGAGAGCCATTCTTAACTGGGCTGATGTAGCTGTAGCCCAAGATCCCGTCTCACCCTTGCTGCGTCTGGTGGTCATCGCATGACCTTGTTGAACGTTGCTAGAATCATCATCAATTTTACCATTATCAATGACTTTGCAAATGATAGTTGTCAGGATTCCAAGGCTCGTAGTAAGAACCTTGTAAGACGGCTTTGAGCCACTTTTAGACGACAGCACCTTGGTCAACGACGATACTATTCCTGGAAAGATGCCCTTGAGGGCCTCTTCATCTGTGATACCAATGACCAAAGAGTCTAACGCATTCAAAGCAGACAATCTTACACTGACCGAGGGTCCGTCTGTGACACCATCAAGCATAACCGTAACAGTATGACCTAGGATGGGGATATTCCTTGAATCGACGGAGTTGGCACCGAGACCAGCGCCATTCGAAGCCTGGAAGAGACTGCTCAAGCACTCGAAAGCGGTTGCGGAAAGCTCCTCGTTGACATCCTTGACTTTCGTGTCCGTAGCACTTCCTCCAGCCAAAAAGCACAGCAGGATCAATAGCTGTTTGCCCAATTCAGATAATAGCTGATTCCCCCAGCCCTGCGAGATGAGAATCTGTAGGCATTGTAGGGCGACTTCTATAGCTCGGACTGGCAAGTTTTTGCTGTCGCCAAAGATGTGCGAAAGGGGGAAGAAGACATAATCAGCCAGCTTGGAGTCTAGAGCATTGCCTTGACCGCTGATGCTTTTAATGGTCTCGTGAAGGCTCTCTAGGGAGTTGATGATATCTTTCGTGGTAGCTTTCTTGCCCTTGTACCGCAAGGCCACTTGACTAAGTTCCACGCACGGCGGCTTCAAAGCGCGGAAGGCCTTCACTCGAGCTTCGTCCATGTTTCCCAAGATAAGCCAAGATGGGAAGCGAACGCTATGGATCACTCCTCGAAGCAACCAGCAATCTTGACAGCGGAGATTCTCTGCCCAACACAAGAAGATCTACAGTGCTTGCTCGAGAATCCATGTTAGCCTCGCAGGCAGCTCGGTCAAAGCAGACCGGAGTTCCCGAGCGCCTTGAAACAGCTCCAGCAGTCGAAAAGACTGTGTGCTGGACAACATGAGACGAACTGGTGTTTTTGGTTGGATGACGGTTTGGGAAAGAAGTTCGAGAGTAGAGCGTTTCTTGGCGAGGGTGGAGTAAGGTAGCCTAGGATATGTCAAGTATGCACCATTAGATTGTTTCTAGCTTAATCGCCAACTACTAGATCAGTTCTTTGCATGAGATTGCTACAGAGTTGAAATGCTTTGTACAAATGATCAAACGGCATCTTCGCTGCCTACACTATGATACGTGCCACCGTCCTCATCCCGCCGCGCCCTGCGCAACTTCATCCTTGAAGGCGTTTCATACATCCTAGTGTAGTTGACCGCTTCTCCATCCAGCATTGCGGCCCCGGTCTCTCGTTTTCCAAAGTACGGAGCTGGATCGCACCAGAAGTCCTTGCAATTCGTGAGGATCCCCCTCGAGTAGGGGTTACCCCGTCTCCTTGACCCGCTGCCTGCTTCTGAGCCTCCAATAGCAGTGGCTACAAAGGTGTCGAAGCCTAGGAGCTTCTTCCACTGTGAAAAGCACCCCTCCTTGTGCTGATGCCGGTCTGAAGGAATTGTAGGATTGGGGCCTATACCCGCATTAGATAATTGGGCACCCTCCAGGCTTGTACTGCCAGTAGTCAACGCAGACGTAATGGCTTGAGAGGCTTGTGTGCCGTGATGCATGTGGCCCCGCATACTCTCGTAGGTGGTCTGTGCTCTTGCCACTTGCACCATCTGTACGGCCAATAGCATGGTGACCCACAACATTTGCAAACATGTCCAGATGGTAACAACTACAGTGAAAGTATCACGCAATGTGTATCGACAAATGCTTTCAGAGAGAATGTTGCACTGCGTCTTTTTGGGTTGAGGAAAGTCTTGAATATCTTGGATACGTCAGCTTTTATCTAGGAGAGGAAGTTGGCAATGAAGCACTTACGGTATATTGCAAGGCGAATGAAGAAGACCATGCCGGCCTCCAGCGCAATTATGTACACTAGGAAGTGCCGTTGGTTGTTTGCCCCAACACAATTGTGAATCCATGGGCAATGGCTTTGGATGGTCAGCCTGCCCTATTGACTTATTTCCAGAGACATACTGATCGTGTTTCGCCACGCAACGGCCACATCTTTTGCAGTGCTTACTCCTAAGGGGCCTCCTGACCATGCAGGATACACAGAAGTTCTGGTCATCGAATTTCCACAAGCTCAATAATTCGTCAATAACTGCTTTTTGCTGGGCGCGACTTCCAAGCTTCGGCACGTAGCCAGGATCTTCGATCATGCTGTATGTATAGAAGTATGCACAAAGTCCATAGCTGAAAACGAAAAGTAGATTGAAAACAGGATGAGATGAATATGTAGCTGAAATTGTTAGCTTGGCTAAGATTGAGGCACCACTCAACCTACCCATCAACACGGTCGTGAACCAACGTACACCAACCCAAAACAAGGTAGCCGCAAAAACACCCGCTAAGTATGGCTGGTTCTTTTATTAGCCACACTGAACATCAAGAGAGCTGTAGATTGCTTACCGTCCGTTGTAAATGCTGCATGTCGCTGGGCGCCCACTGCAGCACTTGCTGAGCAGCCCACTGTAGAGAGTACGCCAAGAAAATAGTGATAGGTACAGCTGCGAATATGGGCATCCCGCTGAGCACAGAGAAGATTATGAACATCTGGAAAAAAGGGAAGAGGAAGAAGGACCTGTTTAGAAAGACACGAGATCTGAGGAGAGAGGCATATGGTAAGGGGAGCTGTTTCGCGGTGCCGTCTGGATTGAAGCCAGATTCTTTGAGCGCCCGGTGCCACGCGCCTTTTGAATTCATCTCTTGTGCGACTGTTGCAGGGGGTTTGCCGTCATTGGTCTCGACAAATCGATCAGCACCGTGCTCGATCAGCTTCTGAATACAGGCTGGATTGCCTTTGACAAGGGCCCAATGTAGCGCGGTGAAACCATTTTCGTCTGCACCGTTGACGCTGGCACCCCATTGAAGGAACAAATCCACACAAGCAGGGTATCCTTTATATGCAGCCCACATCAAGCATGAATGCCCTGAGGGATCTGGTCCATCGATTGGAATGTTCTGGTGGAGAAGTATGAGGAGTAGGAACACATTGCCGTCGAATGTTGCTAGATGAAGCATGTTGTAACCCTGCCCATCTGTGAGAAGAGGGTCTGCGCCATTCTCAAGCAGCAGGTTGACGACATAGAGATGGCATCGCTGTGCAGCCCACATGGTAGGAGTAGCAACCGACTCGCCGCCTTTTGCATTGACCTCCGCGCCGGACTCGACGAGGTATTTACAGAGCGCATAGTGGTTGTTGATTGCAGCCCACTGTCAGCCTATAAGTAAAGCTCATAGCGCGTCATATCAGTCGATATATCTTAGCTTACATGCAGTGGTGTGATGCCCTCCTGGTCTTTGTATCTGGCATTGAACTTCCCAGTCTCGCAGAGAGTTTGGATGGGGCCTATCTCTCCCAGTCTTGCAAGCTGCATGATATCCTCGTGGAGCGGTAGCTTGTCTTCAGGCGGAGCGATCTTGTCGAGCTCCACAGTATTTTCGCCAGTAACCTTGGGAGGTGCTGCACTGGCTTTTCCATTTGCCAAAGCTGGTGTAGTAGGCGCAGCGCCATGCGGAGCCTCAGCGGACGCGGACGCGGACGGGGCAGTCATCTTGTGCACCGTTTGGTGGACTGGGCGACCCCACAGGTTACCTCATTTCGGGGTGTATTGCAGGCGTTCTTGACCATGAAACAGAAGGAAACACCATGTTCAACTCTTGCTGATAGAGACGTAGCTTAGAAAACAAGTAACAGTGATGACGGCCAACTCCTTGCGGAGTTCTTAGCGTCCTCCGCATTTAGGTCTTATCCAGCTCCACAGTCAACTTGCCTAGATGAACAACTCACAGCAATCATGCCGTGGACTGATTCGCAGAGTTGGCCATCGTCACTGATGGGGCCAACGCCTTTGGCAATCGGAGTTGCTATACTCCTCGTTCTCTCCGTCCCTTTGTTCCTTCATCTAGTGATCTACCGCTCCACCTCCTCGACTACCTTACCCTCATTTCTACTCGTTGGTCCAAGTGGCGCTGGGAAAACAGCGCTGCTCACTCTTGTAATGATCATCTCACTTCTGTAGCACCCTTTCTAATTGGACTCCATAGTTCGAAAGAGGCCAGCACGTTGAAACCCGCACCTCTCAAGTCCCTATAAGCGTCGAAGTGTCCCTCCCCGTGTCTACGAATGCCGCGTCCTTGAAATACAGATCGGTCAACGATCCATCTAATCAAGTCCACAAAAAGTTCCTACTCGCCGATACTCCAGGACATGGGAAGCTACGGCACTACGCTTTCGACGGCGTCATCAAGCCACAAAATCTGAAAGGCATTATATTCATGGTTGACGCCGCGGACATATCCATGGGCAACAGTGGCAATGGTAACGAAGCTCTTCGCCAGGCAGCAGAGTATCTCCATGACATACTGCTTCTGTTGCAAAAGCGATCCACCAGTTCGAAGACCTCAAAAGCTCCCAAAGAGCTGCCGATCCTCATTGCTGCAAACAAGCTAGACCTCTTCACAGCTCTCCCGGCTCCTCTGGTGAGGACGGCCCTAGAATCAGAGATATCTAATGTGCGGAGTTCAAAGACCAAGGGACTGTTGGACTCCGGGATTGGGATGAATGATCTAGATATTGGGGAAGAAAAAGAGTGGCTCGGTGATGGTGGCGATGGCAAATTCGAGTTTTCACAGATGGACGAGGTCAACGTTGCTGTGAGCGTAGCCGGTGGTAACGTTCTCGGTGCAGATGGCCAGGATGTAAAACAATGGTGGGATTGGATTGCAAGTAACCTAGATATATTATTAAATCTAGTTTAGATTATATCGAAGTATAACTTATAAATATTATCGAAGAAGAGTTTATTATAATCTTTGCATTTATTATTAATTTGTAGGATTTTATAAAAAGCGCTATTAATACTTTTAATGCTTAATATAATAAATTAAAGACTCTAATAGAGAGCTTTCAAACTACTAGCCGTAATATTAAGGTATTTTAATAATAAAATAAATAATTTAACTAGAATATCGCTTATACTAAGATGAAGATATTAATAATTATTATTTAGCTAGATAATAATAATAGCTAATTATCTTATAAGCGAGAAATTAATAATAAATTTTAAGGTTTACGTAATAGGTATCGTATTAATATCATAAAATTTACTAAAGAAAATAAGAAACTTAAGTAAAACTTAAAGTGTAAAGAGTAATAGTTAAAGAAGTAATAATCTTATATATTAGTTAATTTAAAAAACTTCGATAAAAAAGACGTAAAGATTATATTTATACCTCGTTAGCCGAGTATTCTCATTAGTAGTATCTATCGAAACTTACACTATATCTCTATTACAAATCACATAGAGGATATAGAATTAAATAAATGATATCTCGACGTCTTAAATTTCTATAATATTAATAATCGAATTAAGTAGAATAGCTAATATTAATATCTTAAAGCGAAGTTTAAATAAAGCGTTATAATCTTTTTTATTAAATTTAAGAAAATCGATTATATATAAGATTATTATAAATTTACTATTTATAATATTATTAAAATAAGAGTAGACGAAGATATCTTAGATTTATATTAAATCGCTTAAGAAATAATTAATAAACTAAATAATATATTCGAAATATATAATAAGATTACTAAATTAAATATTAAGATATTCGATTTTAAATTTAATATAGAAGTAATAGATAAGAAGAAATCGTTTAAGAACTTCTACGCACGATTCTCTATAGCTATTACTCCCTTAAAATTTACTAAAATTTATAAGATATCTAATTTAAAACAATTAATCTCCACACGCCTGAGATATCGAATTTCAGAATAGTCTTTTAGCACTTTTCGAGAATTAGTTATTTTCCTATGAGTACTAAATATAGATCTTCGAGCTATTAATAATATATTAGATTTAAAGAATAAGAAAGAGATTAATAAAATTAATAAGAACTCTTCCCTCTCGAATAATTAACGTAATACTTTCTCTACTAGAAGAAACAATAATATTACCACCGAAAATTCTAATATATAAGAATATAAGTATCTTAAATTATTAATAGATAAAATTTGAAAAGAAGATAGATATTTTAAATATCTAAAGATTAGATATTATTTTAGCGATAATAGTATCTTATATAAGAATATAGATTTATTAATAAAAGAATAAGTTAATATAATTCTAAAAGCCGTCGGCGTAGAGAAGAATATTCTCGTCGAATTATTATAAGAATTAAAAAATTAAACGTTCTTAGTTAAGTCGTCGTTAGAGATCTAAAAGCCTTACGTATAAGAATTAAAGAGTTAGAAATAGAAAGAATACTCGCTTCCGTCTCTCTATCCGCGTATATTATTACTATTAAAGCCTCTTTATAGAATAAATACTAATTAGACTTTTATAGGAAAACTATTATATTAATAGAATAGATTAAGACTAATTATCTCTCGAATATCGAAGCTTTAGCACTAAGCTTCGTGAATATATCTTTTATTAAAATAAATAAGCTATCTAAAGTAGTATTAGTATAACTCTATAAGTTATAACTAGCTAATAATAGATTAATCTTTATTCTTAATATCACATATATAACCTTAATAAAACTCGCCTTAAAAGATTATATAAAAGAACTTTAATACTTAATTACCTCACTAAAACGATTTAATATTATCTTAGAAATATTATAGCTAGAATAGTATAACTCTTATATATTCTTTAAATCTAGAATTATTACACTTAATTTAAATTATTATATATTCAACTATTTATTATATAGTAAATTTATTACTATTTAGAGTAATAATAAGTCTCTAAGAAAGAACTTAAATTATATAGTAAAGACTATATTTAAGGAAAAGAATATAGTAGAGATCTTTATCTATATCTTTATTAAGATAGCTAAGAAATTAGAGAATTAAGTTATTATTATATAGTTCTAAGACTTCGAATAACTTTCTAACTTTATCGATAAGAAAGCGAAGTTTATTACTAACGTTACCGCTATTACGATAGAAGATTATAAAAAGTTCTTTTATAAGCTAAGAAAAAAACCTTCAACTATGAAATAGCTACGGAAATAAGTTTTTATAGTATATTATAAATAGCTAGATATTTGAAACTCAATTAAAGTTAATAAACTTTCTTCTTATCGCTCTATTAACTACGAAATATATCTTAAGAAAGAAGCTATTTCACTATCGAAGAGAGCTTATGAATTCTCTAGAGATTAGATATTAGTCGTAAAGAAATATATTAATAAAATATTAGAGAAAGGCTATATTAGATTAAGTAATCTTAGCTTACATGCAGTGGTGTGATGCCCTCCTGGTCTTTGTATCTGGCATTGAACTTCCCAGTCTCGCAGAGAGTTTGGATGGGGCCTATCTCTCCCAGTCTTGCAAGCTGCATGATATCCTCGTGGAGCGGTAGCTTGTCTTCAGGCGGAGCGATCTTGTCGAGCTCCACAGTATTTTCGCCAGTAACCTTGGGAGGTGCTGCACTGGCTTTTCCATTTGCCAAAGCTGGTGTAGTAGGCGCAGCGCCATGCGGAGCCTCAGCGGACGCGGACGCGGACGGGGCAGTCATCTTGTGCACCGTTTGGTGGACTGGGCGACCCCACAGGTTACCTCATTTCGGGGTGTATTGCAGGCGTTCTTGACCATGAAACAGAAGGAAACACCATGTTCAACTCTTGCTGATAGAGACGTAGCTTAGAAAACAAGTAACAGTGATGACGGCCAACTCCTTGCGGAGTTCTTAGCGTCCTCCGCATTTAGGTCTTATCCAGCTCCACAGTCAACTTGCCTAGATGAACAACTCACAGCAATCATGCCGTGGACTGATTCGCAGAGTTGGCCATCGTCACTGATGGGGCCAACGCCTTTGGCAATCGGAGTTGCTATACTCCTCGTTCTCTCCGTCCCTTTGTTCCTTCATCTAGTGATCTACCGCTCCACCTCCTCGACTACCTTACCCTCATTTCTACTCGTTGGTCCAAGTGGCGCTGGGAAAACAGCGCTGCTCACTCTTGTAATGATCATCTTACTTCTGTAGCACCCTTTCTAATTGGACTCCATAGTTCGAAAGAGGCCAGCACGTTGAAACCCGCACCTCTCAAGTCCCTATAAGCGTCGAAGTGTCCCTCCCCGTGTCTACGAATGCCGCGTCCTTGAAATACAGATCGGTCAACGATCCATCTAATCAAGTCCACAAAAAGTTCCTACTCGCCGATACTCCAGGACATGGGAAGCTACGGCACTACGCTTTCGACGGCGTCATCAAGCCACAAAATCTGAAAGGCATTATATTCATGGTTGACGCCGCGGACATATCCATGGGCAACAGTGGCAGTGGTAACGAAGCTCTTCGCCAGGCAGCAGAGTATCTCCATGACATACTGCTTCTGTTGCAAAAGCGATCCACCAGTTCGAAGACCTCAAAAGCTCCCAAAGAGCTGCCGATCCTCATTGCTGCAAACAAGCTAGACCTCTTCACAGCTCTCCCGGCTCCTCTGGTGAGGACGGCCCTAGAATCAGAGATATCTAATGTGCGGAGTTCAAAGACCAAGGGACTGTTGGACTCCGGGATCGGGATGAATGATCTAGATATTGGGGAAGAAAAAGAGTGGCTCGGTGATGGTGGCGATGGCAAATTCGAGTTTTCACAGATGGACGAGGTCAACGTTGCTGTGAGCGTAGCCGGTGGTAACGTTCTCGGTGCGGATGGCCAGGATGTAAAACAATGGTGGGATTGGATTGCAAGTAACCTTTGAAAATGGCGGGTCTTTTAGGTTTATGGGGAACCATATTTCGAGAACTGGTACACTCAGCTTGCTCAGGAATATTATTCGAGAAGGCAGTAGCATGACTTTTCTGCCCTGGAATTGACGCGAGGATTCTACCGGGTGTCAGTTCCTTCCTTTTCGACGGCGGATCATACGGACGACAACGAGGCACTGAAGCGGTGATTCAGATCACTGGGGGAACGTGAGATGGGGCTATCTGGAAAGCTCCTGCTGTGCGACCAAGTGCTTCTTGGTTGAGCAATGTTAGGGAACCCACGTCCCAGTACCAAATTTGCAGACTTTGTTTCTGCGAAGCCCCAACACTGTTTCATGACAATCATATTAATTGGTCAAACAGTCGAGAGAGGAAAGTATCGTTTAGCCAGTTGCATTACTCTACAGTCGTTTCCTTTAGAAAGTCTCCATACAAGATCCACTCAGGACCACAGCAACACTAGTCCAGCACCCCAGAGGCAAAACAGCATGTTTCCCAACATTCTCTGCCTCATTCTCCACCTTCCTCTCCTCATCCTCGCCTACCCACCCGGCCCTCGTTACACTACTTCACCCATCTCCGCCATCGCCCGATCCATCGACCCACCCCACTCGGCCATACACGCTCCCACAGGCGACACTCTAAACCGCACCGCCTGCTTCTGTGCATCACGGACCTGGGCCATGGATCAAACCTACGGCTTCTACTACATGATCAGGTACTACAACGCTCACCTCGACCACACCTACATCCTCGAACCAGCGTGCCAATCCAGCATTTCCATCAACGTCCAAGACGAGTACGATCCCAACGACAAACCTACCCTTCAAAACGAATGTTTGCGCTCCCGTTTTCATGATCCGGTCGAATATTGCACCGGGAAGGACACTGACGAGAACACATTCTGCTACACCCTGGCTGGTGGGCCGGATTACGATACTTGGCGGTTTAACGGGCAGCATAGGACAGGACTGCCGCTGGAGCCGGAGGTCAATTACTCTTCAGATATGGTGGAGGAGGTGTGTGAGGAGTCCTGTAAGGAAAGCGTGGGAGGCATGGAGATGTTGAGTGGAGATGCGTTGGAGGTGCTTGAGGGGTATTATAACCTTGTTGGGGAGAGACTGGAGAGCAGTGTCGTTTTCTACCCGTCTATTCCTGACATGTGCAAGGGCTGCAAGTAGGGGATAGGCTATGGTGGTTTTGCGGGTCTATGATGGGATTCGCACCTTATCTCTTGGCTCTTGTCCTGTTGCAGATGCTCACTGGTTGGCGAACTGCCTTGCTATGCATCATTGCTTGGGTGTTATAGACGTATGCATAGAAACCTAATGTGCCCGATAACTCCTTGCTCAGAACGCTATGCTTACATGTTCCCTATGTATCGTGCTGTAAAAGCTGAACAAGATCAGGGTATCGTCCCATTACTTGCAATCCCACTACCATCCGCCGTATTCGTAGTCCCCGGGGTAGGATTAGGATAATACCAACTTGCAATTGCTATTTACTCATCATTAGTTCCCATACTCTCGCCACAACCTTGGGTATTTACCAATTATTAAGTATATCAAAATGCACAATGCACCTTCTAGGTAATTGGATTTCTACAAAATCTTAGCTCAGCGTTGGCTCTTGAGTAGGAAGACAGAGCTGCGGAACGAGGACATACCTGATCTCTCAAGAAATTGCCAACAACGATGATCGCCATGATGAGCACCACAATGTTGAAGATCTCAAAATTGAGGTCCATTGCCTTGTTCAAGCCCCAGCCCACGATGACCACGAGCGAAGAATTGAACAATGCTGTTTGTATTGTGGCGCCCATGCAGTGCGCAAGAGCGAAGTTCATTTGGTTATCCCATGCCTCATCGACGGCTGGATCCCAGTATTTTTAGCACATTTTATGGGATCAAAGACACGAGGAGACCTTACCTGTGAGGTGCTCCGCCGCTTTTTCGACAAGTGGAACCAGGATAAGGCCCATGAATGCGTCGCTTACGCCGTGTTCGTGGACGACGTGTTCGATCTCCTCCACTGAAACCAAACCGATGAGGTCAGCATGATCCCGGGGGAAAGATCCCGAAAGGGTAGCAGTGGTGGCGGAACTGGAAGGGACTTTACCTAGGAACACAGCGTGAAGCGAGACGCAAGTCAATGCAATGAGCGTTGCGACGATACATTCCGTGAGCGTCAATTTGTCTTTTGCAAGGTCTATATGCCGGTCTGCATCGCGTTCTTCGTCTTTCTCGAGCGAGTCGGCGTACAAGCCGTGATGCGTATGCATCTGGAACCATACATAGCTATCGAAATTAGCCACTGTCTTGACGAGCGCAGGGGTAAGGGCCTCTTGCATCAGGAAAGCTATAAGGAGTATCACGGACGTTGTTCGACTGATGTGAAGGACGTTGGCGTCTAGTACTGAGTCTTCTATAGATCCTCGGAGCGAAGAATAGAATGCGCTGGGAATAAGTAACCCGAAGCCGGCCATGAGGAGTTGGCCATTTCCAACTTCGCTAATCACTTCGTCGAATTCTTGTTCGTTTCTTCTCAGACCACCTGCAAAGAAACAGAACCCAAGGCATAGTAGCAAATTCGCAAGGATGGAGCCCAGGATGGCCGATCTGATAACAGGAATGAGGCTATTGTTGACACTGTTGTGGAGGAGTACCATGAAAAGTACGATCTCAACGATCCCACCGAGGAACGTTTCGAGGATGAGACCTGGCCGTTTTCCATCAGTATGCGACGTCTGAAAGGCTGAATCTCGCAACAACAGGGAACCTGAGGTGCAGCACTTTAACAAAAAAATACTTCTTTGCGCTCACCTAGCACTTTTGGCAGCTTTCGTGCCAGTTCTTGTCCAGCGAAACCGACCAGGTTTGCGGTAGGAACCATAGCAACATAGTTGAGTATGAAGATCCATAGATGTAGGTCTGGACGAGCGAAGTGGATCGCAATCGCTGCGGGTACGAAAGGCCAGAGGATATTGACCACCAACGAAAGATGACTTGAGGATCTAAAACATATCCGTAGGAAATGCCACGGGTGTACTCCTCCTCTTCCACTTTCGCCGTCGGGATGTATACCTTTTGTGATTTTGTGTCCGTTGTGGTTGAACCCCGGCATGTGCATATGGTGCTGCGGTTTCTCATGTTGTACATGTGCTGATTCCGGAAGACCGACAGCCTCCTCACGTACACCCGCTTGGAGATTGGGTTCCGGTTTGCCTCGGAATTTGCTCAACATATTGCGCAGTGTATAATTGTTGCATCAGAGACCGGCTGCGGGGAAAGGACCCAAAGGAACGACAAAAAAAAGAAAGGTAAACAACCAGAAAAGATTGCGACTTGCAGAGTGCTATGCCTCAGAAGGAGAACATTTAATGGACGATTTTCTACCAGAAACGAAGAAAGTTGGGCAGAATAAGAGAGAGATGGGGTAAAGGAGAGCGCTCTCATTTCATGACGCTCAGCTCGTAGGTGACTCCCGCGATCCGGCCCCTTGGCGCCCAGAGCCTAAAGTAAAGTAATCCTCAGCTGCAGGAAATTGGCGTTCTGGTGGCACCCTTCAGTCTGGGCAACATCGAATAAGACACTTGAAAAAGTTTGGCTTGAATATATATATGGGAAGTTATCAACAGTGCAATGCCGTTGACTCTGAGATTATGACCGAAGGGACGGACCCCTAAGCGCTTGGCGCTCGCCTGAAAGACCCCGCAATCGCAAACACCGCCCTTCAAGTTCCCCGCCTGACGTAGAGTTACTACAAGTAGAGTAGTACATCTTCGGTTCTTCGCATGGCAAAGATGTCGCTGCTCGCAGATCTGAGACAGTGGGGAGCAATTCAGCACGGTGAAATTGTGCATACCTAGAAGAGTCTCGTTCTAATGGCTTCCTTGCCTGTCCTTGCATCTTTTTCCTTTTTCCTTTTTCCGTTTTCCTTTATCTACTGTTCATACTGCTTCTTCTCAGCCGTACTGACAACAAGGTACCTCTCCATCTACTTTCAAGATGCTTCAATTAGAAGACTCCAAATGCGATTTGCTCATTACTGGGGCTGGTCCCGCGGGGTTGATGGCAGCTACTTGGGCAGCAAGATGTGGGATACACGCCAGGATAGTCGACAAGAGAGGCACAAAGATCTTCAACGGCCAAGCTGATGGCTTGCAATGTAGGAGTCTGGAGATTTTCGATAGTTTTGGCTTCGCAGACAGGGTCTGCAAGGAGTCAAATCACATGCTGGAGATATGTCTCTGGAATCCGGATGAGACTGGCAGAATTAGAAGGACTGATAGAATCCCGGATACTATTCCCGGCATATCCAGGTTTCAGCAGGTCGTTCTGCATCAAGGCCGTATCGAGAGATTTTTTTTGGACTCACTGAAAGAATACTCCGACATCGAGATCGAAAGAGGCGTTCTACCCGAACAGCTCGAGATTGACCATTCTAAGGCTGAGGACGAGCGTGCTTATCCCATCAAAGTCAAGATCCGGCATCTAGACGACGATGAAGCAACCCCAGTTCAGAACGGCACGAACGTTCCAGATGGTCTGTTTCGAAGTAGTCTTGCTAAAGATGATACTGACGACTTGATACGGAAGAGCCGAGGGAAGGAGGGCACTACTGAAGTCATCCGCACCAAGTACATGATTGGGTGTGATGGAGCCCATAGTTGGACTCGACGGCAACTCGATTTCCATATGCAAGGCGAGCAGACTGACTTTATCTGGGGTGTCCTTGACATAATTCCAATCACAAATTTTCCGGACATTCGTATGAGATGTGCAATCCATAGCGCAGAATCCGGGAGTATCATGATCATCCCGCGCGAGAACAGGCTTGTTCGATTCTACATTCAACTGAATGAGGTCAACAGCGCCGGGCAGCAGGTTGACCGATCGAAGATTACTCCGGAGATCATCCTGAAAGCTGCCCAAAGAATCATGAGTCCATATAAATTGACGTACGACTACTGTGACTGGTGGACGGCTTACCAGATCGGCCAGAGGGTGGGCAATTCGTTTAGCTGTGATGATCGAGTCTTCCTGGCCGGAGACGCGGTCCACACTCACTCACCAAAAGCAGGCCAAGGGATGAACGGTATGTATTTTCCGAGTCCGTCCTTCCTCCTTTGGACCAAGTCTTGAGCCTTGAAACATGTCTTGGGACTTTCTACTCTGTAGACATGTTCCAAGGCTCCATGCAACCCCTCGAACAGGCAATACTGACTCCCAATTTACAATCCAGTGTCCATGCAAGATACTTACAACCTCGGCTGGAAGATTGGTTTAGTCGTCAAGGGTCTTGCCAAACGCTCTATCTTGAGGACTTACCAGAGTGAGCGTAGGAGGATAGCGCAGGATCTGATTGCCTTTGACCACCGATTCTCTCGTCTGTTCTCAGGCAGACCTGCGAAAGACGCAGCGGATGAGGCTGGTATATCGATGGCCGAGTTCAAGGATGCCTTTGAGAAAGGGAACATGTTCGCCTCTGGACTGGCGGTAGACTACGGGGCGAGCATCCTTGTTGCGAAACCTGGAGACTCAGCGGATCAGGGAGATGGCACTGACGTCGGCCCTATCATCAACAGTATAGATAAACTCGTGGGCAAACAGGACCTTGCTGGCAACATCAAGCTGGGCATGCGATTCCCAAGTTACCAAGTTCTCAACCAAAGCGATGCTCGTCCTTGGCATTTCGGCCAATACTTAAAGAGTGATGGTCGGTTCAGACTCATTGTCTTAGCGGGAAATCTCAAGGATGGGAAACAATGGAAACGCTTGCAAGGCTTTGGAGAATCACTCGCGAAGCCAGACTCCTTCCTCCACCGATTCACACCTTCTGCGAAGCCAGTAGACTCGGTCATTGAAATCTTGGTCATTCACTCGGCCCCGAGAAAGCAGGTGGAACTGCTAGACCTACACGAGATCTTCCATCCCTTCGACGAGAAAAGAGGATGGGATTATGAAAAGGTCTTTGTCGATGACGTTTCCTATCACGAGGGCCACGGAGAAGCCTACAAGAACTTCGGAGTGGACAAGGAAAGCGGTTGTGTAGTCATTGCTAGGCCTGATCAATATGTCGGCTGGATTGGTGAGCTGGAGGACGTAAGAGATATCGATCGATACTTCTCAGAGGTGTTGATACCTCAGATTTGAAGATGTGTTATCGTCGTTGCCGATACCGCACTCCTGCATAAAGTCTTCATGAGATGTCCATCCTATTGCACATATTGTCCATAAGAATACTTCAATAGACCAAATTTTGATACTCACCTATAAAAAAGAGCATCCAATCAAAAACAGGCATACTGTCAAGTCAAAGTCCCTCGGAAGCGTTGAATCTCGGCTAGCATCGGCTTTTACTCCGTAGATTACGGTCATTCGTGTCAACGACCAGCTCCTCGAGAATCCCCAACTGTAACAAATAATTCCTCTTTCAGAAAGTTTCTCTCAGACTTCGAAACCGACCTCCGAAATCTCTCCGCCATGTCGACTCTCACACAGCCCAAGATACCGCCAGTGGTAATGGACACAATCACCCAACAAATTGGGAACACGCCCATGGTCAAACTGAACAAGATACCTCATAGTCTTGGTATAGAAGCTACCGTTTATGCAAAGCTCGAGTACTTCAATGCCGGAGGAAGCGTCAAAGACCGCATCGCCTTGCGAATGATCGAGGAAGCAGAACGGAAAGGAAGAATCAAACCTGGAGATACGTTGATAGAGCCAACGAGTGGTAATACGTAAGGCTCCTGGCGAAAGAAATGCGTCAGAGTATTAGTCTGATGGTCTGACCTGCGTACAGTGGCATCGGTCTTGCTTTGGTCGCGGCAGTAAAGGGTACGCTGCATGAGCTATTATCGTACACTTAGCTTACTGACATATTGAAGGCTATAAAACAATCATTACCCTTCCTGAGAAAATGTCCCCGGAGAAAGTCGCCGTCCTTCGCTCCCTAAATGCGACCATCATCCGCACCCCAACCCAAGCCGCCTTCGACTCGCCCGAATCTCACATCGGTGTCGCTCGAAGATTACAGAAGGAGATACCTAATGCTCATATATTAGATCAGTACGGAAACCCTGACAACCCTTTAGCACACGAGTACGGGACCGCCGAAGAAGTGTGGGAACAAACAGACGGCAAGATCACAGCTGTAGTGGCGGGAGCAGGAACAGGTGGTACAATCACAGGACTGGCGAGAGGATTACGGAAACACAATAAGAATGTGAAAATAATCGCCGCCGATCCATATGGATCGATACTGGCAATGCCCACTTCGCTGAACAACATGCACGCAAATGAGTCATACAAGGTTGAGGGTATAGGATATGACTTTGTGCCGGATGTGCTGGATCAGGGGACCGTTGATCATTGGTATAAAACCGACGATAGAGAAGCTTTTGCCTACGCGAGGAGGCTGATTGCTGAAGAGGGACTCCTCGTGGGGGGCAGTAGTGGAAGTGCGATTGCTGCTATGGTGAAGAGTGTCAAAGATTTGGGATTAGGCAAGGATGATGTGGTGGTTGTTATACTACCTGACAGCATACGAAGCTACCTCAGCAAGGTAGGTCCTTATATTCCTGTCCCATATGCGCCCTCAGCTAACTATCACAGTTCGTGGACGACGACTGGCTCGCAGCGAACGACCTCCTTCCTCCCACCCCACCACCAACAAACCCCCCATCACCAGCCCTTCCAGCCCAACACCGTCGCTCCTCAATGTCCGCCTCCAAAGACAAATCTCCCTTCAAAGATGCCACAATCCGCACTCTCCGCCTTAAACCCGTCACCACAGTCCAAACCACCACTCCCTGCACAGAAGCCATCGAAACAATGCGCGAAAAAGGCTTCGACCAACTGCCTGTACTTGCAGCTTCTGGCAAGAAAAGACTAGTCGGTCTCGTAACACTGGGAAATCTGCTCAGCTGGATAAGTCAAGGCCGTGCGACGGGCAAGAGTCCTGTTAAAGATGTCATGTTCAATTTCGCCAAGATCAGCGAAGTCGTTACGGATCCGAGAGATATTGGAAGGCTCGCCCCACCACCGCCGCCATCAGGAAACGAAAGCCACAAGCATACTCACACACAGTCGGCGTTGAAAACAAACGGGGAGGCAGATGCTCAGAGTGTGCCTCAGAAACGGAAGTTTGTAGAGATTACCCTGGATACGCCGCTAGGGGCATTGTCCAGATTTTTTGAATGGAATAGCGCGGCTGTGGTGACAGAGAAAGAGGATGGAGAAGAGGTATGGATGAAGCCAGTAGCGGTGGTGACTAAAGTTGATCTACTGGGCTGGTTAGTCAAGCAAGGGAAGATGGATGGTACCAATGGGTCTGCTTGAGCTTTTCCATTATGGTGTTGGAACAGGGCGTTGCGATATGGATCACGATAAAGCATCTATGGCGCTTAGACTGGGTTGTCTCACACGAGATACGATAAGAGGCATCCTCAACGATGCTGTACGATACTTGCAGAGAGGAATTAGATCCCATGAATTGCTCGCACACTATCCCTCCACCCCCGCCAACCCCCCAACGACCCTAACAACGACCGGCACACTTGTCAATCCCACCATCACCGTCCCAAAAAGTGACATACTCAAACTACTCAACGCCGCCGCCCGCGGATCACTCACCAACAGCAACGCCGTCGCAATCGCACTGCTATTCCCTCCCAACGTCACACCCCTAGTCACATAATCATCCTCCGGAATCCGCATCCACGTCAGCAACGTAGGTCCGACAAGCACGCCCATGACGCCACTCATGATGCACAGCACGGCCACGAGCTGCAAGTCTCCGCCGAGGTTCTGCGTGGCCGGCGTTGCGAGGGCGAGGGTCAGGGAGCGAGACGCGAAGGAGAGGGAGCGAGCGGGTGAAATACCGAGGGCGCGGCAGAGGGAGGGGTAGCCGAAGAGGGAACCGGTTGCCATGAGGACGTTCGGGAGGATGATGCTGGGGAAGTGGCGTTTGAGCTCCAGTCTGTACTGGAACATTGGGAGGGCGAGGGCGACGATGGAGACGTCGAGGACGGAGCCGAAAACGTCGCCTGCGCCCGGTAGAGGAAGGTGCGGTCCGTCGTCGTTGAAGAGCTGGACGTAGCGCGTTTTGGTGCTGTAGGTCAGGAGGGCGGCGTGGAGGGTTGAGCGTTTCGACAGGGCGAGGAGCCAGATGAGGAGGATGGTGAGGGAGGAGGAGAGGAGGACGGGGTGGATGATGCGTTTGTGGCGGGGTGGCAGGGAGAGAGCGAGGAAGTAGGTTAGGATCGAGAGGGTGAGGTGCGCGGGCATGGTGTAGGAGGTTGAGTAGTAGATCGGTAGGCCGATGAGGAGGAAGAGGAGGGCGTAGGTCAGGGTGTCGAGGTGGATGTTGATAAGGGTGGCCCATTTTTGGGCGCGTGTTGGAGGGAGCGGGTCTTGTCGGGGTCTGGGTTGCGAGGGAGTCGTTGTGGTGAGTGGTTCGGATTCGGGTGGGCCGTTGGTGATGCGGACCTGCGAGGGGTTCTGGGTCCGGGATGGAAGAGCTATATTCTGACTTGCTTCGCCCGGAGAGTAATCGGTTTCTCCCAAGTCCGTTGAAGAAGCCTCGGGCGTTGGTGGGTTCCTGGTCGATTGGGTCAGGGGAATGTCGTCGTCTTCAACGCCCATTTCCTCGGCTCGCTCGATGATAGCTCTTTTTGAGCTGCCGAGCAGCAGCTGAAGTCCGCGAGTGAAGTATGCGGTAGTTGCAAACATCACCACAAAGCCGATCACTTGTGACAAACGTCAACATCTGTCCCAATTTTGGAGACAATCTGCCCTTACAGAAGACGGCAATGATCTTGCCTACTTCAACACCACTCACAGGTGGACTGAGCGGTAGTAGGACTGCCTGAGGTCAGCGTTTTTTTTTTGGCAAAGCAGTGCTGATCTTCAATGTTCTACGATCTATCAAGGTTGTACCATGATGCACTGACCGAATGAAGGCGTGAAGAACACGTTGATGTATCGAAGAGCAAACCCGGCCTGGTATACTGTGAATTGATATTCATGGTCTGTAAGGTCTGAAAGCTCACGGGAATGTCGATCACGTGCACAAGCTTCTTGGTTCTCCGGTCTCCAAGAATTGTCTCGCATACGACTAGAGCAAAAAATAGTACTATCAACAACGCAACAGAGGCGGGAAAAGACACGGAGCTTAGGCCGATAAGGCTATCCACACCCCAACAAGCCAATAGGACACACAAAACGCCAATTGGAACATAGAACCATGCGGTAAGTGATCGGTGCCATGAAAGCTTCCACACCTGCGTTTCCAGTCAGGATTTTCGTCTCGAGACAGCAAAGGAAAGTACCATTCGCGATGATTCTAGAACATCATGAAGCCATGCGTTGTCTCTAGCCATGTTAGAGAAGTGAATGTTATGTTGAATTTTCTACAGGCACCATATCTTGTCTTCGTGACGACTTTCGCGGGAGATCTCGGTAGGAGGGGAGCTTCTCGGCCGCTCTTACCGAGGTTTAAGCGAATAGTTTGATGTTGGCTCGAAGATCTGAGAAGAGCCTTGTTTCCCCCCTTTCACCTTGGTGACCTATTCGGTGACCGGTCGACTCGTCTTTTGATGTAGATCTTTCCGTCGTCCAGCCGTTCGCCCATGATGTGTTCTTCACTGTTTTGTGTCAGCATGGTACTTTCGAATCGGACGCTCAGATCTGTCGCACATATCCCATAGTCTATCCTCAAAATCCTGGAAGGTTTTGTCCATCGTATGAAGTTTCCTACGAAACGTAGTCAGCCTTGGTGACTCCTCCAGCCTGCGTATAGGAAACCTACATTAACAAGTTGGTAGTATCACAAGCTATTCTTTGCGTTTGAATCCGATCGACTTGCTCAGCGAGCGAAAGGATATCAGACTTGGTCCGCATCCACTTCCATCGTCGCGAGAGGGTCATAGAGGCATACTTGGTCTCAACGCTTTCCTCGGAATGGCGCTCGATGTCTTCCTCGGCTCTAGAGGGTGAGGTGTTCAAGAAGGGCTCTTCCAATCTGACGAATTCGCGATGGATACGCCTGACAGTGCCATTAAGAATTTTCAAAGGTGCAATATCTTCATGGTGCCTCTTGACACTCCTACTTCTCGACTTTGTCCGTCTCAATGCGGACTTGAAATAGGCTCTCTCGTTATGTATTTCGATCCTCAAATTGTCGAGTTGGCCCATCATTTGTTTGGGTGCAGACCATAATGTCAAGATCGTCTCCCAGAACACCCTTACGAAGGTAAAGAATGTAAATGCGAAGCTTGTAAAGCCAACGATAGATGAGGCATAGGAGATTGGTGCAAGTTTGCTAGACATCTTCGTGGACTGAAAGCGTAATACAGGATAAACAAAGTTACCGAGCTGGGGATTTCTTCCCAATTAGGTGCGCATTTGCGTTGCTATTGAGGGGGGAATAGTCGGAAGAAGATGGATTAGCAAAGTCTGGACCGCGAAGCAGAAGGATTATATATCTCGCGATTAAGGCGTAGAGATATCACAGGGAAACACAGACGAGTGACACTCTAGGAAATAATCACACGGAAACACACACGAGTGACACCCTAAGAAATAAACATCGTCAAATGATTGCAGACTCGGGACCCTGAACTATTGGTGGCTTTCTAACCCTAACCCTAATCCACGTCACTATGTCGAAACCTCATCTTGTATCGCTCGTCTTCAATCCCGCCCTCTCACATATCGATGAGTGAGGATCTCGTGTACTTCCGCATCCAGACCTTCTGTAATGGGTATCCTAATCGTATTCATAGCAGAAGTTCGGCAGTGAAGCCCAGACGCTGGGAGCCTGAACGTGAATGTGAAGAGCTAGTGATTGGGTGTGTGCCATGGACTCATGGGGCTCCGTTCAGCATCAGTTGCAACAATTGTGCTCCAGGAGATAGTAGCAGCAATGAAACCATGACTGTTGCGGTGAGATACCTCTAGATCGTTTCCGAGAGACATGCATGTGGATTCAACCGCATGCTTGGGCCAATGCCTGCGGATGGCAAAGTCTGAGGGCTTCATCCGGTAAAGACTGCTTTACTTTGATGAAAAATCGTTTTCTCGTGAAGTAAACCAAACTTTGCCGTCAAATGACAACACTTTATAGTCGAGGTAGCCGCGACTTCACTTCCTTATTTTGGCGCCAGTCCGCAATTGCGTCTGAAGAGCGTTTCTAAAATCATACTGCATGTGATCTTGGTCACTGCTTCTTGAAAATGTATTCGAGCATGTCTTGCTTCCCAAGTGTTGCACAACTTTTCACCTCTTGTCTAATATTGAGCACCCTCACTCAAGCATCGACCCCCATAATCGTCAAGAACGTCACTATATTAGGACCACAGCTCACTCCAGATGTAACCAACGTATCGCGAGACGGTGGTTACTCGGCACTGGTCAACGGAAACATTGTCTGGCTTTATGATGACACAGAATGCATGGACACGCAAGGAAATCAATTGTCTTTTGTTTCCAATACTGCCGCTTATGCGAATCAACCGGACAGCGATGTTGCCACCGTTGCCGATTTTGGGGTTGTCAACTTGGGGACCAACCCTGACGGAAGCCCGAAGACGGCGATACTTGCCCATACCACTGTCGGCACCGGTGGTTGGATTCCTTTCCAGCCGGACGAGTTGCAGTACAACGAGCAGATGAACGGCAAAGAAAGAGTAGCAATATGTAAGCCTCCATCGATTCACAAGGATTGAGCCATCGAATCTGCCGATGTTTGCGGTATCTGACCACTGCTACAGGGCCTGGCACATCTCCTACGCCCGTCAGTACCACACAAGCTTTCCTCTACGCACCACTAGTCTATGTGGATAGCAAGCCTCAAGATCCTTCGAAAGAATACCAAGCTCGCGGCATGACCTTGATTACCATCACAGCACCAAATACTGGACCTGTCGCTGCTCGCCAAGGTGATCTCATCATCCCAGGAACTGAAGTTGCGTATGGAGGCTTTTCATCAATCCTTGGCTACAAGAGTACCGATACAGCCACAGACAAAGACTTGGGCAATCGTGATGTTTATCTGCTTGGCATGACTGCCTCCGGTCTCCAGCTCGCTCGAGTCGGTATGAATAGCCTGAGCGATTTTTCAAAGTACACGTTCTGGGATCCACAAGGCCAGAACTTCTCGGCTAGCCCCCCAAAACCAAGTCTCCAAGACGCCGCACAAATCTACCTGCCCGGTACGTTCTCGTCTGGAAGTGTATTCTACAGTCCATACTTCAAGACCTTCATCATGGTGTATTTCAACAAGATGGTCGATTCCACCTTCTATGTACGGTATATACAGCTCGACGGTCCGCTGGGACATGATGCGACATGGATCGTAGGAGGCAAGAACGGCAAGGGAATAGAAGCAGAAGATGCGGAGGCATTGGTCAGATATACCTGGTCCGCCGAGCAGAAGCTGTACGCATCACCCTCTGGCCCGGGGGGATTCAACTACGCCGGCATGGCTCATCCTGAGTATTTCAACACGCAATACTTCCCTCAATCCTTATACCCAATAACCAGTCCCCAAAAACAACAAGTCAATGGGTGGTATGGCCCGGCTAGTGCTGGTGTAGATGGTAAGAGCCTTTTGCTTAGCTGGACTTCTCAGGTAAGCTCCTAAGATCTTGAGTTATTTGGGAAGGGTTGAGCCAATGATCACAGGATGTTGGAGGAACGAACAACGGGGTCTACCGGATTCAACTTGCAATGCTCGAATTTGATAATATCCCTTTGGAAACAAATCCTGACCCATCGGCCACCGCGGGCACAACAACATCGTCAGGCACGCCAAGTGCGACTTCCACGCACATCAAGAAGCCCCCCAGCAACCCTGTCAGCTCAATACTCAGCATAGTAGAGCATGGAACTGCTGCGCATGCGTTCAGCAGGGGACTCCTTCATGGGTTTGCCGTCTACATTTTGGCTATGCACATGTTGCTTTGTACGAGGGTGCGTGGAAGGATAATATGAGCATTAAAAGGAACAGCTTTACCAAAGATTGGCGATATCGCTCAAGCAACGTAGAGGTTAATGATCGCTCTGGTATCTCAAGTGTGCATCACTTTTGTACATATGCAAAGTTAGTCCCTTATGCACGGTCATCAACTTCGAGGTATATGTACAACCCTTACTGTCAGTCTACCATCAAGTTGGGCGTCGATCAAGGCTTTCCGCCAACTTGCCCACAGAGATCCGGATTTCGCTTTCAACGATGACCCTCGGTGCGATTTCAGAGCTTGCGCAATTGCGCCAGAGAAGCTTCGTGTAGCCTCGACGTGATGCGCATACCTGCGTTGAGTCTACATTTTCTCTCTAACGTGACGGCGATGCGGAATGACTTGTGTCTATATTGTCATTGCCTTGAAACGTCTCTGCATCAGAGGTGCCTTGCATTAACATCGTCGCTCACTGTCTACAGGCGCCGTGGAGCCCCGTCCCATGCGAGCATTCCTGTTCGGTCAGCCGGCCCTCATTACTTTATCTGGTGGATCCTGTTACGCTTTTCTTGTCCGTTTCAAATAAGTGAGCATGCGGTTCATAGCCAAAGGGTCTTATAGAATATGTTGGGTCAACACGTTCTGTGAAACTTTCTCCTCTGCGCTTAAATTTTTGGCATGTCATTGATACCATCCAAGGATCCCATTTGCACCTTGAATAAACTCATTTTAGCAGAGATCATGAGATGTCTTCTAATTGTCTACGTCCCGACTACTCGCTCTTTGGATTTCGGAAACGTAAACGAAATCTTGATGGCCTTCACAATATTGGATGCAGTATGCATATCACCTTCTCCGGATACTTATTGCGGGTGCCAGAGAATCGGTCTTACCAATTCGGGCTAGCAAAATAGCACAGCCAATATGAACCAGCACGAAGGAGTTTGGTTCTGTACGTTCTATGCCTTTTCCACTTTGCAAATCGTTTGTGTGCTGACAAGACGACGGCTAGACCTTCGTTAACCCCCCGCATATTAAGACTGCATGGAATAAGCCATTTTCCACCATAGCAAGATAGTCGATCTCATGTCAATTTCAATGCCTTAAAAGCAAATTTTGCTATAGAATGCGACGTTGACCGCAATCGGCGTCATCATCATCAAGTTGTCGTGGCCAGTAAGTACATTGGCACCCAACTCAGGTGAAGTGCGGGACTAAAACATTGGTTCTGCGCAGATCAGTACGGGACTTCTGATTGGGTCCGCTGCCATCTCTGCGGGCATCTCTGCCGTTGGCACCCTGACAGCCTCGGAGCAATACGATACTTGGAATCTTGCAGAGTCAGTCTGATCAACCACGCCCTCAACTTTGTATGAGCAATTTGCTAGTCATGGGCGCTTTTCAGAGTATCAACAGATGCCCGTGAAGAAAAGGGGTTTCTCTATGTAGCCTGGAACAGTTATTGACGACCTTCATGACTCGCTTTTCATCGACGGATCAAGTCTGGCCTCAACGATGAAAGATGGCTACTTCCTTGGAAAATCGAGATGTGCAAGTATTAGCAAAGCAAGTGGGACCAAATGGCAGTCTTACCCAGCCGACGGGCAATGCAGCTTTTAATGTTGCCGACCAACTGATTGGTCTAATCACCGGAAGTATAATCAACGGCTATTTCAAAGGCTCGGCTGCTTTCATCCTCTACGTAAGCAGAAACATCGCCGCCGTCACCAATTGACACTGCTTATATCAATCAATGATACCTTTCGGCCAAGTGTTAGACGCCTATGGGTATGCGAAGAATAATTACGTGGAATTTAATCAGACATCATGCCAAGATAATTTCCTCGATATTGCTACATGCAATGATACTATGTTTTGTACTTGTGACCAGGGTGGTCTTTCGGTGCCGGTTAAGTAGGCTTTATTCCTTAGTCCTATCAGATCCTCATGCTCATCATTTGTAGCGCATTCAAAATCTCTTAGAAACTAACAGCAGTCGCTAGACTGATGGACAAAAGGAAACTACAATTACAACTTCAGCCCCGAAGACACGATCGCAGGTTCATTGAGCGGTCTCCTCAACCACGGTTTTAAGTGATTCGGTGCCAATTCCAAACTGCTTCTTATCAGCGACTGACACAGCCAACTATAACGCCACTGATGCTATTGCCAGTACGAACCTAAATCCAGATGGCAGTGACAACCTGGACATGATCATAAATCTCAAGCCGTCGAGTCCAGGCTCGTACAACCTCCCAGTCTGCAAACTCTACGACCTGTCTGTCGTGCCGTCCATACAATCTGCTGCGCCTGGTCAGAAATCTGTACCGCAGTGGCAGCCATGTCCTTGCATGTCAACCCGGGCCAACATCACGAACACCGGGACGACGACTACTCAGTACTTCAGGTACTGTGTAGATCCTAGTGCGGCGTATGCTCTTACTAACTCTCCAAATGAAGGGGAGGGTGCCGGAAACTCATACATAGGAAACGGTCAATACTCTTGTTTGTCTATTGGTACCTGAGTATTCTCTTGATGCATGAGGCACGGAGCGCGAAGATAAACTAGCATTTAGCGATTCTAGGGGAGAGACTGACTTCCTCACATGTTTGCTATACTCTGATTGTTGCATGTATCTGATGGCATTCTATACCCAAACAGTGATCATACCGCTTTTAACATTGCAAGTATATGACAACAAAGGCTCGACATACTGCGACCGCGACCCGCGCTTTGACCCAGCTCATCGCCCCTTCTGGTCCTCATTGTCAGTGCCTGGATCTGACACGATGGGTCTAGCAGGACCACTTCCCACAGATGAGGTTCTGGTGTCAGCGGCGGTTCCGCCGCAAGGTCGGCTCCATACCAGAACTCGTCGGGCTGGATTGTCACGCACGGGCGTTAGGAACGCCGTTGCGTGACAGCAAACACGCTCTTCCTCCAATCTTTGTGCCATTCGTGCCTGCAGACACAAAAGAGCCGAAAGTTCATCGAGAAGACGGATTTTGTAGCACAGCTCATCCGCTTTCGTTTTCGGCCTCTACACCTTTCCCGAACAGGCTCTGTGTTTTTTTTGTCGCTCTCTTCTTCTTACGCAAGTTCGTCAAGCTATGGGGCTCGAGAAGGTCTAGATCAAATCGAAACAGAAAGGCTGTTGACTTCGAGAACCCCGATATGATGGTGAAGAAAGTAAGACTAAGAAGGGGTATGTACAGTGGTGGCTATGATATGTGAAGGTTGATGCCAAGCTGCTGCTGTCACACTCGTAATCAGTGCATGAAGTTGGAGCACAATCTTTTGGTTGAGATGACGACGAGAGACAGACAGAAGGAAAGAAAGCCTTTTCTATCTCGATGTAGACCTCCGGCCCATTACCATTCTTTTCAATTGTGGTTATCACGTAGTTGTTCGCGTAGACTCGACTTGATCTAACCAACCACATTGGACTTCAGATCTATCTCCACGCATACATCTCCGACTGTCCGATATGATTATGCAATCTTCTCGATCTTACATTCGAGGGCAACATGGTCCCTCCTCAAATCTAAGACAACAGCTGATTTTGAATATCGCAAGACAGACGACATCACCCACTCGATGTAATTTTTGAAGCTAAAAGGTAGCAGGGCCAGGAATCGGTAAAAGCCTTTTTAATGAATGGTGTGAATGGAAAGGAAAGAGGGTAAGATCGGGGGGTGAGGACCGACAGTGACGATAGTGTGCTCTACATAAACCCCTACCTTACCTCAGAAGTATCGACTTCAATGTCGTGACGGCTCTATGACTAAACTCACAGCATAGGAACTTTTTGTATATGGATGGCATTCGGGAGCAGGTAAATGGGAATCTCAGAGATCTTGGTCTCGACCTGCACGCTGGTAGAGTGGAAAGGGATGGGAAAGTCGAAGCGACAGCGGACCGAGTCGGGCCGAGACATGCCAAGTCATCTCTGCCACTCAATCTGTCCTTCAACTTTCTTCGACCCACCGTCGACTGGTCTCGTTCGCACTTGGTATGCGTGGCTTGCAAATGATTGAGTTTGAGGTGTCGAACAATGTTACTGCGGCGGTAAGTTTTGATGGTTGTTTTGCGGTGCTGACGGATAATGAGAGTAACGCGCCGGCAATTACACGCCCATTCGAGTCAACAGCTTGAAGCTCCGATGCAAGAGGGTTTAAACGACAGGTCAATGGTTGAGTCTATGAGCGAAAATACAAGAGAGCAGGAAAATCACAAACACCGCGCATGTAAACGGGTATCCAGTCGCGAATCCTAACGCCGCTCACGCCTCCACTGTCCGTCGTACCATCGTTGACCACCATCAATCGTATTGCGTCTTCTCAACGCACCATCATCATACCGTCCACGAGCCCATCCAGCTCTCCTCTCGAACTGCCTTAGATTCTCCGCCCTGATAGCATCCTGAATGAAACGATCGCCCCTATCTAAACGGTCTTCATTTGGGTGAACAAAGACAGGATGGCGCGGACGGCGGGGAATATTGGCCTGGTGTGCTCGGGCGTAACGCTGTCGTTCCTCATGTTGGCGTCTGGCTTGTTCATCACGGAGCCGCCATTCCTCTTGATGCCTCCGTGCTCGTTCTTCACGAAGCTGCCGCGCTCGTTCAGCTTCTCTGAGGCGCTCAAGGTCTTCCTGCTCCTGTAGTATTCTGGCTCGCGCAAGCGCTCTGAGACGCTCAAGGTCTTCTTGCTCCCGTAGTACTCTTGCTTGCTCTTCTAATTGCTGCTGACGTCTTGCTTCCCGTTCATTTGCGAGACGCTGTCGGTCTTCCCGACGTTGCTGCCTGATTTGCTCCTGTCGCTCCTCCATCGCGCGTTGTCGGTGCACACGTTCAAGAATGCTGGCTCGCTCCCGAGCTTCGCGTTCTTCCCGTTCGATTCTTTCTTGATACTCTCGTTGTCTAAGCTCTCTCTGTCTGATTCTCTCTTTCTCGACATGATATCTGTGATTAGGTGATAGAGATCGGGTGCGTCGACCGTGTTCACGATTCGCTTCCAGTGGGGAGAGTGACTCGTCTTCGTCCTCTTCGCTAGATTGATGGATAACAGCAGGGGTAGGGCTTCTTCCTCTCCGCCCACGCCCAAGGGGATGGTGAGTGGGATGGCGTTCGGGAGGCTCCATTGGTATGACGACTGGATGTTCTCCTCGAACCAGCGGTACGAAATGCGTTCTAGGAGGTGGTGGAATTGGTGGCTGCTGTTGGATGACAGCTGGGCCACGTTCCGACTTTTTCGTTTTTCTGACAACATAATACTGCATCTTCCCTTTCTTCTCTTCATTCTTGGATGAGAATGGGTTCCAAAACTTGATGTTCAGTGCCAGACCCCCAATCGGACCTCTTGATGTCTCCATACTTCTTGGACGGAGTCGCGAGCTTTCCAAATCCATAGGTTCGATCGGAACAATATGAGGCTGCAGGGGACGTCTCAAGTCGGAGGCCGAGGCAAGACGGTCTCCGAGGTTGGCAACCTCAGGATGCCTGCATGGCTGGCTGCGAGTCCCGTAACGGCAAGGTACCACCTGCTCTCTTCTTTCACGAGTTTCATCGGGGTAGACAACATGGAATTGTTCGATCCTGCACATCTGACTCGGTGGAGTATCTGACTCTAACTGTCGGGAGAGGGGCCCTAGGCTTTGATGAGGTTTTGAAGGCTTTTGGGCCTTGGGGAACAGGATTTGGTTCTGTTGGCGAGATAATTCAACCGCACTTGTCTGTGAGTGCCTGGAGGCTGGACCACTATCAGACGGTTGCCTTGCAAAGATGGGAAAGTGGACTTACCGAGACAATTGCTGAAGGACCTTCGGAGGAGACATACTCTAAGCGGACATTGCACAGGAACGTGGCACGTCCTTGAGCATTTGAGCCTTTTCAAAAGGAAATCCGGTAGCTTTGGGGGTCTATTGACGAGTCTGAAACAAGGCCCGAGGGGACGATGAGCCGCTTGGGATGTAAGTTAGGGTCCAGGTATTTTGGGATAAATATAATATAGGATTTGGCTCTGTGAGCTATGAGACCTTTTGTAGGATTAAAGGAAGGAATAATGAGTAGCGTCTACTTATATCTTCTTTAGTAGCTAAATGCTGAGTCTGTTGACCTTGAGCCTCTGAGCGCTTTCCTGATGCGGTTAGCCTCTGGGCATGAGGCGAAGCAGACATACCTTACCTACTTCATAGTGGTGGTGTCGCAGCACCCTCCCGTGCAAGAAATGCTACTCAGTGTCACATAATTGTCCAAGCGCTGTGGCATTTTTTTGAGGCTCTTTGGAGGCAATTCGATGATTTTGATAGCATGACTGGTGCCCTTTGGTTACATTCACCTTCTGAAGCATGGAAGCACTGGCTGGTAGCCGCCGAAATGGAAATATCTCAAACTCCGGGGGTTACATCCTTGCTTGCTGCGCACCCCCAAACAAACAAATCCTCGAAAAGCACCAACATTTCTGCCCACTTGCCACCCTCGTTGACGTCGATTGTCTTACCATTAAGCCTCAAAGGAATAATGACAGCAAGTCGCTGCCACCACTAACCGCATGCTCATCTGACCTCCCAAGCGTCCGCAGAACCCGCTGGCTGGTGGCCGGTAGCCTTTCTTCTAAGCTGCAAACATCTCGTTCATCTCACCGAAAGCACGGCCTCTAAGCACTGCCAAAATAGGGCATGCCAGTCATTCGTTATATCGTGGCGAATGTTATCACACGCTTCCAGAGAAAATTCTGCGGGAGCCCGACGCTCTACCTAGCTTGAAGACCAGTCTGTCACTGCGGCGAAGATCACTAATGGACTTCCAGTTTAGCCTCCTGGAGATACTACTACATAATGCTCCCGCCTGAGCTGTCACTGCCAGTAAGCTGACGATATGCATGCCTGCGGTGGTGAGATTGTTTATCTACAAGGCGCAATGCGCGATATTGATTCCCTATCTTCCTTTCTGTTTCATCATTCAGTTGTGGGAAAAAAGTTTTGGTATGGTGAGATGGATCATGATGGTTGCCACCGATGACAGGGAAGCGTGGTCAAGGACGAGGCTACATACCTCGCTGATGTCTACACCTGATAGCCTTGCGAGCCTGGCATTCCACGACTGCAACACGGGGAGCCCAGAGATGCTGATGTCAAGATGCGGACTTTGAGTTTTCAAAACATCACAAGATCAAATCAAGCCGTCATGGAAGCACCGACGAGACTCATCGTTGAAGTTGCCATGATCGTTGCTGAATCTTAAGCCAAATTCAAACGGCAACTGCGAATACGACGGCCTAGTACAGCAATACGTTTTACCATTCTCTGGCCCATGCACAGTGTTATTGCGAATGTTGTACAGAAGCTCTTGGAAGAGACTCAACTCCAACATCATCCGTCGGGATCGGTAGCAGCGTATCTGGACTGTGATGGATTTCTGTCCTTATTTGGGTCTTATTATATTATCTTTGCGTCCAGGTCTATTGTCGATACTAGCGTTCTCCGCCAGACTCGGAACCAGTCTTCCAATTATGCTGAACATTTATCCCAAGGGTAATTTGATCCCATGATTCTACAAATGAATCACGTGAAATCCCATCACATTAATGATTTCGGCGCCTCAGCACCAAGCACAGGTGCCAACCCTGGATCCCCCTTCGCCATCGCCCTCTTGTACCCCTCCCTCGCGCCCACTCTTTTCAGATACGCAATTACATTCGGATACGATTCCAAACTGTACGGCATAAACAGCCTCATCGTCGTCAAGCTTACCACCGTCATGATATCGGCAGCAGTGAACTCTTTCCCCGCCAACCACTCATTGTCCTTTAGCCTGTCATTGATGAGACCAATAGCATGCTCTCGTCTTGACACCGCCGCTCCCATGACCTGATTCTCGGCAGGCAACTGCGCCATTCGCAAAAACATATTCCTGCTCACCGAGAGCTGCAGCGTGCCATTTGCAAAGTGCAACCAGTATAGATAATCCGCATAATTCTTCTCCTCCGGCCCTACCACTAATTTTCCCTCGCCATATTTCACAAGTGTGTATTCCATGATCGCCCCAGACTCGGCGAGCGTGACGTCGCCATCCGTGATGATGGGTGCGGTCTCCAATGGGTGCAGTTTCTTGAGTTCCGGTGGTGCGAGCAGGGGAGAGCGGTCGTAGACTTTGAGTCGGTAGTCAAGGCCAAGTTCTTCGCAGAGCCAGACTATGCGTTCGGATTGGGAACGGCCGAGGTGATGGACCGTAAGGACCATTGTGGATGGGGCAGATACGGTGAGTAAGTTCGTTTGTTGATATGTAAGAGATATTACGTACCGGAGGCCGCTCAAAGACGGCGGGGGCCGGGGGCCGGGGGCCGGGGGGGGGGTTGATTGGCCATGGCGTCAGAGGCCCCCCGCTGCGCCTCTGGGCCCCCACACAAAGCCCCCGAAGTCGGAGAGTTTCGGGTGCCAACCGGGGGCCAGTCTCAACCGAGGGAGGGGCTGCGCGGATCTTTTTCAAGAGCCTCAAGTAGGCTGTGCTTGTGAGCTTGTGAAACAGCCTGATAGCCTGTTGTTCCTTTTCTCTCCACTACCACACTCCCTACGAAGAGTCTGTAAGCGGACAGGCTCTGCGGGCAATCGGCCGAGGAACGGGGGGGCGCTCCGGTGAAGAGCATTCTCCGGTGAAGAGCATTCTCCGGTGAAGAGCATTCTCCGGTGAAGAGCAAGATGGGTGTGTGATCAGTATCGTACGATGAAGGCGATTAAGTAGTATCGCGGGATAGAAGCTGCTGGGACTGAGACGCCGAAACGTTGTCCTAGATCACTGATACAAGGTAAGTGGTAAGTAATCAACTTCGATCATCATTCTTTATCATCACTCCCTCCGCGAATAGTCTACCTATAAGCTCGAACTTTCAATTTAGAAAATTTGATATATTATTATTATATATATTAAGAATATATTTATAAGTTTTTATAAAAAGTGATGGTTCGGTTATTAAGTAATGATATATCGAAGTATAGATTATTAAGTTTCTTTGAAATAGTTTCGGGGTAGCTCGCTCCGGGGTAACAGCTACCCCGGAACTTACTAATGCTGATATATACCCAGGGGTAAATATCTCATATCAGCCAAACCACCAAAAAAATGAGGCTTGGCACGGTTTCCTGCTCAGACCCACTGCGTGGGGCCACTGAGACTACTTAACAACACGATTTTGACAAGTGACGTGACAACTGATAACACACCTCTGGTATCATGATCATCAGAATCCAAGTGAACACCATCCTTTTACCTTTCGAGAATCACTGCATGAAGTTTTTCCCTACGCCACGATCCCTGGCAGTCCTGTTGCCCTGTCCCAATCAACAAACAGCTGGTACTTGGCATTCACGCCTTCCTGATGAAGCCTGCATCTTATTCTCTGTGCCAATCCCATCAACGCTGTCTTGGTATTGGCCTTGGTGGCCTCGTCTTGCTAGATCCTAGCGTCGATTGAAGATCCGCCCTTTGATAATGGTAAGACGCTCCGTGGATCTGCTGTTCGCCGTCAAAGGATTTTCCTTGAGTAGATGCTCACAAACAGCTCGTCCAGTCTTCTCATCAAATCACCATGCCGGTCTCGCAGGATCCTTCCTTCACCACCATGCCGCGAGAAATCCGAGACATGATATACGACCTCTGTCTCGTATACCCCGTAGAGCTCGCAGTCCTTCCCTCGCGTCGTGACAGAGACGACATCGCTACAGGCAGCGCTCTCGGATGGCCGTCTGCTCCCTTACTCGCAGTCAGTTCGATGCTTCGAGCTGAGGCGGCCCACGCTTTCTACGGCAAGAACAGATGGATGCTATCTTGCATGATACTATCTGACGAGGAGCCGGAGGTTCCGCTACCGGCCCTGTTCTGGTCTCACGTGCGCCACGTGTCGGTTAGGTTCGACTGCGACGTGGTCGATCCAACAGAGATGGGGAGGATATCTCGGGAGCTGTTCACGGGCCAGAACGCCTCTCTCGCGGATGTTGCGCGCACCACGGCAATCCATGAAGAGCGCAAGGAACACCTCGTGGAGGTTTGGGCGAAGATGTGCCGTGCTCTTGACATTTGGAACTTACAGCTCGTGTCGCTGCAGATGGACTTTACGCATTGTTATTGTCCCAGCGGATGCTGTCGGATGATCTCGGATGCTAACGTGGAAGCACTTAGTTGGATTCGCCCTTCGGAGCCTCCAGAAAAGACCGTATCGATTGCAACAGGCTTGATCAGTGAGGCGGAGCAGGCTCATATGCATCTGATGGGTCGAAAGTGCAAAAAGTGCGTCGATACTCCCTGGGAAGACCGGATGACGCTCGAAAAGTTGTATTGCAGAGACCCCTTACGGTCACTTTTGGGAGTGAGAGGGAGGAATTAGCCCGAGGGACGGGGATGGGTCGTGGCTAGGAAAAGCACAACGCTTGGTGTGCCATGTTGCACCTGAAACGTTAGTGCACCTGATTCCAGTGCGTTCTAGCGACTTAGCACGGCATGGGCATTGATTCCTGGATGCGGGCCCTGAAGTTGGACACACGGGTCACGCGAATTTTCATAGCAAACACCCAAAGCCGGCAACTGATCAATCCTCCCCCGCAGCGGCTCCGGGACCTCGAGACATCCTCCTCTGCTTGTTGTAATCTGAGTGCTTTTCAGCATCAATGGTCAGATGTTATCGACCTTTGAATTCTTCTCATTAATTCCGCCCATTCTATATTCTATGTTTGTGAAGCAGGGCCTGGAATTCAAGAGAAGCGTACGAAACAGAAATTACTTAGGTGCTTCCGGCCATGATCGGAAGATGAAGCGTAGATTGTCTGGAGCTTGATCGGGCCACTCCTTCTGGATCAAGTCCATCATTGAATCGTAAAGAAGCCGATATGCGTCTGGTCGAAAATGCAGCCCTGTGTCGATCTTAGCCATCCCAGCTTTCAAGATCTTCGCAGTACCAATAACTCACCGTCACTCAGCAGCTTCTCCAGAACTTCACTCCTCGCCACCTTCTTCGAGCCTACCAGTGGTTTGCCCCCTTTCCATCCAGCCTTTGCCATGAAGATGGACCAAACGTCAAGCACGGCAACTCCAACCTCTGCTCCGACTTGACGACAAGCATCTGCGTACTCCTTTGTGTGCTCTGCGGACCTTAGTGGATCCTTGTATCCCCGGGCTCGCTCGGATGTTTCCATCTGATACTCGTTGACGGGGGGAGGCGTGAGAAGGATCAGTCGAGGTTTCTGTGCAACGACGCTTGAATGCTCAAGGATATCTCTCAGATTCTTCTTGTATTCGTTGAGCGGTATCTGCTGACCTGTCGCACTCCCTGGTAGGCACGCGTCATTGGCGCCGAAGAAGACGGCCTTATCCAATAGGAAATAAGCTAGATGTATTTCAAGAATGCTCTTTCGGGCGTACCATGAACCTAAGACGTGCTTGCTCTGGCTTGGGCATGAAGCCGGGTAAGGCTAGTATTGCATTGGCCGTATTATATCCCTAGTCTCTCAGCTTCGCTCGACTGCTATGCATAGAGATAGGTGGCATACGGAAAAGCCCCTGTTGATAACATCCAGCCGTCTAATGAAAGCTAACAGGCGCGAATAACGATTAGAATCCGGTTAACTACACAGGCATTGGTGCAAGACCCGTATGGGGCTTCTGATGTGAAAACCGGAAGAGTCTAGTCATACCATCTTGCAACGCTGGACAAAATGCAAAGCCAGCTGCTTGACTACACGACTGCTGGATCAAGCTGTCGCCAAACAGCAGGAACTGGTCGTATGGGCCTTGCATGGGAACCTATACCTTTGTCAGTATTTTCGAATGGGAAAAGGACAACGCTTTGGTACAAGCATCTTGTGTCGAGATGTGTTTTTGATGCCTAATACCTGAACTTAAGATTATCCGTCACGTATCCCTTGATATGAAACTAAGAGTACCACCGATATATGTAAATTTAGAGGCCAGTTTTATTATATTATAATGGTGAGGCCAGCTATTGAACTGGGTTGGAAAGTATAGTCTTATCGTATGCATCTTGCAGTAAAGCCGAAAGTCGTCTTTGGGTGTTCTGAGCGGGAGATTGTACCAGTAATTACGGCTTGTCTTCGTCGGAAGGATCTAATCTTCTGGTGCGAAGCCAGTCTTGTCGAGAGTCATCATTGGAGGGCCCTTGGAATTATATGCGAGATGAGGGCAACTACGATGGGCAGAACAGCTGTTCAAATTGCCAACAAAATATACTTGTAAGTCCAACCCTGGACTGTGCGGGCGCTTATTCAGCTCGAGATTGGTACCATCTGTAAAAAGACGGCAATTTGATAAAGCACGAAAATTTTGAAAAGTTTAACGACTGCCTGCGAATAAAGACAGAGGAGTGAGGCCCGAAAATGGAGTAACTAAAGCTGAGATTACTGTTAGTTCTGCATTAACTTATGGAGAGGAGCTACACCTCACAGAGGCAGAGCCAGTTTAGACGCGTTCTCGAAAAGGAGGTATTTACGGGCTCAATATCCTCGAACAGTCGGAATTGTTGATATCTTGGCAACAGAGTACAAAACTATCAATAAAAAGCCGAGATGGCTTGAGAGGTTTGTTTGAGGGACGTCTAGTCTAGGCCCAATCATCATCAAAAACAATGTAATTGCATACGTCTGTCACTGAAGGAAGGTACGGAGCAAGAAGCTCTTCAGACGAACGTTAGATCACATGAGCGGGCCTTGGGGTCGATCATCCTAATTCACTGAACATTGTATCAAACCTTGCGATCCTGAGCGATTTGAAGGCAACTTTGAGAGTCCGACGGCTCTATGATCGTGTGTTATTGGGCGACTCCGACGCTTGGTTCTGCATCAAGACGTTGAAAATCCTCAGAACCTGGCGTTGAGCCATCGTTTGCAGGGAGAATATGAGGAGGCCGAGAGCTCTACAGGAGTGTCCTTCGTAGAGAAAGGAAAACGAAGCCGGGCTGACACCCAGCGGACTACGATGACATTGGCCGATTGTATATGGAGCAGCCGCACAGAAGCATTTACAGATGAAGATGATTGATGGATTTCATCCGTAATCTATCTTGGTTGTAAGATTCTGTCCCACTTTAACGTACAACGTTTAATATCTAATTTATATACTCTTTGCTCTTTTTCTCCCACACCACAACCTTGGGCCTCTTGGCCTTCACTTCTTATCTCTCCGCATTGCGCTCGTTTGGACAATCAACTGCTTTAGAGCTTCTCTCAACATTTGAGCCCTGCACTATTGCCGCACTGGCACTTTTTATTTACGTTATCACCTCATCGTTGAACTTAATACTGAGTTCATTTTAGGTCATTTTGCATGCATGGTTCGTAAGGTCGTACATTTTGCGCCCACCCTTCCTCCCTTTCTCCCTTCTTGCTTTTAATTTTTCTCCACGCACTTCTGTCTAACTTCACTTTTTGTCGTTGCAAAAGTTCTGTTTGGTCAGGGTCTGCTGTCAGAAATTGGCGTCGGGTCAAGATCCAAGTGCTAATGATCGCGGAACCACTGGCTATCTTGTCACTGACGAGTATCAGGTCGGGCCGCGGTTTGGTCTGCCCACTGTATCTCCGACCACTTCGAAAGCGTCCCCTTGCCGGCTTTTGTTGCGTTTGGCCATGTCAGCTGGTCTTATCACATGACTATTACCCTTGGGTTGGGTTGATCCTTTCTTCGGTTCGAGGCGGTAGAGGCGAAGAAAACCCGAGTGTCCTTGGATCGAATCTAAGACATCGTAAGTCGTAAACCCACCCTCAGAACATACGTGCTTATTTAGATTCGTTCACGAGTTTGTAGAAAGCCACAGTTGTGGAGTTGATCGAGGAAGAAGGATTTGCCGTGTGGTCCTGTATATTTTTCCAAGACATACTTTTCAGTTCAGCCGTCAGACATCCTTGTTGTCCATCGTCAGGTGTCACTTCAGGCAATATCTTGGACACATCTGGCTTTCCGTCGACACGACCTCTTTTGCTCTACGGCCACCGTGATTACGGGATAAAAGACCGTAGTCCTGTTGCTACAAACGCTTGCGCTCTGGTATTGAAGCTGCTCGCGGTTCTGATCCTATTACCCATGTAACGACAGGACAACCGTCTATATCGCAGCGAGATGCCGCCCTCCCTCTTTCCTATCCCCTCCCGCGGCCTCTGAGAATGGAGTGTTTGGATAAGAAGGTTTTTGTAGAAGCTGGTGAGGAAGATGGTTATTGGCTGCTGGAGATTTTGTATGACATCGCTAGAATGTTGAAAATCTTTTTCTGAGCAAATTCGACTCGTTGCATCCACCCCTTTAGTTGCGGTGGCGACTCCGCATTTTGAGCGGAGGATACACCATTTGCGGCGGAGTTCTGCAACATCTGAGGCTGGCTTATTGACGAGCTCGCCCGTGCCATCTGGATTTGCGAAGCTAGGTATGCATGTTCCTTGACAGGCCGTGCAGATCGAGTGGACCATATAGTACCCACGGCCTTTTCCCGGGTCTTTCCTCGAGATGCATTTAAGTGCCTGGTGTCCCCGGCCTAACGATTAGCCTGTTGGGGAACCTTTCGCTGTTGAGCTTATTCTGAGCATTTTGTATGGCCACGCTGACGAAGGAATAATCCTTTGGTACTCGCTGTTCCCGTCAGTAGGAAGATGTCTGGCGACCACAAGTAGTGTGTTTATTGAATGCTTGTAGACCACGAGCATACTCGCTCAGCTCCGACTTTTACATGTGCAACATCCGCCTACCGTGGCCATTCCATAGCCGTGTGATCTTCGCGCTCCCCTGAAGGCGTGGATCGTATCTGTTTGTAGTTTCTGCCTGTCTCCCACCCATGGACATCTATCTGGATTCGTGGCTTCGAAACGACCAGTGGAGATAGCTGAGCGAATAGTTTGGTTCGGTAACTTCAATGATTGTCGGCGCTTCCGCAGCGATAGAGCTTAGGTCGTGTCTTGTGCTAGCGACTGCTCCAGTATACGATGATGGTGGTGTGCTCTTGTTCCGAGCATGGATCGTAAATCTCGCTGCTTGTGTGCGGTTGTTATCCAGGAATATTTTAGTCCCCAAGCTTGTTTTCCTTCCGTAGTCTTGTAAGACGAGCCAGTCCCAAATATTGAGCTTATGGCAGTCGGAAGTGCCTGGAGGTCTGTAGTGCATGGTGCTGTAAGAGCTGGCGTCTGTTGTAGTGAACGGATGCGTACTAATGAGTGAGTGCATGGATGAAGTCTTATTTGCCGGGTTGAGGGTGGGGTTGTTTTATTTTCGATTGCGAAGACCGCCAATGTTGAAACACCCAGCTTTACACTGCCTTCCCCTCACCGTCGCACAACGGGCACAATCCTAGCAGCTATAGGTGTGTAGCTTGCCCTATGGCGACCGCCTCTCATCAGATCCACCAAAGTCAATCTTCGCCTAGAATGAGCATCCTCGGATCCTCTTGGGTCTTCGAATGTGATCGATATCATATACTCGGTTACTTGCCCGCGCACATGTCACAACATGTTGGGCCCATTGTGGTCGACACACGCGATCCTCTCCATCGCTTCGTACCCGACACGGTTAGCGAAACTGAACGGAGATTCCATCCGTAGATATCGTACCCGACATATCAGACCACCGGTACAATATGACATTTGTCCAAAATCCTGACGCAGCGCAAAACTAGCCAGGCTGAGGCTTGATAAGATTCTAGATGCCCATGCTCGAAGAACCACGTCGAAGAATGTCAAAGTGACTGCGGCCATCGTTGTACGCCGTGACATGATCAACTTGAAGCTTATAGCTCTAAGACCGGGAATACAGGAGCCAGTTCAGTCCTTGCGATACACCCGGAAAAAGTTTCATGGTCACTGGCGTCATGACTTGAAGCGGTGTCTTGAAAGAGGCGCAGCTTGCTGACTTCGTGTCCTTTGAAGCCATTGGCCCAGCCTTGGTGACCCCGAGGCCAGGATTGGCACTCGAGAAACGATGGGAATGCCGTTGAGTCAAAGATCAAGTCATTTTTGCACTGGCATACGACGAGGTCAGCTAGAATCATACATCAAAGGAAGTGCTGGTTCTCTTCTTCCCACCGCAAGGAGGAACGCCGATGTAGTATTAAAACAAGATGCTCGGAAATGGCCTCGATCTCTATTTTGAGGCAACGATGACCTCGATGGGATACTGACGACGACAATGAAAAGGGTCTCAATGGAAAGGGCGCTCTGGTAGCCTAAGTTCACTTTCTGCTAGGAGCCCTCGAGTAGCTCTCCTTGAAGGGATAACACAGGTTGGATTGACGGTACCTTGGCAATGGAAGTTTGGTCGTCTATCAGTCTCTAGCTTCGGCCGCTAGAGAAAGCGACCCGACTTCACTTCGTGAGAGCAAATAATTATATATTTATTATAGATTCAGATTGATGATCTTGCAACGATTTTTGGAACTATGGAATGATGGTTTCTGGTCCTTTTGTATTCCACCACACTTTTGCGGATCACAAAAAACAAGGGGGGCCCTCGCATGCATTACAACCTAACGACTCTGCACAAAGTCTTACTAACCGTTACACTAGATCAAAAGAAAACTAGTAATTCGTTATTAAACAGTAACTTATACTAGTTGTAGGCTTCAGGGCCAAAAAACCCCTCCCCCCCACAAATCCCCCCCAAAAAAAAAAAAAACCCCCCCCCCCCCAAAAAAAAAAAAAAAAAATTTTAAAAAAAAAAAAAAACACCCAAAAAAAAAAAAAAAAAAAAAACCCCCCCCCTTTAAAAAAAAAACCCCCAAAAAAAAAAATTTTTTGGTGGGGCGGGAGGGGGGAAAATAATTAAAAAAAAAAAAAAAAAAAAAAAAAAAAAAAAAAAAAAAAAAAAAAAAAAAAAAAAAAAAAAAAATAATATTTTAAAAAAAAAAAAAAAAAAAAAAAAAAAAAAAAAATATACTTAATAAAAAAAACAACCACAACAAAAACAAAAAAAAAAAAAAAAAAAAAAAAAAAAAAAACAAAAAAACAAACCCACAAAGAAACAGCGCACAATTGAAGAAGTACGTGTGCAATGCCTCGTCCAAAGCGCTCCAAGGTCGCGCCATCAGCCCCTATCACTTTCCCTCACCTCGCCAAACCAGCAATAGCATCCGCAGCACAGAAGCAACAACTCATGTTCTCTCCAGCATCGTCAGGACGCGTCACTACTACCAGCGATGATAGCGATGGTTTGGTGGTTTCGAAAAAGACAGAGGCGCGTAGAAGGGGTACTAAAGCGCAGGAATATACGATGAGTGGGGCGTTGGCTCCAGAGGATATAGGACCGACTCGCCTCAAGCCGCCATCAAACCAGACAAGAGCTGCGATCTCGAAAATTGCTAGGGAGGCCGATTATGCAACAACGGTGGCCGAGGGGAAGGCAAGGCAGGGTGTAGCAGAAGCGGAGGCCGCAACTGAACCTGACCAAATTCCATCCTCGATACCTACGGAGCCCGTTCCAGTGTCAAAGCCATCTCTAAACCGCCTGGGAAACTCGTCGGCCACCAAGAGCACTCAAATGGGCTTGGGATCTAGGATTGGCGAAACGCCCCGCCCACAACCATCAATGCTAGGTGCTACGTTCAAAAAGAGAGCCAGACAACCTAGCCTGCTCCAAATGCTACAAACACAGAACGACCCGAGCGACGATTTGGATGACGATGCATTGGATGACTTTCGCCCAGACGATGAGTCAACTCCGATGATCAAGTCGATGTTACAGACAGATGCCCAGCACACGTCCTCATCTTCACGTCAAATCCCGGGGTCACGCAAGCGCAAATTGGCAACCCCAGAGATTCAAGTCCCAGCATCACAATCACTCGACCCTCCATCCTCGCCTCCTTCGGTCCTACCTCAAGAGGAAGAAGATCTGTACGGGTTACCAGCTGAAGAAGGGAGACCAGAACCAACACTCCCACGACAACGCTCTATTCAGACACCGCAACGGCAGATAGACAGCGACACTCTTGCGCCACCTCGGAGTAGCAGTCCGGTGAAACCCAAGGCACGCAAGACCCGAAGTAAAAATACCGAAGTCGCTACGCGCCCTCAGCAATCCAGGCGCAAGCAACTTTCTCCAGCGCCCTCGCCACTCTCATCTGCTTCTACAAATATATCACCAATCAAGCCAGTCCGATTAAAACCGCTCACGACAGCCACACTCCAAAATCTGCTCCCGCGGCGGCGAGCTCGCCCAAAACCTAGAGGCGAATTCGACATCCCCAGCAGCAGCGATGTCGAGCTTGACAACACCGGTCTTGGTGAGGATGAAGATGAGCTTAGTTTTCATGCTACAACGAAGGTGCGACGGAAGAAACCTTTCCCCACTGTCCAGAAACGCGGAGGAAAAGCAAAAGACGTTCCGGGGAAGAGGATGTCCAAGACTTACACAAAGAAGACCGCTGTGGAGTCTGACAACGAAAATGACGAAGACGACAATGACGACGGCGAGGAGGAGAACGAGAATGGTGTTTTCAGCAGAGGCAGTAGGAAGACTCCTGCGTTGGATGGCAAGGCAAAGGACGAGATGAAGAGGCTGGCGGATAAGTTTCGAGAGGTCGATCAGTATACGTTGGATTTTGAGGATATGACGGGGAACAGTAGTAGCCAGATGAAGGATGCGAGATGATACCTTCATACGAGGACGGGTATTGACGGCGTTTTTCAATGTGCTGGCAGATTTCTGTCCATCGAGGCGTTTGCATAAGACTCGAGCGCGGCTTGGATGAGCGTCTTCTACGGACACGAAATGCTCATGTACTGGCAAAATGCGCAGTATATCCAAGCAATTTGTAGGTGCTCAATGCTAAATGCTCTACTGCAATGAGTATACAAGCGCCTCCTTCCACTCAGATGCACGCCGAAATTAGGCCTTGAGCTGAAGGGGAAACACTTAATTAGCTTGTGCAGCATTCCCAGAACTCGCACTCGGAGTAACAGGTCTACTCTTCTCCCTCTTCGTCAAACTAACATTCTCCCTCAAAGCCACATACTCCGAGTCCGCGTACCCCAATACCCCGCCAATCTCCGTACTCCTCATCCCCTTGATCCTCGTTATTTCCGCCGCCGAGTAATTCACGAGTGCCCTGCCTACCTCTATAGGCGCCGGTGCCACATCGACAGGCACGCCTCCCACATCGACACCATTCCCATGAGCCGCCGACGACCATGCGGGCGGGTTTCGTTTCACAACGACCAGCCGTACGGCTTCCTGCTGTGCGAATTGCCCCTCGACATCCACGATGCCGGCAGGGAGGAGCCCGGCTTTGGAGGCGAGGGCGCGGTGGGCGCCTTGGTCTATGAAGAGGGTCCCGTGGGGGGCGAGGCCGTGGAGGAGCCAGAAGGAGCGGTCGCGGATAGGGAAGGGATCGGGGAGGAAGCGGGTGTGGAGCGGTGGGGTTGGAAGAGCGTCGACGTGGAGCGAGGATATCGAACTTGACAGAGGGGTATTTTCTGCCGGGGTAGCTGGATTCGAAGGGAGTTCGGAGTGGACCTCCGGGGTCTTCTGGGCTTGGACGTGGTTGACGATGTTCACGATGTTTCCAGGATTTGAAGAGCGTGTGATGACCGTGGTGACGCCGGCGGAGGTCGCAAGACGGGCTGCGACTATTTTAGTGGACATGCCACCAGTGCCTAGAGAGGAGCCGGCGGAGGACACGTCTGCTTCGAGCGAAGATACATCTTCGACGACTTCGATTGCTTGAGCGTCTGGGTGCGTCCGAGGATTTTTGTCGTAGAGGCAGTCCACATCTGTCATGAGGAAGAGATAGTCCGCTTGCACCATGGCTGCGCTGATGGCGGAGAGGGTGTCATTGTCACCAAATTTCTCGATTTGTCGAATTTCCTAGGCACGTTCAGCAATGTTCATTCGCAAAACATTCTTTTGCTTACGTACAGAGACAGCTAGAGTATCATTCTCATTCACAATGGGAATTACCCCCATGTTCAGAAGCTCGGTGAACGTGTTTTGAGCATTCAAATATTGCGTCCGCTGCTCCCTCGTTAGCCTACCATACACCGGAATGAACTACCACATTCTACGTACATCAGCTATGTCGTTCCTCGTCAGTAAGATCTGAGCAACAGGCTGTCGCAGGTGGGCGAACAGGCTTTCCCAGAGGCTCATAAGACGGCATTGCCCTACCGCTGCAAGTGCCTTATACAAACGTTAACATCCTTCTTTTCCGCCAGAACCATGAAGGAGCCCTCTACCTGTATTCTGGGCAGATGCTTCGGCCTCTTCTCCACATCCATCCTTCGTAGTCCAACCGCAATGGCTCCAGAGGAGACAATGACGACTCGGTGTCCATCTTTGATGAGGGCGACGGCGGTCTCGACGATGAGGGAAAGTACAGACAGTAGGGGCTCATGAGTCTTCTCGTGGACTATTGAGCTCGAGCCTGTAAAATATCTCCGGTTAGCTTCTGTAACACAACACGCCCCATACCTTGCATACCCAGTTTGATCACAATGGTGAGATGTTTGTGGCCCTTCATGCTTACCTGTGTAAAATATCACCTTGCCACTGCTCAAGTACCAAAGTATGGACCAATTCCAGGCGCTCGGAGCGATCTGGTCTCACCGCTTTGACCGTCTGAGCGTTTCACACGTTGTGCACTGGAGTAAAGACGAAAATATTCTCGGAGCGGAACCGGAGCGGAGATTTTGGCTTGGCGGCTTCAACAAGAACCTTTGCATGTCTTCCTCGACAACCAGTTCTCGGTCCACCAATGTCTAACGGAGATCCATCTTCTCAGGCCAATGGTTCAGATAACAGCTCATCAAACTCGCGATCGAGTCCTGAAAACACAGGCTACACCTTCACCGACGACCCCTGGATACGATGGCGCAACACATTCAGGTACCTGACTTACCGATTGACAGAAGAGGGCAACCGACAATACAAGAAGGGGCGTGATGACCGTTGTGCGGCGACTGATTGTAAGAGCTGTGAAGACCAAAGGGATTATTTGCTGCAATACAGTACTGCACCTCTACAATTCGAGACTGGCGCTTGCTAAGGACTGCCAGGTCCAATAGTACGATTCATGCACCAGAAGATCAGTGATCTGGGAGGCGATTTGCACAAAGGGAATATAAAGTGCGTGAAATGTGACCGCGCGCAAGGTGGAGGACTCCATCCGGATTATGGGATCATGCTTTGCGCGAATCGACCGGAGCCATTGGAGGATACTTTGACTCATGGTGAGGCCCAATTCTACGAAAGTTGAAACAAAAGACTGAGGCTTGCACAGAGATGGTTCATGCCTACGACTACCTCCGATTCAAAGTCGACTTCGAAACACTTGATCTACGGCACGCTGCTTGCACTGAAATCAGAGCTTCATCTCTGAGTGGCGAGTGTAGGTTTTGGAGGGAGTTCTGGCACAGGGCGCAATGGAAGGTCACATATCAGCATCAGGAGTGCGTGAGACGCCGAGCGGCGATATCAGTGTCCAAGAGACCGAATTGCAAGGACGACGTTGAGGCTGCCAAGGTGGTGAACGAGGTCTGGGACAGCTGCTTTGCGGATACGAGGCCTTTTGATGAGATATATAAGTGAAAAGATGTGGGGGGTTTGCCGGAGAGATGGATTTTTGGACAAACATCATACCAGCATTGTCAGAGGCGTTCACCGCCATTAGAGATATCCTCAACTCCGAGCATTATGCAAAACCCTACGTAACCTGTCCACGGCAACGAATGGAAATGTTCAACGCCAGTTACCTTCCGAGAAAGGTACACCGAAGCTACTCATCCAGTCCAGTCCTGTTGACTGCTTGGATGATTGCCGGTATAGCCAACTTTGTCTCCTTTGAAGCTGAGCTTCTCTGGGTTGCTCTTTCGCCTTTGATGCAATGCTTGACAATCCAGGGATGTTTCTGGACTTCAACAAGGGGAATGCGCTTCTCTGGGTCGAGGACGAGTAGCTAAACGAAGTGTCAGCTGTTTATACATTTCCCACATTGGTCAACGTGAGGCGCGGTGTAGCGTCGATTCCACGCGACTCATCGTAGAGCGCCGCACAATTCGACCTATGTGAATTACCAGACACAGCAAGGCGGCCCCCCGCTAGTATTCGCGCGGTACAATCTGACCAGGGTGGAAGGCCAAAAGAAAAATAAAGCGTGCGCATGAGCAGAAACAGGGCTTACCCTTTCAATCAGGTCCCTTGCCTCAGGGCTCACAAATTTTGGCACCGTCATCTCCCCTCTGGCTATTCGTCTTTGTGTCATAACTGGTGTGTCTTCGAAAGGTGCCTCTCCCACTAAGAATTCATAGGTCAGGACGCCCAAACTCCATAGGTCCACCTTCTCGTTGTAGAAATTCTCCTGGCTTCCTGGTTTGATCATCTCCGGTGGAAGATAGTCGAGAGTGCCACACATGGTATTTCTTCGATTATTGGGGGCGTGCACACTCCATCCGAAATCTGAGATCTTGATCTCTCCATGGATTCCCACTAGGATGTTCTCTGGCTTGATGTCCCTGTGCATGACGTGCTTCTTATGCAGATACTTCAATGCTGCGGCCATTTGTGCGATGTACTGTGCTGCTTTCCACTCGGGGAATTTGTTCTCTTTTCGCAGATGCTTATACAGCTCTCCTTTGCCAGCAAATTCAAGAATGAGGAAAACTCGCTTGCTGTCGTGGAAGTGACCGTAGAAGCGGAGAATGTTGGGATGGCGCAGATTGCTGTGGATCTCTATCTCTCGTCTCACTTGCTTCTCCACCTTTCCTTGCTGCAGCTCGCTTTTGTGGAGGACCTTCAGCGCGCACACGAAGCCGGTCGATCGCTCTTTGGCCAGATATACCCGCCCAAATTTGCCCTTGCCCAGGGGCTTTCCAATCTCGAACATCCCAAGGTGGAATTTTTTCGGTTGCGGTTGCTCATATATTGGTGGATTAGACAATCGTTGTATGGCGCTTTCATCTGAGGGTCGTGCGGATGAGGAAGAGCTGGCGCCCTTTCGAGGTGGTGAAGAAGGAGCAGGAACGGTGGAGCCGCGCCATTGGGCAGCTTGTGAGGCAACATTGACCGTGGTAATTGTTGCTGCTTTTGTATTGGCATCATTGTTGTTTTGAAGCGCAATCTTGAGGAGATTCGAGCGATTTGGATTGGAGGTCAGTTGGGTGGTGGAGCCGAGTCCAGATATTGACATTGCCGTCGAGAAAGATCCCTAGGACTTGATGAGTAAAGCGATCAATAGCGGGATGAATTTGTTCTCTACCTTTGATTTGTGGAAGGTACCGCCTCCGTTGACTGGCTCATTCTCGTCCGTGACTGACAGTTGCTCAAAGCGAGACTCAATCGCTCTAATTGCCATCTTAAGAGGACGACTTGATAGAACTTAGAAAAAGATTAGACCAGTCAAAAAGGCGAGTAACTCGAGACTCTGTTGTGAGGGCGTTCACTCGTTACTTGTAGATGGTGATCTCCAGTCTTTGTTTATTAGCGGCCGACCGGTTGGTTGGCGGAGTTACCAGCGGCCAGCCCTAGCTTAAATTCGCGGGGCAAAACTCTCGTCGTCTTACTCGATGGGCCTTCACTTAGTTTCAGATGAGGATAAATCTGTTAGGTTGAAGCCTGGACCTGCCATGGCAGACAACGGGCGGATTGAGCCAGGCTCGCATTACCCATCAGCAGCCGACGCTGGCAACTCAATCACTCAGCATGGCTTTAAAATCACTACGCGAAAGCTGCCAATACTTAAAGCTGAGCCTATCGAACAGATGACGAAGAGACTGGGGATTGCACCTCCCGAAATGATCTTCGGTGACAACCTGGTTTCCATCGACCACGAAAGTGGATGGGGACTCCAATTCAACACCTATGATGCGCTGGATCAAGTTGATAAGACAGGAGGGTCAATGCTTCAAGTCGCACATTCGAGGGAATGGCAGAGTACTCGGTATGCCAGGGCATATACTGTTGGGGTGTCGAGGCATGCTGAGGCGAGATAGGGAAAAGAAGCACGAGGGTATCACGGAGGTGGTCAAGCCATTCGACTGGTCATATAGCACCGACTACAAGGGCACTTTGCGTTCACAGTCACCGCTCTTTGAGATTACAACGACACCAATACCACTGGAGCTACTCAAACGCCCTGACCCGATACTCTTTTTTGATGAGATCATTCTCTACGAAGACGAGATGGCAGACAATGGCATCACGATGTACTCGTGCAAGATCAGGGTCATGCCAGCGCGGTTGCTCCTTCTCTGTCGCTTCTTTATGCGTCTAGACAACGTATTGCTCAGGATCAGGGACACCAGAGTATATGTCGACTTTGGGACGGGAGAGGTGATCAGGGAGTATGTTGCGAAAGAGGAGAAGTACGAGGTGGTTAGGCAGGTGAGGAGCACTGCAGAAACGTTCCATTCGCGCGTCCACTACTAATCTTTGTTTTCCAGAAACTTGCATCGAGAGGCCAAGATGTGCCAGCGCAGCTACGAGATCCAAACAACATAAATGATCTGCTACCCATTGTGGATAAATCACTCGAGCGCCTGGTAATCAGGTAGCTATAGGATACGCATGCATTTGCCAGGAATCTGAAGCGTTCAGCGGTCACAGCATTTGCAAGGCGTCCTTTTGAATTGCATGATACCATCAGTTCCAATGTAATATCTTCCGAACTTCAATTCATGGTTATTCTTGCTGTAGAATGATTCTTTGCCCATGTGCACCCGCGTCTCGAGGCGCGTCGGCAAACCTGCTCCGATCTGAACGTGCAAAGTCATGACGGCAACCACTCGAGCAACTTAGATGAACATACCTTCAATCAAGTCTTGTAGCGGATCAATCACCTCACTTCCTGCAGCCAAAATCATAAATTGCCCAAATGGCTCCAAGTTCTGTTTGTGTAGCATGCCGCCAAGTACTCCAACAACAGTCTCGTCAGCTTGGACGCTCACGGGACATCTATGGAGCACGCGCCGCATACTCTTCAATACACAGTACTCCTAGACTATTCTCGACAAGCCGCCTCCTGTCAGTGCCGCAGGCCACCCCTAAGCCATATCAGCCAAAACCTCCTGCCACGAATCCGGGGTCCCGAGAGGACCCAAACGGCATTCCCTCTGAAGGAAAAAAATTTGGCTCGCCCTCCCCCGCCGCACCTAGTCTCTCAATTGCAGAGGAGCTTCACAAGCGAGTCTCTTCCGTAACAGAGACATACGTTGCTTATGGTGTTTGTGAGAATCTGGTCAAGGAATGTGCTCGACAAGCAGACTACGCGATTCCGCAAGCACATGAAAAGAATGTCGAAGTACCCAAGACTAAGGATGGAGAGGACTTAGGTGTTGGCACGGGATGGTGGTTCGAGAGTGAGCGAATCTCGCGGTCTTCCGACAGCTCATGACTACAATATTGACCTTTTCTCAGCCCTCGGTCTCACACCAACTTTCAATACCTGGGCCCAGATAACTTTCCTTCACATGTACCTGCTCACTTGCCGCCTACGCTGCTTCCCTCCTGCTCATGCTCCAGTGTGGCACCAACATCTTCTCGACCATTTTTTTTACATCGCCGAAGACCGGATGGTCGTCACCCACAATATTGCCGCACGGTCCATACGCAATAAATACTTGAAAGACTTGTTCGTGCAATGGCGCGGACTGATGGCGGGCTATGATGAGGGACTTGTAAGGGGAGATGCGGTGCTAGCTACAGCAGTCTGGAGAAACATATTCAAGGCGGATGAGAATGTGGATTTCCGAGGGGTGGGGGAGGTGGTGAGCTACATTCGGGGAGTATTGAAAGGACTGGATGAATTGGCGGATGAGAGCATTGCAAGTGGAGAAGTAGTGTTTGGGAATCCGGAAAGCGAAAGAGATGGAGTACTTCAGAAAAGCCGGATGATGATCGACCCAGCGCGAGAGGTGAAAGAACCAGCAAAGGCAGCCCAATCATAGCCTACGGGAACAAAGATTTCACTGACTATTCAGGCTCTTCTCCCTTGGTATTCCCGTGCTTTAACAATTTCAAGTGATTGCTGCATCATGGATTCTCTACTATGATGATGTTGCCCAAAAAAGGAGGAGCCGAGAGCTGCGATGTTGCCCATCTTTTGCAATCACTTATTAGGACTTTCCGCTCAGTACCCGACAGAATTTGGACCCTGCGAACATCCAATGCTCGACTTCTTCTACGCTGCAGTGTAATTATCCACATTCTACCTTCATCGCCTACTTTCATGTTTGCTCCTTGCTGCACCATAGCGTTTAACCTCAACTGGCCAGACTTTCATTTGCATGCGTTTTCCTGATGCTTTAATTTTATACATATATACATGATCCCCTGCTATTGTTTCATGCACGGCTTTGTTTCATTTTTCCTTCTTTAGCATTGATATTGGCGCACGCGGTTTGCTGGATTTGAATGATCAAGTTAGGATCAAGTTAGATCGTCATCACAAAGCATTCCGAGGGCCCATGCAAGTCAAGACCAGGTACGAGTCAATCTCATAATATTCAACTCGCAAGGTACGAAGAGCATCGACTCCAGGTCGATATAGCAAAACCATATTAAACATCCATCGCAACACGCCACATCCGCAATGAGGGGAGTATGTTCAGTGGGAGAATCTAAAAGCAAGACTGACTGCGCAGAGACTCAATATGCGCCCTTGACACTTCGATCGATGCTAACATCGATCACCCAACCATCATCTGACTTACATTCATGCCTGCATACAGTAGGACACGGACGCGTGAGATCCACCTCGCTCGGTGGACTGTCATGTCGAATCCGCTCTGGCTTCTGATTAAAACCCCGAGAGCAAGTCAACCTCATCATTCAAGGCTGTCCTCCTGGCAGCTTGAATATGGAAACGATCAGATCAAACAATCAAGCTCGGCCCACCAAAAGATTACAAAGAGGGCGAGAATTGACAAAGCAGCAAGTGACAGGAATAGTGGATTTACCATGGGCAGTCGGCTTGCTATTTCCATTCAAGACGTGACGACTTAAATGGCTGTGAAGAATCGTCTCCAATAGGCAGCTAACCGTCTGTTTATTCTGACTCAGGCACCCTTCTTATGAAAGCCCAGTTTCATCTTGGTCCGGAACATCTCAGAAGCGGTCATCGGGTCTTCTCATTGTTCAGACCGAAGGAAATTGTTCTCAGATTCCAATAAAAGCCCAAATATTGGAGCTCGTCATCTTAGCTGATCTCTGACCACTCTATAATGTTTGACGATTCCCGTCTCGAAATGACTCGTCGACTGTGTCGCATTCCCGAGAAGCTCCGAGCATTCCCAGAATGACTTTGACGGTTTAATAAGGTCGATTACATCTCCCGAACTTGAAAAAAATTCTCCGCCTCACCGGGGAAGGCCTACTCAATTGACATGTGGTTATGGGCTCACAAGATATTCATCTTCTGACTCATGCCCATTGTGCTCACAACTTTAAGCCACGCGCCATGAAAATCAACGACGCTTTTTTGCGTTTCTCTTCGGGCAAGTTGACCTCGGGAGGGAAGCAGCTTCACGATGACAACGTGAACCTCGGTTTGATTTAACACATCAATTATTCACCTTACAGAGTGCAGCGATGGTGCAAAGGTCACGCGTGAACGTGCAGTGACCAAGATGTGTGAACACGTCGAGAGTCTGAACTTTCCTCTCATCGAAACACAGTCGCGGAAATGAGCGACAATGCACTAATCGACTTGCAACATGAAGTGCAACATGACGTGCAAGACTGTAACACATGCTGGCTTCGGTGTTAGAAGCGTCGAGGACGAGATCTTCCCCGTGGACCCACCAAAAGATCCCTCGGTATGTAAATTCTCCCATCAATTGACGTCGACTCGCCACCCGAGTGTCAACTCACGGTCCTTCCATTCTGTGCTTGAATTGAGTATCTGGGTCCCCAAGAAGGGTATTGGGCGGGCTGTACATCGCTTGAGGAGCGTTGAAACCACTGGTCTTAGGATGAGATAGGATGCCATTTGCGTTTGTGGTCATTGTCGTTGCTCTCTTCTACTCATAGCCGTTTGGAGATATGTGCTCGACGGAGACCAGATTATGAGTCCAAAGTGGTGTGACTTCACGTAAGGGAACTCACGATCCATCACAGCCTTGCTGCGGAAAGGGGACCACACTTAAAGTACATACGACTTCCTTTGTAACGCAAACGAATGTAAAGGAATTTCCGTTATTACGGATCAAGCTTACGGATTTCAACGAAACCCTCATGTAAACATCGGAATATCGCGTTATGACCTGCAAGGGAATAGATCTCGTGGGGTTTGACCGGAAACAAGACATAGCATGGACAATGTATGTATGAGGTATGCATAAGTGCTAGGTTGATACGCAAAACAGCGTGCATGCAGAAAGTACTTACCTATTCAGGGTGTCCTGGCATCCATCTCATGGACAAAATTCCGTTAGTACGGTGTACCTCCCTATGGAGACGACATGTTATTTGTGGATCCCACGTCGTCGTCTATCATATAGTCGTGGCCTATGAATCCCACATCAATGCGGCACTGACTAAAGCTATACCGAGCTTATTTCTTTCGGACTATAATTGTAACCGAGGCGAGGTCTTTCGGACCGCACTTGTGACCGAGCATTAGTGGTCCGGGGATTAGCTATAACGCTAGGAGCTGCTCGAGCCGATCTGCGTAAGGGCATGCTCGTGGCACTAGGAGCTGGAGGAGCTGGGTAGGCATGGCCCCAGGTGTAGGCATGCGCAGGGTCCCCACGCCTCTATGCACATACCCACGCGAGAACTTTGTCTGACTCGCACGATCTCGGGGTCGGTTGATGTTTAGAGGGTTTGGCGGGGTAGCTCCCGTAATAGCTCCCGAAGCCTCTAGCGCCCGGAGCTAGCTCCTGATATATCGGTAAGACCTTCTGTACGAGGTCTCTCGAATAACCTCGACATAGTTTATCCATGGAAAAAATATAATTCAGCAATAAAATGCAACATGTACCTTATGCCGAGCGTTCCGGCAGTGTCTCGATATCGCTTTACCCCTCCCCCTATTCATATAGCTGCATAGTCAATTACATCACCTACTTCATCCCAATGTCAGTTTTTAGGGGGGGAAACATAGCTTAAGTAGTTGCTATACTTTCATACAATTCTTCCACTTCGATCCACAATCTTGACCAGACACTTTACCTTTCGTATACCAACAATATCATGGCCACTGAGATACAAACAACTGCTCCGACCGGTACCGGCCAGAGCAAGGATGTCGCTGATTACATCCATGATGCTGACTTACCCGACCTGCCGCCGGCGGTACGGACGCTCTTTGAAGAGTACAGCAAAATCCCAGCTGCCGAAGTGCAGCCCCACGTGCTAGAATTGGTATGCCACATCTCCTTTGACTTCAAGTCTGTCACTTAGTCACCATATATCCATCCACCCTCCCCGCGCTACATGCCTTCTCCTGGTGGGTATACTGACGGTGGAAATGTATTCATAGCGTGAACGGGCCTGGCAGATCTTTCCATACCCTTGTATTGGACGCCTGCGTTTCCTAGACTTTTCGCTCTCTACCATGCCCTCGTACGACAAAATACTTTCCAGCCTTTCCAGCAAAGAAGACCCAAAGACCTTGATGGATGTTGGCTGCTGCTTTGGACAGGACCTACGGAAGCTACTCCTTGATGGCGCACCTGGATCTCAACTCGTGGGCGTAGAATTGAAGCCTGAATTCATTGACATGGGATACGATCTGTTCATGGATCGCAAGACTTATCAAGGCAAATTCGTCACGGGCGACTTCTTTGAAGAAACAACTGGAAGTGCTATGAAGGCCTTGGATGGTACGATTGACATCCTGCACATTGCTTCGTTCCTGCATATTTTCGGGTGGGATGAGCAGGTCAGGGCAGCAATGCGATTGATGGGATTCCTGAAGAATAAACCCGGAACCATCATATTAGGCAGACAGCTCGGTTCCTCAAAGCCTGGGGAATACCGCCACCCCGCCGGCGTGGCTGGAGTGACTTACTCGCACGACGAAGAGTCATTCCAAAAGCTATGGACTGAAATTGAGAAGAAGACCACGACCAAATGGAAGATAGAGGCAAACTTGAAGAAGGTGCCGACGAAGGGTTCTACGTTAGAGCTGCTCTACTTCGAGGCTACGAGGACTGAGTAATGGCGACAATCGGGAGAAATTCTTTCTGCAGAGAGGGTCTTTCTTTGAATGTATTGCAGATTTCAACCAAGTATCAGCATGCAATGACGGCTGTTCCTATTAGCTCTGCTCATAGTCCAAGTTACTCGCTAGCTGCAATCTCATACACACTATCAAGGTCGCCAGACTTACCAACATTATCTTCCAAAACATGCACATGCTTTCTTGCAACCTCATAGGCTGGAAGCTACGTCTCGGACGCCTTTGCTATATCCAAGGCGTGGCTGCAACACACTTAGCTTAACCGACATGACCATTGGCTTCATGAAAACGTCAGTCGCCGGTAAGAGCAGTGTCCCATTGTTCAAATTCCTTACCTCCGTCCTGTAACAAGCTCCAGTACTCATCCGCTTCGAGTGAATCATGAACGGCCCTCACCACCAAGAATGTCGTAAGGGATGTCGTCACAAACGCCAACATCATTTGGTCGTATTCCCAGGACCAGGAGGCCGTTGAGCAGACATTCGCCGAGATGCTATCATCGACGCAGCCTAACCTACTCGGCAAACCTTTCATCGAAAGCTCCACCGTCCCTCCTGATGTTACGAAGCACATCCTCGGGGCAGGCTGCGAGTTTTGTCGGTAGGCCAGGTATGAGAACCTATCATTCAACCGTAAAGGCTCGTTTGCATTTAGGAAGCCGAAAAGAGCGCTGCATGGGTAGTATCTGGCGATCCAAGCCTTGCCGTCGCCGGAAACTTGTCTGCATTCCCGCCGGCCCTGCGCTCTCCGTCTCACACGCTCTGACCCATCTCACCGGCGTGATCGCGCAGGGGGTCATCGATCTCAGCGACGAAAAGCACGGCCAGGCATCGCTACTCAAGATGATCGGCAACAACATGATCATGTCCACGATGGAAACGGCAGCGGAAGTAAATGTGTTTACCAAGAAAGTTGGACTGGGGCCTGCAAATGCGCAGAACATGGTCGAAGCCTTTCCGAAAGCCGCGCCGGCGCTGTAACCGAAGGAATACTAACGAAATGGAAGATTTCCGTAATTCTAACGGAGAGGACGTCGGATAAAGAGTCATATGCTGGTAGAGGACGAGTGGATATAGTGCTCACTGCTGATGAATGTCTTCATTCACGGTCTTTCATGGTCTTCTTTGCCACCGTGGGGCCCACTATTGAACCCACCAACTCACAGTCCCCCAGTGGCGATTGAAGAATATCTACCTTCTGAAACCGTATCACTTGTCAAACAATAAAATCAATGAGTGGAGGAGCAATATCTGTTTCTTCGAAACGGGCGTAACATCCATCGCCCTTGCAAAGGGGGGACCCGAGCCACCGAAAAAGCGGACTCGACCCGACCGCCCAAACCCCCATCAGCGCAACGATGATACATCCAACCGCCCGATCTCTAGCCGCAGCACTCGACATCACCCTCCCCCCCCCCGCGTCGCCGAAGCCGTAGACACCGTCCCAACGACGTCAACCCCACCGGTCCCTCACGCCCCAGCAGGCCACCGCCTTTGGAACACACCGCCAACCGCCGGTGCGCGAAGGCACCCGGCGCCGGAGTGCGTTTCCTCGCCTCTTCCGACCCGAGCCCGCAGGCGGAAACCTCGATCGGACCGAACGCCTGCCGAATGTCGCACACTTCCTCGACGGGCACGGGCACGGGGGGGGGGCTCCCCCACCCCTCTCGCTCGACGTCGATCGATCGCGGGCGGCGGGACCAACGTCGCCGCGCCTACGAACCGGGGGGTTACGGTCCGAAGCGATGGATGCCCTTTCTCCCTGCGTGCCGCTGGCGGCGGTTGGCTCGTCTAGCTCAGGGAGGAGTGGCTGGAGGAGCGAGCGAGTGGGACGGAGGTGAGGTTTCGTGGGGTGCGTTGGACGATGGTTGGGGCGGGGCATGTGGTGTGGTGTGGGTGGGGTTTCGGAAGGAGCTGAGGTTGGTGCTCGGGCAAGGCTGAAGGCGGGTGATGATGCCGGGGACGCGGCTTGCTTGCTTTTTCGGGTTGCGGGGACGGTGAGGTGGGAGGGGTGGGGAGTGGAGTGGAGTGGAGCGTGCAAAATGTTTTGGGAGAGGGGTTATGCTTTGTTTGAGGGAGGGGAAGAAGGGCATTTGTCATGGTTCCATTGGTAGTGAGTGGTAGGATACGCCTTTTCTTTAGAGCTTAAATGATCTAATTGCGGACCGATAGTTTCTCACCTTCAACGCCTACCCCTTTTCATCTACAGGGAGTATCTTAAATCTTAAGACCTAGTTCCCTTCCCAAACAAGTCTTTCTCAACCAAATTTTTGCAGATGGGATGGTAGAAGTCCTTGTTCTTCTCAAAAGTCTCCACTGCTAGAGCACGGTCAGCCTCGTCGAGTAGCCTGTACCTGTGCATCGTCGGGCGTTAGCTTCCTTCTGCACAAGAGCGTGCGTGGTCACTCACAATGGCCGCACAAATTTCATCCTGCCAACCTTGCCCAATAGTTCCGCCGTTGGTTTGAACACCGTCTCGTCCCTTGCTTTCAGTGCCGCTTGATAATACCGAGAGACAACCTCGACGTTCTGGCTTTTGGCAAAGCCATAAGTTGACCCCATCGTTTGCGAAGCTCGCTCGTCCAGAGGTTTTGCAAATGCTTGCACGGTGTCCAGGAAGACCACCACTTGATTCGCCGACCAGCCTTTGATGTCTTCCTGTCTGGGCTCAAATCTACCGGTCTCCCACTTTGAGGCGAGATCGTAGCAAACATCAACGAGCGAGGTGTCGAAGGTGGGTTTTGGAGGTAGTCCTGGAGTGTATAACCACGAGTCCCAGTCTACATCGTTGAGCGCCTTGAATGCGATGGTGTCGGAGGCGAAGAAAGACAGCAGATTTGCTTTGAAGTCGTAGGAATCGAGAGACCTGCGAGCAAAGGTGGTGAAGTAATGGGGGATATATGTGTTCCATTTGTTCTTAGTCACCTGGTTCTCGAGGTAAGAGAGAAACGTGTAGCCTTTCTCGTAAGGTATACTCGAGAAAGCGTCATCAGGGTCCTTGCCCTTAAGGTCGACGACCATTTTGGTGAATTCGTGCGAATCTCCGAACTGCTTCACCGAGTCTTGAAGAGACTTCCATCCAATGATCGAGGAAAAATCTCTGTGGGGTTCGCCATGTACCGCGGCTTGTAACCTGCGCTCAAGGTATGTTGTCCAGCCCTCATTGAGCCAAAAGTGTTCCCAGCTGGCGTTGGAAACCAAATTGCCGCTATATGAATGTGAGAGTTCGTGGGCAATCACGTCAACATTCTCTCGATCGCCCGATATCATTGTTGGGGTGGCATATGTGTAAACAGGATTCTCCATTCCTCCGTAAGGGAAGCTTGGCGGCAGGACAAGCACGTTATACTCCGTCCACTGATACGGAAAGACAATTTTCTGGACTCTACATCAGCACAACCCTGACGATGCGGACCGCAATACAGACTTCGACCGTCTCAATGTATCGTTCTGTAGATTCCTCAAGCTCCCATTGTGCTGCCTTCAATTCTTTCGGCCCGGTTGCAACTACGCTTCGAGGCCCGATGGGCGCTTTGGCAATATCGCCACTGGCTAAGGCGAACAAATAGCTCGGTATGGGAATACTCTGCTCAAATGTGTAGAGCTTGGTCCCAATCGCGCTGTTGGCGCCCTTCTCAAGGTCTTTGACGCCAATAGAAAGTCCACTAGCGATGACAGGCAAAGGAGACTCGATGTTGAATTGAACAGTCCCCTTGACATCAGGCGTGTCTTGACAAGGGAATACAGACCTTGTATGAATGGCCTGACATTGAGTGAACATATAAGGGTGTTCACTTCTTGTCTGAGCCGGCGTGAGCCACTGGATCGCCGTGCACTCCTTGGTCGTCTCCGTTGACATCTCAAGTTGCACACTCTTTCCATTTTGGACGCCGTCTTCCAGGCTAATCTTCAGAGCCGATCCATATGGCTCAAACCTAGGTAGTAAGTCCCACTTAGGAGTCTTTCCATTTAAGACCACATCCTTTACGTTCAGGAAGCTAGTATCGAGCAAAATCTCCTTCGCTGCCGCATCAGTGATCGACTTGAGGGTTAGCGCAACGTTTCCACTGATGTTTCTCTTCTCAAAGTCAATACTGAAGTTGACCTCAGTATGAGTCGTGAGAAAGTTATTGTAATTTGATAGTGTATTGGGATCACGCGGTGGATTGACAATGGAAGTATTCATTTTCCCATAGATTCCAAATTGGAACAAGTTATATTCTTCGCAAAGTGTGAAGATGTATCTCGGCGAAGAGTTGTGCCCTGGATGGGAGCCTGGACACGGCAAGCACCATATACCAGGAGCTATGTCACAAGACGGAGTCTCCTATTGCGGGATGACGAGATGGTACAGTATCCATGCCATTGACTGAGAAAGTGGCCTTTGTGTGAGGTTGTGACATAATGTGCATCTCGAGATGCTTCTGTCCTAGTTTTACCCCATCCAAGGAATTGCTGTGGGAAGAGAAGCGGGTGAAAAAAATAGCTACCTAATGCTAATAACGTAGAATGGAAATTTTGAAGCATCCGACCTCTTTAAAGTTGATGACTTGATATTTGATCAAGGAATATAGCTCAGACGCTTCCCAGCCCGAGCGCGGACTTGTCTCCGCCCCTAGCCCGATATGGTAGGTCGAGCGTAGGAATAGCGTCTGAGGACTGAGGCAAAGGGGGAGGGGCATCATATCGACTTCATGGTACCAGGCTGCTTTCATCCTCGCCGTTATAACGCTACGATTCTTGCTAGTGTGGTGGAACAATTCTCAGCAATGAGTAGTCGCCCCAAGCAAAAAGACAAAATGATGCCATCAATCTAGAGATCTATCGTTCATTATTGTTACTCCCTCGTTGCTTTCTCTATTTAGCTTTCAATTATCAGCAATGGCAGATATAGATGTGGAAAAGGTACTCTCGGAGTTGACACTAGAGGAAAAGGTCTCTCTTACCGCTGGTTAGTTCCCTAAATCCTGGCACTTTTGGGGAGCACGAGGATCGAGCGCGGCCCAATATCCGCCTTTTGTGCCTACGTCTGTACATCAACTTGGCATTTTCCATCAGCTGTGAAGGTGTTGCGGCTTTGCATTGGGATCTTTTTACGTTCAAAGAGATGCATACTGCCCAACGTCTTGGTCAGCATAAGAGCTCGTTTTCGAAGCCGTCACCCCAGAATCAGATGAAAACACACAATATTGAGTTATAATTTTGCATTTCGGGACTGTGGACTCAAAGGTCGCCTGACAAGGTTCTGACTATAAGCCAGGCAGAGACTTCTGGCATACAGTTCCTATCCCTCGACTTGGCGTTCCAGCTATACGTACATCCGACGGACCCAACGGTGTCCGGGGTACTCGTTTCTTCAATGGCACACCAGCAGGATGTCTTCCATGTGCGACGGCGCTTGGAGCAACCTTTGACGTTGATTTGCTCCGCTCAATTGGCAGATTCTTGGGGCAAGAGGCCAAGGCCAAGGGTGCACATGTTCTATTGGGACCCACAGTTAACATTCAACGTTCCCCACTCGGAGGTCGTGGCTACGAATCATTTTCCGAGGATCCTTTTTTATCGGGAACACTGGCCGGCGAGTACTGTAAGGGAGTACACGAAGAGGAGATCATTACGACGCCGAAACACTTTGTTTGCAATGATCAAGAGCATGAACGGTTGGCAGTAGATAGTATCGTTACCGATAGGGCACTGCGGGAAATTTACCTTATGCCTTTCATGCTGGCTATCAAAAATGCCAGACCTAAGGCTGTCATGACTGCTTATAACAAAGTCAATGGGACACATGCTGCTGAAAATCCCAAGGTTCTTGACATACTACGGAAAGACTGGGGCTGGGAAGGGCTGCTGATGAGTGACTGGTGAATGTTCCTAGCGAAACGAGAGATCAATAGCTAAGTTTTAAAGGTATGGCACCTATAGCACCTCGGAAGGCATCAACGCTGGCTTGGATCTCGAAATGCCGGGACCTACGCAATGGCGTGGTGCCGCGCTCAGCCACGCCGTGACCTCCAACAAAGTGCGGCAACATGTGCTGGATGAAAGGGTGCGCGCAGTGCTGAAGACAATCAAAGAAGCTGCCAAGTCTGGCGTCGTCGAGGATGCGAAAGAGGGCGGGCTGAACAGACCTGAGGACCAGAGATTCCTACGGCGTGTCGCCGCTGAGTCTATTGTGCTGCTCAAGAACGAAACTTCAATTCTTCCGTTTGACAAGAGCAAGACTGTAGCTGTCATCGGTCCGAACGCCAAAGTCGCCACCTATTCTGGAGGCGGCAGTGCGTCCCTGCTGCCATACTATACAGTGACCCCCTTTGACGGAGTCTCGAGTCAATGCGGGTCCGTACGCTTTTCACAGGGTGCCTACAGCCACAAAGAGCTTCCCTTGCTTGGAAAGTCGCTGCGGACCTCAGATGGCAGACCCGGCTTTGACTTCCGAGCGTACGACAAACCAGTCAATGCTGCGGATCGAAAGCTGCTCGATACGTTGCACCTCACTGATTCATACATGTTCGTGATGGACTACAAGGTCCCGAATTACACCAGCTCGACCTATTATGTCGATGTCGAGGGTGTTTTTACACCCGAAGAAGAAGGTACACATGAGTTTGGCTTGACCGTGCAAGGCACCGGCCAGCTTTTCATTGATGGAAAATTGATCGTAGACAATGTACACGATCAGCGCCCTGGCACCGCTTTCTTCGGTTCCGGCACCGTTGAAGAAATCGGATCGATGGCCCTCGAGGCTGGGAAATCGTACAAGGTCCGCGTCGAATTTGGTACCGCTCCCACGGCAAAGTCTTCGAGTCGAGCAACAGTCTCCTTCGGAGCCGGCGGCCTCCGCGTGGGCGGATGCAAGCGCATAGATCCGGAAAAAGCAATCGTCGACGCTGTCAAGCTGGCCTCTGAGGTTGAACAAGTGGTCGTCTTTGCTGGTCTGAATAGTGATTGGGAGGGCGAAGGTTCTGATAGACCTGATATGAACTTACCGCCTTACAGTGACGAACTCATCACCAAAGTCCTCGACGCAAACCCAAAGGCTGCGATCGTTCTCCAAAGCGGCACGCCGGTGACCATGCCTTGGGTTGACAAAGCCTGCGCTCTGGTGCAGGCTTGGTATGGCGGCAACGAGACCGGTAACGCCATTGCTGATGTCTTGTTCGGGGATGTCAATCCTGTAATCATCCGCCTCCGCATTCTTTAATTAGCATGGTTTTCTAAGCTGATACCTTCCCAGTCCGGCAAGCTATCCCTATCTTTTCCCCACCGCCTCGAAGACAACCCCGCCTTCCTCAACTACCGCTCCGAACGCGGCCGTGTCCTATATGGCGAAGACATCTACGTCGGCTACCGCTTCTATGACAAAGTCAAACGTCCGGCACTCTTTCCCTTCGGCCATGGCCTCTCGTATACCACTTTCGACCTCTCAGATCTGAATGTCTCCGCGACCACCTCGACCATCATTGTCACAGTAAATGTCTCAAATTCCGGCTCTCGAGCCGGGGCGGAGGTGGTGCAAGTGTATGTACGGGCTCAGGCACCTAGTATCAACCGGCCGCCCAAGGAGCTGAAGGGTTTCAAGAAGGTGTTCTTGGAGGCGGGGGAAACGAGGGAGGTGCAGGTGGAAATGGAGAAGAAATATGCGATCAGCTTCTGGGACGAGGGGAGGGATGCGTGGATCGTGGAGGAGGGAGAGTATGGGGTTTTGGTTGGGACTAGCAGCCAAGGCCGATTCTTAGAGGGAAGATTTGAGGAGGGCCAAACATGGTGGTGGACTGGGCTCTGAGACAGGGGACTCTTGTATTGGCGAAAGGATCATTTCATTCCTGTACGGCGTTAACGTATCGAAAGAAGGGAGCTCTTCCAGCCTTCCCTAGCCTCTAAGATCGCGTCATGTCCCCACAATAATATACGGAAGACCGGATCATCCAGAGCGAACGGCGACCCTTCGTGCTTACCCAGCGAAAGTCTGCGATCTCGTTCGTGCTGTGCCGGCCCGTCGGCCATCCCAAACATGTATTTGACTGTCATGCTGCGCTCCGGGCGAAGCCGTCGATAGATGCCAAGAAACTTGTACGAGAAGGTATGGTACCCGGTAGGCGTCTTTGATGAGCGAGCCGATTCGTTGCGTCAGCCCTATGGCGCCATGATACGATCGCATGATCCGCTCTTGAGGTTCGACGGCGTGTTCTCGAATCTCTTCCAGGATGCCCTCTTGTTTGAAGACAATCGTAGCGTTTGGCGGACACTGGATGCCTACGCCGATCTTATTCCCGCAACGCATCAGCTGGTACCGTCATAGTTGGTATAGTGCCTACGCGCCTCCTTTCATTCGGGCATTCGCTCGAAAATGATTGCTTCATGACCCGCCAGCGTGACAGCTATTGCGGTTGCCAATCCAGCTAGACCACCAGCGATGATCAAAATTCGAGATTGAGGTTTCGTATGGTTGCCATTCTGTTGTTGCATGATGAATCTCGGAGCAGGCCTATTGGGACCTCATGTTTATACGGATGTTCTCAACGATGATAAGTAGAGGAAAGGATGTAGCCCCAACCTGATTTAGCATATTCAAATAAAAATCATTTTTTTGGAACCCACACAAGGTCGCGCCCCCATCTGATAGAGTACTAGATATTATAGATATAGAAAAATTACAGATATGAAAGTTAGCCATCTCATTATAAAGATTCTAGAACTGCAAGAAGAAATCATGAGGCAGTACATAGAGCAGCATGTCATGAAAGACTCCAAATTTCATGAGAAGCAAAGATCGCCAGAAGAAGCATCGACAAAGGAGAAATACGTTTTGCTTCACGAACTTAGCAAGGTGATCAGTGATCAAGATCGTCTCCACGACGAAGTCCTGACTATCCTATTAGCCGGACGAGACACCACTGGGAGTCTACTTTGTATTTTGTTCTTCACGCTTACTAGGTGAAGTCATATCTGGCTACAATTCCGATCTGAGGTAGCCTACCTGAAAGGCGAACAGCCTACAGTCGGGAATCTGCAGCAGACGCAATACATCAAGTATGTCCTGAACGAAATTAAGCGACCAGCCACTATCTGCGCAGATCCATCTCACTTGATCACTTAACACACTTGCTGGATGATTAGACCGACTTGACCGACAGAACCTCACAGCGCTCCGCTTTTACCCACTTAAAACACACGCCCGCGTAGCCCTCAAAGACACTACTCTCCCTCTTGGAGGCGGGCCCGAAGGTCGAGACCCTGTCTTCGTCCCGGAAGGTACTAAAGTAGAATTCCATGCTTCTAAACTCCACCGCCGTCAAGACCTTTGGGGCAGAGATGCAGATGAATTCCGTCCAGAGCGATGGGAGAGCGACGCAAGTGTTTGGGTACGGCAGGATAATAACTCGCTCAACGCAGTTCAACTGCTGACTGGATGAACGCAGAGACTCCTGGCCTTCAGTGGCGGACCGAGGCAGTACATTGGTCGTACGTCTCAGCCCTACTCAAAGGAAACATCGTGGAGAGCTGACGTTGATATATTTGACAGAGCAATTCGGCTTCATCGTAGCGCTGTGCACCACAGTACGCATTGTGCAGGCGTTTGAAACATTGCAGAGTAGGGAGTCTGAGCCTTAGACCGAGAACCTTGGTGTCGTGTGCTTCCCTGCGAACGTTGTCAAGGTCTCGATGAAGTCAGACCGTCAAATTGGGGTGAGGTAAAAGGCACGTATATCTGAACGAATTCCTTCTGTGCTTTACACTACAATGTGCGACTTTCAACATGAAGAAGACCTTGTTGTACCTGCTTGACGCAGCTTGGTGCGAAATATACATCATCTTTCCCGAAAGACATTTGGAGTGTCTCCTTTTTGCACCAAACATCAACGCCTTTTTCGTTTTTCGGAGTCACGGGCTTTGGAGATCTCCTGAAGTATGAAAGTTCTCGGCCTTAAGATGCCAGCATTCTAATAGTCCTTCACTCTAGATGAGAATTGAGTCACTTGTGCTAAGCGAAAGTTGAGAAACGCGTCTCTTTTTTGGTGAATACAACAGGCGATATGAAACCGAAGGACAATTCCTAACGCTATGAGTCTTCTTCAGGACTTTGGATTGATCTGGTATTCCCAACGTTTCTAGAGAGCGCTCTGATTCTAAAAAGCAATCGTCTTGTGCTATGATATCAGAGTATCGATAATGGATTATGACATCGTCATTGAGTCGAGGACGACCACGCAGGAAGACTTTGTTGGTAGTATCTGAAGGTGTGTTAGCAACGATGTAAGATACAATAGAGCTCGAATTATCTGGGGCGAAAAGTTTCCTGCACTAAGCGCAATGCGGCTAAGTGGCCAAGTGTCAGAAACCCGTCAGCCCTAACCCTACTTTCGGAAGGCGACCCTTTAGCTCTTACCTGGAAGCGCATAAATTGAATTTTAGGGACTTCTATTGGGCCTGATTGGGGCATTGAGCCCCAAATGAGGCTCACGTCAGACTTAATTCCGAAGCAGATCTAAGCGCGCTGTAACCCTTCGGACGGGGCGTTATCCGAGATCTTGGCGCAGAAGCCTTGGCATCCAGGACTTTTCTGTCAGCTTGTCACGCCAAGGTAACTTCATCAGCTCCATGGACACCCCAATTCCGCCCTGCGGTCCGTGATACACTGACGCCTCGTCAGCTTTTCATTTATTTTGTCAAGATGGCGCGCCTTGGGAGGTTCGGCTTTCTTGGTGTGGCTATCTTTTTCCATTCGGTGTATATTGTCTCCATCTTTGACATTTATTTTGTCAGTCCAATCGTTCATGGCATGAGCTCCTTTGGTGTCCAAAGGAGTCATGGCGCTGAAGCACCAGCCAAGCGGCTTGTTCTTTTCGTTGGAGATGGACTCCGTGCCGACAAGGCCTTTCAATCCTTCCCCGACCCTTCTCCATCAAACCTCAATGCGCCTGGCGCACTCGAGCCTCGACCTCTGGCGCCCTTCCTTCGGTCACGCGTTTTAACAAGCGGGACCTTTGGAGTATCACATACGAGAATGCCCACAGAGTCTAGGCCTGGACATGTCGCCTTGATAGCCGGCTTGTACGAGGATGTGTCCTCGGTTACTACGGGCTGGAAGCTTAACCCGGTCAACTTTGACAGCGTTTTCAATCGGAGTCGGCATACTTGGAGCTGGGGCAGTCCTGATATCTTGCCAATGTTTAAGGAGGGAGCTGTCAAAGGCAGAATTGATGCCGAGACCTACGGAGAAGAATTCGAGGACTTCACGAAAGGTCTATGTCCAAGAGCTGGACCACCGCGATCATTGGCTGACGATCAGCAGATGCAACGCAATTGGATACCTGGGTCTTCGATAAGGTCAAGGTCTTGTTCAGCGCTGCTGCTAAGAATACGACGCTCGACCACGCCCTCCGACAGGACAAGAATGTCTTCTTCCTCCACCTTCTCGGTCTCGATACAACTGGACATTCATATAGACCCTATTCAAAGGAGTACCTCCACAATATCAAGGTCGTGGATCAGGGTGTGAGGGAGATGACGAAGCTCATTGAAGACTTTTATGGGGATGGCAAAACGGCATTCGTTTTCACTGCTGACCACGGTATGAGCGACTGGGGCAGTCATGGAGATGGCCATCCTGACAACACACGGACACCTTTGATCGTGTGGGGCTCTGGTGTTGCAAAACCTGTCATTACCGCCTCGAATAAGGCCATTGGACACGAAGACGGTTTCTCCGCAGACTGGGGCCTTGATCGTGTGCAAAGGAACGATGTCGATCAAGCAGATGTCGCGGCACTAATGGCTTATCTTGCCGGCGTCGACTTTCCAGTCAACTCTGTCGGTGAGCTTCCACTCGCTTATGTTGCCGGAGAGCCGAAGGAAAAGGCGGAGGCAGCGCTTGCCAACGCTCGAGGCGTGCTGGAGATGTACAAGGTCAAAGAAGAGCAGAAGAAAGCCAATGAATTGCGTTACAAAGCATATGGCCCACTTGCGGACGAACAGCACTCGGTTGATCATCGCGTAATGGAAATAAGAACAGAAATTGACCAGGGGCACTTTCAGCAAGCAATCACAATGAGCCAAGAGCTCCTCCATACTGGGCTGGACGGTCTCCGATACCTTCAGAGATATGACTGGCTGTTTTTGCGGGTGCTTGTGACCCTTGGCTATTTGGGATGGATTGCTTTCGCCATTACTACCATCATCGATATGCACGTATTGCATGGCAAGACCCACACTTCCAGGACTATTGCAACTTCTTCGACTTTCGGTGCCATCTCGGCTGCTTTGTTCTCGTATCTGTTCATGCGCAACGCGCCGCTTACTTACTACGCGTACGCCGCATTTCCACCTCTCTTTTGGGAAGAAGTGGTGGCGCGAAGAGAGGCTTTACTACTGGGAAGTCATGTCCTCTTCAATAATATACAATCTAAAAGAGAGAAAGCCGTGTTAGGCATAGAGACTTTGGTGTTTGTAGTTTTCCTAGAAGTCCTTGTGAGTATCCCTCTGATGGAGTAATGTCTGGAATGACTTACAATTATAGGTATTATCATATTTTCACCGGACCGTTTACACTGTCTGCTTCATAGGCCTTTCGTTCTGGCCTGTTTTCTACGGCCGCGATTTCGTCATGAGTAATAAAATTCTAGTTGGAACATGGGCTGTCGCCTGTCAATCTATGAGTGTTTTCACTCTTTTGCCTGCCATCAAAACCGAAAATGTTAACATGATGTACGTTCTCCTTTGAACGACTTCTATGCGCGTATCTCAGGAATCGCCTTAATATATCCATTGCCTTCCCAACTTTCAAGGCTGTAATCTATGTGCTGATCATTCTTCTGATAGACTGACTGGCGGTTTCCTGATGGTGCTCGTCGGTGTACTATACATTCTTTTCGAAAAGAGCATTCTTTCTTCAACAACCGGCGGCAAACAGGCTTCGCTTGACGGTCTTTCAGGAACTCTACTCGGAGTCCAAGTTGGCTTGATCATGCTGGCCATGATCGTTACTCGATCTAGCGTGGCATCCCTGCAGGCTAAAACAGGCCTGCCATTGGGTAATCAAGTGGTTGGTTGGACAATCTTGAGTATGCAAAATATTTGCGATTCAAAGGCTGAAAAACATACTGACAAAATCCTAGTTGCGTCTCTGTCCATACCCTTCCTCCACAGTCTTCAACCAAATAATCACTATCTCCACCGCCTCGTCATCATCTTCCTAACCTTCTCACCAATCTTCATCATCCTCACCATCTCCTACGAAGGACTTTTCTACTTCGCCTTCTGCGCCACCCTCGTCACCTGGGTGCGTCTCGAACACCACATCTACAATTACACCACCACCGCCTCTTCATCCCTGACGCCATCCCCAAACTTAGAACCAAAACCCCTCTACGACGCTCTCACAGCAATATCAACACAACTGCAATCACCCTCGGGTAAACCGACCGACTCAACCACACCCCAATACCGCTCCCTCACCCTCTCCGACGCCCGCATCTCCCTCTTCTTCCTCTACCTCCTCCAGTCCGCCTTCTTCTCCACCGGCAACATCGCCTCCCTCGCCTCCTTCTCCCTCGACTCTGTCTACCGTCTCATACCCATCTTCGACCCTTTCTCCCAAGGTCTCCTCCTCGTTCTCAAACTCATCATCCCTTTCGCCGTCATCAGCGCCAACCTAGGCATCCTCAACCGAAGACTCGGTGTTGCGCCGAGCAGTCTTTTTATGCTGGTTATGGCGATGAGTGACGTGCTCACCATGAACTTCTTCTGGCTGGTCAGGGATGAGGGGAGCTGGTTGGATATTGGGACAAGTATTAGTCACTTTGTTATTGCAAGTGTGCTCTGTGTGTTTGTGGCGGGGTTGGAATTTGTGAGTGAGATTTTCGTGAGTGGGGTTGAGGTTGGGGGTGATATGGGGGAGGGGAAGGAAGAGAGGAGGATGGACGGGAAGGAGGAAGTCAAGGTTAATGGTCATGGTCATGGTGCGAAGGAGAGCAATGGGGTGATAGACAAGAAGGAGACTTGACAAGTATGGTGCTAATACTAATTCAATTCATGGCAATCTCATGCAATCACTTGTACCATAAACTTGCACTACAAAACTCATTGACCTCTATTAACGCTGTTGCTCGTATCCCTGTCGCCTGAACGCCTCGATTGATGCCCAGCCCCTGGCTACTCCTGTACCTCCACCGGCCTCTTTTTCGTCAGCGTCTCGACTACTCTGCCGTAAAACATGGCAGCGTTGGTCCTCGAGAAGGTGATTTCGTCCGTGAGGTATTCCGGTAGCAAAGCGATCATATCGCGATCGCGGTTGCTGTCCAAGCGTGGTGTGTACTGGAATTCGGTGTTTTCGTAGCCGCCGTCGGTTTCTTTGGCTATTGCAAGCTTGAAGTGGAGTGCTGCGAGCACATGTCAGAACTGGGGTATAATTCCGCCTTCCGTGTGAGGCAAGACTTACTGCCGTTTCGGCCTGTCTGAATGCAATCATAGATATCAGACTCATCTTTCCTCTCCACACCCCGCAGTATCAAGCCAGTCAAGTCGCTATATAGATCTTCCTTCAATTGAGCCACTTGCGCAGCATAAGCTGCCTCGGCGCTGCCAACCATGATGGTTCGCTGGGCGGGAGTCTTGCCTCGCATCGCGCTACCAGGCGTTTTGGCGCCGAGGCTCTCAACAGCTGTGGAGGCACTGCGCGAGTTGGCCAACTTGGCTTGCAGGGCTTTGTTTTCGTTCTGGGCTTCGGAGAGAGAGGTCGATAGCTGGTCGGCGAGAGCTTGCGTTCTGGCCAGATCGGCGTCACGGGTGATGATCTCGTTCTCGAGAGACGCTGAGTCCTTGGACAGTGCCTTCTGGGTAGCGAGTTCTTTCTTCAGTGAGATGATGAGATCGTTCGCGGCTAACAAGTGTCAGCATGACGGTCACGGAAATCAAGAACCGACTTTTCTTACCTTTCGCGTTGGCTTGGGAGTGCATTTTGTACGTCTCGAAATTGGCATTTGCTTCCTTGATGCCTTCTTCTCTAAGATTTCTGTACTTCGTATCAAGCTTTTCCAACTTCTTGGTCATCTCTCCTAGCTTTCGTCTCGTTGCTGGATCAATGCCTCCTCGTTCGTTATCCGATATACTGCCAGCACGTCTTCTTGCCACTGTGGGCTGGCGCTGGTGGGTATCTTCTCGGGCGTTGTTGGTTCGTCGAAATATTGATTGTGGGACTGCATCCTCATCCTCTTCGTCTGATGCTGGGGCTTCTGGTTGGTCTATCTCCATTGCGACTTGTGTCTCTGGAATGATCTTTTCCTGTTGGCGAGGCTCAACGGTCTTCTGGCGCATGTTGGCTTTGGGCTTTTGTGCAGCAGGCCTTCCCGGACGTTTCGTTTGTCGAGTGGCAGTTGGCGTATATTCGAACTCTCCGTCCTTCTCCATCGCTTTCGGTTGCTGAGCAGACCCTTCCTCCACCACGTTCATTTGCTCCACCGGCTTTTTCTTTGACTGCTTCCCTGCCTTCTTCGCCGGAGCAACTTGCTTTGCTGGTTGCTTAGTTTGGACCAATTCATCCATGGCCATATTTTCGTTTCCCTCGCTCGCAAACTCGTCCACCTCTTCTGTATCTTCTGCGTGTCGAACATTGGTCTGCTCTTTCAGAGGTGCCCTCTTGGCGCCCGCTTTCTTTTTTGGTGCCGCTTTTTTGGGTGGGATTGAGTCGCCACTGGCGCGCCTTCCGATCGCCTTCGTCTTCGCAAACTTCTTCGCTGTTGCCTTTGCTGGACGGCCTTTTTTCTTAGCTGAGCCGGCATTTTCTTGATTCGAATCTGGGGTTGGGAACGCGTCCATGTTCAATGTGTCATCCTCCATTTCCGTATCCACAAGCCCAGAAAGCGACGCAACGGGCTTTGGTTTTGGCATGATGAGATGTGGCTATGCGAACAGTTGCGTTTGCTTCTCGAAGCGTTGAGAAGTGAGGTTCAAATGTAAACATTGATATTTAGGCAAGGCGCGCTAGATAAGATTTAAGGTTCGCGACAATCTTAGCGCGCGTTGTTGCCAAGCCCGGTCATTGTTCTCGGAACCTCTCTTTTTTACATCGTGTATCCAGCGAAGGCCTTCTTTCCTGCGAGCCATACTGTCATCGACGTTATGCCAGAGCGGACTCTGGGCGTGGTACAAGACTTGGTCCTCATATCAGCCGCTGTACGTCTCTAATTGCCACGGCCCCAAGGGGATTCATCATCTCGGAAGACTAGAGGATCTTTACTAACGCACCAGTGGGCGCTTCCAGAGCTTCTCGATATACTACCTTGTGAATCACTTCCTCTCACGGCTTGATACTGAAGGCAAGGAGCAAACAAGTCGCAAGTTAGCAGCTGCAGCCATCTTGCGCCGGCTCGACCCCCAAGAGAAAGATGGAGAAAGCAACGAGAAGGGCAGAAGGTCAAGAAAGGAGGATCTGGTACTCACGCAATACGAACAGATGATTGCCATGGATGTCGTCGCGCCAGAGGATATACCGGTCACCTTTGAAGGTAGAGCTGGGTCGTACTAGGTCACCGGCTAGACTAATACTTTTTGGCAGACATTGGAGGACTCGGTGATATTATCGAAGAGCTCAAAGAGTCTGTCATCTACCCTCTCACCATGCCCCAGCTTTACGCACATACCTCATCGTTACTGTCCGCACCTTCTGGCGTGCTCCTCTACGGACCTCCAGGCTGCGGCAAGACCATGATGGCGAAAGCGTTGGCTCATGAGAGTGGTGCAACCTTTATCAACTTACACATATCAACCTTGACTGAAAAATGGTACGGCGACTCCAATAAACTGGTCAGCGCAGTTTTCTCTTTGGCACGGAAACTGGAGCCTAGCATAGTCTTCATTGACGAAATAGATGCAGTGCTTGGCAATAGGAGATCTGGAGAACATGAGGCCAGCGGAATGGTGAAGGCAGAGTTTATGACCCATTGGGATGGCTTGACATCAGCGAATACCTCTGGTGAGCCTCAAAGGATACTTATCCTTGGTGCTACCAACCGTATGCAAGACATCGACGACGCCATCCTGAGGCGGATGCCTAAGAAGTTTGCGGTCTCCCTGCCTTCAGCCCCGCAACGACTACGAATATTAGGCCTCATATTGAAGGACACGAGGATCGACAAAGACCACTTTGATCTTGAATACCTGGTACGAGTCATGGCAGGAATGTCAGGTAGTGACATTAAAGAAGCCTGTCGCGACGCTGCTATGGTTCCCGTGAAAGAATTTATCAGGCAGAAACGTGCCTCTGGGGCGCCAATGGATGCCGTCGACCCTCGCGAAGTCCGAGGTTTGAGAACGGCGGATTTCTTTGGTTCTGCAGGTGGCGTTCAGGTCTTACAAAGGCCGTCAAAACAGAAAGTGCTTACTGACTCGGAGACATCCGAGGCGAATACTGATGAAGAGACAGATTAGATAGAGATACCCAGGGCATGATCACGGTGCATCCAGGCATTGGCGTTTTCGATGCTGAGAAAGGTATTCTCTGAACGTATACTTCATCATTGTAAAGATAGACCGCCATGTTGATAGATATAACGCACTTAAGTATATTTGATTGCTTCAAGCAGTGGACTAGAACACAGATGAGTCTATGAGATCCTCCTGCGGAAATGCCGGAGTATTGAGGGAACGGATAACCTGCGCGTTGGTCCGCTAGACAATGCCTCCATTGCGGTCCGCGTCCGTTCTAGGACACTATGCAATCCCGCGGCAAGCCGAGCTTCTCATGGGGTGTCATCATGTTTACGCTCGCTAACGTATTATCTGCCCACGACCTTTTTGACTGCATATAAGAAGGAAGGAGAGTCACACTCTTCTGCGTTCCATCGCTCCACAATTGCTGGCCTAACAACCGAGTGACGTATCCTATCCTTCCCGCCCGCTTCTCCCCCAGTCCGTCCAAGTATGGAACCGCTCAACCTCCAGCATCTCCTCACTCGCTTCTCGGACCACTGGTCCCAACGCACAATCGGTACCCTTAATGATTACGAGATCAAGCTCGCCAAGCTGCTAGGCGAATTCGTTTGGCACTCTCATCCGGACACCGACGAACTGTTTCTCATCTTATACGGCACGCTGAATATTCAATTGCGGGACCGAGATGTCATCTTGAAGCCCGGGGACGTATTTGTGGTCCCGAAAGGTGTAGAGCATGTATGTAACTTCCCCGGCCCTTAGTTTCCTACCCCATACCCTGATCTGAATCGCAAGAAAACATGCTGGAGTACATTCGCAACTGTGTGATGGCTCAATTCCTGATTTGAAAAGAAAATGACTGACTGGAGAACTTGCAGTGCCCAAAAGCGGACCAAGAGGTTGGGGTGCTGCTCTTGGAACCGAAGGGGGTGGTGAACACTGGCGATTCGGAGAGGGAGGACCTCAGGATTGCGCCGAAGGCTATGGAGGGTCTCTCTGAGCGATTGTGACTCCTGAATAGCGCTGTTTACTATAGTTGGAGCAATTATGTTCGGCGGAGTTCCACTTCTTGTCACATTATTATAAGTTCAGTTCCTCATGACACAGGTACAATGGTGTTGTGACTAGTGGTGACATTTCTACGTATGTGGATTCAATTTTATGGCATTACGGTGGTGGTGATCGCCGGGTAGCAAAGGTGAACCCACACGGCTAAAAACTGTTGAAAGTAGGATACCAGATATGTTAGAAAGAATGATTGTGAAAGACTGATTATTGTACGGATATTTATGTATATAAAACAGGTGGCTGGTAATTACCAGCCCTGGTAATACGCGACATGTATGCGATAGCCGAAGGGGCTGGTATTGTAACAAAAACTGGCCTCGCATGCCTCGGCAGTTGATAATTATGAATCAATTCCAATACATCGCGCAATTGTAACATGGATAAGTCTTTGGCGACTCTACTCCGTGCTCTCCAAAGTGGATCTGATGAGCAGGATGTCTCTAGGTAACATATCACCGATGCTTTTCCAATCTACCATATCTGACCATTCCTAGGCTCCTTGGCTCCGCCACAACGCTGCTTACCCTCTTGTCCAACCCACTAAACGTCACCCTCATCACCTCTCAACTTCTCTCAGCGCCCGCGATATGGCAGCGCCCAGATGGTCTCCGAACTACCATACGCATCCTCGGCATCTTTAACTCCGCCGCGATACACTTCGTTCAGTCGGAGGACTCGCCAGAGACCAATCGCCAGTTCCCTACTCAACGAGGACTGGGGCGGGAGGACTGGGTGATTGCTGTCGTGAAAGGGGCTGACGCTAGGTCGCCGCGATGGAGACATTTGTGTGTCCTGGCTGGGCTGCTGATTGGCTTTGAAGGCCGAGGGAAACAGAGCATATCGCAATCGCTGCGGAGCAATTTGGAAAGTGCTACGGTCAAAGCGGTCAATCTGGCTCTACAAGAAGAGGCGTCTAGCGGCGAGTTGGTGGGGGATAGCGTTGGCATGATGCTCAGTCATGTCTTTGATCTGCTGAGTGACAGCGAGAAGATGAACATTAACAACGACCTGCTGCTTCCGACCTTGACCGATGCGGCCTTCTACTCCGAAGAGGGACTCCAAAACGGCGACTTCCTCAGCACGATCGATTCGGATGTAGTACAGAGAGAAGGGATGAAGTTTGATTGGTCGCCAAAGTCCTCCACCTACATGCAATGTCAACGCATGACCACTGGTCCATTGATCGCTTCGCTAGGCTCCTTATCACGGCTTACCGCATTCTGTGTAGAGAATGTTTCAGATGCCTACCTGCTTTCAGGCATGATCGATGAATTGAGGGCTTTCACACGCTCGTTGTGTGAACAATGGCGGCAGAATAAGCTCTCAGAAATAGACATTACGGAAGAGTCAATGTATTTGAGCGAGGAGTCACTCAGGGCCACTACACCTTTGCTATGGCGCGTCTTAAAGTCGACCATGTTTGCAGTTGTCATTATCTTGAGGTCTCTTCTTGGTCGTGTACTCAGTGATAATCATATGCGCGCTGACGGTGGTAACTCTCCAACGTCCATGAGACTGTTATCCAATGTTGACGAAATATAGGTCCGTTCATGGCGATTCAAACGCTCCACATACTAGGGGATCTATATTTCGTCTCTTCGCGACTTGGAGCAAACGCCTTTTCGCAATACACGTTTGTGTTTCTTACTGCTATCGACATCCTGTCTCAATTCCCAGTGCAAGCCGAAGCCTTTCTTCGGGCAATTCGACCACCGTCAGCAGGCAGCATACCACAGCACCCTCTGGATCGCTGTCTCGACCTTTACTTCTTGAACACGGCTGAACACTTTACTACAGTGCTTAGTCCTGAGCTCAATGAAGAGCTTCTGATTGGTGCAGCTACTCCCTACTTAGGCTTAGGTAGCGACCAGCGGCTATTCGAAATATTTGAGTCAGCTCACAGCGTCATGCTTGCCGTTCTATCGGCTTCCCAGAATTCAGACCTTCTTGCTAAGCACATACATCCATACGTTGATGTCCTCTTTAGAGTGTTCCCACACAATTTGTCCGCACGGCAATTCCGGATTGCGGTCAAGACCTTGATACGAATATCATCGCCACCATCACTCATATCCGAAAGGCAACCGCTCCTACCATCCACGATCCTTGAGTTGGTTCGATTTCGGCTGGAAATAGCTTCACCAGCTCTGATGCAGCGGAATGCAGGCCCTCCTGCTCCTAGTTTCCCTGAGGAAAAATTGCCATTTATTGGGCAGCCTTCATTTTCAGAGCAATCAGTGCTCGCACTCACTCTCATTGATGCGTTGCCTTTCTTGCCCATCGATCAGCTGGAGGACTGGCTGCCAATCGTTGCGGAATCTGTTAACATGATCAAAGATGCAGACCAATTGCGAACGTGCAGACAGAGATTCTGGAATGTCCTCAGCAACGGAGAGATGGATGTAGGTCGTGCTGCGTTGTGCGTTGCATGGTGGGGTACAAGAGGTGGTAGAGATATGGTCCTGTTTGGTAGGGATAATCAAGCTGAAGGACCCTTAATGAGCGGTGCACTTGAGGAAGCTAGCAAGCTTTGAAGAACCGAAGCAAAGCCTAAACATTTGCCGCGGAGTCATGCTATCCAAAAAATTCACTGCAAGAAAAAGGGGAAGTTTCTTGAGTTCCACGAATTCGTACAGCGGCCGAGACCCGGGTCGAGAAGGACTAAACGTAGTTCCTTGTTGCAAGTGAGAGACGCAACTACCTTGCCAGGGTTTTGGATTACAGATATCTGACCACAGATTTCTTTAAAGCCTTTAGAAAGCAGGAGCGATGCGCTGGTTGCTTAGCCTATAAAAAATCTCTCGTGTTATTCTGAGTCCTTTATAAACACATTACCTACAATCTTATCTATTGGGCATCATACTAAGCATACATCAAACTCTTGAGACTTAGAGACTTGACGTCCATTACTGCAACTCTATCCATCTACAGCCATGAGCGAAGGCAAAGACGGAGGTAACCTAGCTGGTATGGTGAACGAAGGCGAAGGCGGAGTTGACGTACCTCCTGCGGTTAACGAAGACCAAGGTGGAGTGGCCGTACCTCCCATGGTGAACGAAGGCCAAGGAATGGAACATGTATCTCCAGTCATGAGTTACGAGAAGGGCACCGATCACATAGAACCAGTCATAAGCGAAGGCGAGATCAGGTACGAAGGCAAACGAAAAAGCAGATGTACGCTCACACAATGCAATAGCTATGATTCGACATGCTGACAGTGATGCACAGCTGAGAGTTTCTCTCACCTCCCAGCTCAGGACGACTCAGCACCCAGCACGGCTCCGACCACCAGGCCAGTCAGCCAAACTCAAGCCGACTCAGCACCCAGCACGGCTCCGACCACCAGGCCAGTCAGCCAAACTCAAGCCGACTCAGGACCCATTACTGGTCAAGGCGGCTCAGCAGCCATCGCAGCTCAGGACGAATCATCACACCTCACAGCTCACCGCGACTCAGCACCCGCCGCAGCTCAAAGCGCCCCGCCAGACAGTTCCGCCCAGGGCGAATCTGCACCTATCGCAGCTCAGAGCACCTTGCCGACTAGAAACCAGCGCGTAGATCACGACTGCGGGTGCGCGGACATCTATGATCATACTGGCAAAAAGCGGCAACAGGCCTGCGACCTGCATAGATTAAATCCGAATAGATCAGTGCTCCCCCTGCCGCCTAAGAAGCCACTGAGCGAGGTCACAAACTTGAGTGGTGGTACACGAGGTACATCGGTGTTCATGCCGCAGACAATGCGCACCGAAGAATCGCCACCACGCCAACCGCCAGTGGTGACACCGACCAAAGGTAGGAATTTCGTGCAGGGATCGGAAAACGGCCCAACATTCCTGGATCCTTTCAACTCTGAGCGGGCGATAGAGCCAACTGGGCCACCCAATACATTGACAACTATTCCGACTCAGGAAGACAAGCCCCTTAAAAAGTCTACTGGCCGAGTGTCAGGTCCAAAGGCATCAGGTCCGAAGGCATCAGGTCCGAAGGCACTGGACCCAGCAAAGCCTCGAACAACACAAGACCCACCGCATTTTGGTGAAGGCGCCAGTGGATCCCAGGCAACACAACCGCCGAATATAGATGCAGTGGCTGGCGAGGACCTGGGATCGAAAGCACCCGCGGATGAGCAGCGTACAGTGAGCAATCCCGCTCCCACACCCGAGCGCAAATAGAAAGCTAAGACAACGCAGGGCGAGAATGCAGCGTCTGCACCAAGGAAAAGTGAGAGTAGTGAAGATAATGACGATGGAGGAACCAGACTTAGCGATGAGCACCGCTTTCAATTTACTGTCAAGGAAGGCAAGAAGTCCGTAGGCACCGCAAGCGGTCCCGCTTTCAGGAAGGGAAACGTCCAACCAAAATCCATCTTGAAAAAGATTGTTGGAACAACAGCGGCGTTGAGAAAGACTGAAAGAGGCAGGCCACCATCGGAGCAGGCCAACAATGACGTGGAAACCGAAGACAAAAGTGGAGGAGCCAGACTCTTCCATGACGCTGCCGGACGAAACAAGGCTGGCGAAGGCAACAGCGTTACAAACAATGCGAGCGGTCCCGTCCGCGAAGACCAAGGTGGAGCGCCGATTCCTACATTAATACTGCATACGGATGCGGGTCCAATTAGAGCCAGGACCAACAGCAACGGCGAGCCCGTATTCGTTGCCCCTGAAGCGCCCACAAACGGTGACGAAGGGAACCCGTGTAAACGTTGTGTTTTGATGTGAAGGTTTCTCACGGAGTACTTACTACATGTGCTTTGATCTGATTTTGGGATTGGGGAAACGGGGTCTCAAGGAGACATTGCCGAGAATCGGTGCAACATGGATTGTGCATTGGTGATTGCTTGCTATGGATGCAAGGGTATTCTCTTCTTGTATTATCTGCATGAATTAAGGTTCGACTATTATCAATACAAGGGTATCTTTCAACTATGCTCTCCATATCCAAGGATTGCGCCTCCATGCAGAAGTCCCTTCCAGATGCATGCAATGACCCTAACGCTGTGGACGCCCTCCGCCGTAATAGATTAGATGCCATTTCCCACATGCACCAAATGCTCCTGCTACAATGCTGAAACCATGACTGCCGTATACCATGCTGTTGCCGCGAAGCTGCCCGTTCGAATCTTACAGCCTACCGCTATTCACGGAATGAAAGGTATCCCAACCCTCGTCCTGTCCCGATATCGTACATAGTCGATGCCGAAGAAACCGACAAGCAGCGTTTCCTCTTCTGCGCAAACATACACGTCAGCAGACAAACCCCCCCCCCCCTTTCTGCAAGCCCCGGCAGGGAAAACCACCTACTCTCGATCCTCCTCCTGAAAAACCTGCACAGCACCACCGCATACCCGACCAAACATACCACGTTCCCGAGCACCACCTGCGTCCCCAACCCCCACCAGAAGAACCCGAAATAGCTCGGATGCCGAAGGTACCGGTAGACCCCCCCGGTGACCAGGACGTGTCCTTCCTTCTTCTTGCTCTGGATGAGGTGGTTGAAGTTGGAGCCCGCGTGGACCATGGCCGTCGTCCGTGTGCCTTGGCCTATGGCCAACATTGCGGCGCCGAGGACGAGCCAGGCCGTGTGTACCGCGGGTGGGAAGATGCTGCGTGTGAGTTTCGGGAGGTAGTGATGATGGAGGAAGCATTCGACGAAGGCCATCCCGTGCGCGATGTTGTATGCTTTGCCGTTACTTGAGAGCAGAAACGCGGATACGGTCGCGGCGGCCGGGTTGGATATGGCGGTCGTGTGGTATTCGAGGAAGTGGAAGAGGGAGAGGAGGAGGAGGAAGAAGGGGAGGCGCCATAGTGGGGTCGGTGGGGGGAGGAGGGTGGAATTGGGGTTGGGGGTGGCTGGGTGGGGGAGGGAGAGGTAGAGGGTTGTGAGGAGGGAGGCGGAGAATGTGGAGCCGAGGGCGAAGGCGCGGAGGGATATGGCGGCGGGGTTTTTGTTGTTGTCGACGGAGGGGGAGGATGAGGGGGTGTGGAGGGGAAGAGGTGGAGTGGGAGGGTGGTTGCCGTTGGCGTGGAGGTTGGCGTCTCGAGGGTGTCCGTTTGAGTGGTCGGTCTGCGGTTCCCAGGGGTTGCGGCGCGTGGGATTGAGGGCTCGGGGTGAGGGAGGGGTCGCCATTGAGGGGCCTGGATCCAGGCTGCGCCTGTGAGGCTGATGTCCAGTCTCGAGGTTCCTTAATCTGGAATCATCGTTGGGGGTTAAGTAGGGATCATTGACGGGTGTTGGCATACTGCTTGCGGACGCGATTTACATTACGAAGGAATAGTGGGCGCTAGTAGTAGCGCTGTTGGTATTCAAACATGGTTGAAAACATAGCAGTCGAGCGATATAATTCCTCAAAAATAGGTGCTGGCAAAAATCACAGCGAAGAGGACAATTTTCGATCAGCCCTCTCCTTTGATGAAGCAATTTCATCCTAAGCTTATTCACGCCCAGACTTGACGTATTTCGCGGCTGAGGATGCCACTTCGTTCGGCAGGTTCCGTAGAGCATAGAAGATAGGTTGAGTTGTCAATGATCATGCTCATGCTCATCCGTTCGAGCGCAATCAAATATTCTACAAAGTACAGAAGACCGCAATTCTCCCTTTAAAGACAAAGTTTATCAGATTAAAGATAGATGAAAGATAAGGTTCCTCCCTCTCTCTACCTTACTCATAACTTAATCATAAGTCATATCATTTCGATACTTCATTGCTCCCAGAGCTCACCCCGATATACTCACAGTCCTCCACAACCACCCAGTGTTGACCACTATGACCCCCTTCGAGATCCGGCACTCTGATCACAAGTCGTAGTCTTGAGGTAAGATAGTCTAATGCTGCTCTACATTGACAACCCAACCGAATCTCACCCATCATTTTATCCAGACTGTCCACATCGAACGCACCTACCACAGTACCACCTGACCATCCGAGCAAACGTATACCACGCGGTGTTTCCATCATTTACGTAGCTGCTCAACCACCAAAGAAGCACGGCAAAACGCAGACTGCCACAGATCCCGTGCTTACAGATCGCGACAGTTTGGATCAAATGGTTAAGAGCCTCAAAGCTTGTTAAGTCTGTGGGGGTCTCAATCGCTGGAATGGTTTACTTTCTAACCCTAGCAGATCTCGAAAAATGTCAACGGGAAATCGAAAGGGTTGACGAAAGAGAGCGCGGGACTGAAGGCTAATTTTGTCAAATTCGGAAAAGCTGGGGCAAACGTTGGGGGTACAGCGACGGAAAAGCATGGCCGCGATGGGGTCGTTTGGACAAGTCTTCGAGCAAGCACGTGACGGTGAGGATTAGGACCTCAGTGGGTGCAATTTTCATTCTGTCTCAAGACTTATTCTGAGGTGCGAGCCCGAGGAGACTACTCTCCTTATGCCGCATGCGAAGGTCGTTCTCAAGCGCCCGAGCAAAATGTTGGACCCTATCCCGACATCTCGCAGAAACATGAAAGGACAACCGCGATTCCACGCCACGAGTAGGGTCTGATGTTTGTTGATTATGGGCATATGCCAGAATAAATTTGTTGACAACGGATCAGGGGCTATTGGATACCGGGGAACGTAACAAGTTTCGTGTCGACATCTTTCAGATGGCAAACGCAGGCAGGTGGGAAATATCCCATGTAAATACTCCGGGCCGACAGATCCGGTTCCGAAAACACGTCCCACAGGACCGACGTCTGGTCGCCGTTGACGACCCGTACGGTCCCGAATCGCGGTTCCCCCCGCGGCGGTCTGAAGACGATGACGCGCGGCAACGGACCGGGGTCGATGACATCGTAGTAGCAATACGTCCAGCCGGGCTCCATTTGCAGTATCGCCGCCAAATCTTGGGTCTGGAAAAAGTGGCCAAACTGCCCCGGACAACGACCCTGTTAGCCGCGTCTTCGGGTATCGGGGCCCGTTGCAATAACCTTGGCTATGACGCTGTTTCGCAGGAGGATTGGGTCATCGGCCATGGCGGCCGTGATGATTTTCCAGTGAGTGGTAGCCATACTGGTTCGGAGATAAGATGGACGTCTGCGTAGTCACTTGGCATGGAAATCTGCAGACCTTCAAGTCAGAGTGCAAGGGAACACAGGCGGGACGAGTGTTAATATACTTTTCCGGCGTAGTTTGACCATTCGGGGAGAAGGTAATGGTAGGCTAGTCGTTTTGCCGCAAGGGAAGTATTAAGCAGCCCATTTTTTCGTAGTCAGAGCCGACCTGCATGAGATTTTCGTACGTTTCATCGCCAGTGTTCCCCTGCGCTGCAACTTGTCAGCTCTTGCAAATCTCATCTGACAGGCGGAGGGTTCTGGGAGCGTGGAAAAAGGCTATAAGACTGTGAGTTGACTGCGCTGATGGGCTTTTAGATCTCCCGTCTAGGCAAGGACACGGGCGCATTGGGTTTAGAGCAGGAAGTGTTTGTCTATCAAAGTCTAGGTTATGTATAGCCATCAGTTCTAGCCATCGTGCTTGACAATAATCAAGGCTCATCATGATTACCCAAATCGAAACTTTTCTTTTCCTTCATCCCCAAGCATAATCTTGTGAAGAAGCGTATCAACTTTTCTCGATGGCCTCCAAGCACTGTGGGAACTCGTCCCAGTTCTGCATCACAATGCCGACGCCCAATCCCTTGAGGGTCTCGGTCATCTCCTTCTGCTTCTCGCTGCCGCCGTAGCTGCCGACGTAGCCAATGACCGGGATACCCGCACGGACGGCACTCAAGGTCCCGCTTTTGCTGTCCTCCACGGCCACACACTCTCCGGGCTCCTTGCCGATGACCTTGCAGGCGTGGAGGTAGATGGCTGGATCCGGCTTGGTGGTTGGCTTTGGTAGAGAGGTGGCAGCGCTGAAGATGTGGTCTTTGGGGAAGTACTTGGCCTGGTCGACTTTGTCGATGCTCGCTTGGACACGGCGCAGAGCACTTGAGCTGACCACAGCCATGCCATACTTCTTAGCCTTGTATAGCTTGTCGAGCTCCTCAGAGCACCCTACACAGGGCTTGGCATCCCTCTCCAACTTGGCGATCACTCTGTCTTCTTCCATAGCCACGTACTTTTCCATTTCAGGGCCAGGGATGCTGAAGTCAAACTTTTTCTGGAGGTTCACGACCATGCCACGGAAGTTCTGGCCGACGAAGTCATTGAGAAGCTCGGGACCGGTGTAGCGGTCTGGGACGTTGTATTTGGCAAGAATCTCGTTGGCGAGGTCGGCACAGGCTTCGAAGGCCAGCTCTTCCGAGAGGACGAGGGTGTTGTCACAGTCGAAGAGGATTTCTGTGATCTGAAAGGGCATGCTGGTTAGCAGAGGTTCCACTGGCGAGTAGGGTGAGGCTGATTGGTACCTTGGGCATGATGAGGGTGGTAGTAGGTGAGTACGAGGCGATTGTTTGCCCGTACTGAAAAATTGGTTAGCTATGGAGGGGTCTGATGAGGGTCCTCTCTCTTACTGGTTGACTGGTAGTTTTAGAGCTTCTGTGAGGCCAATTGATATGTAGGAAAGTGATATGAGTGTGTAAAATGGAAAGGATTGAAAGGAAGGATTTGGAAGAAATATATCGAGCGGTGAGGTTGCGTTGGCCCTTTCACTTTTCGGCAGCTGTGTGCACGATCGGTTGGTGGGTAGTGGGAGATCTTCACCCGCGCCAAGCCTTGGACCCTCGTCTTGCCTCTGCTTCTTTCGGGAATATGAGGCTGGCTTCATGCATCTTTACTTCCCTTTTCGATCCAATAGTCTCCGAGTACTCCCTTGTTTGCAAAGCCGTGCGCCGTTTACTGCATTAATCATTATGGAAGAAAAGTTGTGATTGCCTTTGGGCCAGCCAAAGCCAGAAGTTATCTGAGTAGAAGTTAGACAATACCCAGAAAAGGCCCCAGAAAAGTGGCACTTTGAGGGCAGAGACTATTGTTTTCACACCAATTTTGGGCATCAACCCGGAAAGATCTGTCATCCACGACTGAGAATGTTTCACTAGCAGCGTTGACCAAAGGGAAACCCCTTCTCTTTGACTTTGTTCCTGTCGACACTTTATAAACTTGTACCGCCTCAACTACCACTGTGCCTGGCACCTTGCTTGACCCACCCCACGGTGAGAGTACAAGCCCCTATTTCTCAATGTCCTGGTGGTACTGTACTACTATGAAAGGGAGGAGCTATGAAATAGGTAATGGCCAGAAGCCATGATCCACAGAAAGGGCCAACCCACCATATCCATTGGTCTGTTCACACACTTGCCGTTAGCTCATTCTTGGTGCGCAAATTCTTTCAACTCCTACCTGTGAAATCATGTCTCGTTATGGCAAAAGCAAAGCACCTGGCGGGGTTCATCGATGCTCCAGTGTACCCTGGCACCAGTCCAGCCGTCGCAAAGCTCACTAGTCCGAGGGAACACCCTACGGCAAAGGGTCCGCCTAGGGGTCCGAAAAGCTCTCGCTGGCGAGGATCAAGGGCTACTCCAAGAGCAAGAGCACTCCACACGCGAGATCTCAGACTAAATTACGTCGTCATTATTCAGTGGAAACTCAACCGTCTCAATCAAAAGTGCCTGTCCGAGAGCAACGGTTCCAGGATTTCGAAAGCAACCGCCCCTTTAAATCTGCAGCAAACGTTAGAGCCTAGACGCCCAGGACTTGGACATTACTGACTCAATTGAGCGGTCTGCGCCAAAGGCACCACGAAGGACGCCACCAGCCAGCCCGGCACCCAGAAGTTGGCCGCTCATGTAGAGTATGGCTGAAGCGCTTGGTAAGCGTTCCTTCCGGTGCCTCGTGTGGGATAGGAGGAAACACCTCGTGAGAAACCCGTCAAACCCACGGTCATTGTTGAAAATGTGATGATGGGATTGATGTGGCCTTTTTCTCGATCAGTACTCCATGCTTTGAAACCCAGACTGCTCGAACTGACCTCCAGAGCCAGGCGCAAATGCCATGATAAACAAAGTCAGAAGGAAGATGTTAACGACCCCAGCATATGCCGGAGCCTGCGAAGTCCCAAAATTCGTAATGGTCGTGTCAATCATGCCGCTCAGGTAGCAAAGAAGGAATGAGGCGAACGCTCCTACGAGCTTGTGGCGAAGTTTAGCAGGGTCAATACGTCTTCTGGGGTCAAATGCTTACAGCGCTTTTCCATATCCCAGGATCGTCCCACCCTTCCCTGAAGTAGGCGACCCAATTGACTAGCCTTCCTTTGTCTTGTGGATAAGTCGTAGCTTTGAGGGTACCACCAAGATGATTGGCCACAAGAGAGCCAGGGAAATCTGCTACCGTCCCTGGCGCTAGACGCTCGCGAGGCACTTGAGTATACTCCGACTGTACGGAGTTCTCAGGTAAGAAGACGCAGCATGGCACTGTAGTGAATTTCAGAATATGGATCATACTATATAGATGCAGGAGACAATGGAATTCGGCATTCAAACGTACCTTATATGAAAGAAGCCGTACTCCATGGATACCAAACATCAGTCAGCATCAGTCAGATCAACAATGATTGGCCAATCAGAACGCTGCACATTTCACTCCACCAACCCGGAGCTTACAACGGTCTGCCAAGTCCCAACGGTTCGTCCGCGTGCCACCACCATTGCGTACCTCACAAAATTCCCGCTACCGTACATACTGTATATAAAGCGCACAGCCGAGCGAAGGCATGCTATGAGGTCCGGCGGGGTGCTGCGCTGGCTCCGTGGTAGGCCAGGGACCTCCGCTTTTCTTGCTTTCCTCCTCGTCTACCTGGCAGTATTCCGCTACTGCAGCCAGGCCTACTATCGAGATCCCACCTCGGCTTTCTTCGATCCTGTTCGAGGCTATGAGCCAAGATACTCCGCCGGGCGCCAGAACGACGCTGAAACTTTCATCCGTAATGCCAATCTCACGACCTATGGCCAAACCACATTACAAGATCCCAAAATGTGCATCGGTATAGCGACTGTTGCGCGAGAGCAGGATCAATACGTGCGGAGAACGATTGGCTCGTTGATTGATGGTCTTGAGCCAAGCGAGAGAGAGCAGATCTTCTTAGTTGTCCTTATCGCCCACGCGGATCCTCAAATGCACCCAATCTATGGCGAGCCATGGCTCACCAACGTCGCCGATAAGACGTTGCTCTACGACGTCAACCAGGGACGACTTCAGAATTTGAGGGACTGGGAAACAAACAAGGACTACAGGAAGAAAGGGGTCTTCGACTACACCTACGTGCTACAAAGATGCGTCGACGCTGGAACGCAATGGATTGCTATGATTGAGGATGACACACTGGCGGTGGACGGGTGGTTTCCACGAGCCATGGAGGCACTCCAGAAGGCTGATGAGCAACACCCAACTACTGACGAGATGGACTGGCTATACCTTCGCCTGTTTTACACGGAAGAATTTTTGGGGTGGAATAAGGAAGAGTGGCGACAGTACTTTGCGGTGTCAATCGCCGTCACGGGGATGACGGGGATGGCACTGCTTCTCATAAGGCAATTCCTATTTGAAAAGACCATTACAAACAATTTCATTGCGGTCGCCTGCCTGGTCTGTGCTCCGGCCTGCATCTCACTCTACTTCATGGCCGGACGACTTTCCATGCAGCCACCGCTCCCAGGAGTATACCCAATGCCAAAATATGGATGCTGCGCTCAAGGACTCGTCTACTCCCACAGAATGGCGTCAAAAGTGATTACCCGACTAGCTCAGGTTAGAGAAGGTTACGTGGATCAGATTGTCGAGGCATGGGCCAACGAAGCGAACCTGGTCAGATGGGTGACAATTCCAAGCCTGCTGCAGCACGTGGGATCATCAAGCTCAAAAGGCGACGATCGTGGATCAGCGGCGAAATACGGCCGCAGTGTGGCAGAGAAAATATGGAGCTTTAGCTTCGAGGAATACGGGGATGAGAACACGTGATACAGGACGGTATCCAATGACTCATGATTATAAGACAGCAAGCATCACAAGAATGGAAAAGCTAAGTTCTCTTTCCGAATTTCGTCCGCATCATGCCTTCGAAGCTGCGCATGGACGCATCCGGAACTCAAACAATAGTTCGAAGAAACGTCCCTGTTACTGCGTGAAACGCAAGGCCTACGATAAGATGTTTCTCTCCCGATCCACTACTCTACTCAGCAGCTCGCGACGTGTTCAGGAAATCAAGGGCGTGCAGTTGCCCATAGAACAGAACGTTATGTGCGAACGTCGAGTCCATGCTCGAGATGCGTGGGCTTCACCAGTCGCCCCTTTGGCCGCACAATACCTGGCACTGATGTCGAATGTGCCGCTCTCAACCTCCGTACCGTCCGTGTCACGGTGCCAGCTTTTGCGAGAAGTGCATTCACTGCACCGGGCTCGCTGAGGCTTCTCAATGCTGGGACGACAATGTGCTCCCCTGAGGCAAACACTGATGTCGTGATGTCTTGACATCTCTCAGGGCAAAAATGCGGACTGGGCTTTGTGTGCGTTACCTCTCCTCGCGGCGAGGCATGTGCATGGCATGCGAGTAGCAATGCGACGGCAGCGATACGGACATGGATTGTGGGAAAGAACATAGTGGTCGATTTGTGGGTGAGGTTGTGTCAACGTTGGGGGATGTCGAGCGCTTAAAGGCCCTTCCTGCCTCGCGATCATCATGCGTGCCAGGGATACTCGTCATGGACATGGATAGGTTCCATTTTCTGATGAGGGGAAATCCAAACCTTGCGGGTGATTGTACTAGCAACTGGCATGCGGCTGGGCTAACATGAAGCTAAAGTATACTCGGAATGGATACGCGATGGATGCTGCTACCGCCTTAGTGTAGGCCTCGCTATGCAGGGCCACAAAAGCCATCTGGGATATTGGCAACTGCAGACATTGACATTTTATCAATTTTAACCAATCATCGGCGACAGGCTCAGGTGTTCAGACTTTAGGACAAGAACAATGCCGGTGAAGGAATTGATAAACTGGAATTCTGCTCTTCAGGGCTTAATCTGTCAACACTTGAGGGAATTTGACGCTCTCACCGTCATTTTCTCCTGCTTGCGAAAATCTAATATGGGAGATGACTCCATGTAAGCAACGCAATGTATTCTGCATTCACGTCTGGGTGGGGATGCACTAGCCCCATTGCTGTACCGTTTCACGCAGAAATTGCCGCATAGATTGCCATTGAAGAGTGTGATGTCCACACCATGGAAACCCTTTAACGGAGAAGTATCAGTAAGTATCTGTAGATACGGGAGCATGCCTACCTTGAAAGGAATAACCGCAAACCACTCTGTCCCAGTAGCAGTTCCTGAAGTACTCCAAGCGTCCGCAAGCAGGCGATAAGAACTTGCGAACTCAAATGATGTATGGTGCAATCTGCGAACATTATCAGCAACAGCCTGGAAGGTCGTTAGGGGTGGGGGACTGAACATCTCAGACCACCTTCTTTGGTGGTTCAGCACGAGAAAAGATTAGCATGAATATGTCGAGGGCCTTAAGAGTGATATTCCAACGAGACAGATTCGAAAGGTCCCTGATGTCGTTGAAGCACCACGAATGTGGGACTTGATAGAGACATCTTTCATACGGCTGAATAAGGGCTGAGTTTGTATAGAGGGACCCATAACAAACACAGAAAAGGCCTGGGTTGAATAGGGATGGATGAATGTTTGCTGGATCGGTCAAAGAAAAGACGGACAGAAGGATATATAAGGCATAGAAAAACAACGAAAACAACGGAAGCCATCGACCAGGGGCTCCCATGTAGAACTTTGCAGAATTAGACGTAAAGAACCAATGCCGCGATTCAAGAACGAACGAATTGCTAAGTGCTATAGGAATCTGTACATCTTAAAACCTCGAGCCCCTATTCGATGCCCTGTACATGGTATACCCCACGTACCCACCCACGACCACGATCGCAAAAAGTACAATTTTCAGGAGGAACCACCTCCAGCTTCCCCGTTCCTTGTCCCCGCCGGGATTGTACGGCTTAGCCTGAGCCTTCGATCCTCTATCGCTGCTCCTCGATGAACCCGTATTTTGACGCATGTGTAGATTATAAGAGTTGACGGATATGATGTCGTGATTGTCAGTAAGTTCGCCTGTATGAGCGCTGAATCCAAGGTAGGCGGTCTGAGGGAGCTTGAAGGCTTCAGTCTCGAAGCATTCAGTCCATTCATTTTCGGCTTTGTATTGAAGCTCGACTTTGAGTGACGTGTCCTGGTAGTAGGTCATTCGTATCTTCTTAGGCACCGTGTCGGTACCTCGGATACCACGGGCCTAGGTCTCCTTTGTTAGTGCAAGATTTGCTGGGCATCTCGGTGTGGGTATTCATACCGAGCATCCTGCCATCTCGTTGTCTTTTCCATCATGATCTTGATCGTACGATACTGAGCTGTTCCCAAGCATGGCCATCACGTAGGGAAACACCACACCCGGCCTGGAGTTCTTGTACGTATCGATGAAGATCCCTAAACCATTAAAATTGTCTGTATGCCCGAAGACCTTTCCTGGCTTTGCCCGCTCTTCTGTCAACCATATTGCCATTCCGTCACCATGAAGATGCCCAAGGCCATGTATTTTGAATTCTATCTCCATCTGCACACATGCGTTAGAAGGGTTTTCGCTTGCACATCTCAAGGGCAGGTACCATCCAATTTGTCGCGGTCATAGGCATTCGGGAGAAAAGCCATCCTGATTGCGCCTGACGGTCGGATGTGAGTCGGATGTACCTGCCAACGCAAATCTGAGACAAAGACCCTGTATTTCGATGGACGAGGAGAAACCATACTGATCTGCCCGGACTATTGTATCTTCTCCAAACTCGAAGTAGCGACTTTGCATATCGGAGTCTAGAAATGGCTGTATGTCCCTTCTGCATTAGCCTCGATCTAGTGAACCCATCCTCATGACTCCTGGTTTTTGTTCTCCCGAGCAGGTGGGAGGGCGGTTCGACTGACCGATGAAAGACTATGTGACCGTAGCTGCACACAAGACATCAGTAAGGTGCTTCAAGATACGCGCACGTAATTCAATATCTCACCGGTATCTGCCTGACAGCAGCCCGTTCGACATCTGCTTGGACAGCAGGATGCACTCCCACATATCCCAGCAGAAGGCATAACAGTAAAGCCGGCCATGGCTGTATCATTGCTCCTGTCCCTGGCAAGATCGGCAACGGTATTCGATGTGTAAGGTCCACGAGGGAGCAGCAATAGGTGTCCGGAACGCAGTCGCGTGCGGCGAAAATAAGTCCATGCTTGAAAACGGCGTTTCAAACTCCACCGTTCAGGGAAAGGTTCATTGGCTCGGCGCAAAGGTCGGCCCGAGAGCAACGAAAGTGTAGCTCTTGCAGCAGTAATGATCAACTTGCATCACGCACATCTACATCATTGCAGTAGCATTCCTCTGGAGACTTGGATTCTCAACGACAGACCGACTTCACCCCGAAAACCACTATCCCTCCTCACCACGACCATGGACTCCCTAAACCCCTCCCTCAGCGCCTCCGATCCCAAAGCTGCCCTCATGAGACAAGTCCAGCAAGAGGCCGCCATCAATAACGCACGCCAACTCATATCCGTAAAGCTGCCTCTTCCGCGTTTTGTTACCCCCTTTCAATCCCAACCACCATCCTAATCACCTTACTTGCCAGAAAATGAACAGCCACTGCTTTGAAAAGTGCATCCCGACGCCCGGCAGCTCATTATCATCGAGGGAAGAAAAATGCTTCACGACGTGCATGGAGAAATATATGGCGGCGTGGAATACAGTCAGCAGGCAGTACATTGGGCGGATACAGAAAACGGCAGGTGGGGGAGCAGGAAGTGGCGGGGACATGGGGGAGTTTGGGATATGAAATGGCAAAACAAGGCTTTGGTGGATTGGGAGGATGCGCTTCTGCGGGGGCATCATTGTACGATAGGCGTGCTAGGAAAGGCCGCAGGTATGAAATCCGTACAGAATTATTGCTGGAGCATCTTTGACCATCACTTAGAAGAACCGTATAATATAAAACTATGTACCTTTCCTACCATCCTCCACTACACTACGCGGTGGCCTGATTCAGAAATGCAACAACCTCAATCTGAAACTGTTCTCTAGACCCCAGGCTGACTATTCCTCCCTTATTGTTCATACAGCGAGTCAGAACGAGCGCCACCCTTTGAGCGATCATGACTCGTTGAAAAAAATCCGGAGACCTTGGACTGACGGCAGTGATTCTTATTTTGCAATAGGGCGAAAACCCCCAGGTCCATGGCAACACTATTGGGTGGGTAGGGCTCCATCGTGAAGCGTGGAGGTCGGCGGAGTCGTTGGCGAGCATGGTCAAGATGAGAAGTCCGCATTCGACGAGGTCAACGTTACCCCATTTTGGTGGAGCTGGAAGTGGGGGATCGATGTGGCAGAAGACTGTCGGTTCTGCGTTACTGGAGGTGTCGTACTCTGGGAAGCTGGTGGTAGCAAGGGTGAGATTGGTCGTTTCTGTCAAGGAGTTGTTCACGAGGACGGAATTCGCTAAGCTCCTGATTTCTCTGGACTGAATGTATGGTGGGGAATGGAAATCGGAGGGTAAAGCGAGTACCGCGGTATTCAACGAAGCAAGAAGGTGAAACAGGTTTCCGGAGGAAAGCATCCTGTGGATGACGGGCTTTCTCCGATTGATAGAATAAAACGCAAGGCTCGGTCATCTGATATCAGGACTGAAAAGTTGATTGGATACGAGAATCTTGAAGACTAGGGCTGTTTGGGGCCTTGCATGTCAAGGTAACGCACAGTTCTAGCCGACAGTTTGGGTGATTCTGTAAAGATACACGCGCCGTTCCATGTGTGTGCAGACTGCTGAGCGACAGCCGATTCGCGTCACTATGCGCCTCGGAGGAATACGCCTGGGTCAGCTCATGCGAGATGACTAAAAAAGCATGTACGGAGTATGAATACCCTCGATCTTAGAACCTACAAATCCAGGGGCGATGCTGGAAAAGATGGCAGACTGGTGTCAACCCCAAACAAAAAGAAAAGCAAGCACAGAAGTAAGAATGCGGATTGATGTAAGATTTTCGCTAGCAAATGCAACAAAAGCACCAAGCTCCAAACAAGATCTCTTCGCTATGCTAGATTTGAACTCAAGCAAAGTAAATAACCGCAATACTTAGAGCACTTCTGCTCATCTATCTTCACCTAGCAACCTTTTGCCTGGCGCTTTTCCCATCAAGTTCTTTTGTCTCTCAGCATATTCACGTGCTATGATGGTGCAATGGACCTCTTGACAAAGCTTGCGCCTTCTCTGCAAGGGCAGCTTTGAGGCGAATTGCAATCCACTCGCCCTCTCAACGGCTTCGACTGGCACCTCAAAGTCGGTCAACGGCTTGTCGTTTGCGATGGGCGCGTTGGGCAAGACGAAAGCCCCTAGGCTAACGTTTCCTCCAGTCTTTCCATCCTCTGCAAAGATGACCTTGTAGAAATGCGTAGGGACCGAAACATTAGGAGGGTTGCCGATGACCTCGTATGAGACCTTCCATTTTCCATCTTCAGGAGATCTCTTGGGCAGGTAGAGCGGACCAGTCACGATCCGCACACTTGGATAATTGTTCGTTAGCCTCCGGCAGAAGTCCTCCAAGTGCGCCCAGTAATCCCTGTTGAAGCCGTCGCCCACTTGCGGACACATGTTGCTCAGTAGGAACGTCTGATCTAAAGCATCCTGACTCCACTTTGCATCCGCAGCCGGCACCTGATGACCTCTGTCGTAGCCAGAGCGGCGATAATCGTCGAGCTTGGCGCGGAATATGGCAGGAATGGCTTCATCTTCAGCAAAGTAAGAGTGCTTGCGATCGGCGTTGTTGGCAGAGAGCGAGGTGGGCGTTATGTGTTCGGCTACCCAGGCGGGGTTACGCGTGCGGCGGTCAAAGACGGAGGTTGTGGAGAGTGTGGGGTGAAGGTCGTTGACTGGGCCGGGGAAGCCATACTGAAAGAGGCCATTGGGGTTCACGGGAGGAGCTATATCCTTCAATGGGCGAGGATAAGATGGCACTGGCACTGGCACTGGCGCTGGCGCTGCGGTCGAGGTGGGCGTTGGAGTATCTGACGGTACGGTTGGAGGGAGCTTGCGTTCTGAGGGCGATAAGAAGATCGCTGCTGTTGCTGCAGCGCCTGTGGCCGCTGAAATGCCGGCGATGATAGCTAGAGTGGTCTTGGACATTGTGGTTATTTGATCATTACAGGTATTGAGGAAGCAACGGACTTGAATACTTTATGGCGCCCTCGTTACACCATATAGGCAGTCATCAGGTTTCCTAGGCGCGTGCATGACTCGTGTGATGGAGGGAGCGACGTGCCTGGCTGCATGAACTGAGAACCAATCGTTCGAGGCAGGCGTCAATCACTCTGAGGACCTTGCTAGCGTGATATTCAGCCTTACCTACTTCTTCCTTTAAATCATGTGGTTACAGCATTCATCTCAACATCTCCTTCAACCTTCGTTCTATACTCTCACTCTTTCAACCTCAGTCTCACTCATCACGCCCTTCTATCCTAGCACTAGTGTTTCCATTCTTTTATCTTTGACTTGCTGGCTTCCTAAAGGTTGCAAGTTGCGGCATAGCCGTGGGGAGAGCGGCGAAAATGGGCCTCGACAATGATACGAGAGGATGGATCATGACCGGCGTGAGCGGAATAGGTCAGGCATCCTGATAGAGGAAGCCATGTCTGTTGTCTAATAAAATTTTAGCTTGCGTATTCGGCTCCAGCATAATATGTGTAGACCTAATCATACAGCATATCCCCGGAAAGCAGAATTTCCGGATACAAGACAGCAATACCTTTCTCTCTTCATCTCTAAGTTTAAGCTTCGGTGTAATGGTGAGTTGTTCTTGAAGCTACCCATCCCTATGGCGTGTTCGTTGATGCGTCCCCTACAGCTTTTTTCCTCTCTGTATAGCATGTTACCAGAGGCCAAGAGTTACCTAACTGATGGTGGTCTTGCTCCCGATACCGCTGCCTATGCTACGATTGGCTGCTTCTTGGGTGGCGTCATAGGAATTCAATTCGTTTCACGTTTACTGCATCATTACATACCTTCTCATGTTGTGGACTGCGATCATTCTCATGATGAAGACGAAGGCGATGAGGAATTCAACCATGAAGACCATCATCATGACTCCCACGGCCATAAGCACAATGGCAACGTAACCGAAGAGACACCACTACTCCTTTCTCAGGACGAGTCCGATTTAAAGTCTATCCCAGAACCAAGATCCAGATCTGCGGCCGCGGAAATGGATCAGAGACATGACGCTCTGGAACCTGCAGCCCGGAGGCCGTCTTTACAGACTCGACTGACTAATCGGATGTCAACTTTCGTATCCGGAGCGCAGCGATCATGCGATGAAGGTGGTCCCTGCTATGGCTACAGCGAACCATGTGGCCAAGAATGCTTCAAGGCTGTTAGCCGAAGTCCAACAAGAGCCCCCACAAGAGCTCCTACCAGAGCATTTGGTCGCTTCTCCATCTCTGGCCCATCTGGCAAACCATCTCTTCTCCGTACTGCGACGGCACCACATACTCGCGCTAGATTAGGTCGCCGCATTGGCCTTGATGAAGAAATCGCTCAGATCTCCCCCAGGCCGACCATCCCCAGAAGACCCGAAGGATCTTCTAACGCGGTATTCAGGGGCCGGGAAGGGAATCGTGCCCGAGCTGCGTCTCATTTAAACACTGAAATGAGCCACGAGGACGGAGAAGACGGCATCGGAAATGGCGACGATGCTCGTACCTCCACATCTTCTCTGAGTGAGACAGCTAATGATCCTTCACATCATCATCATGTTCCCACCAACGCTTTTCTCGCTATCGGACTACAGACGTCAATCGCCATTGCCCTACATAAACTCCCGGAAGGATTCATAACTTATGCTACAAATCACGCCAACCCTAAGCTAGGTTTCACTGTCTTCATGGCCCTCTTTATCCACAACATTACCGAAGGCTTTGCTATGGCTCTCCCATTGTACCTCGCGATCAACAGCCGATGGAAGGCGATGTTTTGGAGCTCGCTCCTGGGAGGTGTCAGTCAGCCACTAGGCGCCGGCGTTGCCGCTCTTTGGTTCAAGATCGCTGGCAAGGGAGATGCGGCTCCCGGCGATGTGGTCTACGGATGCATGTTCGCCATTACCTCTGGTATCATGGCCAGTGTCGCTTTGCAGCTCTTCTCGGAAAGTCTGAGCCTGACTCATAACCGGAACCTTTGCACTGCTTTCGCGTTCATTGGCATGGGAATATTGGGAATCAGCTTCGCCTTGACAGCTGGCTGAGTTAGGGACGCAGGCTGTAATCTGTCCTGTGTAACATGGAGAATCTGGAGTTTGTGAGTAGACAAGTAGATCAACGCTAGGGTCTTTGATCATTGGGGATGGCGCGGTCTAATTACCTGAACCATGGGCAGGTGGGCGGTTCTAGGATGGGGGAAGACATGCATATAGATACCCTTACGCAGCCTATAACATCCATCGTCCATTTCTTGCAACAGTGACCCGGAGAATAGTAATTTTGGGACCGGTGGGAATTTAGCTACATCACACTGACGCCAAAGGTTAAAGCGACAAAGCAAAGTTTCGGCAGCCTGGTTATTCACATGTATCGGTGAATTATACTAACTATCATCACGCACGTAATAAATATCAATATGTTGTATTCAATTCAAAGTATTTTCCACGACATCGATCTTAACCCTTCATTCTTTCAATCTCCCTTCCACCATCCCCGCGCGTCGAAGCACAGACCTTATCTCTCACAATCCTTGCAGGTACCAGCAACATCTGACGCACATTATCATCATTCCACATGGCTTACCGGCAGAGGTTCGCCGTCAGCCATTGAAGCCGGTTCCTGCAGCCACTGGCGTTCCACAGAAGAAGATGGGTGAGTCAATTTTCTCTGCTTAAGTCAAACAGTCCGTCCACATACTCTGATCGGTACATTGTCCTCTCGAGTTCAGCAGCACAATCCAATTCCAGGAACGATGCTGAAAAGTGAAGTAGATGTTGCGGATGAGTGGGGCTTACTTATTCATTCAAGGGATCGGCAAAACCTGCGACGTATAACCGCTATCAACTAGCCCATTCCCCTCTCTCTCTGGGGAACTCGACAAAGCCCCCCAATCATCATTGACCTCTCAACCTCTTCTTCCTATCAACGCCTACAATTCTCCTATTTTTATCCAGCCCAATATCATTGTGTTCAATTCGGGTCCATTACTTATAGGCTATCAGCGGCAATTGAAGTCCTGCCCCTTCTTCCACATTCATGTCCCTCCTTGACCAACAGAGGTCCTAGCACCATCTCAACAACTAAGCGTCTGACCGGGTATACCACCCCCAGGACGGAGAATCAACAACTTGATCCGCTAGTAAGACTTTTTGGATTGGAGCACCAATTGCACTCCGTACATGCCTTGATATTGTGCCTAATTGTGAGCACGCTGGCATCCCGGAGCCAGTTACTAACAGCCCTTTTATCTCGGTACCTTGCATTCACGTCAATTGCCCGTCACTATCACATTAGCTCCGCTCCACTGAAGCTCCCATGCCGACTCTCGGATTCCTCAAAAAGAAAAAGACGAAGGAGCATGATCCAAGTTCCCCAACCTCAACCACCGAGAGCTCTCCCGTCACCCCCACTTCAGCTGGCGGCCACAAGAGCTCACTCACATCGGCTTCGGCAAATACGTTGAGCTCGACCAACAGCTCTAACAGGGGAGGGGAGACCATGCTTGTGACTCATACAACTTCACAGCTTACCTCGGCCCCGCGAAGTGGAGGGCAAGATCCATTGGTAGTCTGGCCCCAACAAAAAGTGCTTTGGAATGCACATGGACTGACACACCCTTTACAGAACGATGGCTCGCTGCTGTCCCAAGCCGAAACCCAAACCAATGGATCAAGCATCAGACCGATCTCTACCACCTCGACTGCCACCTCCCAGACCGCCGCCTCGCGCACCACAAAAGGAAAATATTCGCTGACAGATTTCACACTAAAAAGAACGCTGGGAACAGGAAGCTTTGGAAGAGTGCACCTGGTGCAGTCTAATCATAACCAACGCTTCTATGCTGTCAAGGTCCTTAAAAAAGCACAGGTGGTGAAGATGAAGCAAGTGGAGCATACCATCGATGAGCGGAGGATGCTGCAGAAGGTGAAGCACGCCTTCTTGGTGACGCTGTGGGGAACCTTCCAAGATTCCAAGAACCTCTACATGGTCATGGATTTCGTTGAAGGCGGAGAGCTATTCAGTCTTTTGCGCAAGTCGCAGGTCAGTGAGCTTGATTATTTTGAATACTATCATCAGTCATACACTCTTATAGAGTACCTTTACTCACGCCATGAAAAGCGTTTCCCAAACCCAGTGGCCAAGTTCTATGCGGCCGAAGTTACCCTTGCCCTTGATTACCTCCATGCCCAAGGGATCATATACCGCGACCTGAAGCCTGAAAACCTGCTACTGGACAGGCACGGCCACCTGAAGATCACAGATTTTGGATTTGCCAAGGAGGTACCAGACATTACCTGGACGCTTTGCGGCACACCGGATTATCTTGCGCCTGAGGTTGTAGCTTCGAAAGGTTACAACAAGTCGGTAGACTGGTGAGTGGACTCATTCCGTGACGCTAACAAACTTTTCTCACGCATTTCTAGGTGGTCCTTGGGAATACTGATATTCGAAATGCTCTGCGGATTTACCCCATTCTGGGACGGAGGCTCGCCAATGAAGATCTACGAGAACATCCTGAGAGGCAGGGTGAAGTATCCTCCATATATACACCCAGATGCACAAGACCTTCTACAGCGACTCATTACGCCTGACCTTACCAAACGGCTGGGGAACTTGCATGGCGGCTCAAAGGACGTGATGAACCATGCTTGGTTCGCTGAGGTGACATGGGACAGGCTGGCGAAGAAAGACATCGACGCTCCTTACGTGCCCCCTGTCCAAGGTGGGGTGGGTGATTCGAGTCAATTCGACAAGTATCCAGAAGAGACGGAGAAATACGGAGAGAAAGCCCCCGATCCGTACGTCACATGGCCTTTGGGAACAACACAAATACTGACACTGCTACAGACACGGTTACCTCTTCAGGGACTTTTAAGCTCCAACAGAGTTGATGAAGCTACCGCACCGTCGCCTATGCAAACAACTCGCATACCTCCACGACGGACAGAACGGATGACGGACGACGATGAATCCATGAAAGTAGGATGATCTTGACCAGCGAAAAGACCTTTTGAATTCTTGACTAACCAGCAATCGAACTTGCTTTCTACCATTTGTATTGCTGGTATCTCTGCTTTCCTTGCACTCCTGAATACCCGATTGGCTTGGCTTATTACTATATTGAATGCGAATCCTACCTAAGATATGTAGCAAACGCCTCAAAAATTTCTACTCAATCTCAGCAATGGCGGCCGACTTAGATAGTTTTGCAATCTAGCTAGCAGAGCTTGCAGGCCAATTCCTGTTGAGAGAAGAAATTTGTAACCCTTTTGCGTGAGTCCAACATTGCAGCATGCGGCTCCTCGATGACCCCACGGCTAACACTGTCTACGCGATAACATGTATGGGCATGAACAGCGACACAATCAAATGCCATGAAGCCAGGATCCAATAATAATGCAATAAGGGTATCTACGCTCTCTCCCGTATCTCACTCCACAACCTGTCAACAACCTGGAAAACGGCCGTCACCACCTTCATGGTCCCCCCATCAATGCCCACCTCCCCAGCTCTCTGCTGCATCTTATCCGGATGCCACCGTACCCTCTCCTTCTTGAGCACAACCCCAAAATCCACACCCCCAACCCCTGCCACACCTTTGAAGAATTTCTCAACCTCGCCCGCCCCTACATCATCCATGTTCCCACTCTCGACCGGCCAGAAGATCTTTCCTTTCCGTTCCTCCCAGCCCGCGAGATACCCCTCCCAAACACCCTTCCACCTATTGCTCTTCCTCCTCTCCTGCCCCCTCCTAAGCGCCTCTTCAACACCAGCCTGCCACTTCCTCCCCTCCTCATCCTGCGCCTTCTTCCTCTTCCGCTCCTCCTCCCTGCGCCGCCGTTCTTCAAGAATGTGCTCGTGGCTTCTCTCCCACATCTTGCTCCGCACATAAGCCGTATACTCTTCGTCATCCATCCTCTCCAGTTTTGGATTCTCGGGATCATCTGGAGTGTCATCGTTGGGGGATGCGGAAGCCGGGTAGTAATAAGGCGAGTAAGTATGCATAGGCTGGCCGTAGACTCCCTCCCAGAACGCGGCACCCTCGTCGTCGGCAAGGGCGTCGAAGAGGGATTCACGGAATGCGGTGTCCGGACTCATGTATCGTCCTTCCTCTTTTAGGTACTCGTTGTCGTAGGCATCGGGCGGGGTGTGCGGCCGTCGCTTGGAGCGGTGGTGGTGGTGGCGGCGGTGATGATGGCGGCGGGTATGTCGGGGGTTTTGAGGCGTGGATGAGGGAGGAGAGAGGGACCGTCGTTTGCGAGGGGGCCCTGATGGCGAGGGAGATGGGGATCGTGGGTGTTTGAAGCGGAAGGGTTTGGTGGGGTTGGGGGAGTGTGGGCCGGCGGTGGAAGTTTCCTCTGGCGCGGAGGCCATGGCGAGGAAATTTAGGTGGTAGATGCTTTATCGAAGACGGTTTATACCACTCATGTTAATATTATTGCAAACTGAATGTTGTTGCAAATGCAACTGTGAAGTACATAAAAGCCGCTTCGGTTGCAGTTGCCGGATTGGATTCTTGAATTTCGACTTCACTTTCTTCCGCTCGACTCTCCTTCATCAAGCTCCACCAAACATTAAGATGATGTCTAATTTATCTTACGGCCTCAATATAACAAAGAAACCTCCGTTAGGTCAGAGGCCGCCACCAGCAAAGCGGAAGACCATCTTCGACGACGACTCTGGTCCCGAAGATGGACCCGACGACGAAGATGCACCGGAATCCATATCCACCCTAGGCGGTCTTCAACCCTCCTCCAAACCCAAATCTTCAATATCCACTTCTACAGCCCCTCCCTCACGCCCATCTAAACCGTCAAAGATCTCCCAATATGGCGACCTCTCCACAAACCACTCTACTAATAAGCATTCCAAATCTGCTCAAGCCCTCGACCCCAACATCTACGACTACGACGCCGTCTACGATTCCCTACATGCCAAACCCGCCTCCTCTACCTCTACCGCCGACGTCGAAAAGAAACCCAAATACATGGGCAATCTCCTCGCAGCAGCGGAAGTCCGCAAGCGCGACCAATTGCGCGCGAAGGAGAAGATGTTAGCGAAGGAGCGAGAACTGGAGGGGGATGAGTTTGCAGATAAAGAGAAGTTTGTGACCGGTGCCTACAAAAGGCAGCAGGTGGAGATGAGGCGGTTGGAGGAGGAGGAAGTGCAGAAGGAGAAAGACGCAGAGGAGAGAAAGAGGAGGGAGGGTGGGGGGATGAAGGCCTTGTACAAGAACTTGTTGGAGAGGGATGAGATGAAGCATAAGGAGGTCATGAAGGCTGTGGAGGAGGGGAGGGGTCAAGAGGGTCAGGCCGATGGGGAAGAAAAGGACGCGAAGAAGGGGAAGAGCGAGGCGGAGCTTGCAAAGGAAAAGGGCGCCGTTATCAACGAGGAGGGGCAGGTCGTTGATAAGAGGCAGTTGCTCAGCGCTGGACTCAATGCTGTGTCTGCGCCTAAGCCGAAACCACCGCCAGATCCTCGGTCAAGAGGAAGTGGGCCTGGAGGAGGGCGTGGCGGCAGGGAATCAGCACGGGAAAGGGAGACGCGGAATTTTGAGGAGCAGCTACTTGGCAAACATGGCGCTGACGATAGTAGTGATGACGGGGCAGATCGAGCTTCCAAGAGCCGCAAGTTGGAGGATGAGCTGCTGGGTCTCGGCACGCCATGAGGTAAAACCAATCTTCCCGGTCCATTCATTTGTTGAGCACTTCTCGTCTACCTTTCATCTTGCATGTTTTGATTGTCTCCAATCCTCGAAGAGCTTGTCAATGCCGGGCCAGGACGGCGTGTACGCTCTCACTCCGTGGCGTATGCGTATCAATATTCGTGCCCAAGATTTACGCAGTTGCCACAGTGCGCTGCGCAGCTGAGTCTGTCACACTTTCTATTTAGCTAAGGATGTCTGTCATTGTCCGAAGGCTTGGTTGCTTTGCTGAAATACGATTTTTACATCTTTGCCCTTAGTGGAATGAAGGAACGTGATGTGTTTATGAGTGATGCCTTCTAGGAGAGTGAAGGCGAGGGAAACTATTACGAGCCAACGAGAAGATTCGTTGCATTCCTTTCAGTCAATGCAGCCAGAAGGTCCTCGATGTCTTGTGCTTGATAATAGAGCTGATTGTCACAACCACGCCGGATCGCCCTCTCCAAGGATGCCTGGAGTAGGATGGAGGGTAGACGGTCGGACATTTGTAACGCCTTCGGTCTTCTCCGGAGACTAATAGCATGCATCCAGGCAGCCAAGCGACTTGGTCCATATAGAGACCGAAGGCAGCAATATTCGTACCCTGGTTTTTTTTGATGCATTGTTGTTCTTTCCACAATCGTCTCCGTCTCCTTTTTTTTCTCTCGGCTTTCGGCAGAATTTCTACCCGGATTTGAAAGCATACGCGCGCGACCTCATCTCTCCCGGTCCATTTATTTACATATAACCTCACCCCGCCCAACTCTTCCCAGGAATCCTCAGAAATATATCCCCTATACCCCTGATCTATATACCTCAGCATCGCCTCCAGCCCCACCGTCAGCATGTCTCTCACCCTCACCGTCCCCCAGGACTACGGGTACCGCATCCCCTCCCCTCTGACCAACTCCCTCCGCCCAATCTACCCTTCTCTGCCATTCTCCTCAACGACCCTAGACTAACACCTCTCTCTTCTTCTTCTTCCCCCAGCTACGTCCTCGCCACCGCCACCCTTACCACCGTCGTCGCCTGGTTCCACAGCATGAACGTCAGTTCCTACCGCCGAGCCGCCAAAGTCCCCTACCCCAACGCCTACGCCAGCGCCGCGGAGTGCAAAGAGAGCAAGGAGAAATACCTCTTCAACTGCGCCCAGCGCTCGCATGGGAATTACCTGGAGCATCAGCCGCAGATGCTGGTGGGGTTGTTGATCGGCGGATTGAAATGTACGTGTCGTGCCCGTTGTTCTCTGGAGTGGAGCTGAAGGGGGGGGAGATGGGCTGATACGTGTGTGTGGTGGGATAGATCCCGTCGTCAGTGCCGCCATCGGTACGGCCTGGTGTGCGAGCAGGGTGGCTTATACGATTGGGTATTGCAGGAAGGATAAGAGCGATGGGAGCGGGAGGCAGATTGGGGTCGCGAGCTCGTTTCTGGAGATGGCGCTCATGGTCATGAGTGGTATGACGGGGTATCAGATGATCACGGGGTAGACGGGATCGGAGGGGACGTCGAAAGAAGACGGGGTGGAGGTGAGAGGGGGGAAGGGAAGACGGCTGTAAGATATTCGCATTGCTGCTGATGGCACTGGTAGGGAACTGCTGTCCTACATTGATAGACCTCTTCGGTTACTGCTCCTCTCCTCATCCATGTCCGTTGGCATCACAGGATCGTGACGAGAGAGAACTTTATCTTGGACAGAAACGTCATTAGAGCAAGATTAGATAGCGTAGTGATCACTTCAATTGTAACAAATAATGTACGTTACAACATAAACAAGCCTGACGCGTAAATTTCTGCACGGGCAACGTGCCCACAGTGAGAGCCCCGTAGCACTCATCAATGATAGGTTCGGTTCGAGACTACTCGGGGGCGTCCGGGTCTCTCATGACCACGTGGGGTTTCCCGCTTGTTGGGAATCACGCAGGGCCGGTCGGACCAGCTCCGTGCGACCGTTTTCTCTGTCCGTCATGTAGTATTTACACGCTCGACCTGTGCAGCAGCGCAACATAAATCGGAGACGATTCGCGGAAACGTGCTTACGCGCTTCCCAAACCGGTCGGGTTCGAGGACGCTTGAATCCCTCATAAAAATCAGAAACCTGATTTTTCAGAGGGTCGCTCGGGTAAAAGTCACTCCGAAGGCGGGCCTTGAAGCCGAATATTTCGGGCAGGAAGCCCTATTCAAATGAGGATTTTCGGGCAGAATGCCCCAGGGCAATGCCCTAAAACCAAGTAAACGCCCCGGGAAGAAACTCCGAGGCCGGCCAAAATAGGCCTGAATTTGATTTGTGTGGGGCCACAGGCCCGGAATACAGCCCCATTCCCACATTACCGATGTGAAGGCGGGGCCAAAGGCCTTTCACTTGGTAGCCCCGTGGGCAAAAATTGTAGCCCCAGAGACAATTTGAAGCCCCGCAATAAGCGGGCATTTAGAAGTCTTCGGGGGAGTAAACCCCGGAGCACAGGGCATGTTGGCCTTAAAATCGTGGATCTTTCGGGGAAAGAGTCCCCGGAACATTACGATTTTTGTCTTTCGGAGCTCGAGGACGAGCCCCCTAGAGGGGGAGGCATTGTTAGCAGCAGCCCCCACGGGGGCCCTGCGACGGCCCTACGGGGCCCTATATAGCTTTAAAGACGGGCCAACAGGCCCGGAATATAGCTCTATTCCCACATTACCGATATAAAGGCGGGGCTAAAGCCTTTCACTTGGTAGCCCCGTGGGTAAAAATTGTAGCCCCAGAGACAATTTGAAGCCCCGCAATAAGCGGGCATTTAGAAGTCTTCGGGGGAGTAAACCCCGGAGCACAGGGCATGTTGTCCTTAAAATCGTGGATCTTTCGGGGAAGGAGTCCCGTGTTTTCGTGAATTCTCGGCCTGTATATCAGACATTCAGTGGGAAAGGCAGTGCGCAAGGGTGTGACTATGCATGTTGTTGGAGTAAAAGTCTGACTTGTTGATGATGGTTTTGCTTCGCAGGCTACGTTTAATTGTCAAGCGTAATCAGCTATATTGATTGGTATACATGCAATATACATGAAATAAGCCCAGCTTCCTAATGAACATCATTTACCCAGTAAGAACGGTGACCAGGACCCAGGTCGTGCTGTTTGTCGTGCCGGGAAGAGGGCAACAATGGCAGCAACACCAACATATTTTGGCTCTCCAGAATACAGCAAAGCTGCCCACGAGACTCGCAACACAAGCAAGCATGATAGCAATCTTTGCCCCCATCTGCATTCCTTCTCCATTCACAGACCCGTTGTCGAGCATCACGCGCGAGCTCATGCCAGTGACATTGTATATCGGATAGTTTCAACTGATCCACCTTTGGGCGGAGATGACTCTTTTTCCGTCCCTCAGCCCACTTCAAATAATCCTTGATCAGCTCTTGGAGGTCTCCGGACACGCCAGGGGCCCATCTTCCTTGTTCCACATCCTGTGCGTCAATGCGAACACAGCCAATGGTGGTTGCATCCCGCGGATAGGATGCGCGAGTCGTGACAACCATAGGCCGTTGAAGGGAAGGTTCAGAGACGAGGGATACTTCGCTTGGAGAACGTGACTGTGTACTGTCACTGTCGATCGAGGCTCGACTCCCTTGGCCTTTCGACGCACGCTTACCGATAACCCTTCTCTTGGAGAGGAGGTTGTCGGGGGAGAACGCGGCGAGAGATGTGCGCCTAGCTGGCGTGGTGGTATGTCCCGGAAAGGGAGGTGGTGAGTTTGGCTCATTCGAGTATTGAAAACGTTGGATGCTGAGGTCATCGTCGCGGGTGCTTAGCTGCATTGCATCGTGGGCAGACTGCTGGAGGTTGATGCTGAGCTGGGTGTTTCGTGCTCGGAGCAGCTCTATGTCTTCGAAAGCCTGCTGGAACCGGGTGTCGAGATCGGTGTTCCGTGCTTTGAGCAGCTCTCCGTCTTTGGAGGTCTGCTGGAGTCGGGCGTCGAGCTCAGTGTTTCGTACTCGGAGCAACTCTGTGTCTTCGGAAGCCTGCTGAAGTCGGGCGCTGAGCATCGTGGACAGCTCTGCATCGTGCGATTGCTGCTTGCGGAGCTCAAGCCTGTCTGTTTTCAACTCAGATAGAACAGTGATGGTCTGGTCCAATTGGTTGAGGAGCTCATTGTTAAATGACGAGAACGACTCTGCAGCGATGGAATATTGGGAGAGCTGATGGTGGAGCTCGGCGTTACAGATTCTCAGCTCGTGCGCATCGGAGGAATCCTGGGTGACCTGGTTGCGCAATTTAGTCCTTTCTTGTGTGGACTGCTCTGCAAGAGCGGACAGCTGATTGCGGAGTTGAAGGACTTTATGGTTGGACTGCTCTTCGAAGGTGGAGAGCTGGTTGCGCACTTCGAGCGTTTGCTGTTTGTACTCTTCTTCACTTGTTCTCAGCTTCTCTGCCACAGTGGAAGCTTGATCCAGCTGATTCTTCAGTTGAAAGTTTTCGAGATCCTTTGTAGCAATCCTCGCGTTGAGATCGACAACGGAGGTCTGTAGGAACTCAAACCGGTGATCTAGTGCCAGGCGAAGTTCCTTCTCATAGTGTTCGACTGTCGTCTTTTGATTATTGGTCAGCTGCTCGATGATTTCTGGGAATTGCTTCTCGAGTTTGTCCCGCATGTGTTCGGAGGTCTGTAGTTGCAAGTATAGGTCAGATTTGGTACCCTTTAGTTCCGCTGCTTCGAGCCCCAGGCGTACGACCTTGTCCGTGAGCTCGATATTCCGGTTGCGATGAAGGCATGCTTGTTGCTCTCTCGAGCGAAGTCTATCTAAATCGGAGTTGAGCTGGTCGACATGGTCCTTGAGATCAGTAATTGCGTAGGTCAGAGTGCTAAGGTGTGCCTGTATCTCCTTGGAGCAGTCAGCGATGTTTCTCGTGATAGGGCTAACATCGCTGGCCGGTCGAAAGGACTTGATCGTGTCATGGAGGACCGTGACGCAAGCGGCGTGTTGTCTGTTTACCGTCTTCACATCGGCTTTCCGTTTGTCCAGTGACGACTGGGCTTCGGTTTGGAGCCTTTCGACGGACAGACACAGATCTTGGAGTGTGTCGAAATTATCAGACACGTCCACCTTGGTTACCTCGTTGAGTCTCAAGGAGTACTGGTTGATGATGTTCTGCAATGAGATGAGGAGTTTCTCGGTTGGGGTAGGATCTTGTGAGACGACCAGCTTTTGAAGAATTGGAGGTTCGTGAACGATGTCAACTGGCTGCACAGCATAGCAATCGTAGAGAATTGGTGGCTGATTCTGACTCGCCATGCTGTACCGATAAGTGTGATTGAGAGGATGATCTTCTAGCAACCGCGGTAAAGTGTGATCCACAGTAGCTAGGATGTCCTAGGGAACAGAATCGAGTGACGGAACTGACAGAGGGTTGTGTGGATGCAATCAGGCGTCTGGAAGGACGAGTATGCTGTGTGGAAGCGTAACGAGGAAAGCTCAATACCTTTTTGGTGGGAAATCCTGGGAAGGTGATAATCTGGGCCAAGCTGATGAGGAGAAATACTCCTGGCTGAGGAAGATTGAGTTGATCACCGTGGCCGCAACTTCAAGGAATCTCAGCATCTACAAAAAGTTCATCGGCTGATGGAACCACGTAGAGGAGTGCCGTAATCGCTGAGTGACTAGACAATCTTCTCTGAAGAAAAGAACCATGAAGATGCCAACTTTGAAAGTCTTGTGTATTTGAGGGCTGCTGTTTCGTCACGTTTTCCACTCGGCACTGGGAGAAAGGTGAGGTTTTGGAGAGTCATTACATCACCAATATTTGGGCCTTTCGATCTTTTCGCCAAAACTCGATCATCGTAAAGTAGCTGCACCTGACAATTTTCTTGACATCAATTGATGTGAATTCCCCTCCATCTGCTTGACGTCTTCTTTGACGGGACAAGCAATCACAAAATGCAGAATCCACCAAGGATCGTGTACGTCAAGCAGACTGATTTGCCCTTTCCACCTCCCGGCTATCAACAGCCAGCCCCAGTTGGAGACGAGATCGGAGATGACCCCGAAAAGGTCATCGACGCGAGCGTCAACGCAACAGGTGACACGTTTTTCCAACTTCGTTGGTCATCTGGCGATCTCACATGGCAGTCGAGTGAAGACATGATCGGACTCGAGACTTTGGTTCGTGATTACTACGAAGAGCATCATCCGGAGCTTCCCGTGCCTGAAGAATTTCGCAAAGGTGATGATGAAGTAGACGACATCCTTGAAGAGACGCAAGCCAATGCTCGACTTGCCATCACCCACGTAGGGGTGAGGGAAGATGACCCACAGTACTATGACTCAGATAACGAGTCCGATCTGGGTGCTGTGGAACCATCGGAGGCTCCTGGATCGGAGCCCGACGACGAGGCAGATCCATCAACCCAGGTTACGGCGTATCCGAAGATGAAAGACCTTGACAAGTTCAACGCGGACACCACTGGATCTCATCCTCTACCTTCTGTCACGCGAGAAGAGCTCGCTTCCACAGCCAGCTTTGTCTTCTGTGAGGAGCTACATCAGCAGACTGGCACTTACGCTCTTTGTCATCACACGATTGCCGGTTTGACGGATTGTCTGTCTAGGCTGAACAACACAGAGATCCTGCAGCAAGTCAATCGACAAAGGACTGGTCATGCTGTGAAGGGTCTTATCATCACATTGTGGCTCATCGTCTACCTCAAAGCTCACAGCAACGTGGCTGTTACACCTTACGTTCATGTCGGCAAAAAGTGCGGGACCCTCAGGCGCGCAGCCATAGATCTGGCTCATGATACAGAGCAAGGAAATCCTAGCAAGAGGATGCTGGAACTTACCTTAGTCTACTGGGAACGCCGAATACGGGACGCTTATGCTCCTGGCCAAGCATTTGGATATGTCGATTGGAGCCTGATTGCATGGTGGAACGAAATCCCTAACCTCCCGATGTTGTTCCAGGATCACCATAATGAGCTTCAGGAAAAGCTCATGCATCTATGGAAGGCTGAGGGTCTCACCGAAATGACGGAGTATTGTCTTCGACTGGACTTGAAGGCTGGTCGGTTACCGCTAGCACGAGAGGAGAAGCTCCGGCAAACGGTAATTAGGAGTCGTCGAATGCTAGGGTCCATGGATCCCCTCCTATTGGAAGCTTGTATATGCGGGAACGTGGCATCATTGGCGGAGAACCAAGGTAGCATCGTGCAGAAGGAACTGCGATCCATAGCCGCCAGGGACGAACTCACGCCTGGCACTTATGCAAATTTCTTCACAGATCATTCGGGCACGGCTCTGACCCCGGCACAATTGCGTGTCGTCATGATGAGCATGAGACGTTACTTGAACTTATCGGCTTCCACCCCCGATCTCGTGTGGATCTGGAGGATTGATTGTCTCCATTTCCCGAAGAAAGACTGGCTACAACATCACGTGCATCAAGGCTTACGCCGGTATACGGACTGGAAATCACGAGACCCCAAACACCCCGATAGACATTTCAAGCTTGACGAGAAAAGGAGGGAGGTCCTGTTTCATTTCATAAGGGAAGTGGAGACGATGATTGCCGTGTCCGAGGCTGCTGGACGACTGCATGTTCCATGTGCGAGACCTCTCACCGAGGTAGGCTACGCCAAACGTCCCAGTCACAGACTAAAGAATCATCATGCAAAGCATGTACAGTCCAATTACATCATGAACCTGTTCCATGCTCTCATGATGGACTCATTCGGTAGAGACTTCAGAATCCAACAAGTCATCCTCTATTCCTGTTGGAGACCCGGTCAAGCCTGGCTGAGCGAGGTTATCCTGACCAGAATGCTTCAGGCATACACAGATGGAGGCAAGGGACTAAGTCACTACCAGGCTGGTCTTTCAAATTGGTCGGCCACCCGCTATGTCGATGACGAAGTATGGTACAGAATCGTAGAGGAAGCTGATGTCGCCGACCGTTTGGACCAGAGTTACAACGTGGAAGTTGAAGAACAAAAGCAGCGTATAGAGACCTTGGAACAGCGGAATGCCAGGTCAAGAGCATTGTATGGTCCCGTTCCGTATCTCATTCAAGGGGAGAACGGTAAAGCTGTACTTGAGCTACTGGACATGATTCACGAGTACCTGAAAGGTGTCCAGGATCGTGCCGAAGAGTCTGAACGAAGGTCTAGTTGGTCAGGAGTGAAGAGGAAGGACAGGAGTGAACGAAACCTCTATATCCATCGCGTACTAGCAAGCCGGATCCAGGCGTTTCGCAGATATATAGCTTTAGCAGAGCTAAGCCGCACGAGCAGATATATAGCTTTAGCAGAGCTAAGCCGCACGAGCAGAAGCTTCAAACTGAAGATTTCCCCATCCTCACGGCAAGGCTCTCAGTCGCCCCTAATAGAAGATCAGCTTTGGCAACGCCTCAAGCTTTGGAACAAACGACTTTTGACTTACCAATCCCCTGCCAGTATCCTCCCTTTCCCTCCCTGATGCACATTGCAGTAATGGCAGTCGCGGCCTCCCAGATGTTATACCAGTTGGCGAACTGCCGAGGCAGACTCCCCGTAACTTCGAGTACGCATATCGGGGCTTTCGGACTGACTGTCAGCGTAGCTCTGTTGTAGATTAGATGGGGGAGATGGGATATGTACTACCTTCGGTTGGGGCAGTATAGTATGCAGGAAGCGAAACTTCCAGATTCGGGTCATGGATATCCTGCTGTGCAAAGATTCTTACTTGTTTAGAAGCCTCCATTCGGTCCACAATGGCCCCACAAGCGTTGAGAACCGTGGCTTCACGCGGGTACGGTTGCGCACTACACACCACTCCAGGAACAAACTTTGCGACTCTTACAGCGAGATTATCACCGCTTCCTGGATGTCCATCATCAGCAAAATGGGCGACCGCCCGGATCCGAGCGCGAGAGCTTGCGACTGCCACCTACCGAGATTATTTGTAACACCGCCTTGTGCTGGACCGCCACCCACACACTGGCGAATGACATAAGCTGCAGCAATGCCTGCTTCAGCCGGCTTTACGTGAGCTACCATTTCACTGTGCAGTTGCATAGGCTCAATATAGCATGTACCATCGGCTTTACAATACCGTCAGCATAGCACCAAAGGCATGGACGGATGTCGTAACCTACAGCTTAAATACCGTTTTGGAAGCCCCACATCATACGTGTTCGCTGCGTCGCGAGGCCCAAAACGAAGTATTCTCTTGGTGATTGGAAGTAGTGTCCATGCCTCTAAGCAGCTTGAGGGACTCATGCCGGTGCCGAATCCTGTACTGCACACAATTCCCCATCCGCGGGGTAAAGGAGGTAAATCAGGCGCTGGGCGAGGTCCAGCGGCAATATTGAACGTTGAGATGTATGTATCGTTCCATAATTGAGATGGGTCATTAGATGAAGGAGACGAGAGTGATGTGTTGAACTCATGGAGTGACAACGCAATGGTACCATCCCATTGTTGGGGCATAGTACTTGACGAATTGGATAGGTGAGAGGCGTTGGCCGCCGCACGGAGCCCGTTTGGTAAAGCTACATCAGCGGCTGAATCGGGCTGTGCCGGTAATATTGGTCGAATAAGCTGCAGACCAAGTGCCGAGATAGTAATGGATTTGAGTAAGGCGAGCTGAACAGGTAGCATGACTTAGCAGTGGGCGCGTCACCGTGATAGCGGTATGCCAGACCTTTTTCATAGGAGAGAGAAAGACAACAAGGGCCAAGCACGAAAAATTCATATACTGTCGTTGCCGGTAGGTTTGAACACGTCATGCGGATGGACCAAGCGCGGCGCATAGAGTGAAGATTTTCATGCGGCGTTGGAAACAATTGAAGCGCGTGGCATGCGACGAAACGTTCATAGCAATGATTCGTAGCAAACGGGTACAAGACATGGGTTTAGAGTGGTAGCAGCAAATAAGTGCAGAAGGACTAAATTCGAGCAGCCTGCCTCTCGGAGAGAAACGCGGGACCTAGCTTTGATCATGTGTTATAACTTGTGTCTTGCTTCCGGCATTCCACCCATCCTATGCGGACTTTCGACTGCGGTACATATAAACTTCGACCACCTCCAACTCTTGCCCAGTCTCGCTTCTATACCGATCAGGTAGCGGAATAGCAGTATGCTCAGCCTCGGCAAACTCGGCACCTACCATCAACTCAAAGAAAATGGCTTCGCTATCATGTCGAACTTTCATGGAGACAACAACCGAAGCATTTGGGGAATTTATGGCGATCGAGCTCAATGTCTTTACAAGCCCGGGTATGCTGTCGGGGTTGTACGTGCAATCAGACACGATCACGAGATCCAACCGCTGTTTTGCAACCCTTTCAGGAAGCGGTTCATCCCAGTTTAACACCGCGGTAGCAATTTTGCCCCTGTTGGAGACGAACCTCGCATGTTCGACATTGTGGTTCAGAACATCCATTGCCTCCGGTAGATCGGTCAAGAGGACGTCACTTGTGGAGCAGAGGTCCGCAACTTGTAAACCAACGAGACCACACCCGCTTCCCAGTTCCAGTATCCTGAGACCACGAGGGGTAGTTCTCTGGAGGAGCTTGGCGAGATCAGACGTCGGCCTTGGTTGTAGAACAAGTGTGCTTAGGAAAGCAGTCAATGCGATTCCCGCGTCCCTAGTAGCGTCTGTCAGATGACCAAATCGTAGCAATTAGGACGTGAGCAGCGAGCTCACCAGATATGTCGGGCAATACTTTCGCCAGTCTCTTCCAATACCGCTCTTTCATGGCCCGAGTCCGTTCTGTACCTCCTCTCAACCACATTGCTGGCTTGACTCTTCTCCCAGTCGAATGTATCGCTCCACACGCTGAGGATCTCAAAAATGTTCTCTAATAATAAAGTGTTCCCTTGTCTACTCTGTTCCGAACTCACAACAAGCCGCAAATCCACCGATGGACCGGCGTCTAGATTAACAATGTCGATCCACAAAGTTCGCATGCCGCTTTTCCATTTCACAGTCTGCCAGCCTGGCATCCAATCCTCTTCGTACTCAGTCGTCACGATTATGGCGTGGAGGGTAAGATCTGCTGGGTAGAAGTCATCGCCGAGGTCGGTGGTTACGGTGATGAGGGCTCGGACATGGCCTTTCTGGTCAAGCTTGGGGGATTTCAAGAAGCGGATGTACCAAACCATGGAGGGTGGTCAGTCTCTAACGAAAACGATAAACCATGAAATTCTTTCGACCAATCTTTCAGACGATCAAGACAGGATGTTTCTTAGCACTGATACCTTTGAACAAATACGGTGTTCTTTTCGGGACGCATATCTCGTAAAGCTTTGGGGGAAATGAAGAGTTAACCGACATAAATCTAAGACCGCTATTCCTTCGAAGTATTGTTGCACAGTAGACTCCACTCGTAAATTATATTTAGGAGTCTAGGATCCTGAGAAGGTGCCGACTGCCGTCCGTATCTAGTGTCGGGACGAAGATACTGGCCGCCGTAGCTGACGCTGGCGGGGTGAAATTCGGTGGGGGGTGGCTAAGTTTCACCTCGTCCGGGGTAGGTACTAGCAAATCCTCTCGGGGTGAAATTAATTCGTCGCGATTGGCTCGGGGTACTTACATATATAAGTTTGTCTTTATACTGTTGTATTTTTTTTTCTAATTTTTTTTATTTTTATGAATTATTTATTGATCAGTAGCCTGCCTAGTGATACCCTTGTTGGCCCCGCTCTTGGCTACTTGTACAAGGAACGAGGGGAAGACATAATCTTTCCGTCTTTTGCTTCCATCTATGGTTACACGGGTGTCGACCACGCTTAAAGCTGGCACTCTGGTGCTGCATTGATCACATCCTCCTCGCGAAGCTGCTCACTTCAGAACTCCACATATTGAATTGCATCCAAACGCCAAACCTCCCTATCTCGCGATCCTATATTTCCCTCTCCTTTGCTCCTCCATCAAGCTTTGCTCCTGACTCGGCAGCGGTCCCCTCCTCCTAACACCTCCGGCTCCAGGTCCCAATCCATCAGTGTCGATACCTGGCAAGCCACCAAAGCCACTGGGGGGCGGAGGAAGCGGCATTCCAGGAGGTGGCTGGAAGCCTGGCGGTAGTAGACCGGGAGGTAGTTTCGACATATCGAAGTTCGGAGGCGGTGGTGGTAGGCTACCGCCAAACTGCGGAGGTGGAGGAGGTAGAGTTCCGCTTGCAAGCATTGCTTTGAACTGTTCGGGGTCCATCCCTGCGAGGCCGTTTGGAAGATTGGGAGGTGGAGGGGGTATGTTTGGTATGTTTGGGTATCGTCGGGCTGGAGGTCCATCACTTGTGCCATTAGTGGGCATATTGAGGCCTGGAATACCAGGCAGGACGGGCTGCTTGACGGGCATCTTTTGATCCTGCAGCCCGTCCGCCTCGTCTTCTAATTCTTGCTCTTCCTCTTCGCGCATCACCTTTCGTCCGCCTCGTCGGTCCCAGGCTCCTTGCGTTTCTGTGGCCGCATCGCCCAGGTGGTATTTGTCGTTGAAGCAATCCGTTTCTCCCGGCCTTGGGCGTGTCCAGAAACGTGTCGCACGGTCATTGGACCCTGAGGCTAAGATGTGGCCCAGAGGGTGCCAATCGATGGACCAGACCGCAAAGTCATGCGCGTATTTGATCGAGTGGGCTGGATATATCGTTTGCGCGGGAGCGCTAGTTGGGTCTGCGCTGTCGTAGGGAGGTAGAGACGTCGATGCCGCCACGCCAGGTGGTGTATTAGGTTCGTCAAGAAGGAAGTGGCATATGCTGCCATCCGCGCCACCAGTGGATAGTAACGAGCTGTGGATAGGGTGCCAAGCTAAAGTCGCGATCTTGTCCTGGTTACCTCGGAGGAGGCATATGTCCCGCATCATTCGTAGGTCAAATATACGAGCTGTTTGATCCTGCGCCGCCGTAGCGAGCAATTGCCCTCTGTTCGGCTCGAACTTCGTCCTCGAGATAGTGTTCTTATGCCCGTGGAGCGTAGTGAGACATCTGCCAGTCCGCGGATCCCACAACTTCACATCATGATCTTTTGATCCAGAAACGAGCAGGCCTTTGGAAGGATGCCAGTCCACGGTCTTGGCGTCCCAACTGTGGCCTGCAAGCACAGACTCTTCGGTGCCTCCAGCGAAATCGAAAATCTTGAGGGTTTTATCATCGGATGCGGTCACGAACTTGCTGTCATTGGGTGAGAAAGCGAGATCACGAACGGCGTCATTGAACCCGTGGGCTTGAACTACTTTGACATTGTTAAACGTAGGCTGCCAATACTTTACAACACCATGCTGCTCTGAGGAAATGAGCCAATCTTCGCCGTGTGACCATGCCGCTGCTCGCACGGCGCTGTCATGTGCCTAAGAATCAAACGTTAGCCGTATCTACCAAATCACCATGTGAGACATCACCTACCTGTGAGATTGTCTCGAAGTTGAAGCCCATGCCATTCCATAGCGTAAACTCTCCAATGCTCGAGCCTGTCAACAGTCGTCGGCCCTCGGGTGTCCATTTCACGACGTTGATTGGATGCTTGACTTTGTTGAGAGAAGAGTGTAGGAGTTTCGCAGGTACGGCATCGGCGGCGTTTTGGAGCTTTGCAGAAGGCGGGAGCATCTATTCAATGGGAGGGGTCAGAACTTGTTTGATTTGCTTGTAGCTTGGATTCTCGTGCAGCTACATACATCGACTATGTAGCTTGGGCTTGGCCTCTCCCTCTCCATACGCCCTCCTCCCTTGTATCGGGGTTGCCGATGTCGCATCCATTGTACCATCGAAGAGGTGTAGTCTGTGACGGGCCCTGTTCCGGAATCAGTGCACGCCATTGCAAAATGTTAAAGTACGTGAGCTCCAGCAAGTGGACTTGATGCGCAAGGTGTGGGGTGATTCACTGACTTCTTCCAAAGGGCCGACGATGAGGACCATCGTATCCGCCTCCACCTCCGAGTCCTCCCCCTCCATAGCCACTGCCATGATATTCCCTGTCCATGACTACCTTGTATGGAAGGTCATAGTGAAAGGCACTATTATGATAGCTAATGTGACAGTAGGACCTACTTAACTTTAGCACTCTGAGCTGCAGAAAGCTTGTTTGACGCGACAAGCGCGCATGCTTGTAAAGTACGGCATCCGGGCATAATTCGGGAGATCTGCAAGTGACGTGCGTGCCCCAACCCGGAAAATGTTGTGCATGACAGTTCAAGAACAACATAACAGCGGACATTCCACCGCTTGATATGTTTGTCTCCCTTTATCAGCCATGTCTTGCTTACTGTAGACTCAGATAGGTTAATTGTCCAGAAAATTCTAGTACTCGCTATTATAGGTCCCTCAGAGAAAGAGCTCCCATTTTCGGAACGCTAAGGAAGCATTTGCTTCAATGGCAGCAATTGCTCGCACCTTGAGCCCACCAGAGATAGCAAGCCATGATGCAACTCCAGCTCACGCCAACGGGAGTGTTCTCTCAAGCAATTCGAGTCCCGTCAATGGAAATGCTACTGGCCCCATTACGAGGGATATTTCGTCCAAGTACCGACACATCGCTGCAGTTCACTCGAGAGCCCGCACTTCCTGCTTGAGTCGTGACGCAGAATTAACACCTAGTTTTCTTGGTTTCAAAAATCTAATGGTTATTGTATTAGGTACGTACTTCATGACTGTCAAAAGCTGCGACCCTTGCCGGAAGTACCCAAAACGGGCTAACCAAGACTTCGTGCAGTTGTAATGAATCTACGACTGGTCGTTGAAAATTTCATGAAAGTAAGGGAGTTCATGTCTATGCTTTGCTTGATGCGACCCTGACAGCATCTTCAGTACGGAGTTCTTATATGTATACGCTGCCATGATTATCGCCGGCAAGACATACTTCTCGGTATTGTTCTCTACCTGCTCGTTCCTTGCCATCTCTTCGTCGCTTATATCATCGAACTTGCCGCCGCACACCAAGCCAAAGGTGCCCTTGGTCGTGCCAAACGGCATTCGGAGGATCCTCCGGACAGCGCACAAGCCGCTAAGAGCTTCCGAACAACATGGCTTACCATTGCTTGGGCCCACGGCATCAACGCCACCCTTTCCCTTCTCGTCACAAGCCTCACGGTGTACAACTTGATCCATCATCCCCTCATCGGCACCATCTCGGAGGTGCATGCCATCATTGTCTGGCTCAAGATCTGTTCCTACGCTTTTACAAATCGCGACCTACGTCATGCCCTCCTGAAAGCCGACTCTGCATCCTCTATCCCAGAGCTCTACTCCGTCTGTCCTTATCCAAGGAACATCACCCTCAGCAACCTATCCTACTTCTGGTGGGCACCAACCTTAGTCTATCAACCCGTCTATCCCCGCACCTCTACCATCCATTGGCCTTTCATTGCCAAGCGCCTCGCCGAAGCTACCAGTCTCAGCATTTTCATTTGGCTCGCAAGCGCCCGTACGTACAAATCCGAGCTGATCCTTCCTATTTGATATGGAGCTTGAGTCACAAGACATGCTTCGGGGGCAAAGGGACCTTTTCACTCCCGAGACCTGTCTAGCAACTCCCAATTTCTGCCGTGAAGAAGCAATGCTGACCTCGAAGTCTGTATAGAATACGCCGCACCACTCCTCCATAATTCTGTTTTCAAGATCGCCTCCCTTGACCTCCCTTCCATTCTCGAGCGCCTGATGAAGCTTTCCACTATCAGTCTAGTAATTTGGCTAGCCGGCTTCTTCGCCGTTTTCCAATCCGTGCTCAATGCATTGGCGGAAATTATGAGGTTTGGCGACCGAGAATTCTACACGGAGTGGTGGAACAGTCCGAGCGTTGGCACTTATTGGAGGACCTGGAACAAGCCTATCTATCATTTCATGAAGAGGCACATCTATGCGCCGTTGGTGGGGAGGGGGTGGAGTTCGAATGCCGCGAGCGCCTGGGTTTTTGTGTTTAGCGGGGTACTGCACGAACTGTTGGTAGGGGTGCCAACGCACAATATCCTTGGTATGTTCGACTCTCATGATCTCTTGTGACCTTGTCTACCGCTAGAGGGGAGAGGCTGACCAAGCCCTGTTTCAAGGTGTCGCGTTCATCGGGATGATCGTGCAGATACCGATGATTTATTTTACATTGCCGCTGGAGAGAATGGAAGGTATATATGGAAAGCTGTTAGGGAACTGCATTTTCTGGATCAGCTTCTGTCTTGTAGGTCAGCCGCTGGCCGCGCTGTTGTACTTCTTTGCATGGCAAGCCAAGTATGGTAGTGTGAGCAAAAATCAAATTTACTCGATGTGAATGCAGGGTTATTCCATCATGCAGCAGAACGACTGGACAACGACAACCGAAGAAGTTGTAGTGTGGTAGAATTCATAACGTGAACATGCGAGGATTACGTGAGGAAGCTGAAATCCTTCCACTCTAAGCGAGATACAAAGGGGTTGAAAGGCCTGGGAAGAAACCACCATCTCGGGCCCAGATCCTTCACCTGTTATCTATTGCAACTTTTTCGATCTACTCGATCCAGTTCTTGAAACCATCGCGGATCCTACCAAATTCTCACTTCTACCCGCCCCCGGCTTGATTTACTGAGCTATCTATGATTCTCATACCTCTACTTCCGTTCAACTGAATCTCTTCAATTTCGATATCGGCATCGACCAAGATGACATCGGCCTCAAAATGTGATGTGATGTGCACCAGTGTTCGAATTGCTCAAAAAGTACAACCCATATTTGCAAGGCCTGCAAAGCGATGCCCAACGCCACCGATGGACAAGTTTCAAGCGCATGGTACTCCGGGGCGGAATGTCAAAAGGCCCACTGGACTGAGCACAAGGCCCGGTGTAAAGCTGCGCAGGCGCGACAAGCTTTGTATCGTGCCGGGGGAATGGCGCAGCAGATTTTCTATCTGTACACCAAAACCATCTACATGTGATATCCTGGGCGGATTGAAAAAACTGGAACAACTTGGCTTATACATCCCGGAGTCTACACCGGTACAAGCCAACTGATGTCATTCCCATATGAGAGAGTCCCAGACGTGCATGACCAAGACGCGCTCCTGACCTATCAAAGCCGCAGTACAGCTGTCTCGGAGATGCACCATATTGTCAAAATTCTGCTCAGAGGTAAGGCGTCATCAGACTACTTCGATCAAGCTTCACACTGACCGGAGCTAGGTCTCTACCCCAAAGTCGACGAAGTCAGTCGCTTTCTCAAGGGCGCCGTCCTTAGCAATGCCGGCGGCCGCGTCAATGCCGACGCCTTGAGGAGCATCATGGTGCTTGACAGCATGGCGGGAGTGGGCACTGTGATGGTGGTTTACCCTACTGGTGACACGATCCCATCCATCCTTCCTCCTACCTGCATACACCCTGGCAGAAAAAGCTGACCGGAATCGCGTGTCGGATAGATGGCGGCCGGGCACAAATCACCGACGACATGCTTAAGATGAAGCTTAAAGAGCGGGTGGGTTTGGAGAAAGAGTAAAAGGCGAATACGATGGACTTTGGAGTGATGAAGAAGTAGATCTTAACTTTCTCGTCTTGCGATGATTTCGGGTGCTGATCGAGGTTATTTGCAGTATGAAATAGTCCCTCGTGGACGATATGGACGCCCTCAAAGCGTCACCATATCGCAAGAAGGGCTTGACGGTTTTTGGCTTCCTTTTTGATATCATTAAGGGTACGGTCACAGACGTTGAGGATTTGTGATTGGACGATTCTGTGGGGAAGAAGCCGGCGTTATGTGGAATATGCTTCTTCAGTCAGCAGATTCCTTTTGCTCAAAACGGTTGGAGATCAGACTCGAGTATTCAGCGTGACGTTGATATGTATAACTCAAGACTGGTACGGATCGTCCCCAATTTACCAGGCAATTGATCCTGCTTATCTATCGTCGATATTGGGCCAGTAATTTTCTTGTCTCTGACCCGGCTAGCTGATCGATCGCCCACGCAATCATCTCGCATTGTAGCGACACTCGACTCCCGCTTGCCGACGGACCGAACCTGCTTTATACAGACAGTTGAGACATAATACTAAAGTGTCACATCACCACAACATGACACTTCTAACTTTCTCCATTATCGTCACAGTAGACTAGAGACCGTCGATGGCGCACAGGAAGGTTTGCAGGCCCTTCATCCTGCTTTTCCTCCTTCTCCGAGCCCATGCCATCGTCACGTTGGCAATCTCCCCCACGAACCCCGTGTCTTTGCTCAACGACACGATGATAGCTCCAGCGTCAACGCCACTTGCAGGACTCATCTCTCAGAACGCGACCTCACCGAGCCTCAGTCAAAACATGATCGACTACCGCATCGTCGGCACGCCCCTCGTCCTCCGCATCACCGAAACCGGTCAGACTTTCAGCCAACGCTCTGTGAACCGAGTCATCGACGCCGCCATCCGCCGCATCGTTGGGAAAATCAACAGCGGCGCTGGAAGCAAACCCATAGACGGGGGCAGGTTCTGGCAGTTGTCTTCCGATATAGAAGTGCGCTTTGACGCGATATCGGATGGGCAACTTACGTATTTCTTGTTGGGTAAGCAATTTCCCCGTTGGCGGTGGTGATTTTCTCGACAACAGAGGATCTATTACGCGGCAGCAATCATTGTTCTATTCATCTCTGATGTCCCTGCTTGCCCAGCCTGCATCGTATCCCAAGCTCCATTCCGGCGAACGAAGTGCTGATTCCCGAAACCCTCGCAGGCGATGCCATTGCAGGAGCCTGGCAGTACATGAACGAGCCATGGAGTAGCTTTCGGGAAATCGTCTTTGATATAGTGCTTGCTGGCAGAGGTTGGGACTACATCGGGTATGGCCGTTTTGCCAAGTACGGGCCCTTTCCTCCTCCTCCTTCACCTCCTGGACCATCTTCTTCTTCTTTAAGCCGGAGCACAAACCCTGCGCCGAACGATATCGAGTAGAGAGTCGCGATAGAGGGGTGTCCTGGAGAGGCGAGTGCATGAAAGGGACTCTCCATTCACCGTGGGCCTTTGCAGCCATCACGTGGTGTATAGCCTAGACTTAGGAAGGAATATCCTTGCGACTGGGGTAACACGGACAGCTTGTGATTCATTAGGTGAGATTCCTTGATGGAACCGATAGTCAGATGTCATGGAGGCGGAGCAGGAAACGTAGATGGTTCAAAGGGAAATATGGTAACACCGCCTTGTCTGCTCGGCGGTAAGTCTGTAATCCTGACCACGAAGTCCAACCTTTGCGAGTTAGAAACTCAATTCAGGAGGTACGAACGCTACCCCTCCGATCTGCCATGAAAAGACATGGATTTCTGATCTTACAATCATAGCGAAGGAGTGACGTGTCAGGCAGGAAGTCGGAATCTTAATTTGTATGGAGCTCAGAAGGTCGTGCAGGGTCCAGGAACCTAAGAATGCCCTTCCGAGTTGATCGCGGGCGAATTACTAATTCATACCCCGAAAGTATGGATCCTTACCGAATCATACCCCTAATTACTAAATCATACCCCTACACCAAATTTCACCCAAATATGGGGTATGATTCGGTAATTTGCCATTGCTTGGGGTATGATTTGGTAAGGATTCGTACTTTCTACAGTGGTCTACTTGAGTAGCCTACTTATAGATACACCTAGGTGCCTATTAGAAATTATTCCTTTAGGGCCCCTACGGAGGCCTAAATAGGGGTGTCTGTAGCATAAAGTGTAGGATAACCTGGGTATTTAAGAGGGCCCCGGAAGCGTTTTCGGGGTAGTGAACTGTTAGTAGCGGCCTCTACGGGGGCCCTGCGAAGGCCCTGCGGGGGCAAATATTTAGGTCCAAATAGGGGTGTTCTGGCTGTTAAGCGTAGACACCCCCGGGACCAGCCTTTTTAGCTGAGTTGCTAATAATAGTGTCTACAACAGTACGCTTTACAGCCAGAACACCCCTATTTGGACCTAAATATTTGGCCCCATAGGGCTTTCGCAGGGCCCCCGTGGGGGTCGCTGCTAATATGAACCCCGTAAACCTTAAAGCGCAGGGTGTGATTTGGCCTTCGAGCAGTCGAAATTGCCCCCACTCGACTTTCATCTGATGTTTTCAGACTGATAGAATTCTCATCAAATACGGTTGGAGAAAATCCCTTACTTCTATGGTCAGACAGGCCAGATCGCGGATTATCTCCTTCGTAGTTTGAGGCCATTTTGATAACTTATCGAATCATACCCCAAGCACTGGCAAATTACCGAATCATACCCCATATTTGGGTCGATTTTGGTGTAGGGGTATGATTCGGTAATTAGGGGTATGATTCGGTAAGGATCCATACTTTCGGGGTATGATTCGGTAATTTGCCCGTTGATCGCCGTCAGCTAAGCATATGGGCAGCCTTGTTCTATGTTGTATGAAATAGAATGGTATCGAGATTTGGCCCCCACAATTCCCAGCCACCTGGATTTGTCCGGAGAAATCAATCCGTCTGTTCTACACAACGCACACCCGATATTTCAACAAATGGTACGTGATATATAGAAATGCCAAGACACGCTAGTCCCTCTCCCCTAAACATCACCTTTCTCCGCCCGTCTACCTACGAGAGGCACCCCGCGCCTTACCACCTCGATCTCTTCTTCCCATCCCGCAATTTCCCAAAGGCATCACTCCTCCCTCGTGCGATCCGCCCTCCAGACATGCCGCCCAAGTAGGTAGAGTGAGTGAGTGAGTGGGAAGAAGGCACCGACGAGACCCCGAACCATGCGGGCGCAGCAAGGCAATCGACCTACTCCCCGTAGATGCGACTTGCACGGATACATCCAGATCCAAAGTTAGGTGCAACGTCCTAAAAGTGAACGTTCGTGCATGCAAAGGATCCGAATCGCGATAAGCGATATACACATTATATATGCGCGTGCCTTGTTTCGCCCCCCCCCCTTTCGTCTGTTCTTGTACCCGCATTATCACTGAATCAGAAGTCCTGTTGTTCTTTCTTGCCTCCTCTGGAATTTTCGAATCCGGAGGCTTGGTCCACACCATTTCCAAAGGCCTTCGTTAGGAAGTCGATTTTCATTTGTGTGCAGCAAACGCGTCGCATGTTGGCAAGAAAGAAAAAGAGAAAGGAGCTCCAGTCGAGCTCTCCAACAACATCACCATGAACATCTTGCCGGAATGCATCCTCCCTATCCTACTCACAACATTCCTTGTCGCCAATAGTATAAACGCATCTCCCATCAATAATGCCCTTGACCTCCTATCCCTCGCCGCCACCACCACCCCTCCTTCCAACCTCACCCTCCCCATCCCCATCCTCGGCGACCCCTACTCCTGCTTCGACGCCTACCTCTTCAACGACCGCCGCGCCAAAGTCAGCGACTGCACCCGCGCCGCCGCCTTCCTGCCCAACCGCCACGAACCCGGGACGTTCCACCGCGGCGACTCGGACGCCGATCCATTCGCCCTACCTTACGTGGAGACCTACCACTCCTGCTCCGTCAAGGTCGATCTCAAGTTCGGAAGGCCCGACGAAGGGTCGTGGCTCAGTGTCAATATCGCGGTGAAGAAGATTATAGAGGCTTGTATGGTGGGGCAGTATCCGATCGGGCAGACGGGTGGCGTCACGACGGCGGGGACTGAGGGCAGGATTGCCGTTACGGTGGGGAAGACGCAAGCTGTGTTGGGATTGGGGACGAATGAGACGGGTCTTCGTGGTTCGGATTGATTGTGTGCATCACGGAGTTGTGGGCGTGCGTCGTTCAAGAGCAGAGGCCGAGACTTTTTCTTCGGTCAGCTTTTTTCACACAATCGTTCGATTGGTATTCGCGCCATGAGTCGGTGGCTGAAGCACAAGATGGACGCCGAGTTTGCAAAGTTGGGTCTGTGATTGCAGAGGAGATGTTGTATACACGAAATGCCAAGATCCAAATCAATCGCATATTCCGATCTAAAAGGGGAGCGCATGCGTGCATGCAGTGACACTGAGATGATATCGTGAAAATTCCCTGGCGCCGTAATCCTGAACACAAAATCCGGGTAATCTTATTTTTTCAAACTTTCATTCGAACCCGTAGTCACTCGATCTGAGTGCTCTGGATTACTTCTGGGAAAATCGATGTTCTCGTGAAGAATTCAAACCGAAAGCCAAAGTGCTTTACCTACTCCCTTTACGTCCCATTGAGCCATTTGCAAGAATAACCTTTCACAGGCAATGAAGACTGAGAGCGCATATGCGAATACCGAGACTCACCGGGCAGTTAAGTATTGTGTATTACTCACTCTTCGCTTGTCGGTTAGATACCTAAGCGGTAGACCATGTCTTTCATTTGGCGGCTGGTTTAATAATGGTTTCGTGACTCTTTGCTGGTAGCCTCACAGACTCCGTGGGAACATAGAAGTCATGCTGCTCTGCGTCCGGGTTCTATGGATCTCTCCGAGCCGTATCGCATCATCAGAGCTTGCCCCCACTTGATCTACCCTACTTTTCAGATGCGTCCCGCAGCCTCCTGCAGTATGTAAATCTGCGGGTTTAATGGGTTTCAAAACTCAGCCCCGCGTTCGGATCAAGCCGAAATGGATCGTTGCCGGTTCTTGACCCCCACATGATCTACCTTCAATTATTGTGTCCTCCAGCCTCCTGCAGTAAACATTTGCTGAAACTTGAATGCAAGATCTCGGCCTGCGTTGTGGCTCAAGCCGAAAAGGGATTGCCGTGCCAATCGATGATTGAGGCCACTGTCGGTTAGGCAAACATATAAGGTAGGTTGCGTCATGCATATGTACGAGGTTACTTTAGCTTTCAAGAGAATTCAATGTAAGCGATCGATGGATGCGATGGAATGACACAAAACCTGCGTGAGACCCGGGTGTCGAGGGTGGTTTCGAAAACAATACTGATGTTATCCCCAAGGAGATAGGATCTCTGGCCCACTCTGTCCCCCAAGTTACTTGAAAGATGCACACAAGTCGGTTCTCCAGACTCGCCATCGCCATAGCGACAGCAGATGTCGCAGCCGCAGCAGTACTTATGACGACTCCAGTCAATCCACCTTTGCCACTGCAGCCACGGGATCTGGATCTTGTGCAGCCGAGCGCGCTTGAACCAACACCAAATCAGTCCAAGCTTACGGGCTTTGATCTTGTGCAAGCTGGCACGCTTGCCCGACCAAGCACAAACGCGACCATCGGTCAATGGGTAGTAGCCAATCCCCCAGAAGACATCGCCAATCAAAGCTCGTTGTTGCTGCAGAAATGTGTGGGTAACATTGACAACGTGGATGTTTCGGCTCTCAACGTCTCGGATTGGTCTTGCTCACTGCCCGCCAACCTGGTCGCCCGAGATGGGCCAGGGCGGAGACTGCCATACGAAGTCGACAATGTAAGGTCGCTGGCACACTTGCGTACACCTCGGTACAACACTCTTTATACCAAGACATGGTCGGTGACATACGAGGATGCCGATGGCAACGGATACAATATTACCTTTCCTGCAGGACTCTGTCCCGACAACGTCATCGGCGATATCGAATCCCCGTACCGCGGAGAGATGGTATACAACGCAACCTTACTATCCTTGTATCAGTCTCTCATAGGGCTGTCGCCGGAAAGGCTGTACAACTACACTATGACCATGTTGGAAGCGGAATTGGCGAACTTGTATGCCGCGCTCGACGCCATCATCTGCGATCCGCCGATAGGAGGATCGAGAGCGCTTTTGCAGCGATACCGGCCCCAAGACATGACCGGAAAGATCACCTTGATCCTGGTCGGCAGGGTCGGAGGTTTTGCCATGGTCTTCAGTGCTCTCGTATCCGCGATCGCACACGAAGGCCTCACGGTCCATGTTCCGGCAATTGGAAATGTTTTACTTGTCGCAGCAGTCGGTGCCATTGCTGCGGCGTTTGAAAGATTTATCAACAGACGCAGGCAGAGGGGCGATGTACAGGTCATGGAGGCCTATATCGCGAACGCGTTTGTTGCCGCGGCGGCACAGATCCGACTGCATGCCATTGTGATTTGGTCGATGGCGTGCACGACTAGTGAGATCATCTTGGAGAATATCAAAAAGTTGTTGGCCGGTAATGCGGATGGCATACCACAGGCCGTGGCGCGGCCGGATGGGAATGCTGATGATGTTGCCATTGTTCCGCAGAATCGTGAGGGGCCGCTGGCTAGGATTGGCCGTTTCTGCTCGTAGGGTTTAATAAGAGACCCAGCTAGACTTTGTCGAGGTCGGACTGAATTGAAGTGGAGTTTACGCACAAAATGAACTTCTCTTTGCCAAAAAAAAGCATTGACGTAAAATTTGAACAGCGAAACTTTAGAGCCAGGCTCAAGATGAAGAGCAAAGCGGAGAACCACTGCTGCGAGCGATGGTGAATGTCCTACTCGTCACCCCTGGCACCATATCTTGTTTCGCCCTCGCTATTTCCTAGGTTACTCAAGAGTGTCTTCCTTGGGGGTTGAGGGTAAAGCGGCGAAAGCGGCTGTACTTGGTCAAGGCGTCGCAGCCAGTAGAAGTGGTTACAGCCAACCCATCACCCACGAGGCCCGAAACGTTTACAGAACAGAGGCGTCTGGAACAGGAAGGTAATAGCGACAACAAGCCTTCAGCGATTCGCGGACAACTGTCTCCGTCAGGGTCGATCCTGACCACGAAGTCCAAAGGAAAGCCTTCACAAAACCTCATCCAGGAAAGTACAAACGGCGGCGGTGCGAGCTTGACCGGGTCGCGGTTGTCACCTCCGTACGGACGCCAACGTTTGCAAGGAGGAAAACCCGGAATAGGAAGGTAGTACCTTCGATCCAAGGGTCTGTTGTGGTTCGGCCGGCCGGCCGGAATCTGACGGTGTGTCAGCAAATGCCCACCTGCGGGCGCCAAGCTGCGGGTCTGACAACGAGGTTCATCAATTGCGAGGTTCGAAACCTCGGACGGGAATGTCCTGCCGAGCTGATTCCATGACTGGACCTTGAGTGTGGCAGCCTGCAGTTCGAATGTCAACAGGTGCGAGGTCCGAAACCTCAGGTAGGAAGGTAGCATTGACAGGGCTGTCGATGATTCGCTCTCAAGCCTTGCGGGCGCGATGCGGGCGCCAGCGGATAGGCGGTCCTTTGCTGGCCTCTGACGTGAGATGACAGAGAACCCAGAGCTGTTTGAATTAGGCAGGGAGTAGACGTAGCTAAAGGAAGTCCTCGAACATGTGAGACATTGATCGTCATCGAGACAAAAGAACAGGTCAAAAGCTTCATAGTCACGGTGGTAAGATGCCTTATTCTTCAAGACTAATATTAATAATACTTGATTTGCAGCCAATTGACCAAGATTAACTGTCGTCACCTGCGTTGCCCGGCCGTTGAGATGAATCATTTGTACACGCTAAATCCATTGCTGCATAAAGGAGAAAATTTTGGTATCGACATCCAGTATGAAAAGAGATCCGTTCTTTTTATGAGAACACCGTAAATCAGCTGAGGTGATAATAAATTGGTCTGCCATGCGATGCTGAGGCCTTCAAGCTTCGAAGGTCAAGCTCCAAGATTCGAGCCCTCTAGTAGGTGGTAGCTACTTAGGGTATGCCGTGCGCCTGATGGACATAGCCGCCGTGGTGTACTTCAGCGTAGGGTTCGCTGACGTGCTGCACGTAGTGCCCGCCGCCACCCACGTTACTCTCCATTTCAGGCATAGCGGCTCCAGAATCAACACCAAGAGTCTGTTGGTTCGCATATCCATCAGTCTGTCCCAGGTGGGTTTGGGTGGGTACAGTAGGCTCCTGGATGTACTTGTTGTTTGGTCCACCGTAGCCGTCCGCAACTGGGGCGGTCGTACCGGTCATAGCGGTGTCGTCTGATATGCGCTCGCTGTTGTGGTTATTGCGAGTACGATGCCTCTCTTCTGCGACCAAACCTCCAGCACCGACGGCACCGACGGCACCGAGCTCCTCATCCTCATGCTTCGAGGTCTTGTTCTTGTTATTCTTCTTTTGCCAGAATCGTCGTTTGCCGTAGCCGGAGGTGTAGTCGTTCGCTGGGCTGGGGCCGTAGCGCTTCTCCCTCTTGCGGGCGCGGCTGAGGACAATTTCGAGGGCTGCGGATAGTAGGAATAGACAGCTACAGAGTATGATAGTCAGCTAAGGCAGCTCAATCGGAGACGCTGATGGTGATAGAGTGCTTACGCATTAGCAATGGCGACGGCGAACACGGCTCTCTGCAATTGGCAGGAGACATGCGCTCCAGTTCCAATGGGCGAATTATTGACAGTGCCGCAACTTTTGGCGCCGCCTCTTGCAAGGACGGCGATAGCGACAAAGCATCCGCAGAAAAGCAGGTCAAGGAGAAGACCGAGGAAAGCGAAGAAGGTGATGCCGCCGAGGAAGCAGGTAAGAATGACGGCGAAACCGGTGTAGATGACAGCTCCACCAGACATACCCTCGACCGCCTTCTCCCATGTTGGAATATGGCGGTGGTGGTCTGCTAGGTCTTTACACTGTCAGTAAACGGTGTAGAAGTGTCCAGGCGCGCATACATACATGCGAGGTACCATGAGAAGGTGCCCAGAACCAAGGCGGATATTGCAAACTCGAGGGCGCGGAGGCAGGTGGACGCAGCCCGAGTGCCCAGGGCGAGCTTAGACATCTTGAAGATTTGTGAGTGTGAGTGAGAGAGAGAGAGAGAGGGAAAGAAGTGGAAGGGAGATTTGTGGTAGATGACCTCAATGTTTGAGAGGAATCGAAGGAAAGGAAAAGAAGAAATGGAAGAAATGGAAGAGATGGAAAAGATGGAAGAGATGATGTTATTTGTCTGCGGGCTACGTAATGCTCAGGCAAAACTTTGCTTAGAATAATGAAGCCTTGATTTTTCGCGCCAATAAGATTGACGTCTGAAATTGGAAGTGGGTAGAATCAAGTATCCGGGAGCATCATATGACTGGGACTTCATTTGCTTTTGACGATGCGAATGCTTCTGACCTCTTTCACCAGCCCATTCAGAGGCCCTGCAACAAAAGAAAATCTCTACATCTCCTGGGCCTCCGCTCGTGCTACGGAATCAAATAGTGCACGCACCATGTCTTTGCCCCTGTTCATTTTATTATACAGGAACGCGGCTCCTACATTTCGTCATCCCGAGTGGTCCCGGAGTGCTAGCGTGCTATTGATTCGTCGATCACTGTGGCGTGCTGAGGCTGTGAGGCTGTGCTTGGCCATGTGAGGCGCAGAGATTGATTTCCCAACTACGTCCCTCGACCTCATCATCTTATTTGAAAGTACAATGTGCGTGGGTGACTTGATCATCGCACGTTTTGGAAATCTGGAGAGAGGAAGGAAAGTGGTCGAAATTAGTGAGATATTTCCACATCGATCACGTTGTAACACCAAAGAGCCTCTGCCAGTTACATTTTCGTCCAACAACATCCAGAACAGTTGCTACCGAGTGGCATTACTTTCACCATATCAGTCTCTCCGCTTTCATCGCTATAAGAATGAGAAGAATAGAGCGCGTGATACCGAAAGTCTCAAATACCACGGATCCATAGAACCCGTGGTAGGTAGTAGATATGATACAGTTACGTTATACTAGTACATCAATGGGCATGACCTATCTGAGTGATCAGCGGTAACAGCATACCTCCCACCGCAGCCAGGACCAGCCTTGGATTTCTGCCCCCCTTCTGTCGACGAGACGGTCGCCCTCCTGATTCTAAATAGCCATTGCTTTGGCTTTCGTCTTGCGCTGCATTTTGACTGTCTTCTTCTTGCATTGTGTGCATTGCTACATATCTGTGAGATCTGCGTGTCAGCCGTTGCGCATTTGGCATCCGATACTGGAGCTACCCACAAGAATGTTCCCCCAGAAAACAGTAACAGTACGCCCGTCCACCACTTCATCAGTGCTGGTTCTGTATTACCTCCCCCTCCCAGTGTCCTAACGACCACCCACGTCCCCACAGCTCCCACTGGCGCGGCAAGACTAAAGATAATCAGGTGTGCTCTTGCGGCCCTCTTCCCAAGTCCTTGCTTGAGTAAAACTGAGGTGAGTCCAAACGCTGCCGGCGCTTTGTGGACCATGATGGCCACAAATATGATTAGAGATAATGAGGTGGTGGAAGTAGACGAAGATGATGCGCCAAGTGCGATACCATCTGCTGCTGCGTGTATGCAGAGGCCAAGTGTGGTCGACATGGAACGTTGCGGAGTTGCAGGAGTAGGTGGAGGAGACGTGGAGAGGTCCGAGAGAGAGTAAATGTTGCTGTGAGGCCGTTGCGGCGTTGGTGGAGCGAGGAATGGTAGGGTATCGAGGAGATACATGAGGATGAAGCCGCAGATCAAGGAGAGTCCAATCCAGGCATGCGGTTCACGCTTTGCTTGAGAGCTTTCCGTCGTCTTCCCTGGTTTCTCAAGGGACGGAGCAGATATTGTAGATGTGTCGTCCTCGAGAATGCCAACCTTGCCAGGTTCAGTTGGCGTTACTGGGGGGTTCTTCGAATGAGCGTCTGGATCATCCTGCTGCGCTTTTGTATCCTCAGGCAGGACTGGCCCGGGGAGAACATTGTATGGGTTCGCATCTGGCGTTTCATCTTCTAGGGATATTGCCCGGAGGTTAGAGGTATGCAGTCCTTCAACGTCCCGCTGCACCACGCTGGCATGTTCCATTGTATTCCTTCGACTGTGCGCCTCTGCAGAGTAATCGCTCGCGCTGTACAAGGTCTCGACGCCTTCGGGTATAATCACTATCAGCGCTGTGCCAACCAGAACCCCCATTCCAATGGTAGATATTAATCGTAGTCTCGACTGCGAAAGGGTAAATGACAGAGGTAGGGATCCAGCCAGAAAAGACCTGTATCTCGAATCAGCACACTTCCAAACAACTTTGGGGACAGTTCCTCACGCAATGGCCATTATGGTGCTCAAAGTGAGCAGCATAAAAAGGCCGTCCAGCATCTTGAAATGGATACCTCGATTATTGGGAAGCCTAAGTAGATGATTCCAGAGGACTAGCTTTCGATTAAGGTCTCATTTTGAGTTCGCCAAAGCATCAGTTCATTCAGTTACTCGCAATGGTATTGCAGTAACCTTCCTCCCACAGCGCAAAGCTCTGACTTTGAATATGAATTCCGTGGTACGGCTAAAACACGCTGGCCCACTCAGCCCTATCAAAACCTTAAAGTGGTCGTGAAGCGCGGACGCGACTTCTAGACTTCAAAGATCTCACTTACCGTAACTGCTCTCTTCCTACCCATCACGACTTCAACATGGTTGATCAGGAGGAATGTAGGTGTGATATATCTTTGATCTTGGTCTTGCATGCTGACAACATCACAGGGTCTAGTAATGCGAACGAAGCTCTAGAGATCTCCTTCGTCCAAGCTGCGCCAGGCTCACTCAAAACACTCTCCTCATTTCACCCTCAATTCACATACCCCATATTCGGCGATGAGGAGCGTGTATTTGGATACCAAAGTCTGAAGCTCAATCTGAGATTCGCGGCACATGATCTACGTCCGAACCTAGAAGTTCTCTATGACAAGAAATTTAAGGCAGTAGGGGACACGAAGGCTACGGACATCGAGGAAACGCTGAAGGAATGGGTTCCTGAATGTGGGGAAACAATTGCAATCCCTGAAGGGGAAAACGGGCTGATGCTATGTGGTAGATACCTTTGAGAAACTTGGAGCCTTTACTTCGCACATTCAGAACGACACATCCGCTTCGAGCTTCAAGCCACCGGGAGAGCTTCTGGAGACATATCAGAGCAAAGGGCGGAACTTCGAGATATGGAGTGGAGAATTGACAGATCCAACTGTCCAACGAGTCGTCGAAAGGATACAGATCATGATTTCATTCTTCATAGAGGGAGGCACGCCGTTGCTGCTGGATGATCAAGACTGGACACTTGCTCGATGGCGGGTCTACTTTGTGTGCGTACTCTCTATACTATGTCCGAAGCGCCGTTGACAAAGTCGTGTCAGCTACGAGAAACTCTCAAACCTACCATCACCAAACACCTCCCCGTATTCCATAGTCGGCTATTCGACTTCATACCGCTTCGTCACCTACGTCCCCACCGCCTCATCCAAATCCTCCACCCAAGACTTCACTCTCCCACCTCCGACACCAATCTCACCCGCATCTCTACCCTCCCGCGCCCGAATATCTCAGTTTCTCATCCTTCCGTCCCACCACTCCCATGGACACGGCACACATCTCTACAACGCCATGGTCAAAACATTCCGCGCCTCACACACGTGCACGGAGATCACGGTCGAAGATCCCAATGAAGCATTTGACGACCTGCGCGATTATTGCGATTACAAGCATCTCCTGGACAACGGCACTTTGGCCAGAATCTTCCTAAGAACAGACATCGATCCCAAATTATCAGCAAGAAAAATTGGGGTCCGTGTTCCAACGTCTAAGCTTTTGGATATGCCGTTACTGGAAACCCTTCGAAAAAAGAATAAGATCGCACCTCGGCAATTCGCCCGTGTCGTCGAGCTCTATCTGCTCACGAAAATCGCTCCACACAACCGACGAGCAGGCACAGCGCGCCTCACACAAAGAGCCCGAGCGGCTGATCCGAACGACCGGGCTTTCTACTACTGGCGCTTGCTCGTCAAGCAGAGAGTCTACAAAAAGAACAAGGATGTGCTCATCCAATTAGATCGAGGAGAGAGGGTGGACAAGGTGGAGCAAACGGTTGGGGAGGTAGCTGGAGACTACGAGCGATTATTGAGAGGAATGGAGAAGTGGCAGGGCGCGGAGGCGAGTGGCAGTTCAGATAAGAGAGATCGAGCAAAGAGAAAGGTGATTGACGAAGACGACGAGGACGAGGATGAAGAAATGGCCGGAGACGCGAAGAGAGCAAGGAGTGAAGCTCTTTAAGCATACGACACATTGAACGTGTTTCAACTTCCAACATCGATAAATGATACCCTGACGACATGATTAGCTGCGGGGAACACAAGCTTACGAGCAGCGACGGTACAAATTTTTGATGCTGATGCTGGAAACGGGCCTTTCCAAGCGAATATCTCTCAGGCTGCCGTTTGCTGAGTCTCTGCACAGCATTCAGTGCATGACGACTGCATCACCACTTGCAGGGCAGAAAATCAGGAATGGAGTTGAATAGGTACCTATTTAAATAAACAGGCCGTTGGCATCGTGCAGTTCTTTAAATTTTGTGAATACGAAGTTGCAAATCCGGTCAGGAAGACGAGATGATTGAAACAGCATTTCACGAGGCGATTCACCGCTTCGAATAGATCTGACATGCACGTTTGTTTCTGATCAAATTAAAAAACCAGAGAATGCTAATCTCATCTATCTACGCAGCCTGCCTCTCACCTTCATAGCGACCCAGATTGCCCCCCTCCCTCACACTCTGCTCATAGTAGTAATTCTCATCCGGAATCCTGCCCCTCATGAACTCCGGCTCGCTTCCTCTGACATAGATATCCTCGTACAGAATCTTCGGCGTCGCCTCCGGCACCGCCATCTTCTCGGCGATTTCCACCTCTTTGTCCACGGACGACCTCGCCTCTTTATCTATCCCCTTCAGCTCCTCCTCGGTGGTGACTTCCCAGTCCAGCAGTTTCTGCTTGAGTCCTGCGATGGGGTCTTGGGTCGAGCGCATGCGTTGGATTTCTTCGCGCGTGCGGTAGGTGGTGCCCGGGTCGGACATGGAGTGCCCGCCGTAGCGGTAGGTGACGTACTCGAGGACGAGAGGGCCGTGGCCTTCGGTGGTGTACTGTTTGCCGTATTGGACGGCGGCTTTGACGGCGAGGATGTCCATGCCGTTGACTTTGAGGCCGGGGATGTATTGGCCGCGTTTGTAGTATTCGGTGAGAGCAGCGGCGCGGTTGGCGGCGGTGCCCATGCCGTATTTGTTGTCTGAGAGGGTGGAGTGTCAGCTGGTAGCGTATAGAGGGTGGGAAGAGTGCCGTACTTTCGCAGCCGAAAAGTATGGGTAGGTTCCAAAGCTTAGCCATATTGAATGCTTCAAAGACTTGGCCTTGATTGCTGGCACCGTCTCCGTAGAGGCAGATTGTGGTGTTGGTATTGTTCTTGTATTGATTGGCGAATGCAATGCCCGCACCTACAGGTACTTGAGCGCCGACTATACCATTGCCGCCGTAGAAACCTTTTGCAAACATATGCATAGATCCACCCTTTCCGTAGGCAATGCCTTCTCTTCGGCCAAGCAGCTCGCCGATGATCTTTTTGACGGTTCCGCCGCGCATAAGGGCAAAGCCGTGACATCGGTAAGCGGTGATGACGTGGTCTTCTTTGGTTATAGCGTGCTCAATGCCTGCCGCAACGGCTTCTTGGCCGGTGGAAAGATGGCAGAAACCTCGGATCTTTTTCTCTTTGTATAGTCTGTCCGCGGCCATTTCCATCCGTCTGCAAGGATTCGGAGTCAGCAGTGGCCAACTAGGAATCAGATGCAGATCTTACCTTATTGATACCATATCGTAGTACATCCGCTTGAGCTCTTTCTTCGTGGTCTCTAGGGTGAATGGAGGAGGGTCGATTTCGTAGGTTTCAAAGCTCTCATTAGAGAGCGTGACTTGGAAAGGCTTGTCATCTTCCTGAAGACGCACATCAAAGTCAGCTCGTTGCCCTGGACTCGCTCTGTGGAGCACTTCTTACTTCGGGCACATGTTCTTTCTCGGCGTGAGATGAGGCGGCATCGGTAGTGACAGTTCTCTTCGCCAAAGGCACGTAGACATTGACATTGCGCTTCAACGGCAGAGCGCGATGTCCGCCCCTCAGAGCTCTGGAAAGCATGTTGGCAAGATGCTGATTGAAAGAAACGCTGTCGTTGAAGCTCTTGCACGGGTTTACGATTCAACGTTGGGGAGAAGCGCGCTAAACCATTTTGGTTTTGCCGAAAGTCGCCGAGATGAAAATCGACGGACTCAAGCAATCACCCTCATAAAAATACTTTCGCACAACGCTTATGCTATATTATTGAGCTATAGAAAGTAGATATACGTATTCAAAGCACTCAGTAAGGCTAGTACCTCTTTAATTGGCTTTAGGGAACGCCTATACCTTTATAATCATATCGAATAAAACTAGCTAGCCTTAATAAAACTATAATAGCTACGATTTCAAGGAGCACGCATTTATACTGAAGTTGTCGATGAATATTATACTGAAAATAATAGACGAAGGCTAGAAACTATTAATAGACGAAGTAGTTACTACCCTTAGGGCGGCGATAGCATTTATAGAAAAAGCGAACGATAAACTTAAAATCTAGATAGTCTTAAACGAAGTATATAAACTAGCTATTAACTTAAATAACCGAGATAGTAATATAAAGGAAAAGATTACGTATATTAAGTATTAGGTAGCTAGCCTAAAAAGCAATACATCGATAGTTAGCTACGCTAGCGTACTAAGCCGATTCTTAATATCCTCCTTTACTACTAAAGGAATCTCTATTATATTATTAGTAATATCGAAATAAGACTAAGTATTATATAATAAGCTAAACGAGATTATTATAAAGCTATAAGACGAGATAGTAAGTAAAGTATTAAAGAAGAAGATATCGAGCGAGATAATTACAATAGTTAATAAATATATAAAGAGTATAAATATTATAAGGAAACCTATTAGAACGATTAGAAGGCTAGCGAGTAGTAATATATATATTATAGCTATAAATGAGAAGAAGGCGAATAGATTAAGAAAAAGTAAGGATTAGACTTTAAAGATAAGTGGTAGCGCGAGAGTAATTATTAAAACGTATAGTCTTCTACTCTATAAAGTGAGGATCAATACATTCGATACTAAAGACATGACCACGGCAATTAAAAGGATTCAGAATAAGAATATCAATACGCTAAGCCTCGATATAGTGTGGCTAAGCTAATTCGGCGCGAATAAAGAGGGTTATAATAAGGGTTCATTAATTATTAAATTAGCATCCCTAGAGAAAGGAAATAGAGCACTAAAAGAAGGCCTAGTTATCGATTCGAAACTATATGGTTATTGCGTTTATAATAAGTAGTATAGATCGAAGCAATACTTCGTATGCTAGAAATATAATTACCTATCAACTATATACCCTAAAAAGAATTACTTAGTATACGGGAAATACTTAGAAGAGCATTATTATAAAGATTACATCGGCCAATACTCGCAAATATCTAATTTGCGAGGGATTATATAAGGCTTAAAATAAGGTATATATAGTAAAGAAGAGAGAGATAGCGAGAATGAGAATAGCGAGATAATAAACTCCTTCACAATTTATAATAACGAAGAAGGCACCGGCTAGCTATTAAATAAGCGATTAATTAAGTAATTACTTTCAAAATACGTTTAATCGTAGGCGAAATAAGGAATTTTTCTTAAGACTAATATTCACGCGCGATAGATTAATAGGTAGAGATAGAATAGTTAGTAGAAGAGGAATCAAAGCGCCGAATCTCGAAAGAACTACTATATCGAATCTTTAGTTAAGTAGAAGAAGATATGCTTTTATATTATTAATAAAAAGTCTCATCTAGAAATAGATCGCCCTCTAAAGTAGTAGATAAAGCTAAACGATATAAGAATAATATAGCGATAGAGGAAATTAATAATTCCGAGAACGATAGATAGTCTTTAAGTTAAAAGAGTGGTAATGAGAGAATTGCGGTCCCTATTAATGGGAATAAAAAGAGATATATCCGATCCATCGACGATTAAGAAAAGAAGAATACTTAGAAAGAGGATATAAACTCTATAGACTAGACGGAGCGAGTAAGTAATACTAATAATAATATCGAGAAATAATAGTATACTCTAGTTAGCTATTAATATTGCAATATAATATAAGAAAATTTAGAACGATTATAATAGAACTCTTCGATAATAAAAAGATCTATAATATCGATATAGTAGCAATTTAGGAGCCCTAGAGAAACATTAATATAAATACGTCGTATTATTCTCTAAAGAATAGATTTAACTTAATCTACTTCTACTATAACAACACACGAGTATACTTCTATATTAATAAGAGAATATTACTAAAGTAATAATACTTATTATATTACTCATCGAACCTCTATACTCTTAATATCAAGTCCGAAAATAATAGAATTATATATATATATAACATCTATAATCTCGGCGATTAATAAATAGACGAACTTAACGAATTATATAAGACGCTTACGAAGTCTAAAAATAATGAATAGATTATACTAGGCGACTTTAATCTTTACTATACGATGTGAGGGGATTAAATACTTATATCGATAAGAGAGTAGAAGAATTAATATTTATAGCGAAAGAATTCGCTATAAAATAAGCATTGCTAGTAGAAACGATAATATACGAAGAAAACTATTAAATAATAATAGATCTACTATTCGCTACTTTAGTATTAATAGTAAATATTATTAACTATAATATCGAAAATGATTTCGAAAGCGGATTTAACTATCTCTTAATTCTTATAAAGCTTAAGCTAGCTATAATAAAGTTAGCATTAATAATACGCCGAAACTTTAATAAATTAAACGTCGAGGTTTTAAGAGAGATACTCGCTAGAGTTATAACATCGAAAGAGTGTCTAATTAATCTTTAGAGGAATAATAAAAACCTTATTAACGATAATATCGATTATTAAGTAGCGGTTATTATTAACTCTATCTAAGCGACTATAGAGAAGTCTACTTCGATTATTAGATTGTCGTTATAGTTTAGATCGAGATTCACGTTAGAATATAAGAAAGTATAAAGACGTTATAAATCGCTAAAAAGAAGCTAGAGAATAACGTTTTCGAAGAAAGTATAAAATAAGTATAAAGTCGCTAAGAACTTCAAAAACAATCTAATTAAGAGAACTACTAGAAAGGCATTTAGAGAGTTCATAATAAAGGCGTATAAGTCGCTGTAAATAATATAAAAAAAGACTAAGTAAGTTAGAAAACAACTTATAATACAGGCGTATCTTCCTCCGCTATTTAATAAAGATAAACGAGAATATAACGAACCAGGCCCGAAGGTAGATCTTCTTATAAGAATGTTCTTTTTATTATTAGTATAGACGGAGTTAGATAATATTAGCGTTAATATAGCGTATTTATAAGCCTATCTAATAGATACGATTATCATAAATAAGATAAGAAAGACTATAACGTAAGCATTATCAAAGAGAGTCTCAGAAGGAGATACGATCCTTAACCTAATTTTCAAGGAGATCCTAGAGCCGTTACTCCCTCATCTATATAGAATATTTAATATATACATAATAAACGACTACTATCTAGAGCACTTTAGAATATTAATAACAATTATCCTTCCGAAGTTAAGTAAGAACTACTCGATTCCTAAAGGATATTAGTTAATAGCTCTACTTAACACTATAGAAAAGGTAATAAAGTTTATTCTTGCTAGGAGAATAGTATATCTTGCGAAGACACATGAACTTCTATCGATCACATATATGGGAGGCCGTAGATTGCAGTCATGTGAACACGGCATTTACTATCTTCTAGAAAGGATATATCAAACCTAAAACTCTAACAAAGTAGCTACGATATTACTGCTAGACGTTTCAAATATATATAATAAAGTCTCTTATCCTCGATTACTCTATAACCTTCGAAAGTGAAAAATCGATATGAGAGTAGTTAATTGAATAGAATCGTTCTTATTCAATAGAATAACAGTACTGAAAACAAGCGAATACTCTATACTAAAGACTCTTATAGCAACCAAAATTCCTTAAGAATTACCGCTATCGCCTATACTTTACCTCTTCTATAACTTAGATCTTATTAATAAATATAATAATCGCGCTAACTTAGAAATGGTAGCTATCGACTTCGTAGACGATATAGGCCTTCTAATAGTAGAAGACTTCATTAAGAAAAATTATAACGCTCTTCGTAAAATCTACAACGAAGTTTATATAAAGTAGGCGTTACAATACGAATTGAAGTTTAATTCCAATAAATATCAACTGCTATACCTTAGTAGAAAATAGAGATTTAGCTTAGATTATTCCCTATAACTTAATAAGAGATAATATATTAAGATAAGACGCTTTATCCACTATCTAGAAGTCGAAATCGACTTTAAACTTCTATAAAGCCACTATAATAAAAAGATTCGATTTAAAGCTACCAAAAGTATCGATATATTAACAAGGATTGTCGAATCGACGTAGGATAATAATTATAAGAGTATAAGATAGCTCTATTAGGCGATAATTATCTTATAAATAACGTATTACTACTTAGTATAATACTAACCCAAAAACACTACCGACTATAATAAAACTTATTTCTTATCGCTATAAAGAATTTAATCTTAAATAGAAAGAAAGATAATTAAAGTATTTAAGGTTATATTTATTTTAGCACTCGATATAGAAGCGTATTTTCTATTAGTTAAATAATAACTAAATAAGATTATCTCGAAAGTTATCTTACGAATCGCCACTAGTCTAGTATATAGCGAGATTATTAAGTTATAATTCGAGCGATAGAAGTTTAAAAGAAAACTTAAGAAGAATAGGAAACTAAGTTTATTAAAGCGATATATTAATAGATTCGAAGAACGATACGGCGATATTAATAAGATTAAGAAACTACGCCCTTTTAGCGCCGCTCTCAACTAAGAGCCTCTTAAAACGATAATTTATAAGATTAAGAAAGTCGTTAAAGAACTAATTAAAAGATCGATTAATAAGAATTATATAATAATATATATAGATAATAGCGGGATTAATAAAAAGGTAAGAGCTTTAACTATATCGTTAGATATTAATTCTACTTTTAATATCTATTTAGACTTAAGCGACTAATATATAATATACTCGACGAAGTTATACGATATTCTTTAAGCTCTAACTATAGTAGTCGTATATTAAATAAAACTATAACTTAATAGAGTTATAGTAAATATAAATAATTAAATATCGATTTAGACTATCGAAGACTCGAGTAAGTATTTAAAATAGATTTATATAATATAAATAATATAGATTATTAATTCGCTAAGATATCTCGGGGTAGTAATAGAATTACACTAGATTTCGATGTATATTAATATCGACGATAATGAATAGACGAATAGGGAGGCGAAGAAGGTTATTAGCTAGCGAGAGCGAGTAATTTATAATAAAAGAGTAAAGGTAAACACTAACGAAACAGTTCAATTATCAGTTATATAGATAAGAATAATATCAACAATTAAGATAGCTATTAAGGACTACGCGATAAAATAATAAACTATCGAATGAGCTAACGAGAAGTAAGATAGTATTCTTAAAAGAATTTAATTAACACCGTCGAAATAAATATAACTTCTATATTCAAGAGTCAAGCGCGCTAAGACGTCGCTGATAACGCAAATAAGAATCGAGAAAATAGGTCTTAAGGCCTTTCTTTATAACCGATAGATATCGGATATAAAGAATAAAGAATACGAGTGTAGAGCGAAGCAGACGACTCGGCATATTCTTTATAAATATAGGCTATTTAGTAAGAAGCGAGGAATATAGTAGGTCGAAGAGAGAAGGAAGGTGAAAGAGGGGTTATTACTTATAAGGATATGCTAATAAAAGTCACACTACGCCTCTATAGCGGCGAACTTTATAAAGAGTATAAGGCTTATTAAATAATATCAAGCCCTTAATAAGAACTAACAATAAGGATTTATTAGGGTAGGCGGTTAAAAAGAAGAATACGATTAAGACGAAAGGGCCCTAGCGATATAGGGTGTACCCCTTCCCAAGGATCAAGTATAACAAAATGTAGAACCATGACGGTGACTTATATAGCCTTATTTATTTGAGACCATATGATTGGCTGAAAGGATTAGATAGATTACGTAACTCGCATAGTCGGCCACTAGGGCAAGACTTTAGGGTAGTATGATGTAATCAATCAATCAATCACCCTCATAAAAATGTGAAGAACATTGTGGTACTCGATCATGGCCAGCACTTGCTTTGTCATATCTCAAAATGCGAAATGGCCAGGCTTTCTTTGATAGGAAGAGCATCGTGGTCTGATTCTGCGTCAGGAGCACGCTACATTGGTTCACTACTTGTGGTGCTTGCATTGGTACTTGGCATTCTTAGTAGGCCACGCTCCCTAATGCCCCAGAAGCTCCTCGTACCTGCATGTCATCTGGATTCCTAGCTTTGGTTCCGTTCATGCTCCACATAGCTAGAGAGCTTCCTGCAGTCATTTCCTTCGCTTTCTTTCTATCTGCCACCCTTTTAATACCTCAACCTTACGCGCAAGCTGTCATTCATCAGTATACTCTGTTGTTGCTTGCATTGATCATCATTGCTGCGATTTTTTCCCTGCAGGATCGGAGAGGCGATGGTCCGAAGATGCCGGAGCTGAGTGTGGCCAGCGCCCTTGCGTTATATCATTTGGGGCCTCTAATCAGAGCTGCGCATGGATCTTGGAGAGGGTAAGGTATCGGACGAGGGCTCCTATTAGCCGTGTTCTTGCTTTTTTTTGGCGTTTGACTGTGGTGGTGACCCGATGTTTTTGGTCAGGGAGTGGGGTCTCGAGGACGATCTTGGCTCAAAGGGTCGTGCAAGGAAAAGTGAGGATGTGGTCTTGAGCAGCCTGACATCACAACGGCGACTGCCAAGGCCTTTGGCGGTCATCAACCGACATCACCGTGAGCCCAACGAAAGGGTAAGGGTTTGGGAGCCGAGTTCGTTTCCAACTCAATTTCGCGCGACTCATGCGAGCTTCAGGCAGGCTTTTTGGAAGTTCAACATATATGTGACGAACGCTAAGGGAGTTGTGTTCCTGATTGGCTTTGAATTGTAAAAATTCTTGCAATCTTTGGTTGACTAGTTTTGTGGACCTTGGAATTGTGCTATTTTGGGGAGCCGATTGTTGGTCTAGATGAGCGGCCGTGCAGCAGTACAGCCGTGCAGGCAAAGTGTTCTTTCTTCTTTCGCATCCAGACAGAAACATGATGGCCTTGGCTGGCAGCCATAGAAACGGGGGCTTGGGTAGGCTATGAAGGCAAACATAGCTGGGTACATGGGTGATGGGTCCAGATTGCTGCAGCCACAGATACTTAGATGCTTCCTGATTTGTTCCGAGGGCAAAGTGCGATAGCTATGGTCGCTGGGGATAAACGAAGCGAAGGACGATTCAGTGTGGAAAGTGGAAAGTGGAAAGTGGGAAGTGGGAAGTGGAAAGTACAACAGTACAGACATCGGATATTATTAAAGCGCAATCGCGACCAAGTCGGCGAATTATCTATGCAGTAACGAGGTACAGACTACAGCAGACTACAGCAGACTACAGTACATTACTCTAGAAGCTTCCCTATTACCTTATGGGGGAACTAAGGTGCTTGCGCCACTAGCCGGAGATCACGAGTGTTTTGACCAGGAAAAGGTTACCAAGAGGCATATCTGACAGCTGCACGCAAGCGAGGCCCGTAGATTCGGAAACCAATCGACTGCACGAATTACTCCTGATCTGCGCGTGGGCTTGGAGTGACGTGCTTTGGCCTGCGTTGCGTGACGTACCCTCGTGGAGCCGTGGCATTTGTCTTTCGTTTCCATGTAGCTATAGTCATACTGTGATAGGCCAGAACTTGGTGTGGCGCCGTGAGCGTGACGACTGAGCCAGAATCGAGTTGACAGCTGCTGAATATGCTGCATGAAGCCACTTGGAACAAGCAAAATGTCCCAGAGACCTAATGATCGGGTCGCAAATGATGCGGTGGCTGTGGAATCCCACTCACGAGATTCAAACCCAATTCAATGCTTGACCGCTTTGATCCCCGGCGCCAATAAATATGGCCTGCATGAGAGTTGCCTTAGCTGAAAACCCGAGGTCCTCGTTTGGCGGGGTCAGCAAACGACCGTCTTGCTTCCAAGACTTCCAGACCGACAGAGTTCTGAAGCATCACTGCCTCGCCTGCAAATAAAAAGTCCCGCAAAAAGCCCCCCATCACGCTACCCATGTGGCTTGCGAAAGGTTGTCCCAGCGAATTGGTAACGAGGCACACGGATTGAAAAAGAAGAGACCAAGGTACATCTTAGGCTTGAACAGCCTATGGCCTTTTCAGACGTCTAGATGGGATGTTCGATGGGAGGACAGATGATGCGTCTGATTTAAGTATTGATCAACCGCTAAATGCCGGAGGGAACTAAGATCGCCGAACGAGAGTGGAAATAAGCACAGGGCCACAGGCTTAAAGGGCAATCAGGAAGTAACCTTGTTTCTATACCAGAGGAGAAAAAGAATGCAGTGGATAGTGGTCAGGCATCAATACAGGACGGCAGCCAAGGTACCATCGAAAGTGTCGCAGGGGGTCGAAATCGGTTTCATGGCATCACAGATTCCTGAGTCTGACACGTCTAGACCCTCGAGAGTAGTGTCTCGCAGATACGAATTGCTGCAGTAAGCAAGCCCGTCGAATGCACTGACTCGTGCAGGTGCCTGTTTCCTGTTTCCCATGGAGATGATGGAGGGTGGAGGATGGATGATGAGGAGTGAGGAGGGAGGAGTGAAGGAGGAGTGAAGGAGGAGTGAGGAGGATAGTAATGATCACAGTAATGGAGAGCCGGGTGGAGATATGTCGGAGGGTACTGGCGGCGTTGAACAGCCACTCACAGCAGTCGCAGGCAATCAATTGAGCCCTGGCTCTGCTGATGGACCGTTGGATGCCGGGTGGAAAATGGCAGCGGTCCGTTTTTCGACACCTCTTGGCGCCGTCAAGTACCGCATTGATCTCCATGATCTTCCATTCCTAACCTTTCTCACCTGCCCAACCTTTCCCCTTCTGTATCAAACACTATATTTATCTTACTGCTTTCATTTCTATCACACCCCCTCTGCTGTCACAATCATTGGTTCGAGTATAAATCATTTCTCCTCTTTCCCTTCCCATAAAAACTTCGCCTTCATGCCTTCTTCGCCACCCTTGTTTGTCCATTCCTCCACCCGCTCAGACCATGCTATTGGGGTAATCTGCCGCCAAACCAAGCAAGCAAGTCCCCTACAGTGTCACAGAACAAGCTTTCCCACAAGACCACCGTAGTCCGTCTGCTCATGTCCTCGAGACCTCCAACAAGCTCTGCACCATCCGGCCAAAGGGACGTCTACTACCCCACTCGTCTGGCATCAGGCTATGGCATGATGGCAGAGACCCATCGTCCGCAATCTGCTGCTCATACACTACCGCCACCGTCCACAATGCAAGCAGCCTCTCGCCATCTTCCACCTCCATCTCATCTAGAACCTTCATTCGTACCCCAGTCGCCTCAGGTACGGCCTCAGTATTCAGATCTCCCAACCCGGCATTATCCAGTGTATGAGCGGCAGTCACCACTTGGACAGCCACCGGCCCAGGAGTTTAGACCGGGTTGGCAAACTTCGGCACCACCGGGGCTCTCAGGGCACGTGTCAAGTTTCCCACATCCACCTCTCTACCCGTCCAAGGCCTCATACCAATCTACTAATCCAGGGACTGTGTACGAGGCTCTATCGCCTGTTCGCTACGGAACGGATGAGCCTCCGCCAGAGGCTTCACTGTTCAATGAAGGAGCATACTCTACAAACACCTTTCCAGCGGGCCACTCATCGCACCAGAGCCCAGCGAGTTCCTACCGTAGCTCTATCACTTCTTCCAGCGGACACGGTACTGGACCAATGCACTTCCCCAAACCTGCTTCAGTGTTTGTTGAGACCTCGAGCAGGCCAGGAGACATGTAAGTGCCTAGCAGAGCAAGGCTGGAAAGAGAATTGAATGCTAAGGACAGTCTTAGGACCGATCGCTACATTCTTACACTGCGCCAACAGCCCATCGCCGCGCGTGCGTGTGGTTTTGGAGAACGCGACCGCCGCGTCATTGACCCTCCGCCCATTGTCCAGCTGTCTCTCAAGGATTTCAATCCCAAATCGTCCGCAGACATTGCCGAGCTTCGCTGGCCATTTAACATAGTGCACTGCGCTCTTCTCTCCGTTCCGCCTCAACCCTCAACATATTCGCCGACCTCGGATGTGACCGCCGTCCCCGACCCAAACCAATCGAACAGGGTGAGCCGTCGCCTCATGGGTACTCTGGTGGCTTCACCTTTCGTTGGCAACGACCCTGAGGCTCCCCAGTCGAGCGAAGACAATGCCAACCTTGGTTGCTTCTTTGTTTTCCCGGATCTTTCCTGCCGCCAGAACGGGCATTATCGGCTCCGCTTCACGCTGATGAAAGTCAGCATGCCCAACTCAACCGAGGATGGCCAAGGCAGCATCGCTGGAAGCATAGACAGCGACATCTTCGAGGTGTTTAGCGCAAAGGACTTCCCGGGAATGCGAGCAAGCACCGCTTTAACCAAGGAGCTCAAGCGACAAGGTGCGACGGTGAGTGTGAAGAAAGGTAAGGGTCAACGAAAACGTGGGGGTAGCGGAAGCGACAAAAGCAGCAGTGATGAAAGTGATGGGGCTTCAAACTCAAAGGCTCCAAAATCCCGGCAGAAGAAGAAACGGGCTTAAAACTGACTGGCCAAGTGGGAAGTGGGAGAGAATGCCAGGTCCAAGCGTCAACCTTCGCTTCGGAAGCGACGAGTGACGCATCTGATCTTCTATCCAATACTTTACTTTACTTCATTTCTCCGCTCCTTTTTTTGGGGGATTAGAGGACAAATTGGATACCATACTCACTTCACCTTAGTTGGATACTCGTTCCTTGGCAAAGATTTGGAGGAAACTGCCGGACTAGCCTATTCCTTCGGAATGTACAAATACCATTAATCAAAAGGACTCATTGGATGCTTTTCCCTGCGCCCTCTCTCCTGGACCCCTAGGAATTCCTATCATGATTGGATTGCGCTTTCAGCTCTTCGATTACCATGTTTGCATCTTTGCGCTGGCTTACCAACGGTCTTTTCCTACTACGGTACCTTGGGGACTAGGACACCATATACTGGTAGGGGAGAACAGTCTGCGGGAGAACAGTCGCTACTGATGATTTGGCTATCGATTTTACGGATGTCATTTATGTGTGCGATTGATAGACCACTGGTATTTCAACGCCTCTCAAATGTGTCTATTTCCGCTCTATTTTCTTACCTACTGTCCTTGTCTTTCGGAACCACGAATCGGGCCACCCGCTCCCACAATGATGCCCGACCCATGCCCAGGGGCTCAATGACGATATCGGTTCCAGGGAATTTGATTAGGACATTTATGGAAATCCGAGGACCCGACCAGATTTCCGTTGGGTTCTTGAAGCCGCATTGATATCGGCTTTGCGGATCATTCCATTTCATGTTCCAGAGGACCGATGGAAGCCTACCCGGGATAGGGGCTTCAAGACGATCACACGCCGGAATTTGTACCAGAAATGCTACATTTACCCATGGATTCATCTTGCGATCATCTCTGGGAGTCTTTCACTCATTTTGCACCGGTTGATCTATTGTGCCGGACGGTTTCGTGCCAGTAACAGCGTTCTCGAAAGTCAATGGCATTACTGGTCTCTGGCGCCCAGATCGCCCCCAAAGTCCAAAGAGGTTCCCAAGTCCTTGGCCTCGGATTTTCTCTGGCTTGCTCCGCCAATCTCGGCGTTTATGACGAACCATGCGAACAGTGATCCATGTCCTCTAGGAGCTCATCGTGGACCCGGATTGGAAGCTGTTCGTGGGGCTGCCCGTTCCGCAGCTTTCCAATCTTTTAGCATCGTGGTCCACGACCACAGAGCAGGTTTGCTTAGCCTATGTATGATGGGGTGTTGACGTCTATCTTTTCCCCTATCACCTTGCATACTGCGCGAGACCAAACTATGTATACTGGCATTGAAATTCTTATCGTCGATTTGGTACATCTCACTTGCAGCAACTCGTTGGGAAATTTTGGCTGCAAACAACAGATCTGGCAAGAATACGCTCGTCATGACCAAAACCATCTGTGCGGTCCAATCACTGGATTCTAGATCTTGCGTCAGGCGTGCACATGCTAATCGGCCCCCACGCAAAACTCTCCAGGTGCTCAATGCGACGTTCCGGATCATCGCGGGTTGGGACAAATTAGGCGCTTTCTCGGACCTCTGAAGACCCTGCGAACGAAAGATCTCCAGTGCAGACTGCATGCAGCAACACCACATAAGCGGTGCGCCTCGGGACCTCTTTCCCTGTAAGCCTGCTTGGCATATGCGTGACCATGTCACCATCGTTCCTCTAATTCCAATCTTCCAGTGCCACTGCACCGGTTCCAAAAGCCATCAACGCTCAACCATTCACCGGGAATCTTGCAAATTCTCCATTCGTCCATCCAGCAAAGACCCAATAGTCCACCGAAGCCACGCACTTGGGATCCTTTCTGCCCCCTTTTTCCATTCCTCCGTCCAAGCAAAAGTCCCAAAGTCTATCTGAGCCATGTCCTCGAAATCCTTGTTACCCCCTCCCTCTATTGTTCCCCCATCCAGCAAAGTCCCAAAGTCTATCGGAGCCATGTACTCGGATTCGTACACCACTCCACCGAAAATCCCGGCTCCCGATCCACCTCCCACTCCCTTTACGATCTCTGGATTCCCCCCCCCCCCCCCCACCATGTGCTGCTAAAGGCCAGATTGCAATCCACAGATTGCTGCGAATCTCCCAAGCTCGCACGAAGCATCTCGTAGATGGGATCTCTTCGCTTTGAACGCGAGAGACGTGTGTGTCGTCTGTATCTCACCACTCGTGTGACTCGCAAAATGAAGTCCGGGTGTGTGTGGGTATCACGTGCAAATCTCACGGCTTTTTCAAACACGGTTTTTTTTTTTTTACTATTTGCCCGTTCTATGTATGTCTGCTTACAGCAGAGCGGGCAGCAGTTTGAGCAGAGATACAACTTTTCAGCCACACGGACATCTCTATTCTGCTTCGATTGTAGTAAAGATGTTCTTGTGCTCCGCCGGCCAAAGTCCCCCTTTGCTGACACGATATAGCCCCCGCCCCCCTAGATTCCCCCTGTACAGCCGAGCCAAGGTGTACGCCAAGCTCGAGCGATACCAATCTGCTCCTACGGTGATGGTAGTTCCTATGACAGAGACCGCCTATGCCCACGAATACCGCCAACCTGCCCCCCCTTTGCCTTGCCCTTCTCCTGCTGTACCCTAACCCCGACTTCCCGCACCCATCACCGATACCGCAGAGCCTCCCGCTCGGTTTCCCCCTTCATGAGCGTAGTCTCTTCATCCTCGTACTTGTAGCTCATCCTCCTCCCCGGGCCCGCAGCCTTCCCGTTGACCCTCCCACTTCCCGCCGCGCTCCCGCCCCCAATCTGCCCCACCATCGCCCTCGCCTTCCGCTGCTCCTCTCTGGCCACCCTCTCCGCATTCCTCGCCTCGCGCTCTCGCGCGTGCTGGTCTATCTTCGGTCCTTTGGGGGGTGACTTCGGCTTTTCGGTCCCCACATCCAGAGGCTTGTGCTTTTCCTTTTCCTTTTCCTGGGCGGGGCCTTTGGGAGGTCTATCGTGGTTGGATCTTGCATCTTTGTTTTCACGCTTGCTGGGTTTGGAGGAACGGTGACCGTTTTCCTTCTCTTCGGGCACGTCCTCGTGCTCGCGACGAGAGCGCTTCCGTTCGCGGTGATGGTCTTCGTGCTCTTCGTCATCGGAACGCCGCTTGCGCAATGATTGGAAGGGGTCATCATGCTTTTTGGTATGGCCATTAGCGTTGGTGTTAGTGCTGGGTATGGTGCGTCTGCTGGCGCCGTTGATAGTGATCTCTGGGGACTTTGATCGCTTCCTATTGCTTCGATGGTCCTTGTCATCGTCTCTGCTTTTATCATGGTGGGATCGGTGCGAGCGGTGACTGCTTCGCTCTGTGTCCTTTTCTTTGTCGTGGTCACGACGGCTTCGATGCGAGGCTCGCTTGGTCGATGAATCGGCTGATGCGACTCTTGTGCGTGAACCTTTGGATTCCTTGGTATCGCCGTTCTCGTCCTCGTGCTTCCGAGAATGACGACGGTGGCGCTCTCGTCGCTTCTCATGGTCGCTGTCGCTTGAGGGGCTGGTGGATCGGTGGCGATGATGTCGGTGGTGGGAGGATTGATGCTTGGTGGGGGAACGTGAGCGCTCACGGGATGGGCTGGGTTCAGTGTCAGTAAACGCATTTTGTAGTCACAAGAGCCGCAATTGCGCATACCTTTTAGTTGCTGTGGAACTGTTAGGTCGACTTTGCGCGGCAACAGAAGCGCGGCCAACTATGGAGAATCCTTTAATACCAGTGTTTGGTTGGCCCTGTCTGAAGGCCTTGGGGCCCTTGGGCGCACCTTCGACGCCAAGACCTTTGGGCGCACTAGGAGGAGCGACAGCCTTTACTATTGGTGGAGTGACACGAGGAAAGCCGTTATGAAGAGGGTACCCAGAGCCTCGGCCACGCGATCCACCACGATAGTCCGGACTTCCATAGAAGCCACGGCCAGCACCACGGCCCCGTGGACTCGTGTCTAGTGGTTGGTCGGCATGGAAAGCTGAGGGACCTGTGGGTATCATAGGGCTAGGTGGAGGCATCATTGTGGGCGGAACAGAGGCGCTGGTGTCGACAGCAGGTACCTCTGGCTTTGAGAATTCATCGGACACGAAGGCTGGTATAGCTTCGGGCTTCTCTTCTTTCGTTTCCGGCACTGTCTCAGCCTGGGTCTCTTCAGGGGCCTCTGTCTTGGCGACCACTTGTTCCGCTGGCGGTTCTACTTGCTCCTCCTTGATGGATAGATCTGGAGGCTTCTCAGCGTTTTCATCTGCATCGCCAGGGTCAAGCTCTTTGTTGAGCTGCTCTTCAGCCGTAAGCCCGATGGCATTCTCCTCTTGCCTAGCGTCCTGCTGGCTTCCAGTAGTGCCCTGATCCTGTTGCTGTTGCGCTGGCTGATCTTGTTGTGGGCCATAAGTTGGGGAACCTCTCCGCGTGACTTGTGGTGGTACTTGCTGATGGAACGATTCGTAGTTAGTCTGGTTCTGATTTGGATTACCTTGAGAAAAATTCTGACTGTAGCCTCCGCGACCGCGTCCTGCATTTGTGTATCCACGACCTCGGCCACGACCGCGATTTTGGAAGCCTTGGCCATGGTGACCGTGATGGAAATCATTATTGGGATATTGATGTTGATGCATCTGGTTGAAGTTTCCTTGATGCGGTGGCACATTATATCCACCATATCCAGTATTAGCTCCAAAGTCACCACCGCCCATTCCTGCCTGACCAGCATAAGCATTTTGATTGAATTTATCTTGGCCTGCGTTCCATGCTGCGGGTTGCCCGTTGAATCCTCCTCCGAACGCTCCTTGTCCAGCATTATTGAAGCCCATGCCCATGTTCATGCCATTCATACCCATGCCTTGCCCGCTGAAGCCGCCGTACATACCCTGCGACATGGTCATAGGATCCATGCCCATGCCTGGCATACCTAGTATTTCGTGGTTAGCGATCTGTATTAAAGCTGATGTCACTGTCACAGTTGCTCACCCATCATGTTGGGAAATGCGCCAATCATAGGGTTAGGCATTCCGAATTGCATCATTTGGTTAAAGTCTCCCACCCCATTGAAGCCCATATTGGGAAAGCCACCATTGGTACCATCGAAACCGAAGCCGCCAATATTCATCCCCTGCACATTGTTTTGTGCCCATTGCTCATTCTGACCCATAGACTGCTGCTGCTGCTGCTGCTCCATTTGCTTTTCGTTATCATCTGTCTTTTCCTGACCAACGCTACCGTCACCAGCCGTTTGCGTAGATGCTCGTCTTGAGATCTCGGCACCAGGTGACTGAAATAGGTCAGCGACGAGTGCTCTCCAATGTGAACAAATGGCTTTACCTCAATAGATTCCTGTGGAATGTCTTTCTGGGCCTCAGTAGGTATGGCTGACCCTTCAGTCTTCGAGCCTGCATGTTCCTGGGACTGGGGGGGCTGGGACACATCGCGAGAGCCTTGCTTGGCGTCGCTACTGTCTGTTGCTGCAGATGTGAGAGGCGGCGCCGAAGTCTCGGGTGGTTGTGGAGCTGGTGTCTGATCTGGTAATAGCGTAGCAGGAGTGGCCGGTGTAGCAGACACTTTCTCCACAGCTTCTTTCTTCCTAGCCGTTTCACGCTCCATAACTTTCTTCTTGAGGAAAACTTTGATTGTAGTTCGCAGTGCTTTGTTTGGCCGACAATCGTCGGGCACCATAGGCTCATGCAAGCATACTGGACAAGCTACAGGGAGCGAAGCCTGACCTGATGTAGATGTTAGCGTTACCAGACGGTTGATGAGTGTCGGATGAGCTACTTACAGTCTTCGCATATTGACTGATCACAGCACGGCAGGCGGAACGCGTTGTTGGCAAGCTTGTTGCAAGCTGCACAGCGAAGCTTGACCGGTATGTCATCCATGGTCAGTGACCTAGTATGTCGGTCAGCTAGCTGCTAAATTCATGTGTCTTAGCTCCACTTACGCAGCGATCTCTGCAGGTGTGGTCATGATGGTGGTGAGCTCTTGAGAGCAAGGTGAGGATGAGGAGGTCGTGTGTTGGTCAGTGCCGGTTTCACTATTGCCGCTCAGTCGGCCGAGTTGCTGTGCTGGGAAAATGGTGGAGGGGGTGGAGATGATGACATGGCCAGAAGAAGAGGCAGAGATCAGGGTAAGATGGCGAGAAACAACGCAAGGAAGGGTAAGGTTCACATGTGTTGATTCTCGTCCGGGTATCTGTCTGAAGTCCGCAAAATTGGGGGAGCCTTGGCAGACTAGTGTGCTTTGGGCTTAAAACAATTTCCTCCAAATGTTGACACACCCTGGGCTGTCTCTTTCAAAATTCTCCACATTATTCCTTCATCTTGTCTTACACTCTTTGTTTGTATGCTGATGATTGCTCCTATGTTTGTAACACTGACAGTCTGGAGGCAATGATTCTTGATCAGATCTCCTATCTAGATTGCCTTGTTTTCCTCTTCTTCCTTACGCCACAGTTGCTCCTGCGTGTCAGCGTCTTTGAACTTCTCGTCTGCGTAGTCCAAGCATTACCATTCTTCCGTGAGGACCTCTGTCAGGACAGCTTCTGTTCATCTGCCTACTTGCTGACAAAGAGCTAGTTATTCAGCTGCCATATGAATTCATCGAAGAAAGATATTTTACTCCAAAAAGGAGCAGATCACCCTTCGTCAAGCAAGCTTCACCGTTTCAAGATATTGTAATTCGCATTGTACGATATGCTTTCGCTCACTTTTCTACCAAGATTGGCAGAGTCTTTTTCTCCAAGCCAGTCGCCCTACCATTTCTTCGGTTTCGCATGCTTAGACGAGGCTATCTAAAATCGCCCATAACCTGGCTCGAGATCGACCTCAAGGATACTCATGGTGTCTGGATCATCGTAGATCCATACGACAAGCCTGACATTGTCATCTATCATTGTCACGGTGGTGGATTTTCTATGGGATCCTGCTACTTTTACCTCGAATTCCTCATAGCCTGGGTCAGTCTGCTCAAGGAGGCTGGCTTTCGGAACCCTGCCATATTCTCTCTCGAGTATACCCTAGTACCCGATGCCGTGTATCCAGCTCAGCTCGAGCAGACCATCACTGGCTACGAATACGTTCGCAAGATTGTCCGAGACCCTTCTCGCATCTGTGTTGGTGGGGACTCCGCGGGTGCAACATTGATTTTGAGTCTGTTGCTACACATCGCCAGACAACCGGATTATGAAAACCGGAGGCCAGGCTATGCTGCTCTGATCTCCCCATGGACAACTCTATTCAGCACGCAGAACCGGAACACCGCCAGTGATTTCCTTGATGCGAATCGGCTCCATATGTATGGACGCCAGTACGCGGGGTCAGATGAGAACTTGGATGATCCATTGGTATCTCCAGGGGTCTGCAATGATTGTACATGGTGGGCGAAAGCATCGCCGTCCAACGGATACTGTATTCTATACGGGTCTGAAGAGGTGTTCGGCCCAGGGCTACGTGATCTTATTGCTCTGTGGCGGAAGAGTGGATGCGCCGTCAGTGTACGAGAGGATGGAGCAGTTCATGCATGGCCCGTTGCTTCAATGTTTCTCTGCGATACGCAGGCTGAGAGGCAGAAGGGGCTAAGGGACATTGTGAAGATGATCAAACAAGCCATAAAGATACAATAGACTCCATTATACTTCTAGCACTGGCAGAAATCCCAGTTTCTTCTCATGAAATTCTGCGTTCCGTTTGGCAGGAAGCTGCACCCTTATCTTTGCCCGCTTATCGCCGTTGTAGCCGATTTCTGGCACTGCACCGGATCTTAGCGGCTCCAACAACAAGCCTTCCAGCCACTCCTTGTGCAAGCCATTGAATCTCCCAAACACGCCCACGAGCTCTTTTGTGCTCCTCCCCAGCTCTATCAAGCCTCAATTCCGCAAAGCAGCACAATGGCAACCGAAAAAGCGGCCACAAAGATGCCCGGGCGTAGCGAGAAGGGCAAAGGCGGCATCGAGCTCTACTCACCCACCTATTTCGGTGCTTGCGCGTTGGGAGGAATCATATCCTGTGGTCCTACTCACACATGTCAGTACTCTATGGTGACTGCATCCCACCGCGCCACACTAACCCACTCGCAGCCGTTACACCCCTCGACCTAGTAAAATGCCGCCGCCAAGTCGACTCCAAAATCTACTCCTCTAACGTCAGCGCCTGGCGCACCATCTACAAAGCCGAAGGCCTCCGCGGCGTCTTCTTCGGCTGGTCTCCCACCGCCGTCGGCTACTCGTTCCAAGGTGCGGGCAAATATGGATTCTATGAAGTATTCAAATACACCTACGGCGACAAGATGTTCCCGAATGCCAACAAAACGGTCGTCTATCTCGCGGCGTCAGCATCCGCAGAGTTCCTTGCGGATCTCGCGTTGTGTCCGTTTGAGGCGATCAAAGTTCGGATGCAAACGACCATTCCTCCCTTTGCCAGCACGCTGCGGGAAGGCTGGGGCAAGGTGACGGCGAAGGAGGGCACTGGAGGGCTATACAAGGGTCTCTACCCGCTTTGGGGCCGGCAAATCCCATACACGATGGTGAAATTTGCGACCTTTGAGACGACGGTCAATTACATCTACGCTACGCTGGGGAAGCCAAAGGAGACCTACAACGCCCTGCAACAGACTGGAGTGAGTTTCTTGGGTGGGTATATTGCGGGTATTGGATGTGCGGTCATCAGTCACCCGGCGGATGTCATGGTTAGCAAGTTGAACGCTGATAGGCAAGGTATGTATTCTTTTCCTATATGTCAATGAGAGACAACGGTGGGCTGACCTGATGTCGTAGCCGGCGAGGGCGCTGGAAAAGCCATGTCGAGGATCTACGGCAATATCGGATTCAAAGGTCTCTGGAACGGTCTGCCAGTCAGGATTGCTATGATTGGTACTCTGACCGCGTTCCAATGGTTGATCTATGACAGTTTCAAGGTCGTCTTGGGGCTGCCTACGACTGGAGGTCATTAAGAAGGTCCGAGAACATGGAACAGTGACTGTTCATGAGCAAAAAACCTTTGACCGTAAAGCAAGGCTGAGCAGTCATTCACGAGGGCACGCATACATTTCATGTGCAGGCTTGAGTAGTCGGAATTTATCTCTTGCCTGAGACGCCGACGGCGGTCAAATAGTGTTGCACCACGATTCAGCCGCAGATGTACATAGCATTTTCATGTAGCAAACAAGCTGTGGTTCTTCAAGGTTTCAGTCTTCTGCCCTTCATGATGCTCTTCCAACGTATCTGTTCTCTCGCATCTTGGAAAGTCTGTAAAATCGAGTGGGGTGTGTCTCTACTTCTCACATGGAGAGTGAATAATTGGCTGTTCTAGAGGCTTCGATCTCGACACTGACAATCTTTGGGGTCATGTTTTTGTTTCATCCCGTCTTTTTATCTTTCTATCCATCTAAAAAGGGGATTATTATGTTGAGACTTTTGAGTAGCGTGCCGTCCTTCGGTCTGTTCCTTGATCCCTAGAAAATGATATCGCTAGGTAAAAAAAAATACCTCAACACACCGTTCAAGTGAAGTCCTCGGATGAGTCCTCATCGCCATCGTTAAATCCATCCTCGAGTTCACCAAAACCCGTCATCTCCATGCTCAAACGCACTCTGAAATTCATCCACATACCCAGTCATAATCCCACACTGGCTCTCCGCCCTCTTCTGCTGCGCCTGCGGCAACCATTCCTGAATTACCTTCATTCGGTTCTTACTCGTCGGATGCGTACTCAAGATTTGTGGCGGCGCATACTTCTCTTCTTTCGCCATACGCTCCCAAACTCCTACGGCGAGGCTAGGATCGTAGCACGCCTGCGCCATCATTAGAAGTCCGATGTAATCCGCTTCTGATTCCATCTTCCGGGAGCCTGGCCGCTCGAGCGCGACGTCCAGTATGAATCCAGAGTCTTGGACTGATATGCCGAGAGTCCAAGTGAGTAGTAGCGCGAAAGGGATTAGGAAGGCCATTTGGCTCATCTTTTCGCAGGTGTGATGAGCGACGTTGTGCGCTATTTCGTGACCTAGGACGGCTGCTAGGCCGTCTTCACCGGCGCAGATGGGGAGTATGCCGCTGAAGACGAAGACTTTGCCTCCGGGCAAGACAAACGCGTTCTTCTCCTCTGGGTCATCTATGACCTTGACGTCCCACTTCTGCCTTTCCAGTCCAGCGGCTGGTATCAGTCTTCCTAGCACCTTATTCACCATCCTCGAGTGAGGGTGATCAGGCGGTAGAATGTCTCGTCCATACTGTTGGATCACCCTTCGATATCCTGACTCGCCCAACCTTTCTTCCCGGGCTGTTGATATACAGTTGAAGCGCCGCCGACCAGATACGGGGACTTGCTCAAGATTGTAATAGTAGAATCCTCCTGAGCCGAGGCCCACGGCACCGACGCCATAGCGGAAATTAGGGGATGTTCTCCACAGGCTGTAGAGGATCTGGATGTTTCCGAAGCGGTTGTACTGTGTGCGTTGGGGGCCCCTTTGGGAAGCTAGACGTACGGAGGTTCTGGGGAGGAGACTGTGGTGAAGGGGGGTGGATGGAGAAGCTCTTATGATCTTAGGCGACCAGAAGTGAGAGAAGGAGCTTGGCCATAGCCGGGGAGGCATTTGTGAAGGCTAGGCGGAATGGAGATGGAGAGTCAGTTGCGGTGGAGCACTGGAGAGGGATAATGAAGGAGTAAACGGCAAAACCATGGTTATCAGATCGCCCCTTGCGTCGGTTTTGCCAACGACAAAGCAAAGTACTACATGATCAATAAGTACCGTCGCAATCCTCTACGTCTGATCACTCTAAGCAAGCAGGCTCTGGTGAAAGGCTTTTGGTTTCCGCCAGGGCAGGCCCCTCGGCCCCCAAAGCTCTGCGCTAGAGTTCCCTAAGTTCTGTCACCGAAGCCTAAAGTAAATCTCCAGGACACAGTCGCTATGTACTCATGTCACGACACCACGCAATTTCCGCTACGTTTTACTCACTGTGTTCGAGGGGACTAACTTCCTCCTGCGAATCTTCTGCACATAGCTTAGAGCTGCTGCTAAAAGGAAGATGTGATGAATACGAAACCTAGTCACAAAATTCGTATGAACGAACGCCTACCAGCGTCTTTCATCAATATTATACAGAAGAAAGAAGATTCCTCCATATCGCTCCTTCGTCTGATTTCATGACAACAAGTCGAAGCGCCGTCCATACTATGTCTGTAATATGCAAATGGCTTGCACTACCTCGAGACGGTGCTTGCAGAGTTTTCCCTCTCGAGATTGCTACTTCCACGCATCAACCACGCTTGAATTTCGTGGCCATTCACCTCGCGGATGAAACGAATCCACTGCATACAATGGACAACAGCCCGTTCATCGAGTGATCCAGAACACTGCTGTCATGAGCAAAGGTTTATCGATTCGCAGAAAGCCAGATTTGGCGCGTTTAGTTGCAATGTCTTCCTATTTACTGGTATACTTCGTCGTAACGTCAATGCTACCAATGATGGGACGCCTCTACTCTTGTAGCAATGTCTACGAGGAAACGTTTTTGGCTTCGACCTGGCTTCCCTCGTGGCCTTCTCGTATTCTGTGTTTCATTCTCGAGCATCTAATGGCGCTTCTATCGAGTCCCAATAGAGACATACCAACACTGCTTCCTATCTAGCATATGGAAAGCAGAATCACAAGCTGTTAGCCAATTGAATCTATCTATTAAAAGATGAGTGATTCTCCACACTTCCAAAGAGTTCTCCTAAGACGAGGTGGTCTGCGAGAAAGTGAGACACTGGAAGCGCGATAAGGGACGTCGTTGAAGGCATTGAGTGCCGCCAGCTATCCTTTCGTCGTGGCTACCGTAATGGACCAATTGTTTACGAGGTACAGACACTTCTTATCGACGGTGGTTAGGTCATCTGCAGCTTACACCTATTACCAATGCCACATTTCTTTTCGCATCAGTATAGGCCTGTGGAATGGGTCTGGACGTGGCAGCTACCAGCATAGGCAAAAAAAAAATTACACATTGGAGGCACAAGATGACGCTATCAAAATCCCTATGGCGCTTGCGATCCTCGAGGTAAACCCGGACCTCTCGTATGGTGACGGCATGGTCCACACTCCCACGGAACAAGCCAAAGGTCCAGACTTTACACAATGGACTTCGGTAACCCTGAAGCCCTGTCAATGCTTCGAAGGTTACACAGGTCAAGCAGGAGTTGACACTGGATCCCAATCAAGACTTGTGGCACCGTCTAGTCGTGTGTAAATTCTGTTCTTGAATCATTTTGCATGTAGATTGAATGCCGCGTTTGAAGAAGAAACAGCGGCACTCCGGACGGGTTGGAGACGGGGTGCCGAAAAGGGGAGAAGGTTCCCGAGTCATTCCGCTGGCGCGCGGGGATGTTGCACTTATCGAAGAGGGAATTGGATGGATAGTCCGTACAACACACGAATTCATAGTCGTCGAGCTGAGCGTCATTGCACCTCACACTTTTACGACCCCGGAGTTTTCAAACGAGGCCAAAAGCCCATTTACTGATTAACCATATCTATGCAAGGCAAAGTATGTCCACACCCACAGAGTGTCCTCCCCCCTTTGCTTTTTACCAATGAATACCACGCCGCCTCCGCCTCCGGGTTCCTTCAGCACCGCTCTTTTCTCCTCCCGCTGGACCTTCTTACCAATATCACGTCGCCTCGGCCTTCTAGATCCTTCTTCGTCACCACTAGTGTTGCGTGAGACCACCGCAACAGGGTATCAAAAAGCCACGCAAGGACTCGCAAGTAGCTATGCCCGCCTGCAGAAATGTAGATGGAATAAATGTCGGAAAAATAGGTACTGTGTAGTAGTATGTGGTAAGAAAGTCGTCATAAAGCCGTCATAGATCTGCGCCTCCGCCCTCCTCCGCCGCCTGTGGATTTCTCTGAATACGTTATCAAATGAGACTCTATATTGTCGAAGCCGTTGGAGATAATTTGTCGAAGGGAAAATAGATGGTAGAAGGAATGTTGTTGCTCATCATCCCAAAATCATATATCCAGAAGTCATATCTCATCGGTATGGCGGCGCTCACTCTTCTCGGGAGAGGCGGTATGAGCAGCGTTGCAGGGAACGTGGCATCGATTCCCGATCGCTCATCACGCCTCCTCCATTAACGCCTCATCTCCCGCATCTCTCCACTCCCTCGAATGCTTCGTCAACCTCTTTACACCGGCTATCCGTCCTGCCCACAGGCTCTCAGACGGTGTTCGGAATGTGTATCCCCTTTGTGAAGCGATGACACCAATCGCCTGCAGGACAGCTTTCCTTGAATCCCGACCAAAGACAGCTGGGTGATTTATCCATTCGAGTGATGCTTCTAGTTCCGTATCGAGAGCATTCAGGGTGATGGCATCGATGGCGGAGGCATGGCCACCCATGCCGTTCTCGTCTGAGGCGGGTGAGGATTGTCGCTCAGGTGTTGTCGCACCGTCACCCTGCACGCTGGGAGGTGCACTAGGAGGTTTGGCGTTTCCTGCTTGAGGAATTGGCGGAAGACCTCCTTTTCCTAGCCCTTTCATAATGGTTCGGGTCTCCTTCAAGAGATGATGAGCACGGTCATGCTGTCCTCGGGTGACTAGGGTCAATGCTCTGCTAAGCATGTCCGAGGTCAAAAGTTCCATTCGGCGCTGCACAATACTAGGATGAGGTGGTATTGGCGGTGTTGCAGGCCTACCCGTGTTCTTCGCCCTAGGATTCGCAGGCAGCATCGTAATCGCAAGTAAAGACGGCCGTGATGGGTGCGTCAAAGTGCCATCGCGCAGGATATCTCCATATGTCAAGTCAGCTTGGATGAGCGGAACCTCCTCCACACTCAGGGTCCTCTGCTCATCACTGTCGAATGGCCCGCCTAGTGCTTCGAGGCCAGACACGATACTCTCCCACGGATCCTGTGGTAGGTGCTCTTGAGAGGAATTGTCAGGCGCGATGACGAGTTGAACGAGTATATCTACAGTCGAGTGGTCAGAAAGCCATGTCTCACCAGCAGGAATTCCCCCCGAATAGAGTCTTACCTCTCTTGTCTCCGAATCTCAAATCTCCTAGTGCGGCTTCAGCGTCCTTTCCAGTGGCGCGCTTGGTGATCTGTAGAGCACCCGAAATTTTGACGAATTTTGCGGGGGAACCTTCAGGCAAGCGCAACTTCAGTTTGACGTTTTGATGAGAGGTCGTCTGCAGGGCCCCTAAGCATCCGGCAACGCACTCCCGGAGCATCATCCAATCTTTGACATAGGTGTATGATGCTTTGGTACGTGTGGATAACTCGATCATCGTATCCGGCTTGTGGGTCAAACCAAGGCCAAAAGAGTGGATAGCGACCCTGGTAGACAGACGTTAGCACCCACGTCGCGCAAATTTCCCGCATGGCAACATCCGAGCGCGTGAGGGGTAGAAGACAAACTTACTTTGCAGCCTCTGCTCTGGATACGACAAAATCCACGCTCTCCGCATCGGACGTGGACGAGTCGCTGATGAGTAAGATGGTTGCAATGGGGTTGTTGGCTTTGCGTTGCATAAGTAAGTCCATGGCGACATTCGCGCCTTCAACAACGTCGGCCCGTAGACTTTTCTGCCCAACAGGCCGGATCGAGTTGAGAATTTTGGTCCAGCCACCCCATGCCTTTGTGGTCATACCCACAAGCGGTACACCGCCTCCACTCGAGCCAAATGTGACCAAGCCCATTCTATCTCTTTCACCAAGGTTTTGGACAAGGAACTTGAGCGCATCCCGTAGTAGCGTGATTTTGAGCCCCTGCATAGAGGATGAGACGGGGATGACCACAACGATGTCAAGAGGCACGTGTATGGACGCCGGCCTGCGCGTGTCCTGCATTGGTCTGCCCATGCCCGAAGTAGTGTACTCTGTTGGTGCGGTGTTAACCGACTTTGGCCCACCGTACGAGGAGTTCACTGACGACGCACGCTTGGTCTTCATCGTCCTGTAATCATCGTCGTCGGTGCCCGAGTTTTCCGGCTCGTATTCGTTGCTTTGCCTAGGGTGGTCGTGGTTCAGATCGAGAAGCGAGCGTTTCCAATGTTCGACTTGAGTCCGGGTCTGGAACTGAAGGTGAAACTGCTGTAGGTCTTGAACTGACAGACTAAGGGTTAGAACTGGCTCGTCGGGACTCGACTCCACATGCTTCAGGTGCTTCTTGATGAGGATCGATCCCTTGAGGGTACATCTTGTGAGCTTGCGTTTCGAATTCCCTTCCGCGTACTGTGGCGGCGCACCCTTCTTCTCTTTCACGCAGATAAGCATTTCAGCAAAGAGAAAGCATTCGAGCTCTTGCCACGACTGGCGGTCCTTGCCAACTCGTACTGTGCCATAGAGACGTAGCTTTCCAAACCTGTGAAATGTTAGATATAGATTGCAAGTGACTGAAGAGTAGCTGCATGCCTTGAGAAGTCCAGCCCGTGCCAGTTGTCTACGCGAACACGCAAATCTTCGGTGATCTCCTCAAGGACCTCGGGAGATTCAGATCCCCAGTCTGCTTGTTGGCTCTTGGCTGGGGATGCAGGCCGATTGCTGAAAGTAGCGCTGTCTTGTTGCATAGAGGGAAGAACAGGTGCACCTCGGAGATCCGCTGGATCTGGCCTCCATTTGCCTTCGGGAACCTCAATGGTGACCAAGCATGTTAGACTCTGTTGCTGCCTCGACCGGGTCAACGTAGGATACTCGCTCCTGACCGTCACCGTAGGCGCAGGTATTGGATTCTTGGTGATGCTTGCTCGCGGGCTGCTGAGTGCTGTTTCCATAGATTGGACATCGTAATCGTGCCTCCTGCCGGTATTGTTATTGTTGTTGTGAGAATCGCCATATTCGCCAGCAGGGTTGACACCGCCAGTGTTCGCACTTTCATTTCTGTTATGCTGTTGAGCCCGATTTTGACTCCCGTATCTTTCAATCCTCTCCCTTTGTATGTCCCTATTCTGTCTTTCCTTTTCCCGCTCCATCTGTCGCGGATCTTGCGGCTGTGAGCTTTCACGCTGGGTATTGCGATGGTTTGATCCGCGGCTGCTCGGTCTCTCGTGTCCTGTCTGAGGGTCCCAGGGTACCGGGGTGATGATCCGAGAGCTGTTGCCATTTCCGCTACCATTGCGTTGATGGTTGTCCCGCGCTTCATTATTTTGTGACACAGAGCGAACGATACTGCTCAGCTTCTCTGTGATTTGTTAGCGGAGGCGAAGTCTGTGATTCGTTGATGGTGGCATTACCTAAGTCAAGTACATTCCCGCCTCTGCTAGTGTCCAGGCCGAGCGGTGCGTTGCAGGTTGGACAGTATTGTGACTCAAACTCCTTGATGTACTCGTAAAAGCAAGCTTCATGAGAAACGTGTCCGCAAGAGAACTGCAATATCCTTTCGCCTCGAAGTGTGTGTTCCAAAGGCTCCTCGCAGACTGCGCACTCACTTCCGATGAACGTTCTCTCTCGCCGGGTTCGTGATCTCTCAATCTCCAACATGCCCGCCATGGGGTGGCCCGACCGCCAGTTGAACGAGGTTGAGGTACCGTTACTGTATGCGGGATTTGGCTCGCGGGCTGTCTGTTGAGCAGCAATACGGTTGAGGAGGGTTTTTCTATTCTTTGGCTTTTTTGGCTCTGGTGGATGATAGACGGGTGGATAAGGGCGACCTGATGCAGAGTGAGTGGAGATGGCAGACTGCTGACGATTATATTGCGGCCGTGCAGGCTGGGTTTTATTGTGCGATTGCGCGGGGGTGTACGTTGGGCGGGTCACTGCTTGGGAAGAATTATCTAGGAGGCGAGGCGAGACCAGTCAGTTTCCACCAAGATGGGTAATCGACGGAGCGTTTTCCAGAACGAGTCAAAGTCTTAGACAGGAAGTGAAAGTAGGCCATTGTTGTATGTTTTGAGGGATAAAAGGTGCATGGTTGGTGCTTACTTCTTCGATTCACAGGTCGCTGACCGTCTTTTCTCGGCAGCAGACCAAGTTCCGAGAGGTTGACGACCTTTTGTTTTGCAGAGAAGGTAGAGCTGCCTTTGCGAAGGAACTGTGGTCGCTGTATTTGGGAGTGTGGATCTGAAGACATAAAGGAGTAAAGGCAAGGAGGGTTCTAATGATTAATTATGACCCAGAGTGGATCAAATCATGTGTTTGGGTTGCAGCAGCGCAAAGAAGGTGACAGGGCTGCAAAGAGAAGAAGGACGTTAATCTCATCTTACTTCCTAACAGTAACTGTTTGGGGGGGAAAGCAGAGATGGCGTTGGAGCGTTTCGGGCAGAGTCCCAAGGAACTACGCCCTGTTCAAGTAGCAGCAGCTACCGCACCTGTCTAACTAGCAGCTCCTAGGCATTTAGGACTAAGGCTACGTAAGATGCTTTAACTGCAGGGTAAGCCTCTCTTGAATTGCCTAGTCGGAGCCTTGGAGGTACTTAGAGTAGTAGGGTGTCTAGGGACCTCATGCAGGCCGCTACGGCCCTTCCTACAGCATGCTATCTATCCACTTGTGATAGGCTCAACTCATTATTCTTTTCACATGGTGCTTGACCTGCTCAAGTTTGGCTGCCCCTAGTATTGAAGAGTGTTAGCGCATCAGAAAGCCATGCGACGCCAATTATCATGGATTCACGGTGGGCGAACTTTAATGAGGGGGGCAGGGGAAGGCGAGGAAAGTCAGGACTTGGATCGCCAGGGATCTTTGAGTGCTGAAGGATGCTGCCATTCAAGCCATTTGATTGGAGGATAAAGTTGACCTTCTCTTCCTTCATCCGCCAAACAGAGTGTGACGCTTGAAAGACGGAAGTTCGAGTACGGAGCACGGAAGTAAAGAGGTACGAGTAGGTAGGTATTCATGAAATGGGCGGGTTAATACGAAGAAGCTCTAGCATCGCAATCACCCGGGGTTACGGCTCGGGGAAATCTGCTCTGGGCATCTATCATTTCATGAGCCAATACCAGAGATTTGGTTCGCGATGATACTCTACAATTTATCTATTCTCCAGCCCCCAAGACGCGACGTTGTCCAGCTCTCTCTCTCGGAGAGTAGGTAGACTCGTGAAGAGTTGCGAAACTCTGAAACAGCTCAAACAGCTGCCTTGCTTACCACACATGACTGCAAGTCTGCAATGCGACGAGGGTGCGCCACTTGCGGCACATTTTTGGCTGCCATGGCTGCCTCTTGCATCATCGCTGGCCGTGCCGGATTGTACTATCGTTGCGATTCGATACCAGGATGCTGGTTGGATGTGGAAACTAGTCCGGCAGTCCTCCGAATGGTCGACCATCCACCATCCATTGTTCCGATGGTGGGGTGCCATCCCTCTACTACAGTATTGGATCTGCAGGTTCCTCCCTCTTCCTCCGAAATTGACGGTTCGGATCGTAATGCCATTTCGCGGAGAAAGCATATCTGGTCTCGACTCACAACTCAAGACTGAAGACTCAAGACTCAAGACTCAGAAATCAAAACTCACGGGCTGTCCACAAAAAGCTCTGAGACGGTATCGTCGTAAGTCTCAACGAGTCAGCAGACTGCTCTGCTGGCTGCTGACTCAGAATCATGCGTCTACCTTCGCCAAGGTCAGACATTCTGTGTCATCGGCCAATTCACGACAGCAGAATCCCATGGGCTTGCAGTGAATTATTCAGGCTGCCCGCAGGAGACTTTTACGCCATTGTGGGAAGAAGCGAATCCTTCATTCCTGCATCAAGCTCCTGCAGCAATGCAAGCCAGACAGCGTCTACTTTAACAGAGTATGTGCCCGAGAGAGAATTATACTGGTTGCTGATATGCTGCATGGTAATCAGCAGCCATACAATCTCCTTGCTGGCCCATCCTGATCCCTGCGCTGCGGACGTACACTGCATGTTGTTGCGACAGAATCCTGAGCATATGCACAGCATCGGAGCTGAAAATAAAATAGGGTGACAATGGTTGAATCATCATATTTAAAGTGCTTACACGTGAGGAGGCAGTGCGCAAGATTCCGTCTCAACGGACAAACATCAGGCCAATGAAACAGGGTAGTTGATAGATACATGGAGAATACTTGCATCCTACGTACTTCTAATGACGGATGAGGCAGAGCTAGAAGGATGACTGAACCGAAATCAACAGTAAGCACGCCGTAGCATTATTCAAACTTCAACAACGGCGATAAGCGATTAAAAGGCCAGGCTTTGAGAGTCATGCCTGCAAGGCGCCATGGTGTCGTGGTTCTCTCATCGATCTCACCCAAAGGATCAGCACGTCGCCAGTTTCAGGAACGCCACGTGCGTTGCGTGCTCTTCCTCGTCATGTGAGGCATTAACAATGGAAGTCACTCTTTGCGCTCCACATTTGACTGGTTGTTGAAGTAAGTAGTCCGTAATCTTCGGAGATCTGCTTGTTGATCAAATGCAGTCCCGGACGATCTCCCCAGTGTGCCACAGGCTATCGGGAGACTACCGACCGCGAAGCCGATCTTTTCCTTCTTCCTTTGTTCCCCTCCTCCCTCCATCACCACCTTCACGCAAGGAAAATACTTGACTTCCAAAGGCACATGGTGTAGATGTAAAAAACTTCAAATTGACCAAGAGAAAGATAGAGATTACACAGAAACACCTTTGTAAACGACGAACAGTCTCAGATACAGTATCCAAAAGGTGGGGAGAATTGGTGGTGATTTCTCCACCATCTGCTCAGCAAATACGAGTACCTACCGTAGATGATCATTAACCATACCTTCCGCTACCCTAAAGGCCGAAGCCCCAACCGCAGCGTTTCTGTCCCGGGCACCCGGAACTGCCTGGCAGGCTCTCACCACCCGTAATTCGCACTACTGCCTTCTTCATTGGTCCTCCGTCCCGTGTCTCCTCTCACTCCCCTAAGTTGATCGCTTGCCAACAATTGCAATATTTTATATTACATTGCATATTAGAATAAAGAGGGTTTCACGCATTCCCTGCACCCGCTCCTGCATACGAAAGGCCTTCAATTTAACCCCACGGCCAGAACGCAGGGATGTCTGATTGGCCGGGAGAGCCCTTACTGCAAGCTACAAGGTGAGCTAATGTGCCTTTATCACGACGACAGCTGTCTGAGATACGAGGCGTAACGCGAAACACGAACTGCGACATCTGTCACAGAATCCCTCAACGCCTTTTGTCTTGGCTCCAGCTGTTGCAGATATCTCGCCGTCTGGGTTATCGACGACGAAATCGGTTGTCGACATTATTTGCTAATAGGCAAGCTCTACGCTTTAGTACACCTTTGGTCAGATCAGTTGCTTCGTAAAGCTAGTTCCACCTCTTCCTTAGCTGAGTTGCTATCAGTAAGTAAGTACACAAGTCTTCGGTCTCCTATTTATCTCGCATCAGGCCTTTATGCGCCGTTCAGTGTAGGGAAATGGTACATATAGAATGTAGAAATTTGAAATACCGCGTCATCCACGCGAAATTGTAAAGGATGCTATCAAGAACCTTCGCATCCTTCATCAACAGATCCAACCGAGTGTGTGATACGTGATATTTGCCATCGTGCAAGATTACCGGCATTTGACCCCCCAACAGCTCTCTTCTCAAATCGATAAGCTACCCCCCAGACCCCCATCTCACGATCCTGGAAACCCTCGACCATCCATCAAAGCTTTCCAACCTATACCCGTTCACCGTCGACTCCACATTTCTGCCCCGCTTGAACAAAGTCTTGAGATCGATTTGCCGGGGTATGTATCCAGTCAGAGGTGAAACGCCACCACAGTTATGCCATTGCATTATCAGCCCGATCGTCCTACCCGATGAGTCTTGACGGGCTCAACCCTTCCGTGACTTGTCATTTCTCATCCGAAATGCATGGACACAAAGCTGCGCCGACCTGTGGAAATCTTACAGGACATTGCCTGCGAAAAGAGCTCTGTGCTCAACATGCAAGGGGCCCCTGTTTTCGGCCGGCGGAAAAGAACATGCGTCTTCAGCGCGCGTCACTGCGATTCCGGCTTCATTGCCAGCTGTTTCACCAGCCGGGTATAGTCGATGAGATATCAACCTTCCGACTGGGATTGGGACAAGCACTACCCCGAGAAACATCATCTCCGGGGACATATCGAGAAGGTGCGGTCGGAGAAGTGCGAATTTGTATATCCTCTGCTGGTCAACGTCCTGAAGTTGCTTCCCGGATTCCGAGCTTCGGAAGACGGTTCCATTTCGAATCCAGCATGCCGCACCTCGTGAGGACCGCCACTTCTCCGTGACGCCGTTGAGGGGCAAGTCTCTGTCTGCATTCGCTGCCACCTATGTCCAGCGCTTCCAGGAATATGCGATTTTTGGGTTCCTTGAGGCGGATCATCAGGACTGGAAGTTTTCCCTACCATACCACAATTCCCAGAACTCCTGACCGTGCGCGACGAAAAAGGTGGCTTGCACCCCTGGTCCAGCGGGGCGAGAAAAGAATTTCGACATCGAGGTCTGTAAACACCTGCCGGGATTCGACCCCGTTACTAGATGCGTTGGTGAATACGACTGCCGACTCGTAGGGGATTGCTTCCGGGATGCAGAACGAGTGGCCCTCTGCAATGACGCCTGAGTAGGGAAAAGCTCTCACAGCTATGGCAGCGGTCACGGTTATGGTTAAGTAGTCTACCAATATATGGGCCTCGCCTCTCAGGCCTATCCAGACGTCGGCTTTAGCAGTGTCCGAACGCTGTTGCAGAAGCCAGTCTACCCTTAGCGGCGGAGCAAGAGACCGGAAACATTCTCTGCGCTTCAGATGAGCGAGGGATAATGTCAACAGTCAAAAATGATTCGACGCTCAAGAGACGCTTCGTGGAGAACCGACCGTGTTTGGGAATAGACGGTAGCAGTTCTGACACTTCGAGGATGAGAGTATGTGAGCGCTGAAAGGCTGGAGCAGGCATGATCCGGGAAAGCTGAGTTTGTTTCATGGAGCCAACTGGCTTCACATCATCCTCGAATGGAAGCAGAGATATCTTGAATACCGAACCGAGCTAACGGCAGAAGATCGAGGGGGAGCCAGACAGGCAAGCGTGAAAGAGTGCGTGTTCGCATAATCTCCAACTATCGAAACCCGGCCGTGGAAGCCATTGCCGTGGGTGGGTAATAACATGTACCATCATCTTGGTTGATCAAACACGTAGATCCGGTCCAGTTGAATCAGACCGAACCCTCACCTCTAGACCACCAACAACAAACCGACCGATCCACCTCCCCCCGTCACCGGCACGAGCGACCAAGAAAGAAAAAAAAAGACCGCACGCAGCACCCCCATGCCTACCATCGCCATCGCGACTCCTAACCCTCGCTCGACCAGGGCGCACACTCAGAACGGACATCGGCAATTCCCCCGGCGCTTGTGAGCCTCGTTCAACACGCACAGTACGTTCGCAGGGGAAGCAGATGCCCACGCTTCACGAGGCAAGGGGCGCGGCTCCGGATCCATTTCCGGGAAGAGAGAGGAGCTGGCGCGTGTGCGGTGGGGAGGCGCCGGGGAGGGGGGGTGCTATGGCGTTGTCGCACGATATTGTGTAGCGAATGTAGAGGGTAGGAGCGTACGGATCAGAATGGAGTGGTAAGTGTATGTATAACAGACAGGGTGGAAAAGAAAAAAGATTTTTTAAAAAAAAAAAGGCATCAATGGCCAAGCGCGACCGAGGGTGTTGGGAAATGTTGCGCCGGCTGTGGGAGTCCGGCACGGGGGCTATACAAGCCTTCAGCTGTAGGGATAGACTCCATGATTCGAGCACTGGAAATCGAATCAACGAGATACCCATCAAATGGGATTTGGAGGACTTCCACCTCGTCAAATCTATACGAATGTAGAGTGACTACCCAAGGAGGTCCCGGGACGTGAGAACGATATGCATACCAAACCGCCTCCCCAAAAATGCTGCTCTGCGGGAGCTCCAGAAGTAATGCCCGTCACACTATCCGTATGCTTCCTCACATGATACTGTGCATGAGCTCTATGTTGTGACTTATGTGTGCATAGCCATCCAAAAGACCTATTCGTCGAATCCAACATCGTCATCGTTAGATCCGGCGTCATCCAAGAGCCATGTTCCCTCTCAATCAGTCATTCCTTCACTCTCCTCTCCACCCGTGCTATAAGCATCGATCATCTCGCTCTTGTGGTCCTCGTCTTCCTCCACATCCGCCATGTCCTCGTCCACAATTGGTCCCACTGGCGTTCTTATTTCGACCGATCTTTCCCCGGCTTGTCCATCCCCGTCCTCGGGCGGTGGCGTGAAGTCCCACACTTCCATTATAGTCCGCCCTGCTCTACTAGCCATCACAACACACCTTTCACTCTCGAATGCGACCCTCCACACAGCTTCTGCCGGTTGACTTAGCTCTCTGATCTGCGCTCCCGTCTTTGTGTCCCAGATCTTGACTCTGCCATCGCTGCCACCACTGACGATCCGTGCGTCGTCGAATTGAAGAGAAGTGACGCTATTGTCATGGGCCGCAAGACGGTGGATGGGAGCGTTGGTGATGAGTGACCAGACGCGAACAGATCCATCAGAGCCTCCTGTCACAAGTGTATTACCACGCATTTGAAGCTGACCAACCAAGGAAGTATGCCCTTGGAGAATTGCTTGACAGGTACTGTGTGGATCAATTAGTCAGTTACTGCATCCACAGGCCAAGATGGGGAGATCAGGTGTCATACCCGTCTTGCGGATTCCAGATCCTGACACTCGTGTCCAAGCTACCTGTCGCTATTCTGTGCCCGTCATAGGCAATGGCGTAGATTTGGCTGAAGTGGCCTTGCAAGGTACGTAGACATTGTCCAGTCGAAATGCTCCATATCTTTGCTGTAGTGTCGTAGCTTCCTGATACAACAAGATCTCCATGGATCTCCAAGCAGCGAACGCTAGCCTGATGGCCCATGAGAACGTTCGTGCATGCACCTGTAGTCAAGTCCCACACTCGTAGCGTAGTATCTCTCGAGCCAGAGATTGCTGTTCTCGCATCCGACATCTTGAGACAGCGAACAGTGGAAGTATGACCTCGTAAGGTGTGCACGCTCGTCCTGTGTAAGAGAGTCAGCGCTAGATCTGGCGACGCTCCCTGCTCGACATACCCAGTCGCCATGTTCCATACTCTGACATCTCGATCACATCCACCACTAACCAGTATATCTTCCCAAGGGACCATCGCCCAAACGCCCATCTGATGTCCAAGCAGGGTTCTTTGATGATCTCCCCTCGTGTTGAAGACATGAATCTTGGCATTGTCAAGGGCGACAACGATATATTTCTTTGTCAAATGCAAGCTTGTGACTACGCCTTGATCAGGGTGGATGTGCCTCGCTGTCATGAGACCTCCTTTCCTCCATGCCGACTCCACCAAATATCGGTGCTTGAAGTGTGATCGGTGAGTGGTGTTAGGCCTTGGTTTCCTTTGCTTTCGAGAGCCTGTAGTAGGTACCGGGTCATAAGGAGTCGCGACAACTTCCGGATCCTCATCGATAGCAAGCATGTTGTCAAGTATACGACTGGGCGATGCTGAGCGCAAATGTTGACTGTAGAGTATTTGGCTGACGGACGCGGTCGAGTTGTTCATGCTTGAGCCGATCGAATCGCTGGACATCCTGCGGTATGCGTGTTTCTCGCACAACGTTTTCCAAGCTTGGTCGTCGCTCACAATCTCCCGCCACCTTCTTGAAACCTGCGAGGCACGAACGAAGGTTTTGGGGTCATCGACAAATTCGAGTATCTGTGACAGGTCAGCTAAAATGCCGTATCAAATACATACCATCGACTGTCATACCCTAAAGCAGAGTTCGTTTGGCAAAGCCTTGAACGGATCCTTTTTCAGTCTCGGGCTCACAATCTGGTGCAAGAAGCTCAAGGTATGATTATCACACTCATCCACCAGTGATCTCAGCCAATTTTCCTTGGCCGTAATATCCAATCCTCTAAATGCATTTCTTGCTTCCTCCAGGATTGGATCCTCAACGTCATCCAGGGCAAGGTGCCAAGAAGTAGGTGATCTCTGATGTGGAGTTGGGCTCGGTGCAGGTGTTGGAGGGGAAGCAGGCGCGGAAGGCAAGAGAGGATTTGGTATGGCTTGTGGCATGGAGGAAGTGGTATTTGGCGTTAAGGGTGGTTTTGGATGGTTGTACTGCATCGACTCTTTCTTTCGAGAGAGGCGGGCCCCAAGGATCACTGGACCCGAAGAGCGTCTGGCATGCATAAACATATCGTGATCCGAGTCTGAGGCCATTCGGCCGTTGTTCCTGTACTTGAAGTCCATATCCCATAAAAGCTGACTTGTAGAGCGTGATCGTGCACGAGATCGAGTGCTGATGTATGTGTATGGGCGTGACAGGTGATGCGGTGACTGTCTTGGTCTGCTGATGATGTCGCTCCGGAAAGATTGCCGTGTCTCAGAGGAGAGAACAATGAATTGAAACCAATGAAGGTTCCAACAATGGAGTCTTTCACCTCTGATCCTCAATCCAAGTTCCTCAAGCTGATCGCTTTTGCAATCCTTGAGCAAGAAAGCCAAGGAAAGACGCAATCGCAGGCTGAGGTGTGTAAGAAGGAAATGGTATGTTCAGGGACCAGGTACACGGTTTTATGGTACATCGGTACCTGGGTGGTATCTAGGTACAAGGAGCAAATGGGAGAGCTCATGCCCGAGGTTGTCCAGACTCCAGTCCCAGATGCGCTTGGCGGGCGGAGTGTTCTGGCGGCTGTGAGGGAGGGATGAGGCGGCGTTCCTCGGGGAAATTGGAGGTTGCAGGGGGGGGGGGTGGGCTCGGTGGGGTTTTTCTAGGGCGTATCGCCTTCCTCTTCCGTCTCAGGTACCTGATGCAGAACTTCAATATTATTAATACTTCAGCTTTTGTTACCTTTGACGGTAGAAGGCGTGTGCACCACTTCTCAAGCAAGCAAGAAAGAATAGAGCGGTCGGGACCGAGAGAGCTCCCGAACTCCATAATAGAGAAGAGAAAGCTGGTCAGAGTGCCCAGATGGAAAATCGCTTTATTCCAAATGGCCTCCACCAAAAGAGATCTGAACCTGTTGAATGGATATTAAAGAAGATCACAAACACTGCTTTGAAAATGAACACCACGGATAGTGGACGCTCTGAGATGATGGAATTGTCACTTGCTGCAGTATCATGCGTTGACTGTGCTCAAGAAAACTTAAGGTGCATTTGCAACGACGTGATGTTTCGTATTCCAAGCCTCAAATGCTGTCGTGACTGCCGCCCCGGATCTTTGCGTGATGGCATCAGTTGGGGGAGGAACCTGTTTTCCTTACCCAATATTGCTTCTCCGGCCTGCAATAACACAATTGAGTTCTTAGCTTGTAGAGACTCAACGACCTATGCACAAATATTACTATGTAAGTCTTGTGTGTCTGGTTGCTCAAGCCTCCTGAGTCCTCAGATCTGATAAAAACTTTTGGATGTGTCCTGAGGATATTCCCAATGTGTTGATCTCTCCAACGAGAGAACAACCACCCTAATCGGCACACGTAGGGCACTCCTATTCGGAAACCAATACCCAGCTCTCGCGACTCTTCAGCCGAACGTTCCCCTTCGCCGAAACGCTACTCCTCACCCAGACGCTTCTTACATCCCAGAGTACCCAGGGGATGGACTTTTCCTACATACCCAACAGAATACACTGGCTACACTGATCTTGAATCCACCTCACGACGGCCAGCGAACATCCACCACCACTACGAAATGCGTTTCAAGCCTGCTCAGATCATCTCGCCATCCTACCTCTTGAATGTCCGCATCCTCCAAGTCGTGCTCGCACTTATCTATCTGATACTGCTATGCTATTGTGGTATTCACCACGGCTGGTGGCTCAACCTTCATCAGCCGTTGGGCTTTGGCAGTGGGTGATCCCCCTTTCTCCTCCACTCGCGTACCTACTTTTCTTTATCAGTCAATCTAGCGAGGTTTGGTGTCTGGTCTACTGCTCCATTCACCGCTCGCAACCACCAAGTCTTGTCAACAGTTACACATCATTCTCCGTCTCTATCTGTCTTAATGAGCATCCGAGATCGACCGCTCCTTTCCTGAAAGCTGCTGACTTTCGACCAGTCTCTGCCTCCTTACTCACGATCCTAATCGCCATACCCGACATTCTCAACCGAGACTTCACGCTCTCGAATACGCTCTCCACCTACTTGTTCCATTTCCTCCGCCTACTCTTCGAACTCCTCCTCATCGCACTCTGGTGTGCCGCCTTCGTCACGATGCTGCTACCCAAGGGCAAGGACTTCAGGCTGCTCTTTCATAGGCCGCCGTACGTGGAGTGGATTTGTGCGGTTGTGCTCGCTGCGATTGAGCTGTAAGTAGATCATCCCTCCAGCTATTTGGGACGAAAAGCGTCAGGAGTTCTGGAAAAATGGTCTGCAGATGCCACCACTGACCGGAGTTGCAGGCTGGGTTTTGTATGGAGTATGGTGCTAGTGCTGCAGGAGAAGTACAAGGTTTCCGGTGAGTCCGCTTAAAGATCCCCTCCCCCAGGGCGCCGTTGCTGATATATAGTCTAGGCTAATCGTGTTTGAGAGAGAAATCTGCTGCGAGAGGGATGCGTCTACTGCGGTATCCGGAGTGAATACCTGATGGGGAAGATCGCTTTGTCGACTGCACTTGTCGCATGCTTGGGTTTGCCAACGGGCTTCGCTGCTAATCTGTGGAGGCCGTAGGATATCGATAAGAGCATCTAGCCATAACGTGTGCTGTATCGATACCCTTGCAAAATCTTCGTCTCACGTCATCTCTTCCGTTTTCTCCCCTGGTTCGACGGACTGAGGGTCCACATATCTTGCAAAGTCCATGTAGATAATTCGGGTGTCTCTCCATGTCAAGACGGGCATTCACAACAGGAAGCACAGGATCACCTAAACGCTTAATTTCTCTATGAGCTTTTGATAAGTTGCTCTATCTCCACATTTCTCCTCCTCAAATTTTTCTAATCCTCATCCCAATCCGGATTCTGCCCGCCCGGCGGCTTCGGCCCTCCAGCCTGCCTCGCCACGATGATTTGATCCACACTCAAGACCGTCCTTGCCGCTTCCGTTGCCAGCCTGATCGCCCACTGCTTTGACACCAGCAGATCCAGGATCCCCTCTTCTTTAGCATCTAACGTTCCTGAACCATCCTCGTTCTCCACGTCCACACCCATCGTCCAATCAGGCTCGTCGTCTTCGTCTTCGTCTTCGTCGTCGTCATCCTGGTCCTTTTTGTTGGAGGAAGCTTTGTGGTGGGCAGCATATAGCGTTGCCAACACTTCCGTGGCGTCCAGACCCGCGGATTCGGCAAGCGTACGTGGTATGACCTCGAAAGCTTCCGCGTACTTCTTGATAGCATACTGTGACAGTTCAGGCGTCCTTTCACCAAAGGCAGATATACGCTCAATCAGTTGCATCTCCGTAGCCCCAGCTCCAGGCACTAGTTTCGGATCTCTCGTGATAGCTTTCACCACGTTAACGCCGTCGTCAATCGCTCTCTCAATGTCGTCGAGGTGGTTCTGGGTAGCCCCTCTTATGACCAGCGTAGCTGTTCGAGTAGCGTCGTTTTCCTGCCTGAATACTGTAACACGGTCTCCGCCTATCTCCAGCGTTTCGACTACGTCCACTTTCCCCATCTCATCCGGCATAGGGGCGCCCAGACGAGCAAGAGGTGTAGCGCCCACGACGCGACAGAGACGGCGGAGTTCGAATTTCGAAAGGACTTTAACGACTAAAATGCCAAAGCGATTGAGATAGTGGAGTGCTAATTCTCCCACGGTTGAGCCTGCTACGACTACGCGCAGGCCCGAGTCGTGCAGTTCTTTGATGATGGTCTCCAGTTGGCTTTCCTCCCCTTTGGTGAAATCCATCATCTCCTTCGCATTGTGCAACAGCACCGTTCCTTTCGTTTCCGTCTGGCTTGTATCAATCGGACACGAGAAGACGCCCACTTTAGCATTCTTGGCCTTTTTGATGCTTCCATCGGGCTCGCGGCCGAAGACCATGCCTTTTACCACTTTGGATTGTTCGAGGCTACCGCCCATGATCTTCACGACGCGGATGTTGTCGACGTTGAAGTTGACAGGCTGCTTGGGTAGAACGGCGAGAACTGCCTCTGCGACCATGTCGGCGAGAAATTCTTCGGAGCCGGACTGTTTGGAGGCGATTACGGTACGGATGGCTTTTGCAAGTTCGGGGTGGGAGCGGAGGTCTTTTACCGAGTCGACGACAAGCTCTGAGTACCGTCAGCAACTTGTTCCCATCTTGGAGCAGTAGCCCGTGAGATTATCTAGAGACGTACGATCCAGACACCTCAGCGCCTCCTTCTGTGCCCTCTCGAACCCTTGCACCACATCGCTAGTCTTCAAACCCATCCTCAGCAGCTCCTCCGCCTTCTTCAGCATCTCTCCACAGAGCACAATGACCAGATTCGTAGCATCACCCATCTCCGCTTCTTGCTGTTGACTAGCCATTACTATGAGCTTCGCTGCAGGGTGGACGACATCGAGCTCTCGTAATATGGAGGCGGCATCGGAGGTCAGAATCATTTTTTGCAGATGGTTGATGACGATTTTGTTGCGGCCATAAGGACCGAGAGATGTTTGGACGGTTTGGGCTATGGCTCGACATGCTTCTATGTTTCGTATCACAGCACCGTCTTCAGATTCGTAGCTTTGAGGGTAATTAGTTGGAGGTCTTAGTGGAGGTCTTATATTGGGGCGCCGAATATCACATACTTTTGGTATCCTTGCTTGAAAAGACCGCCATTAGGCGCACTGGGCATAGAAAGAGACATCTTTGGTGGGCAGTAAGAAGTGAAGAAAAGTAGACGGTGTACAAGTAGGACGACTTCGAGAATTGTGTTCTTGGCAAGCAAATCTTGGGAACGCGAACGCGCGACTGATCTCGGCAAAAACCTAAAAGTTTTGATGACTCTTGTCCAAAGATGTCCACATCTACAGACAGGGAGCTACCTATTTGATTCACGTGGTTCCATATTCTCAATAGCCTTCCCCAGTCTTTTCAATTGAATCGCCATGGCCATTCCCCTCCCGATACCTCCACTCCGTCTCTTCGAGATCGACGACCAGTCTTGGTACCGAACCTCCACCCCACCCCGCCCGTGATCACCAATAAGCACTAATACCAAACCCAATCCTAGGTTTCCCGCCCCTCTCCGCGCCTCCGTCCAAGCAGTCCTGACCTTCCTCTGGGGGTATAAAGCCCCCATCCTCCAGCCTGCACCCCCCGCCTCCCTCGTTGCCCGCACGCTCCAATCCGTCCTCGGCCCCTCCATTACCGACTACACATTCGTCGATTTCTGCTCAGGTGCCGGGGGTCCCACACCGTACATAGAGCGGGAGGTGAACAAAGCCTTCAACAAGTTGAACGATGGAGGAAATATACTATTACGGAACGGGCACACGGGGGCGAACGGGCCTGTGAACGGGGATGGATCTGGAGGGCGAGGAGGAAGGGTGGATTTTGTGATGACGGATATACACCCTCATCTACCAGAATGGGTGAGAGCCAGCAACAAGAGCAACGACCTACACTACGTCCCGTCCCCCGTCGATGCGGCCAATGCCCCGCACGACTTGCTCTCGATGGCCGGCACGCAAGAGCAGGATAAGAAAATCTTCCGCCTCTTTTCTCTCGCCTTCCACCATTTCCCCAACCCTTTGGCCACTCGCATCCTGCACAACACCCTCACACACTCCTCCGGCTTTGCGATCTTTGAGCTGCAAGGCCGTGACTTGGGCAGTATAATCACGATACTAGGAATGTTCCCGCTATTGTGGGCGGGGAGTTGGTGGTGGTTTTGGGGCGATTGGGGATTGCTGTTCTGGACGTATGTGGTGCCGGTGGTGCCGTTCGTGTTGGTATTTGACGGAGTGATCAGTTGTTTGAGGACGAGGAGGGAGGGGGAGGTGTTGGGGTTAATTAGAGAGTGTGGGGCTAGTATGGAGGGGTGGAGATTTGAGACTGGGAGGGAGGTGCACACGCGGACGGGGGGGACGATGAATTACTTTATTGGAATTAAGGAGGGGGGAGGGAAGAAGATGCAGTGAAAGAGGTCTTAGGAAGCTGCACACGCGCGGCGACAAAGTGCTTTTTCCCTGGCAACAGCAGCAGGTGCAATTCTATGGCACATCATGTATGTAATCTATGGTATGGACTCGCTGAGATGCTAAGACTGCAAAGGGAAACCGTACGAGAAGATCGTACGAAGCCATTATTCATTCCGATCAAGTATCATCTCATGTAACTCAGTCGACCTCTTCAGATAGAAGACCGTCTATTGTCGGTTTTGGCCTCCGTAGTATCATCATCTCCAGCGAGATGCCTGGCCCAAACGCACAAGCAACCACATGCTCCCTGCCCTCCCCCATGTTCCTCAACTGGTCCATGACTGCCATTATCGTCGCGCTAGAACTGTTACCACAGTTGACGTAGATCTCGTAGCTTGCTCTTAGATGGTCTACAGTCAGGTTCATCGCTTGTTCAACGCCAGTAATGATCGTTGAACCTCCGGGATGGAGCGCCCAGTCAAAGTCGCTGGCCACGGGGGAATTACGGTTCGTGTGCAATGCTGGGATCGATTCCAAGAGGTCTTGAAAGGCTGGAGATACTGCAGCGGCTGCCACGGCTGGTACGCGGGGCGTGAGGACGACTTTCCAGCCTTGAGAAAATTAGCTTTCGGGATATACTGAATCTAACCATGAATACTGTACGAACCAAACGGATCAACATCGAAGCCCAAATCTTTATCCGTATCCTCCAGTATCTCATGCTTCCAGCCCAGGATCTCGTAGACCGGCGTGGGAATGTCATGTTCTTCCCCAATACCATTGCTCAGAACGCAAGCCGAAGCGCAATCGCTGAAGAGACAGACTCCGATGCGAGTCTTCTGCTCCTTGTCGATTGAATCCAACTCTGACCGCACCATTACACTCGATACTTCGCAAGCTAAGACCAACACTCGTGCAGGCTTCTTGCGAAACGATGACCCCAGTGCCAGGTTTGCGGCTGCCCGTATTGCTGCGAGTCCACCCGAGCAGCCAATGCCGTGTAGCAATATCTTTTCCACACTGGCCTGTAGGCCCAGCTCTTTGGTAACGTAGTGATCGAAGCCAGGGTTGGCAGAATTCGTGCATGTCGTAGAGACAACATGTGTAATCTCATCCACATTCCCACCCCATTCTTCTATGGCCTTCTTGCATGCTCTAACGGATAGGTCGACGCCCTCTTCGCGGAAGAAGTCATTAAGCTCGGTGATGCTGGGAGCAGTGGGCTGATTAACGAGAGGATGATCGATGTCGCCGACGGCGGCACGAGTGTCGATCCCGGTGTAGCGATTGATGGAAAGGACCTTTTTGAGACTGGAGTAATGCTTGTATTAGCATAAGGACGGATAAGCGTGACGGGCCGTTGAACACCATAAGCCATCGAGGGTTAGAGATTAGGAAAGTGAGATCTGACTGGAAAGCCTCACGCTGTTGACGGTGGATAAAACCTATTGGCCAGAGTCTCGAGACATTCTGGTCCTACCCTGAACGGCGGATATTCTGCACCGAGACCGAGAACAGAAAGATTGAGGCCGCTTTCAAAATGATCGTGTGTCGTGGGGCCGTTTACGGCAGTGGGTGACATGGCTGAGACGACGATGCAAGAGAAAACTACGATCGCACTCAAAGCCGCAATGCGCGCTCGTGATCCACTACCGTACTAGTATCAGTAGCAGGACTCTGTGCTGTAAAGACTGTTGGGAAGCTAGTAGATGTAAGCTGCGTCGGCAAGACAATAAAGTCGAGTGGTCATGGCTAGCGAGAAACGGGATGACATCGATAATGCAAGGCACCACGTTAGAAGGTGGGCGATTGGATAGTAAATACCGTAGCGTGAGATGGTTGGGGAAACGAATACGCATCCAGCAGGAGCAACCAGCGATTGACCTCATCGGCGCCGACTATCTCCAGGATCTCAGGCTCCGAATCTCCGGGATCGCCTCAAATTGCTAACTCTATTCATCGACTTCTCACAAGACCCTCTCAACCTCATCTTTGTCATATAAGCAGGCAAATGCTAAGTACCTTCTAGATGTGACCAGAGCACCTGGCCGGCCTTTCCCCCGATTCGCTGAACCCCGCAATGTACACCTTGGTCGTCTGCTTGGTTATAACCATCACATTATGGTTCCTTCAAGGTCAAAGGTCGGCCATTAGACGCAACGGGAAACGGTTACCGTAAGTCCAATTCGCAGTGAAGCCTGCCGACTCTAACTTGCAACATCAGACGGCCTCCCGGAACCCTTCCCTTGGCCGGCAACGGCATCTGGTTCCTCCAACCAAGGCATAAGCTGCTCGATTGGTTCGTTCGTTGCGAGAGGCTCGTTGGATTCAGCACATTTGAGATATCCGTGCCGTCTCTACCACCAGGCATAGTGATCAATGATCCTGCAAACGTGGAGCATGTCTTGAAGAGCAACGACATCTTCATCAAGGGAGAATTCTTCCGAATCAGATCCTGGGACCTGTTTGGTATGTGATTGGCCCGATTAGTATTGTTAGGTAGGATTCTTGAGATGACTGTCGATGTCCTTGCTGACGACTGAATACTTCAGGAAATGGCATCATCAACGCTGATGGGGAATTGTGGAAGATCCAACGAAAGGCTGGACTTCGCTTCTTCAATAATGCCAATATGAAAATTCTCGTTGAAGATGTTCTGCCGCCCATCCTTGCCGACACCGAGGAATCCTTGGACAATGCCTCGAGACAAGGAAACGTCATGGATCTCCAGATCGTGCTCTTGGATCTCACCACACGCTTGATGGGCAACATTGCTTACGATGTGCGTATATTCCCACGCCCTTTCCATTGATAAGCATGGGACGGTTATGACGTGTGCAATATATATGAAGGTCACTAAAGCTGAATGGTAGTCACTAGATGGATATGCCCGCGTCTTTACCGTTCTCGAAGTCCTTCGACTTCGCCTCTGGCGCAATAGGAGAACGTTTTCAGAACCCGTTCTGGAAGGCCAAAGAATTTATACTTGGCGCCTCCCTTCGTAAAGCGATCTTTGACGTCAAGATCTTTGGCAGTAGCATCGTCTCCGCAGCGACCCAAAAGAGAAAGGTCAAGTATGGTTCGAGCGAAAACAACATAGCCAAGAACTCGAACCCGGTGCAAAACAATCTGATCAACTCCCTGTTGGACCACATTGATGATCATCAAGTTGTTGCTGATGCAGCCATGAATTATTTATCTGCGGGCATGTAGGCTCCACAATACAAACGTATGATCACTGACCTTCGCTCTAGGTAGAGACACCACAGCTCAATCTTTGACTTGGACCCTCTATCTCCTAATGCGCCATCCGGGTGCACAGGAGAAGATACTGTCGGAGTTGCGTTCAACGTTCGCTGGAGCTAAAGACGACCTTCCTTTATCTTTTGACACTGTGCAACCTTCATACCTGCCCTACATAGCGGCAGTCTTCAACGAAAGCTTACGATTCTATCCACCGGTGCCAGTCGAACTCAAAGAGTCCACTGCTGAAACGACATTTCCGGATGGCACCTGGCTACCGAAAGGATCAGTAGTAATGTGGGCCACTTGGGCAATGGGTCGCTCAAAGAACACCTGGGGTGACGACGCTGACGAATTCCGGCCTGAGCGATGGCTCATAGCTGGTGACGAGTACGAAGCATTGACTTTGAAGACGATGAGTGCTTTTGCATTCCCAGTCTTCAACGGAGGTCCCAGAGCATGCCTTGGCAAAAAAATGGCCGAGCTTTTGGCCATCCATGTTATTGCTAGTCTGATCTGGAAGTATGACTTTGCGGAAGTATTTGATAAAGAGACCATGCCCGGAGAGACACCGAAGGAGAGACGAAGCCAGAATAGCTTGACTTTGCCCATGGAAGGTGGCTTGCCTTGTTATGTACGACGAAAGGACTCTAGGCCAGGAGAGTCTCTATAAGATCCGTCCATGCAGGGGAAGTCCAAGGTTTATATAAAAATAATGTTCTTGGTCTTGAGAGATCCGGCTTTCTTTGACAAATACATGCAATGGGGAATAGTCTTCCAGACACGGCTGACTAGAACAAAGTAAACATGACTGTACTTCCACGTTCATAGCTCTCGCCGCGGGTAGTATCTATAAGTGATTAACCATCCGGCATGTGGACAAGAAGTGCTTTCAGCGGAACACATTGGCATCGAGGAATGTTTCCGGAAGGTTCTTCAATGCTGAGCCTTTGTCACAACACCATACTCTTGCATCATAGTTTGTGATCTTACCAACAGCAACCTCAGAAACACAAGAAGTTGGTCGCTCCTTTCTCAGGCCTGTGGCGGTCTGTTAGGACGCTATTGAACCAATCCTTCGAGCTTGACCTTTCTCACAAACCAGCATATTTTCGACTAAAAACACATCTTTAGTCTTCTAACTCTTACTGGCCCTCGATACCAAAACATCTCACGCTGTCCGCCAAATTACCAAGTGACGACCGCTAGAAAGTCCAAGAATGCCCCCATCATCTCGTACCCGCCGCTTCAAGGCAGACAGCGTCAAAGAGAGCGCAGACCCCCTCTACAAGAGCGACGACGAGCAGGCCCATCCCAGACCCATTATCCGCAAGTCAAAGGGTTCTACATCCAAGCGAAACAATCCCCAGCAACCCGTTTCTGAAGCGAACATCTCTACAGAAGCACCGATTATCAAAGCGGATAACTCTAGAAGCCCAGAGCCGCTTTCTTATCTATTCGGGTACATCACGAAACAGGTTGGCAAGAAATATGAGAAGCCTGTCCGCGATGAGTTTCATAAGGATCTGAAAGCGATCGGAGAAGGACGCAGGGATGCGCACCCTGGACACGCGGGAGCCATGGATCGGTCTCTTCAAGAAGTTGCGAGGCTCAAATTGCAAGCCGGACTTGAGACTGTTCAACCAGCCATCGCAGAGGAAGTTAAACCACTTGAGGATCTCGTGATCTCCGAATATACGATCCGATATTGGAAGAAAAGACTTGCTACGATCAAAAGAGATAACAAGAGAAGTGCGCAACGGAAACAGATGAAGTTCACAAGGGCAGAGGTGGCGGAAGCTCATGAGATGTGGGTAGCCAAGCGAACTGCTTTGGGACTACCCCTAGACGGCGACCTCGACGACCTTGCACCAGCCGAACGTGCCTCAGACGACACTGAATAATCAGCAGACAAGCACAACGACGGTAAGAGCGTGACTACTACGCGATTGGTTCAACCAGAGACGAACGCGACTCCAGACTCGGACACCTCAGCTGAGGAGCAACCCAACGAGAGCGGTACCGATGATTCGACTGATTCTGATTCTGATCCGGAAAGCTCGGAGGAGGCTGTATCGGAATTTTCATTTACGGCTGATGGCATTGAATCTTCTGAGTCGGGCGCCTAAGTGCGAATGGTTTGACAGGAAGGGGATGTCCTAGGCTGAGCTGGAAGTAGTCCTATTCTACGAATTTGTCGCAGAGTGCTAGGTTACCCAGTACAAGCCTAATCATTCCTTTGTGCCCGCTTTTGAGAGAGTCAAACCGATATAAGAGCCTATTTGCTGGCCCGTCTCCCCAAATTCCACGCCTTTCACTGCTTTAGTGGAGGGCCGCGTGCATGACCAAAGGCGGGTAACCCCAAGATCAGTCTCCCTCCTTGTGCTGCATGACCCCATTCGGCTCGCCAGATAGCAAGACCTCAAAGGAAGATTATTTGCTCTACGACCCTTCCTTTCCCCCAGTTGCTGTCGCCAAGACCGTTTTGTATCGGCCTCTTCTAGCTAGCAGCCCTTTCAGATGTTTAAAGACCAGGAGTTCAACATGTCTCGCGCCAGATTGTTTCGCTATGTAACCTCTCTCTTTTCTCTTCAAAAGATGGTCCGGGAGCGCTTTTCCCGGGGTTTAGGTGGGTTCATAGATCCTGAGATCTGAGCGTAGGTGAAATGACTTTGGATTGGTGGGTTGCATGCTATCTAAAACCAGGCTCTCCGTAACTATGACCCGCCGACATTTTTCGGAATTTCGCCCTTTTTCAATGTGGAACCGACCTGCGCAACTCCCCTAACTTCCTATCTCTCGGCGCGGTACATATTACAGGCGGGGCAATTTGTTCCGCGTTTGACGCCGAGCCGTCCACGACCGACCCTATTACAACCTCCCATACAAGCTGACTAGTGGCGCCTGAGGTGGAGGTTGCTGAGGCGTTGTTTGATCTACTGGCCCGCGAAAGAAGGCGACAGCGGTATTCACGAGCTCTTGGATGTGGTTGATGGCGGTCATGATCCTCAATCACGGTATGTTTTAGTAGATTGCTGCCAACACAGAGCAAGCAGGTTTGTCCTGACTTACGCGATTGAACCGGAATCTGACTCGTAAGCGTACTCTCCGTCTGGAATTGATGCGTGAAGCTGATGGAGGTGATAGTGTCTGGACTTTTCTAGATAGTAGGCACTGCTGAACCTGGAGTAGACCGGGAATAGGATTTGGACCAAGCGGAGGGTGGCGACGGGTGGAGATGGCAAATCCGTTGTAGTCTTGTCTGAGTTTGAAGGAATTTTCGAAGCTTTGCGGGCCTGTGGTGGAAAGATAAGTAAAAGGAAAAGGAGAAAGGAGAATTCTTATACACACCAGGTCGTTGGGAAAGCGCCAGAAAGCGGAGAACGCTCACTTTGAGGGAGACATCTTTTTGCAACCAGACTGCCATCAACTGAACCCCGTCCGTAGACGTTTGACCAACGGCTTCTTAACACAAGTCCTTCGCTTCTTAACTCAATTCGGCAATCGGGCAATATGGCCGCGCTGTTCCTCGGTAGTTGTCTTCGGTAGCATAGGCATTGGGCCACTAGCAGCTCGGGACCAGTCTTTTGACCACTCACTGTGCAACGATCTTGCCCCATCATGACTCATGTGATGGGGTTTATTGCATAACGGACGAGTAGATAAGGGCACGGGCACCAAGCCAATGACCGTGCGAACCCAGTGTGTCGGGGTTGGGAAAGGACTCTGCATTCTTACTATGACTCACGCTATACGAGTTGTAAATGGAAATTCGTAGCTCGAGTGCGTCATTGGACAAGTGACCGCATTCTCGCTTGAAGGTAGTGAAGAAGTGTTATTGCCATGGGGGCCGTGACCTTCTAGAACCACACACTTCGATTTGGCTCACATACTGGCTTCATTGAAACATTCAAGCTGAGATATAGTGCGAATTTCGTTGAAGATGGGTAAATGATTGAGCAATATGGCAGTCTTGTCTGGCAGACGGTTGGCAAGTAGCCAAATCCTCGTCTGGAATGATAAATTGGGAGCCGTAATGGACGATCAAGCATTGGAATCCAATCAAAGCCAGCGAATGCTTTGGACAGGAGGTGACCGAAAATAATTATCAAGTAAAGTATCTTAGGGCCGTGAGGCCATTCGTGAGAAATGCTACTAGCGGCGGCGGGAGCCCCACGCGCTTACCCACATTAGCGAGTGATCCAAACATAGGCCACCAAAATCACCTAGTCAACTTTCTTTCTTCTCCGAATACTTTCACTTTGCAGAGAGCTGTGAGTAATGAGGCATCGTGCTTCTTCAGCCCAGAGGTTTACTAGAGCATTCGTGGTGGCGGGTTCATCTCTCAACTTGGCTCATCGTCATCAACCCTACCAGCTTCATATCAGGAAAATATCATCATGACAGACAGTTACAAGTTCGAAGGGTACAAGTGGGAAGCTTTGTCAGATGCATATCCTGAGCATAGCGCTTATCGGCGCTGGGTCCAGTCTTTCTTTGATAACATCAATTGGAATGCTCTGTGCAGATTTGCTTCAGAGCTCAACGATGGCAAGGATTGTGCGGTGGATCCACAGTGGACTATTGGGGGACGCCACCTGATCCGCATTATCAACTTCCAAGATGGTTCACGTTGGATTGCCAGGCTCCGAATGACCACCCGTATGAGCGAAGATGAACAAAGTGGGCTGGTTCAAAGAGAAGTCGATTGCCTCCAGTTAGTGAGAGAAAGGACTACTGTACCTGTGCCAACGGTCTTTGGCTACATGGCGAGCACTCGAAACGAGATTGGCGCGCCTTTCATACTGATGGACTGTCTATTTGGCAATATTGGACCGGACCTGAATGGTGACATCGATCAGGGTGTCCCCTCCCAACACAAGTCCTCGTTCTATGCGGAAATGGCAATTCTTCAGGTAGGTTGATCTTTATTCGCCCTCTTCCATTGCTAGCTTTAACGAGAATTCAGACGGAGACGTCATCCATTATGTTCCCCAAGATTGGGGCTATTATTCGGCTAGCAGACGGCACTTACGACGTTGGCCCTCTCCCCGGAATCGGTGGACCATTCAGTACAGCAACAGAGTACCTAAAGGCCTGGGCAAAGGCTGCCGAGTTTCCTGACTTTTCGCAGGCCAAAGAAGCCTGTGGGGAGTACTACGACGATGTGATGTCTCAGATCGCGGAGTTCCCTCATAAGCTTGAGGAACTCGCTGCGAATATCCCTATGCGAGATCACGGTCCATTCCCTCTTTTCCACAAAGATTTTGGCCACAACAACATTGTCGTGGATGATGACTACAATGTACTCGGTGTCATCGACTGGGAACATGCGTGCTCAGTACCTTGGGAATGTATTTATTTCCCAATAACATTGTCGCTATTGCCGGCGCCGATGGATGCTCCGGAGAATTATGATGAGAATGGCATAGCTAAAGGTGCGGACACTAGGTCCATGATCGAGGAGCGAACAAGGTACATCGGTACAGTACAAGAGGCGGAACGAAGCAAAGGGCTATCGTCCTGGCTGTCGGCCACTTTGGCGGATCAAGGAAATCAGGACCTTGGGTACGCAATGAAGCTTTACACCGAGGACGGCAAGTTCGGCTTCTATAACAAGATTCTAGATGTTCATCACGAGAAGTGGAGTGGAGGGAAGAAAAAAAGCTGATATGTCTGATGGAGCAGGCAATCCGGAGGGCTTGCGAGACGGCGCTCTTCCACGAATTGGAGCTATTCTGTCTACTGCGCTCCCGTGCAGCTTATGGCCATGCACGACGGGTTCTCAGGCTGCTCTTTGAACTGACTCGGCGTTTGTCTAAGCTGTTTGGACCTGCCTGAATTTAGCCAGCATTTCGATCGTTACTGCAAAGCTCAGGGTTGTCGCGAAGCGTCTTGACCCCCATGTGTTGACTGCAGTCTAAACAAAGAAGTTACGTCTCCGCACTTAGTTGTAGTCTGATGAATAGGGCAAGCAATACCAAACTTTAATTCGCATAGTGATGATGTTTTAATGTTGGTGAATGGTGCCCCAAACCAGCCGCGCGGAGCGCCTGGCCTACTCGCACAACCTTTTACTTCCGAAATCCCCCTGCTGAAAGAGCAGACAACTGTTCAACATGTCACCCAACGAGGCACAGGGTGTTTATTTAGCACCTGGAGAAAAGAAAGGCAACGATGGCACTCTGACAGTCCTGGGATGCGGTGCGTATGTATTCGCGCAAAGCCTTTTCCAGCTACCGGAGCTGACATCCATGCTCTCAAGGTACTCTCGGTATCGCCATCCTCTCGGGCATACTCTCTTCCTTATCTGAGCAAAACCTTGCGCGTTCAACCAATGGTACCACCACACCATCCGAAGAGCCCCCTCCTCGTACACCCTCCCGTTTCATCGCCTGCGTGACACGCCCTGCATCTGCAAAACGAATCAATGCAGAGCTTTCACAATTGACATCTGCCCTGACGATCCTACAGAATGACAATCTCAAGGGCGTTCAAGAAGCAGATGTCGTGCTGCTCGCCTGCAAACCCTACAATCTCTCTGCCGTGCTACAAGAGGAAGGCATGCGGGAAGCCTTAGGAGGAAAACTTCTGATCAGCATCCTGGCTGGTGTGCCTGTCTCTCAGATTGAGGACACGATATACGGCAAAGGTAGCAGCGAGACATTACCAGCGGACCCCGCCGTGGACGGCCGATGTAGGATTGTGCGAGTCATGCCAAACACTGCTTCCCTTATACGCGAATCTATGACAGTCATCGCAAATTCCAATCCTCCGCTACCGCAGTCACTCGATGCACTAGTCTCATGGATGTTCACTCGCATAGGCAGGGTTGTTCACCTTCCACCGGCGTCCATGGATGCTAGCACAGCTCTCTGTGGCTCTGGACCAGCATTCTTCGCGCTGGTACTTGAGGCAATGGCAGATGGAGCTGTAGCTATGGGCTTGCCAAGAGCAGAAGCGCAGTTGATGGCTGCGCAGACGATGAGAGGGACTGCTGGGCTGGTGCTCAACGGTGAGCATCCGGCTATGGTGAGGGAGAAGGTCAGCACTCCTGGGGGTTGTACTATTGGAGGACTGCTTGTACTGGAGGAGGGGAGTCTTAGAGGAACGGTGGCTCGGAGTGTGAGGGAGGCTACGGTGGTGGCGAGTCAGTTGGGCAAGGGCATGCAGGGAGTCAATGGGACAAGATTCTAGATTACGCAGTTTGAAGGATTTTAGCCAGAAACTCTGATAAACAACAGAGGGCCATGAGGTTTGACTAGACACAACTGTCAGGTTTTGATTGCTTTCCAGATCAAACGTCCATCGGGCTAGCAAGCTCTCTTGCAGTGCAAAAGTTTTGGCCCCAGTGGGAAGATAGACGATAGATATATTGACTTTCGGAGAGATTTTCTATTGGTATTTCGACGCAGACGTAACGTTTTCAAGTATAGCGTATCTCAATATGAAAGCGCGGTTATCTCGTCTATTTTGTGGAGCTCACATCGACACGGAATCTCTCTACAAATGCACACCACCCAGCTAGTCCACGCTCAACCCAGGACAAGATGCCTCTCACAATCCCTGCATAGCTACATAATTCTTCAAGACTAACTGAATCTCCCACTGCTCAATCGCCTTTACATTCACAGCATACAAGGAGAATTGTGACCGTGGAAGATTAGCCAAATCGCAACCAGTAAGTCATATTCTACTTCCCTCCAACCCTCTGCAGCTTCACCATTATGGGGCAAATGACGCTAGTGGGCCATCACGCTGCGATGACGATGCCACACACGTATCGCATCACGCAGCTTGAGGCCACTTCCTATGCCACCACTTCGCAGGACTCATTTCACATGGATCGGGCATACGTGAGAGAGAAGCTCGAGCTGTTGCGCGCCGGGCTTCCCGCGGCTATCGGAAGGATTCTGCGTCAGCAGCAGTTGTTGAAACAGACCGCTAACACAGTATCGCCTTCAACAGTGGCTGCGGGAAACGTCCCACCCCCTCTCCCTCCCTCGGTGGAGGCAGCGTACAAAAAGAAATGCATCGAGCTAAAGCGTCGCCTGATCGAGGTTGATGAAGATAATGACGCTAAACGCCTTCGCATTGCCCGTCTCCATCAGGGTATCCGCAAAATGCGTCTTGAACGCGCATATTTGCTTGAGGCATTGGCAAAGCGCCAGAAGAAAAACGGTAGCAGTATTGATGGCTTTCCTGTAGCCTATGATGAAGAGAGCGAAGGTAGCAGTGAGGGACCTCCAACGGTATGATTGTCCAAGGCAAATTACCAGTCCACGCATTTATCAACGCAGAATACCATGTCACTGACTCTTCTCTCGCAGCCAAACGAGAAGCCTCTCCGCTCCAAGCGAAGCCACCGTCGCCCTGTCAGCTCACCGCCACCCATCTTGGGACCGCAATTTCCTCGTCCCATTGCCCCATCGCAAGGCCACCCAACCTCCGCGTTCGACGCTCCGGGTAACCATCCATTCCGCGAGTCCTCATACCAGCAAGCCCCAACTACAAACGGTCATCCTGGCATGCACTACCAGTCTCACCAATCACCATACGCATCCAACATCGGCCGTGACCAACAACAGCAGCAACTCTTACCACGTGCCGCTCCGCCTCCAAACGCCTTCGAAGATTTCCTCGAGAACTATGTCCAGGCGCGTCCTAACGAATACCCAGCTCGTGACCAAGAGGAGCTGCTCCAATACGCCCGCGGTGCATGGGATGATCCGGCCAAGGTTGAATACCGACGTGTCTACGAGGAGAGATACGGGCGTCGCTTCCAAGAATACATGGACAGCGTGAACGAGCTAGAGGAGCGTGAGAGGTACGAGCGTGAGCGTGAGCGTGAGCGTGGCTACGAGCAGAGAGGCAGAGCTGGACGCTACGAAGAGAGGGAAGTGGAGAGAGAGTTGCCGCCGCCACCACCGCCACCGCCTGCAGCAGGGGCTGGCGCCCTGGGGGGATTCACGAGCATCAATGCTTGAGGAGGCTCCGACGGCGTTCTTTCGGTTTCATCTACTAATCGACGAACTGCAATTCAACCATGACATATTCACATCAACGGCATCATTCTTTCGGGTTTCATGATTTCTATACCCACCGAGTACGATTTCACGTACTACTACTGTCAGCAAGCAATGTGCTCATTCGGGGCTACGGCCCGCAGCCCATTGCTGCATTTGAGCTTATAGACTTTCGGTTGAATCACAACAATGAAAACATGCATCAATCATTCTTCCACGCATTGCTGATTTTCATACGTATGCATAGTGTGAGGATTCATTTGTCCACGGGTATGTTGCACAGGATCAGGCTTCCACGTATATACAGGTTTTGTGATCTTCAGCCGATCTGTGTACAACATCTAGACACTTTGCCCTCACAAGAACGCATTGCGTGTGTTCTGTTGGGTTGTCCCAATAACTAGGTAAGTAGGTACTCTCCTTGCCCTGTCCACGCCACAAACGGCCCGGTGAACGCCTTCCCGTAGGACAACTCTCCGTACGCCCATTTCCAGGTACACTGGGAGCAGCGATTTAGTCGACGCCAGCGTACAAGTCCACAACGATATTGATTGCCGCAACCAGGATCTCGGCCGCGATGAGGACGATGACTGAACCTCGGATTTAGCACCGTACACTTGTATCAAAGCCCAGCTCCAAAAGCCAAACAAAAGACTGGGCGGAATTGTGACTTACCGATCCATTCCAAATACTCCCCATGCTTCGTCCCTACCTGATCCTTCAACACGGCAAGCAAATCCCCAATAACGCTCAACCTCTCCGTTAACAATCCCACCCTCTGGTCCATTTCTAGGTAACTCCTCACTGCCGCATACACGGGTTCTAAACTTGGTTCCGCCCACATGAGCTCCGGACTGTCGAGTACGGAACCTTGGAGATGTATGTTGATGCGTAATATGAAAAGTTGTCCGATTTGTTGATGGATCTGCCGGCGGGAGAGAGATATGGAGCCGGTCAAGGCAATCTCGGCGGGTAGGGGAGAGGTCATGGTGATGGTAGTTGTTAATAGGTCTTCGAACAGAGAGGTTTTGACGCTTTGGGCTAATGCGTGGGAGATGGCGATTTTGATCATGTAGTTCTTCTTCTCTCGGAGGGATATAAAATCGTTGTAAATTCGAGCCTGGTATTCACGGGTATAATAGAAATTGAAATTCTCTGTCTGCACATCGTCCTCGCTAAGTTTCTCGGCTTCGAATTTTGAGATTTCCTTTAGGAAACGCTGTTCTTGTTGTAATGTCATGCCCCAGATCACCACGGTGCCGTATTCGAAAAGGAACACTTCCGGCGTGTGAACTTTGGTGTCAAAGTCCTGAGTTGAAACGGCGGGAGGAGAAGACTGATCCATTTCGAGAGCAGTATGGTTGGGAATCGAAGATTCGCCGTTCTCGAGCGTGGTATCGCCGGCGGAGGTGGAGAGATCGATGAGGTCTTCCCGGCGGGTGTGGGCGTTTTCATCGACTTCGAGGGCGGAGTCGGAGTACCTGCGCTCTCGATTTTGGGGGAGCTCGTGCTCATCGAGGTCGGGGCTGTCTGTGTCACTGGCGTTGGAGGGTCTGCTCTTGCCTTTGGGGCGACCGTAACTGAAAGGGGAATATATGCATTCGTCGAACAGTTTCGGGTTGGCGCCCCGTGTCCGACCCTTGGCTTTGAGGTATTTCATGAGGCCGTCTAGTCGGTACGAACTCGCTGTGCAGTAGGCCGTGACCCGAGGGAGCTTGTCTCTGTCTGCTTTCCCCAGCCTCGCTGCATCTCTTCTTGCGGTTGGGTCTTTTATCCTCGTAAATTGCGAATAGACATCCCTTCCACTTTCTTCGTCCGGTCCATCCTCTCCAGGATCTGGATTCGGTAAGAGTTTTAGCTTCTGCGCATTCTTTGTCGTCCTCTGAGGTCCGATTTTGGAAGCTGGAGGTAGCATGGGCGGCTGAGAAAGCGGAGAGCCATGACTGTTCCTCCTTCGGAGCTTGCTGTTCAGTGCTGAGAGCTTTGGCGGGCCGGCAGACGAATGTCCAATAGCAGGGAAACTCGGAGAGGATTGAGGAGCTGGACGCAGAGGTGAGGTAGAGTCTGTAGGACTGTTTGGGTCATTGATGGTGGTGTGTGGACTAAAGGTGACGGTTCTTTGTGGTTTGGGAGAAGTGGAGCTCGAGGGAGTTGGCGGTGGTAGGAGCGGTGATGTTTCTGTAGAAGTGGAAGCCATTGCAGGTATGAGGCAGATGTTCTTGATGCAGTTTACATGTAGAGTATCAGGGATCCGGAATCGTGAGTCTTGACATGTGATGACAAGTGTGTTGTTGTTGTTGTTCTAGTTGTTGTATCATGGCGAATAGGTGAATTACCTTATATTTGGCAAAAAGGCAATGAAATTATCCCTGCACTCTCCTACTTTAAAGACAAGCGTGGCCCTGAGACTAATCCTTATTGGGTCCTTCGTTCCCAAGTTTTCCAGTACTCTGTCGACTTTCACACATTGGAATTTCGGATTATTTGTTGTTAGGAAGAACAATGTATCTATGTTCATAGCTAGTCTCAGTACTCCTCACTCCACGCTTATTCCGACAAATCGTGCATTCGAACAGCCTCCCATCCCTGGAGCTACCCTGAAAGGCCACTGATGACGCTCGTAGCTAGATCATAACGATGCCGAGTACTCTACAATGTATTGGAGCAACCATGGCTTGACCGCGTAGATGAGGTTGCTGATAGAGCCAAAGCACGACGTCCATCATGTTCTTCGTACAAAACCACCACTGGGCTTCCGGCGCGGGACTGCAAGCTCGCCTTTGAAACCCCGTCGACCATTGAGCCAGGATTCCCGGAGGGCTTTGCTGGCCTGGGAAGACTTGGGAGGGAGAATGGAGCGGCTATCTGGTAGGACACGAATGGTGACGTTGCCGCGCTTGATGTCTGTGGGCGGTTTTGGTTCGAGATCAAGGAATTTTCGCTTTTGGCTGATGGCGAGCTTGCCATTCAACGATGGAGGTATTGGAGCGTAGACGACTGGTTTTGCTGCAAGGATTTCTTCTGGAAGCAGTAGCGGTAGTGGGGTCTTTCCAGAAGATTTCGGCTTTGCCTGGGGTATTTGGCCTTCGCCATTGATGTTTTGTGGCAACTCACCCAAAGACTCGGGCTTTTCGAACGACGTCTGACCATCCTCTTTGCTGACTTCAGCCAAAGACCTCTTCATCCCCCGAACTTTACTTGACGGCTGGTCTTTGGATCGAAAATCCTTTGCTGACTTCGCTTGTAGCCTCAGCCTCTGGTCATGCTCTCTGCGTTTGAGCTTCTTATCTGCTTCTTGCCTATTTACAATTAGCTTTCTTCCATCTACTACTACATAGACATAGTCTCGAGAGAATGTACCTTGCAGCAACCTTAGCCGCGCCCAGTGCCGATGTGCGTGCCTTATCAAAGCCAGCTGATGCCGTGACTGTCTCCGGCGCCTCGTCTTCGCTTTCGCCTTCATCCTCTGGTAGGTCTCCCTGAATCCCTTCTTGTTCTTCGATGCCGGTTGAAGGAACCGTCCCCAGTACGTCGATATCGTCGCTGCGGAACCTTTTGTGGGTGGCCTCAGCAGCTGTGGAGGATGTTTTTGGCTTCTTTCCAAGGTTGTTTATGTCCGTTCCATTCCTGTCCACACCAGCAATTTCGTCCGAAGCTTTTGCTCTCTTCTTCTCTATTTTGCCCTTTCTCGGTCTCGTTGCGCTACCAGAGTATGGGTTCACCTGGTCGTGTGTCTCCGACATCTCGTCATTTAGTCTCGGTGCATCATTGGGCTTTTCGATAGCCACCTCTACGGCTTTTTCCTCCTTGCCGTGATCGATGGTCTGTTGAGTAGTAATTCCGGGCGTCTGTGGAGAATTCGGACGGCTACCCTGCGTTGAAGACTCCAGACTTGACTCGTTGAGATCCGTTGCGTGGGCCACGTCGCCAATTGCAGATTTTGCAGAAGCCCTTCTGCGGGGCCTGCCTGGCTTGCTAGCGCTGGAGGAAGATGCTGCGTTGACAATCGAATTCGCTGAACTACGCCTCCTCTTCGCCACGGCCTGCGCTGGGCATTCTTCCTCGTCTTTACCACAATTTCTCTTTTTTTCGTGCACTACAACCTGCGGGTACAGTAATTTCGAGGGTTGTGAAGCACCACTAGCCGGCGTGTTGTCTTGACTTCTTGTAGACACCATGCCTTGCTCAGCGGCTCGCCCTAGCTCAGTCTGTATCTGCTGGTCGATCTGGAAGCTAGACGCTGACTCACTAAGGGCGTTATATGGGAAAAGGAAGGCTGCAGAAGAGTGTAAAAATCTTGAAAACATGGATTCATGGGTACAACCCTGACCGGGCTGAGGTAATTGGTGGAGTAAAGTTTCGTGTGCGTTGCCAAGATTTCAAGGCACCGAGGAAAGTCTGCCGAGAGTCTACAAAATACATCTAGGGGATGTTACTCCCCTATTTTCTCAAACGTTGACGCGCCTCATGCCGACCAGTTGATCCGACAATTTGGTAGCATGTCAGTGGAAGGCCACCCGAACGTTGCATATATGATAGGTCTGAGATAGTATCCATGTGCCGCAATCCTCCCTAGAAGTGCAAGCATATCCCCAGTTCATGCAAATATTTGCAAATATTCGGATATACACATGCCTCTTCGTCTGGGCCGAGATATTCATCTCCTGAAAGGATTGCCTGAAATTTCTTAAGCACGTTGGGTCTACGACTGCATCTTGTAGCAAGGCATGTGAAAGCCTGCTTACTTCTGTAGTATGCTACAGCTTCCATCCAGACATCGTGGCATCTGCAACTCGTGCTTACTCCCCATTCTAGAAATTCTTGCGAGTCTGACGAAATCCTGAATGGGGGCCTCACTGACGTGCTCCGTTTTTCTCACACAAGACCTCAGCATCCGCGGACCTGAGAGTCTACAGCTTATATCTACCAGTCAGAAGGCATATCCCACTTGGGTGTATAAGGGAGCACGGTTACCTGAGGCAAGGCGATCTGTTGATGACCCTAATTGGTAGATTCTTGCGCTTCCTACAGCTCGTGTAGCATCGGCTAAGGTTTTGGTCTCGTCTCATACTGCAGCATTACACCGCAGGGTAGCAGTCAAGGCAGCATGGTCGACGGAGACTGGCTTCGCAAATTCTGCCCGAAGGGTCAATGTAGAGTCTTCTATTAATGAATCAGGGGCCAGCTTTTATAGCATCACCCATCTTGCAGCTTGGGTATAAGAAGGCAGGCCTTCCCTCTGTTCTCCATCTAATCTTTAGAGCACCCTCCAGAAAGCAATCCATCATTACAGGTCAACCATCCTTACCTATCATACAAAAACTCAATCACTGTTGCCTGTTCTCCTCTCTTCAAGCCTCGAAGACAAAGTTCGGAATAAATCTTCGTTCAAAAGCCACACTACCTACACGCACCACTCATCATGCGTACCTTTAGCGTTCTCGCCCTGTTCACCACCCTCTTGGTTCTCGGCGCCAGTGCCAACCCTCTCGACCTCGTGGGCCGCCAACTTGCCCATGAAGAACGCTGCGGCTTCTGCGCCATCGCCGTTTCTGATGGCGCTACGTGCTCCGACAACGGCAACTGCTTGCCACAGTGTTGCACCTGCGGAGGGACTTGCTGTGCACCGGATTGGGTCGGGTGCTAGATGCCCTGCGCTCGCGTTTAGACTCATCGAAAAGCCTCAGTGGTGGTTAGGACAACAGCTTCCACGTATGCATACTGGATTGTTGTCAGTGGTCATCGACCCATCCTCAGTTGTCGAGGGATTATGTAGGAGGAGATGTGACGGACTTGATTATTTGTTCTTTGTTTTGAGTCTTTCATATACATGTAGTGAGCTGTAGGGTTATCTTACGACGGTCTTTACCTTTGAACGGCGAGAATGAGGGGAGCGGGTCTTGAAATATGGTTTTTTCGAGTTTAGAAATTGTTTGCTTGTGAATTTCTGCGAACCATAGGACGGACTACCTTTGTCCAGTGCATTACCGTTCCAAAAAAGAGACGTCATCCTTTGCAGTTGGCACTGCTTTTCAAAGTAACCCCACTTTATCATTTTGCAATCCCCAACTATGAGAGCGACCTTGCTTCAGTCATCCCAGCACAGACGCCTCAAACGTTGACTTTTGAGCAGCAAAGAAGCGCGTGATGTTCGTATCCCTTACCGCGGCAACAGATCGCTCACTCTGTATGTTGAATACGATCCTGCGCCTCCAAGGCTCTCAAATTAGGAATGCTTCAAAATCGCTGCTATACTGCAGTTATCGCCAGAGAGTCTCCTGGAAATGACTGTCTTGAAATTAATACGACCTCGTCATGCCGTCCAGGTTTCCTTAGGATGGTTTATTATTTCATCCCGGCTTTAAAGCCTTCGACTTTCTAAAAGAAGCCGTAGCGGGGGTAAAGCACTGGACGGATAGAGGGTTGCAGGCTGATGGAGAGGAGATTCATCTGCAACAATGTTCTATCCATCATGGCAGGAAATACCTGATGACACTCTCAGAACCCGTGTTCGGGAAGAGACGAATCCTACGCCACAGCCCTAACGCCGGGCGCGACGACCAGTGTTTCCCCCTTTATGTGGAATGCCCAGTACTGATATAAACGAGGTCTTTGTTGCGGAGCGCCGGAGAAGGGTTTACGAACCGAGCCTTGACTATCCACATCCACGGTATGGATAGGAACTTCTTACGACTTCCAACAGCTCGTTCCTGAACACTATGCCTGAGAGACCCATGTTCAGCATTTCGGGGTCCGTACTCAACGCGCGTCTCCCGTCTGGGTGTTGGTGGAAACGGAGGAGTCGTAACGACGAATCAACCTCCTGAACAAGATACAAAGCCTCGAATCTGTTCCCGATTACTCGATTGCCCAGCCAGCATCGCATCTACCCACCCGCCTTGATTCAATAACCAAGACCTCCGCTCTCAGATACACTCAACTGCAACCCTTACTCACCGAATACATACCACCCACCCACCCACCCAACCCAACCCAACGCAGCCACCGTGCGCGATCTCAACCGGTGCGGGTACCGCGAATCCTGCGGCTGGTGCGCTTACGTGATCGAATTCGAGAGCCAGACTTGCGCGAGCTATACCGGCTGCTTCAACGGCCAAGACATCTGCCACAAGTGCGGTGGGACTTGTGGCGAGGGCACTGAAGCTGCCGGGAACGAGTACGAAGGATGTCCCATCGGTAGCGGCGCCGCGACGCCGTCTTGTTGAGGGGAGTGAAGCCGGGTGGGATGCGGTTGAGATTTTGTTGTTTGAGGGTTTGATCTAGTTTGTATTGATAGGAATCCGGCATTTGGCCGTCGATATGGTTCGTTGCCTTCTGTCGTTGAGCCGAGACTTTCACTATAAAGCGAGGAGCTGTTTGTCTTCGTCAAACCATCTGCGATATCTTTGGCCTACGAGAAAAAATCATTCTCGAAACGTCTCCACGTGCATTGCGTTATCTGTTGCATTGGACTTGAACAGCCTGGTAAGTCTCGTTGCGAATTCTCTCAAGGAAATGTACCTTTATCGCATGAAAGTTGTCCTGGTCTATTTCGCACGCTATCTTCTATGGAATTGGCGCTTGAGCACCGAGAGTGAAGTGCATGATCCCCCTAATCGAGGCTGATGCTTGCGCAAGGTTGTTCACCTTAGCGGAGGACATTCCCACCTCTAACCTTCACTTACTCAAACGCTACGCTGCCTCCGAGTCTTTGTTGCCTCCACCCCATCTCTCATGGTGCACATCTAGAATCTTAGAGTAGTAACCACGCTTGCCATCGATTGTGTAGAGTCTCATCGCGTACGCCAGATCTTGTCCCGCACGATCGCTCAACACTGCGGACAGCGTGGGCGATAGTGCTTTAGCCTGTTCGACCTGTCTGACCACATCCACGTACTCATCCATCTCTTTGAAGGTCTTCTTTAGGTTCTTCTTTAGAGGCATGCCAGCACTATCGTACCATTCGGATGGAGACATCGGTGCTGGTGTAGGCATGAATCCCATGGCAAAATGCACCATTTCCCAGGGCCCGGTATGAGAGTATTCCCAGTCAATGACCCCAACAACGTTGTAGTCGTCATCCACGAGAACATTCCATGAAGCAAAGTCTGAATGGATAAGCGGGAACGGGCCGTCATTTCGAAGGGGTATATTCGCGGCGAGTTTCTTCAGTCTAGAGGGGAAGGTGAGGATTGAAGCTTCGAGCTTGCTGATCTTCTCTTCAACTTCTTTGTTGTCTACTATCTTCCCTCCCGCTGCCGCATTGCACGATACTCTTACGTCTTCCAGATGGGGGAATTTCGCTGACTCTGCCCAAGCCTCCAGGTACTCTGTGGCGGTATCGAAGGGCCCACCAAGCCCTGGGAGAGGACCTATGTCGTAAGTTCCACTGTGGAGCCGAATAATGGTCCCAATCTTGGGGAATGTCAGGGAAGACATTTCTGTCTATTTTTACTGTCAGCTTGACCTCGGAACGGTACAATAACAACCAACGCACCTGGATCCTAGCCATCTCAGCATAGAACGCTGTCCTCTGTTGTGAGGTCATTGGTTCTTCACATTCAAGACTTATCGCAGTGTTGCCAAGCAGGCATTCTATCAGCATGAAAGATGCTCCAATATCATTTTGAGGGTTGGCGATAGAGCCGAATACTGTTGGCACAGGTATGCTTGTTCGCTCTTTCACCAGCTGTATGCAGTTGACCTCTTCTTGAAGAGCAAGAGCAGAAGCACCATTTGCTATAGCATCGCTTGATGTTATTCGAAGTCTTGCAATCCACCGCGTGCCGTTCTCAAAGTTGATAATGCGAACCAGATTGCGCCCTCCCATCGTAGTCTGTGGATCCATTGTGCAAGGCTCGTTTTTGTTAAGCTTTGAGGCATATTGGCAAAGAGCATTCCAATTGATGCTGTCATGGAAAGCATGCGTCTCCTCGGAGCGATAGAAGGGTGATATCCCCTCCCATTTGTAACCTTTGAAGTTGGCCTTGTCCGTCATGACTGTGGTGGAAAGCTCGCCAAGCTGGAGTGAGGTACCGATGAAGTCGAAGCAGCTCGGGACGAAACCTTCTTCAGCTCAAGCTGAGAAGACCTTGTAACAACGAGTGCTTAAGCACAACCTTGAGCTTGGAGTTTGTAGAGCGTTGTCTGTCGGAATTTGAACTTCGTTATGAGATGGTATGAACGAGAGTTTCGAAGGGGTTTGCCTCGGTGGTTTGTGTCACTGCGGGTTGCCAAGTCAACTCGCCGGTGAATAAAAGTGTGGCCTGTAATCTAGTCACCTTTGTTTGTTGTGCTAAACAAAGATTCACATGGCTCCTTGTATCGGAGCAAAGAAGGGTCATCAGCAGTTTCAAAGCAGTACCATGAGGCTTCAGATCTGTATAATAAGCTAGAAAGATGCGAATATATGCTTGCTTTGCTCGTCATGTTCGCGATGAGTCAAAGTGCATGCAAATGAGTTGAGTTCTTCCGTCTTTTGCGCTCGATGGCTTGCAGGGTTAGCATGGTCCTAAGAGACAAGCCCACCTTTTCGGTTTTCCAAGAGGCAGCCGAATAACAGAAGTCCCATATTGGAGATTGCGGACTACGTTTCATGTAGCCGAAACCTCTTGGTAGCTGCTCGCCCAGACTCGAAGGCGCTTCGATGTCATGCGAATGGCTTTCCAGGTCTTCGACGCTCGTAATAGATTCCAATTGACGATACTGGGATCTAAGGACCCACAACTTGGCTCTTGTACCGACGGCGATCATTGCATAGACGTAGTCTGACTGCGTTGACGAAAGATGGTCAATACATGCACTCTACATCTAGTCTTCGATTTCATCGGTGCGTCAGCTATAGAACCCAGGGGCTTCACTCCGCAGAACAGCAGCGTCGCAATAGAGCAAGTGGACTCTTCTAGGTATTTCACAAGAACTACTTGCTCGTCGACATCGATGCCGACCGTATAACTTCTCCGTGAAGATGTATTTTCCGAGTGTCTGGAGCCAAAATCCTCGTGATGTTGCACCGGATTTGGAGCGTTCTGGGCTTCTTGCCAAAGCTCCTGGAGGAAACGGTAGATGATCACAGACGTAGCTGGCACGAAGAATGATCCATCGTAAATCGTAATGGTTTTGCTAGCCAGTCACCGCAAGATTCCCATGTCATTTTACTTTCCCTACCCGGCGCTCAGAACCGCAATTTCGATGTAAGGTAGGTTCACAAACGAACTGTCTTCTTACACATTATGGCCGACCCTTTCGAAGTCCGCATGCGTTTCACCTCTCAACTCCAGCACCTCAATGCCTCAGTCAACTCTTCCCAGAAAGCCGCTCACTATGCCCTCAAATACAGGGACATGGACGAGGACCTGCATTCATGCATCTTGGAGCAGCTAGAACGAGTATGTAGGTCTAGCTTTCCGTTCTGCATATACTAAGTCCCGGAGAATGCTAACAGATGGGCCGTCAGAATTCTATGAACAACCGTGCAAATATAATGTACTTCATCGAGCACCTCTGCGACATGGCTCAGCGCGAAAACCACCTCGACTTCGTGCGCATGATGCAAAGAGATATACTACGTGTGGTGGATGCTGTTGCACCCAGTGACGGTTCTGGAGCTGCGAACGTTAAGGTGGTGCGGAGGGTGAGTTCTGCAAGCCATTCGCTACCTACATCTACTGACGTTCTGTGGGACCAAGGTACTGGCAGGCCTCCAACAGAAAACCGTCCTCCTTCCCGAAACGGTCCTCGAAATCGAAGCAGGCCTTGCCGAACGCGACGACTTGACCAAAGACACCCACTCCGCCCTCTCCCCCGTCTCGCCCAACTCGCAACATCCACCGCCATCGGAATGCCACACCACAGCACACCCTGCCAAACGCTTAGATAAGAGGCAGATCGAGCAGCGCATAGAAGAGGACCGGGAGAGGCATAAGAGGCTGAGGGAGAGCATTTGGGCGGTCGGAGAGGATGGGGATGGAGAGTTCGAGAGGCTGTGGGACGAGGCGAGTGAGATTGGGGAGGATGATTGGGGAGTGGCGGAGGAGGATTCGATGGAGAGGAGAATAGCGGGGGAAGTGGAGTGAGGTTGAGGGAGGGGAGGGGGTGATAAGCAGGAGTTACGGGACGATACGATTTGATATGGATGGAAATATTGGTAGAAATGCTATGGCGAAATTTCCAAGCCGGCGTTTGCTATTGTACAAAAGAGTGTGAATGCGGATTATTACTTGGTGAATGAGCTTATGACCATACAATCGCATGACAATGGTTTACCTGCAGACTTGCATTCCCAACAATAAATCATCTATTGGGTATCATGTCCATCCCTTTCCCAACGTACTGTATACAAAGCCTTCCGAGCTCCCACAACGCATGGAGTATCCCCGAAACATGCTCAGGTCACCAAGGCAGGGCCCCCACAGACTGCCCCCATATCTCAAGCGCTTATAGCAGGGCGCCCAAGGGCTTGGGCTCCTGTCATCCGCTGGTTGGTTGGTTTGTGTACCGGAATGTTACCATCTGCCCGCCGAAAAGCCTGATACTGAAAGCTTAGGATGCTCTGATGACAGCGCCACAATTTGTCTTGGAGCTTGATGGGATGCAGCCTGCTTTCCAAGAAAATGGCTCTCGCATTGCATGGCCGCAAGTCGGCAGGATGAGGGCGGCATGTCCTGCGAGCTAAGGACTGAATGCCCTGGGCGACGCGAGCGGTTCTTCCTAGATGACCGGGTGATCCAACCCAAATGCCACCTACGGTTTGGATGGACACCGTACCTAGGGCCTTCATCGTTCGTCCTCCGGCATGTCTCCATCGCTATCGTTCCTGTTTAGCAGGCCTCTAGATTCGCCCCCTTGCTCCTCCCTGAGCGCGCCACCACCCATCTTATGCGATCCTTCTTCAGCACTATCCAGCACATACCAGATGTCTTTCTTAGTGAGGAGACCTTGAAGGGCGCCTCTGTCGCAGAACAAGACGTAGCGTAGGCCAAGCTTCGAGAACATGCTGAGTGTTAACTGGAGACTGCTTTTGCCATTGAGTGTAATGGGCGTCTGATCCATCCAGGGTCGCAGGTCTAACGTCGTCTGAGTATCCGCACCAGGCTGGTGGTGGAAGAAGATCTCGGTTGATGGCGGCAATTTTCGAGGCTCTGCGGCGGCAAGTCTGATCGCATAGATGAGCTCGGTGCGAGATATATAGCCTAGCAGGATGTTATTCGTAGCGTTACCGACAACTGGAAAACCTCGATACGGTTGAGCGACGAGCATGTCGTGGATAGATTGGATCGTATGGCCTGTAGCGGTAAGAACGGACAGGTCTTGCTTCTGGGTCATGATTTGTGAGATAGGGACATCTGGAACTGTTGATTCATCTCTGTTGTCCAAGAAAGGGTATTCATTGAAGTGAATCCAGGTCTCGTAGATGCCACGTCTGCCAAAGGCATCCCCTACCCACTTGCTTATCATGACTGCGATCATGATAGGCAAGACATACGTCAAGGCACCTGTAAGCTCAAACATGATAACCACAATCGAGACTGTCATTCTCGTCACTCCAGCAAGAGCCGCAGCTGCGCCAATGATCGCATACGTCCCTGGTGTGATGCAAGGTATGTCAGGCTCGCAAGTTGCGAAAATTAGTGCGTCGGAATGGTTGCCTTGCCAGACTTGGACGATGATGCCAACTGCGCGACCATAGAGAGCTCCGATAGCCATTGAAGGCAAAATGATGCCCGCGGGAATCTGTAAGCCAAACGAAATCGAGGCCAGCAGGAACCCAACGGCGGATGCTTCAATCAATAGCACGATGACGCCCGCATTCGCAGCTCCAGTCTTGCAAATACCCAGCTGGTCATCAGTCAAATTTGCGCACTCTGCAAACAGAGTATACACCAACTCCGATGACTGAGCTCTCATAAATTTGTTCGGAAAATTGACCACTGCAGTCAGAAGTGCGACGGCTAAAACCTCGAGGACAGGTGTGACTGCCCATCGGGATGTCTTCCTCCATTTTGCAATCTTCAGGTTCAGCTTGATGAAAACTCCCCCATACAAGCCTCCTATGATGCCAAGGATGGCGAATGGAACCATCTCAAAGCCATGCCATCCACTACTGTAGGTGACCTGGTAGAGAACGAGCTTTCCGGTCCGGAACGGGTTGAATGCTTGCAGAGTCACCGCTGCCACCATAGCGCAGACAAAACTCTGCCACATAGTCTTGTCAGGAAAGTAGTAGGACAACTGCTCCAGACTGAACAAGACGCCTCCGATGGGTGATCCGAAAGCTACTGAAATTCCGGCCGCAGCAGCAGCAGAGAGGACCTCCCGCTTTCGTGCTTCGTTGTCGTTCAAGCTTGGTGACAGCTTCATAAGGAGATTTGCACAACAGCATGCTACATGGACCAAGGGTCCTTCTTTTCCCAGCCATAGTCCAGATGCCACTGCAAGGCACAATCCAAGAGACTTGACGACCAAAGTCCAGCCTCCCATGAAACGGCGAATGACAAATCCACCAAGTACTGTCTTGATCTCGGGTATTCCGCTCTGCTTGGCGTACGATGCGTAATTCTGGACTAGGACGCTGGCACAAAACGCAAAGAGTATGGAGTAGAGGATGTAGAAGATGTACTCGACAATGAAAGCTCCCGCAGCTGACCGCACATGGAGTGCAGCGCTCCACGAAGTCCAGCCCTGGCACTGAGCCAAAGATTGATGTCCCCAACAGCAGAACCCTCTGTTCAAGTAGAAGCGGCCTCCTCCCTCACCAGTGCGACAGTATCCTGTTTTGAGATCAGCAAGCCAGTCACTAGCAACATCAATACCAGCAGCGAGCACCCCTGATGCGATCCCAGTTGCTATCAGTATTATCCATATCTGACTGGCATCGAGCATCTGCTGCGCATAGCCAAAGAGTCCCGTCGCACTAGAATAGAGGTACCGGAGTCGCTGACGCTCTTTTGTGTATTCAAAAATCCAATCAATCGCTGTCAGATCATCGTAACCTACACGCCGTCCAGGCCCCTCCGTGTACCAGTCCAAGGCCGAGCCGTCCTTGCTATCGCTGAAAGCGAGTCCATCCCCAGCTTGACCGCTACCAATGGTCAGGGAGACATCCGAGTCATTGTTCGAGGAAAGATCTCGCAGTCTGCGACTTCTTGCGGTCGGTAGAGGCGCAGCCGGCAGAGTGTGCGGGCTGGCGCTTCGTGAGGATTGGTTGGAAGGCTGCGAGAGGAACTTTGGGAGTGCGAAGCCAGTGGCTAGCTTTGGTTTGCGTTTGAAGGTTGTACTACATAATTTCAATGTCCGTCTTAACGAGAATTGATAGGTGAGCCATACGGAGCTTTCCCGTTGCCTTCTAAAGGATCATCAGCTAGCAGTGCATTGTCAAGGCTCAGATCGGCTTGCTCATAATCTTCGATGTCTTCTGCAGTGGCGTGACCTGGGAGAGCCTGACTTGAAGAAGATGGGCTTCCAGCATCACGTAGACCCGGTGATGGACCGGTCATCCTGCTGAGAGGCGTCAAAACATTGCGTTGGATGCAGGAAGCTAAGTTTCTATTGCTAATGATGGATGCAGGTTAAGCGCCTGCGGTTGTGGCGTCAAGAGCGCGCCTTCAGCGACTATTCTTTTCCTCTGCAAAAACTTCTGGATATCAGATTTTCAATCCTCTTTTTTTCTTAGCTACTCGTACAGCCTCGTACAGTGTCAGGCCGAGATGGATATCACTTGGGAATCGAAGCAGCTGCTATCAGAACAGCAAGCTGATCTTAAACTGCCTGAAGAGATATTGATGATCCTGAGGGAGGGCAGTAATGTACGATACCTTGGGTGTCTCTCCGCACTTGCCCTCGATCCTGCGCACACGACCACAATCTTTACAACTCACGAGCCAGCTTTTGTTGAAATATGCAGCAGATGGCTGGCAGCGTCAGATATCGATAGTCTGTCGGCACTGGCAGCCCTGGCACGAGTACTCCCATCCGCACCCCACGCATCTGTCTTCGCCAAAGCGCTGTTGAAACAAAAGAGAGATGGGACACTGGAGGCTTTGGCATCTCGGAAGGGGACCGCACTACAAGAAATACCCGAGGGACAGCTACATACACTTCTCCTTGCGCTTTGCCGCCTTTTGATGTTCGATAACGAGGAATTTGCTGAGAGTGTTACGCCTGTACAGCTTCAAGTGCTGCTAAGGCATGAAAGTTTACCCATTAGATACCTAGCGGTCAGGATCCTCTGTTTGTATCTTCACGCTTCAGACGCGGCCCTGGCATCCATGGTCAAATCATTTATTGGAGAAGATGAGATAACTGGTCCGTGGGAGGACAAGATCATCGACTACACATTCTTCAGCTTGTGGGAGGACAAAAGGGTGCAAAATATTGGTCGAATGTTTAAGGAGACTCGAGCTACACGGATTACGCAAAAAGGAGGCGTGACAGGGTTGGCAATTCAAAGACGCATCACTTCAGCGGACCTATCGAGCACGACATCGTGCCTTGCTGGTATCTTGGTACCCAGGATTGGAGAGATGGAACCTCCTACGTCTTCGCTTGTCATGACAGAGACTGTCACCAAGAATCTTCGTGCGCTCGCAGAGGGTCTCAATGACTCAAGGCCGTTGTTAATAACCGGCTCTTCTGGCGCGGGCAAGACTACCCTGATCAAAAGTGTGGCACGAGAGCTTGGGAAAAGTTCATCAATGGTTACTCTGCATCTCAATGAGCAGACCGATGCTAAGTTACTCATTGGCATGTACACCAATGCCAAAACACCAGGTTCTTTCACCTGGCGTCCAGGTGTCTTGACGAACGCAGTAATGGAAGGTCGATGGGTGGTTATTGAAGATCTGAACCACGCGCCTATTGAGACTATCAGTAGTTTGCTTCCGTTGATTGAACGACGAGAGCTCCTGATCCCCAGCTGGGGTGAAAGTATTCGGGCTGCTCCTGGGTTCAAGCTTATTGCCACTGTGCGTTCAGCACGGAACGTCCATGGGGAGGAGGTCATACCTACAACCAACGTTATTGGCATCCGACATTGGCTACGAGTCCCGTTCCAGACACCTTCACAGGAGGAGCTTGCCGAGATTGTCAAAGTACGGTTTCCCATTCTTCGCGCTTACATTCCACGCTTCATGAATGTATATAGCACCCTCAAATCCCACTTTTCCTCAAACATGTCCAAACCAGCTATACATCCCAGTATCTCCAGGCCGCTCGGACCTCAAGATCTTCTAAGGTGGTGTGGAAGAGTCGAGAAGCTCCTTCTCACGGCCGGCGTCAACTCAGACCAGGAACCTGTTCCTGAAGCAATGAATGATTATATCTTTCTTGAGGCTGTTGACTGCTTTGTTGGAGCAGTCCCATGGGGATCCTCGAGAATTCACGGTGTAGATATTGTCGCGCAAGGACTACACATGCCTGCAGAGCGGGTCAGATACTGCTTAGAGTCTCGGAAGCCGCAATATGAGGGCAACGGAACTTTACTTCAGATCGGTCGTACCAGCCTACCCAAGCAAAAACGGCCGCATGGTGCAAAGTCGTTAGGCTCACGAATCGATACTAGTCCTTTCGCGACCACCGATCATGTCCTTCGGATACTCGAATCTGTTGCTGTTGCAGTCAGGCAAGCAGAACCGTGCTTGTTGGTTGGCGAAACGGGCACAGGCAAGACTACCATCGTCCAACGGCTTGCTGACTCATTGGACCAGAAATTGACCGTCGTGAATTTGTCACAGCAAAGCGAAGCGGGAGATCTTCTCGGTGGATACAAGCCAGTCAACATGAGAGCTCTTGCAGTACCGATGAAGGAAGAGTTTGACGACTTGTTAGAGCTGACGTTCTCTTCGAAACGAAACCAGCATTACATCGATACCCTCGGTAAATCGGTAGCAAGAGGTCGATGGGAGCGCGCGTTGACGCTCTGGCAAGAAGCGTTGCGCATGATTGAGACTCGTCTCAAGCACACGGACCCGCAATTCGATACCAGTAACCCAGAGCCTCATGCCAAAAAGAGAAAACTGCAGTCTCCCAACATCCAAAAGCTAAAAAGCAGGTGGGACAAATTTGCCTCCAGGGTGCAAACTTTCCAGATGCACCTTGCCAGCGGCTCTAGAGGATTTGCCTTCTCTTTTGTAGAAGGTAACGTCGTCAAAGCAGCAAGGAACGGGGAATGGGTCCTTCTGGACGAGATAAATCTTGCTTCGCCAGATACTTTGGAAAGTCTATCAGACTTATTTTCTGACGTAACCGACGGCGGCCCCTCTATACTCTTAACAGACACCGGAGATGCTGAGAGGGTCCACGCCCAGAAAAACTTCCGAATATTTGGCGCCATGAATCCTGCAACGGACGTCGGCAAGCGCGACTTGCCCATAAGCCTCCGCTCCAAATTTACAGAACTCTTTGTCGAAGCTCCAGACAAGGACCTTGACAACCTTGTCCCAGTCGTCAAGGCCTATCTTGGCACCCATAACCACGTAGACCTACGCGCTGCCACTGACGTGGCACAGCTTTACCTTGAGATCAGAAAACTTGCCAACGAAAATCGGCTCGTTGATGGTGTAAACCAGAAGCCCCACTTTAGCCTCCGGACTCTGACTAGGACATTGACTTATGTCTTGGATATTGCACCGATCTATGGACTGCGGAGGGCTTTGTTCGAAGGTTTCTCTATGAGCTTCCTCACCATGCTCAATACACGGTCGGAGCTACTCTTGCAACCACTGATAGATAAATACATCCTGAGTCCTCATAAAAACAGCCGGGCCTCTCTTCACCAGACCCCGCGTTTGCCGCAGAATGATAAACGATATGTTCAATTTAAGCACTACTGGATAGCTCAAGGCGCGGCCACGATCGAACAGCAGGCTCATTACATCTTAACACCATTCATTGAACGCAATCTACTGAATCTAGTGCGCGCTACATCAACTCGGCGATTTCCTGTCTTGCTTCAAGGTCCTACATCTTCTGGTAAAACAAGTATGATTGAGTATCTTGCTCGAATATCTGGCAACACATTTGTTAGGATCAACAATCACGAGCACACTGATCTTCAAGAATATCTTGGCACTTACGTCTCGGGTCCAGATGGTAGTCTTCAGTATCAAGAAGGTGTATTAGTCCGTGCTCTCCGAGAGGGATACTGGGTCGTTCTAGATGAGTTGAATTTAGCCCCAACCGATGTGCTCGAGGCACTCAATCGCCTGCTCGATGACAACAGGGAGCTCTTGGTACCCGAAACTCAGCAGGTGGTACGGCCACACGAGAATTTTATGCTCTTCGCCACACAAAACCCACCTGGCATATATGGCGGGCGCAAAGTCTTGTCTCGGGCTTTTCGTAATCGGTTTTTGGAGTTGCATTTCGATGACATCCCAGATGACGAGCTTGAGACTATTCTTCGCGAAAGAAGCCAAATAGCACCATCTTTTTGCACAAGAATTGTTGCTGTGTACAAAAAGCTATCGATCCTTCGTCAGAGCGAGCGGCTGTTTGAGCAGAAGAACAGCTTCGCGACTCTGAGAGATCTCTTTCGGTGGGCATTGCGTGACGCAGATGACCGCGAGCAGCTGGCAGTCAATGGTTTTCTCCTGCTGGCTGAGCGAGTTCGAAATCTTGAAGAGCGTGACGCTGTGAAACGGGTCATCGAGGAAATTATGAAGGTTCAGATCGATGAGACTCAAATCTACAGCTTATATAAGATGGAACAGTCGTTGGGCTTGCCAATCTCATCACTTCGAGACGTTGTTTGGACGAAGTCTATGCGACGCCTCTGCGTGCTTGTCACCGAAGCTCTAAAGAACAATGAGCCTGTTCTTCTCGTCGGAGAAACAGGGTCCGGCAAGACTACTGTATGCCAAGTCATTGCAGAGATAATGAACACCCGGCTGCACATTGTCAACGCGCACCAGAACATGGAGACAGGTGACTTGATTGGTGCCCAACGGCCAATCAGGAACAGGACTGTAGCTGCAACGCAGCTGTCTCAAGAATTGATCGCGATCTTGAAGAGCTGTAATGCTTTCGACAAGGAGATCGAATACGATACTGCTACCCTAGAGAGTGCGTACGAAACGTTACAGCGTCAAAAGCCTGCAATGCTGTCCAATGAAACTCGCCTTCGCATTGAGGAACTCAGAATTAGGGCAAACGGCTTGTTCGAATGGGTAGACGGTAGTCTTGTTAATGCAATGGAGAATGGCCAGCATTTTCTGCTAGATGAGATCTCCCTTGCCGATGATTCGGTCCTCGAGCGCTTGAATAGCGTCCTAGAACCTTCCCGTACCTTGTTTCTTGCGGAGAAAGGCTCGAATGATGCACTTGTGAAGGCACTGCCGGGCTTCCAATTCCTTGCAACCATGAATCCGGGCGGTGACTATGGTAAGCGAGAGTTATCTCCGGCCCTGCGAAATCGGTTTACGGAGATCTGGGTTCCGCATGCATCAGAGAAGGGGGAGATGCTTGAGATAGTGCAGGCCAAGCTTACAGCGCAACTACTTGGTTTCTCACAGCCCATGATAGACTTTGCTGCGTGGTATGCCGCGACTTATAATGCTGCTGCACCACATATCTCGATCCGGGACTTGCTCTCGTGGATAAATTTCATCAACGCCTTTCACGTTTCTGACCCATATTCTGCGCTACTCCATGGAGCCGCCATGGTATATATTGACGGCCTAGGTGCGAACCCAGCTTCTAAAATGTCAATCGCGGAGACTGCAGTGCCGCAGGAGCGTCAGGCCTGCCTTTTGAAACTCGACGAGCTGTTCGGCCATAGCTTGTCAACTTCATACGGCGAGACCTATCAGCTGTATATTACGAAGGACACGTTTTCTGTTGGCCCTTTCACCCTTCTGAAATCATCAAATATGATACCAGATCCGAAATACAGTCTGCAGGCACCGACGACAATTGCTAATTCCATGAAGATTATGCGCGCTCTGCAACTCCGAAAGCCTGTACTCCTCGAGGGAAGCCCAGGTGTCGGAAAAACGACGCTGGTTGCAGCCCTTGCCCACTCCATTGGGATGCCCCTCACGCGAATCAACCTTTCAGATCAAACCGACTTGATGGATCTCTTTGGTTCTGATGTTCCTATTGAAGGTGAACAGGCTGGCCATTTCGGCTGGCGTGATGCTCCATTCCTTCGGGCCATGCAAAAAGGCGAATGGGTCCTCTTGGATGAGATGAACCTAGCTTCGCAAACTGTGCTTGAGGGTCTCAACGCATGTCTCGACCATCGAGGTCAAGCCTATATCTCCGAACTTGGTCAGACTTTCGAAAGACATCCCGATTTCGTAGTCTTCGCCGCTCAAAATCCGCATCATCAGGGTGGTGGTAGAAAGGGCTTACCTGCTTCTTTCGTTAATCGTTTTACGGTGGTATATGCCGAAACATTCACTCCAGATGATCTATTCATGATCTCACGAGAGATCTTTCCAGGCCTTCCTGTCCATGAAATTCAGAAGGTAATGCAATGCGTTACCGCTTTGAGTCAGCTTCTTCAGCAAAACCGCGGAATAGGAGCAGTTGGCGGTCCGTGGGAGATCAATCTCCGTGACATCTTACGTTGGCTTCACTTACTGACCGCTCAAATTGGACTGATGCCAACCGCAAGTCCTGCTGACTACCAGCCACTATTAATTTTACAACGTTTCAGGGCGCCTGAAGATGTGAACGCTGTTTCGAAGCTATTGCAACAGTATTTTCCAAACAGCGAGTCTCAAAGCTACTTTCATGGTAAGAGTGACACTACGGTCGAAATCGGCCTTGGCCTTTTGCCCCGAGACGAATTGTCGCAAGCAGTCTCAAGCCGCCGTCTGAGGACAGCACAATACAATCTGCCAATTGTAGAATCTGTCATGATTTGCATACAGAACAACTGGCCTTGTTTGTTAGTGGGGCCCTCGGGATCAGGGAAGACCAGCTTGATCCTTCAGTTGGCAAGCTCTGTTGGAGCTGAAGTGGTAAATCTCTCCCTTAATACTGACATGGATACCATGGACTTGGTCGGAGGATACGAGCAACTAGACCCCGAACGCGACGCCACTGGTTTCGTGAAACGCGTGCGAGATTACAGCCAAAGAGCACTCATCGAACAACTGGTCTCCAATGTCGATCTAGGCAAAAGCCTCACCAGAGTCGAGCAAAAGCTCAGAGACATCGCAGTTGACTTATCCGAGGTTCTCCAGCTAATCCAAGACGTCGCGCTGGAGTACCCATCGTCAAGGTATACTGATTTTCTGTGTGAGTACGAGCGTCTTACGCAGCACGCCGCTATTGATGACAGTGCTCGCTTTGAATGGGTAGACGGCATCCTTGTTAAAGCCTTGAAGCAAGGCAGATGGCTGGTTCTTGACAATGCTAACCTGTGCAGCCCTGCAGTCCTCGATAGACTGAACTCACTGCTGGAGCCGAATGGATTTCTAAGCATCAATGAGCATCGCAATCCAGATGGCAGTGCTCAGATCGTGAAGCCTCATCCAGATTTTCGATTGTTCATGACAATTGATCCGCGCCATGGCGAGCTTTCACGAGCCATGCGGAACCGGTCCATTGAATTGTTCATGTCGGCTCAGTCTCCTTCCTCTACTGTCAACGTTTTGAGTTCGGGCTCCGAATCCAGTATCTCACGTTTTGAAGTATTTCAAGCAATTGATTGGAACAAATTTGACGAAACTCGCTTCAAAGATGTGCTGGCAATATGTTTCGACCATCTTGCATTTTCTGATTTACATCTCAATCTTCGATGGCAGACACAGATACTCAGAGGCTTGAACAACTTCTCACTCTCAAAGCTAGCATGGTTTTCATCTGTGGCCAATATTTATAAGCAGATGTCGGAGTTCGATGGGTCCATCCTCAGCGGCATACGCAATACATATCGCGAGATTGCTGATGGTCTGGCTCTTGCACCCGACTTCTCTTCTATGCAGGTCAGTCTGCGGCGTCGCAAGAGATGGATTCAATGTACTGATAGTCATCAATCTCTCAATAGACAATCCATCCATTCAATAACCCGGTCTTGCTCTCTCGTAAAGCTTGTAATGCCTGGTCGACTAGTCTTCACTGGCACGGTCAAGCTTTCGATCTACTGGCAGATATCTATCGCTTTGGACAGAAGCTAGCTCTTGTATCCGAAGAGATTCAGTCTAAGTCAACACCACAGATGTCAAGACTCGAACGATCACTCGCCTCAACCAGCTCCAGAAAATTTATGAACGATTCAACACAACCTCTGGCACCATTTTTGCAGAATATGGGATCATTCCTACGCAATCTCGTTGACGGAAAGACAGGAGACTGTAGACCCGATCAAGTTCGTGCATGTTACTACTGTCAAACCGTACACAGCTGATAATCGATCAGGACTTTTTACTCTTCGCTCATGAAACGTTGTCATATCTTCTGGATGTCTTTGATCTCTCATACTCCTCAAAATTTGATGAGGGTACCTTTCAAGCTTATCAGACTATAGGAAGGGAAATGGCTTCTAGAGCCAGCACAGACCGACTAGTTGGGAGTCTTACTGCGAGACTAGCGTCCGAGCTTGGCTCGAAACTCGAAACTTTCAATGTATCCTGGCAGCTGCATTCCGGACTTGGTATGGAACTACTCTGGACAGCTTTCAGACCAGTCAGTGCAAGGAACCTTCATCAGCTTGAATTAAGCAATCAAGTCAAAGACCTCGCGAATCGTTTTGACGCTCTGAAGTGGGATTCTGGCGCCTCTGTCCAGGAGCTTTGTAGCCTGCAGAGGTCTATCGCACGCATTTACGATGCCATCGAATCCGCCTCACCTCTGGACCTCAGATCTCTTGAAGTACGTATATATCCTGAATTGCTAAGCAGGATTGATTCACTAACGAGCCAAAAGGATGTCCAGAAGATTTTTGAAGGACTCGAAGTCCGTTCCGGTGTTGTCGGACCCAATGTGTCACCTTATCTTGCGTCTCAATTCGAAGTGTTATGTCAGTATAGTGCTTGCGCAAGAGATCTTGAGTCCTTAGAGTCCCATTCCGAGCTAGGCCTACTTGCAGGAAGACCCACGGCAAGGTTCATGAGATTTGGAATATCCTCAAATGCATGGGATGCACTTTCCCAAATCCAACAAGCCACAGCCATAGGTCTTTCAGATATGGAACTGGCCACGGTCCGAAATATCCTGCCAATCTCAATGCTTCACAAGCTGGAAGCTATGAGTGAGGTACCCCTACGATGTCTAGGATTGTTGTGTGTCGAGATTGGCAGCATGTCGAAAACTATAGCTGACTTCAGCGCCACTATTAGCGGGTTCCCTCTGCAAAATTTGGATCGCATGCTGCTTAGACTGCGAGAAAGGCTCCATACAGCCTTGGGTTCCGAGGCCAGCTTTCCCGATGTTGGGAAGACTAAAGAGGCCTTGGACCAGCTCCTACCTCGTAGCCACGAGACATCCGATCAGAGGAGCGTCGATGAAATGACTCAGCATCTCTATCGTAGCCTTGAATCAGTCCTTGACCGAAAAAAGCCTGACATGCCTGTAGCTCTTGGCGAGCAGTATGGGGAAATGGCGCAAACTTCAGCCGATTGTATTCAATTTTTCACCGGCTGCTTACTTCTGTATGTGCCAGACCGACCTTGCGATCCGGCCCTGAAGCCCATGGTAGAGCGTAATCGCCACAACAGACGCAGATCTGAGTTGGAGACAAAGCTTCAGGCACTTCAAGACTTTGAATTCGTCTTCTCAGGCCAGCCATCAAGTCTTCGCTCCCAGCTTGTGGAGAAGACGCTAGCCGAGCTTGGAGCCGAGCCTGAGGTCCCGATGACGTTTCGACCTCAGATATCTGAGCTGGGCCAACTGCAGGCAGAATTCAACAATATCGTGAAGAGCATTGTCTTGAGATCCCCTACCCCTTCGACGCTGCAGTCCGTCTTTTGCGGAGATTCGGCTAAGATCCAGGAAGTCCAACTTCTGAGAATGAACATCGCTCAAGCTGTGTCACGATTGTCCCATGGCTTTGAAGCTTATGAGGATATCACAAAGCCTTTGATTGGCTTCTTGCAAGGTCTTGATGTTGGGCTGGCAGTCTCGTTGCTTACCGATAGTCAAGATAATCCGCGTGATCGCCGCATGCAGTACATGTGTGAGATGACTCCTTTCCTTGGTGTCGGTCCCCAAGGGCTCGCAAGGGCGTCAGCATTCGAGCTGGATCTGTACCACTTGCAGTCTTTTGACCTGCGTCTACACTTCCTGAAATACACTGGGATTGCACGTAGCGTCAGTAAAGATCTAGGCGACTTATTTGCGCAGGCAATCTTTCAAACATTCCAGAGCTTCTATCAAGAATGGAAAGAAAATCTTGGACGAGACCAACAAAATAGTGCAGCTAAATCATCCCTATACCGGTATCGTGGTGGCGAAGAGGAAGGCAATGAAGCTGATGAGCAGGACTTCTACAAATTGTTCCCGGATTACTATCGCCCATACGAACAAGATGTCGCGTCAAAAGGACCCAAGTACGATGCAAGAGACCAAGCTCAACGACTCGCTGGTTTGCAACGCGAAACTTTCCAAAGTACCAAAAGCACATCTGAGCGACTTCTGGACCTGCTCCAAAATGCTTCCAAAGACATTGCCAGCCTTTGGAAAGACACTTCGATGTGCAAGTGTCCAGTGCCGGCGGAGAAGCTGCTTTCAGCCCTCGTGCTCAATGTCAATCAACACAAGGAGCGACTTCTCGGCCAAGCTGAGTTGGACAAGCTTTACAATTTCTATAGTGACGCAAATCTCTCGGAAGCACAAAAACTGATCGCTCTCGTTCACAAGACCCAAACACGATTCTGCGAGCTGCAAGAGACTTGGCCCGAACATGCAACCCTAGCAGATGTACTGCGAACATCATCAGAGTTGCTGGCTTTGCGCCACACTGAGCCAATTGCGAAAATCATGACAAAGGCGGAGCAGCTACATGGCTACATCCACGAATGGCAGGTCGTTGCTAGTAAGCAGTATACTGCAGTTGCATTGTACGAGCAGCTTACCGATCTACTTGTCTGCTGGCGTCGGTTGGAGCTTTCGACATGGGCTCGACTTCTTGACATGGAAGACCAAAAATGCAACGAGGATGCTGAGTCTTGGTGGTTCGTTGCATATGAAGTCATCATTGCGGCACCGCTTTCCATGGTCGATGCAGGACAAGATCTCCAGGTGCATGTAGAGCAGCTTTTCAGCATACTGGCAGATTTCATGGGAACTACCTCCATAGGACAGTATGCCCATCGTCGTGGTATGATCGATTGCTTTCGGAGTCATCTCGAGATCCTCGCAAAAGAAATTCCATCGATCGGTGTGGTACACAGCGCTATTTCCAACTTTCTGAGCTACTACGCTCGCTTCGAAAGTCCTATTCAAGAATACCTGCACAACGGCCGGCAAAAGCTGGAGAAAGACATGAAGGAGATTTTGCTGCTTGCCAGCTGGAAGGATACCAATATCAATGCATTGAGGGATAGCGCGAAGCGATCCCACCACAGGCTTTTTAAAGTGATCCGCAAGTATCGGAGCTTGTTGGCCCAGTCTGCTGAGACCTTTGTTAACCAAGAATTTTCGAGTGAAAACGACGTGCCTGCACCATCAAAGCGAAAAGATAACACTCCTGAAGTGACCAAAGTGGATCCACGTGCCATACAGACCTGCAAATCTCACCTCCACAGCTGGGAATTGAAGCCTGAGAGACTCATAAATCCCACCTCGACAGCTCAGCGTATGTTTCAAATGAGTCAGCTGTCTCCCTCGGCGATCGACGGCGCATCGTATCTGCACAGCTTCGGGACCGACCTGATCAACAGTATCAAGAGTTTGCAGAAGGAGACACCGTCCAAAGTTACAGAAGAAAACGGCGAAGCCATCAAGCATCTCAAAACCCGAAAACGTAAGCTATATGCGGAGACATTAAAAGCCTTGCGTCACATGGGTTTTCGATCTAACCTGAGCGCTGATGCGTTGACCAAACAATCTTCGCTATCTGTTGTACTAACAAGGACTCCGGCCATCGCATCGCAATCTCATCACCAAATAGCTAGTGCAGAGTTCCACTTTCATCAGGTGTTGCGCATCGTTCCTGGGATTAAGGAACGATCTCGAAATCACTCTGAAGACCTCAGTCACGGCGAAGTTGCTCGGAGCATTGGTTACCTAGAGAGCATGATTTTCGTCATCCTTAAGCAGAGGGGAATCCTCGCAACTATTTTCACTGATCTCCAAAAGCTTGACAGGACAATTGAAATTATGTATAACTCGTGGGCACCAGACTCTTATGCTTTGAAGAAACAGGAAATTGGGCCACAGAATGCTACTAAAGGAGTGCAATATGCTTTTAGATGGTTGCCAGGAATCATAGAAGCTGGCTCTGTGATCATCGAAGAGCACGGAAAGATGGGCAAACTTGATCACTCAACCGTTCTGGCAGGTCTGGGGGTTTGGAAAGACAAGATGGCCACGGCAAACAATGCATTCGACCAGCTTCCCAAGCTGCCTTTCAATCTCTCTTCTTCACGACATGAGGAAACTCACCATAAGGCAGTAGTACTCCTGAAAGACTTCAGGACCAACCTGCAAAAGTTGATTGACCACAATCCTGGCTTAGCTTTTGTGCTAAAGCAAATTGCACAATGGACTAGTTCAGACGTTGCCTCCGATGTTCTGCAGAGGAACGGTGAGCATCTTACCAGTCTCGTGGATCTGGATAATAGCATCTCAAACGCGTCGAGTTCGATTTTAGTAGCGATGCAGCGAATGCAAGGAATCTCCTCGACCCTCCCTTCCTCGATCGAGGACGCTACATGGCTAACACGTACTGACTCCTCGTTAGCGGCCAGCCTCAAAAACCTGTATTCCCGCGAGGTCAGTGGCCTGCTTCGAGAAGCCATGGATCAAATACAATACCTGAGCGCTGCGAATGATGGCGATATTCTCGCTGCAAGTGCGCTGTTTGCATTGGCATTGCCTATCGTCCAACAATTCCGCAGCATTTTGCAAACCTCGTTCAATCGATATGCTGAACTTCATCAAGCATTATGTAAGCTGTCCGATCAACTAGCGCATTCCTTCTCGCAAATCGTCCAAGAAGGCTTCTGTAGCCCAGCCGAGAACTCAGTCACAGAAGCTGGCAAGACCGACAAGCTTGAAGGTGGCACTGGTCTTGGGGAGGGCGAGGGCGCAGAAGATATCAGCAAGGACATTCAAGATAACGAGGATCTGTCCGAACTCGCGCAAGGCGTGGCAAACGATAAAGAGAAGGAGGAGATCGAAGATCAAGAGGACGCAGTGGATATGGATCACGATGAATTGGAGGGTGAAATGGGAGATGTCTCCGATAAAGGCGAGGACGACGGGTCGGCAAGCGGGGGCGAAGAAAACGATATTGATGAGGAGACAGGAGATATAGACAACCTCGATCCCTCAGCTGTAGACGAAAAGCTTTGGGACGGGAAAGCTGAAGACACAGACAAAGAGAGGGAGGGGCCGAGAGCCAAAGGGAAAGCCGACAAAGATGAGCAGGTTGCTGATGACGCTACCGAACAACGAGAGAGCGCCCAAGTGGAAGAGGGAGAAGAAGAAGACGATCAAGCCAGCCAGACCGGCCTAGAAGAGGCAGAAGAGGTTGCAATACAAGAGACAGAGAAAACGGATCCGCATGTTCAAGAAGGCCAGAATCTAGACTTACCTGAGGAAATGGATTTGGAAAATGTTGATAGGACAGACGGGGAGTCAGTGTCTGGGGACAGCGACATGGAGGGTATGTCTGATATCGAACAAGAAGATGGCGAGGAGAAGGAAGCCGATGGCTTATCTGAGAGCAGCCAAGATAATGAGTCTGAGGAAAACGTGAGAGTTGATGCGGACGCTCAAAACCAGCCAGGGGAGAACGCCAAAGACGATGATGATGTCGATGTCAATGGAATTGAAGAAGCTGGGTCTCCTGTCGACACGGAACCGGACGATGAGGAGCCAGCAGATGATCCCGGATTCCTCTACGACAGAACGGACAATCAAAACGTGGACCAACAAAATCCTGCGCCTAGCGATGCTATAGGTCTCGGGGAAGATGCTGACCAGAACGACACTGATGACCAAACGAGAGAAAACAAGGCACAAGGCAAAGATGGTGTCCAGGGAAACGCCACAAGCACTGACGAGCCTCAGGCTGCGACGGAAGACGGCCAGCTGGGAGGAGTGGATAGGACGGAAGGTGGTCAAACAGAAGACGACAACCGAAACGAAAGCGGCGGTGGTCAGGCCTTCAAGAAGCTTGGGGATGCTCTCGAAAAGTGGCATCGGCACAATAGGCAGATTCAAGAGGCTCCTGAGGAAGAAGCGAATGCTCCGCCTCAGACTGACGTAGACATGGCAAATCAAGAATTCGAACATCTCCATGATGAAGAAGCTGGAGCAGACACGCAAGCTTTGGGTACTGCTTCGGATGATCAGGTACGGGCTCTAGACAAAAAAGCTATGGATTCAGAAATGCACCACGAGCCCCGTGCTTTCCCTCCAGACAAGACAGATGAGGAGGATGCCATCGAGCACATTGAGAGGATGGAGGAGTATCCAACACAACCGGAGGCACACAAGCCGCAGGAGCAATCCGGAATGGGAGCTTTTGTCGCAAGCAGGAACGACTGCGGCCAGCCAAGTGATCAGCCTGGCACAGAGACCCTCGAAAAGGAAGAAGACGTTGATGTACTTGACAATGATCTCTCAAACACTCATCTTCAGCCTGCTTTTGAGGCATCACCACGCTCTGCAGAGGATGCTCGCCGCCTTTGGTCACACTACGAGAGTCTCACACGCGATCTGTCTCTTTCCCTTACAGAACAGTTGCGGCTAATCCTCGCGCCCACTCTTGCCACTAAAATGCGCGGAGACTTCCGCACCGGCAAGCGCCTCAACATCAAGCGTATAATTCCCTATATCGCCTCCCAATACAAGCGGGACAAGATATGGATGCGTCGTTCCAGCCCATCAAAACGCAACTATCAGATCATGCTCGCCGTCGATGACAGTAAATCTATGGGTGAAAGTGGAAGCGGCCAATTAGCCTTCGAAACACTTGCGCTGGTCTCTCAAAGCCTGAGCATGCTAGAAGTCGGCGATATATGCGTTCTTGGCTTTGGAAACGAAGTTCATGTGGCCCATGAATTTGACAAAACCTTCTCCTCCGAAGCCGGCGCTCAGATTTTTCAACATTTTGGTTTTCAGCAAACAAAGACTAACGTAAGAAAGCTCGTCGCTGACTCGATCACCCTCTTCCGCGAAGCAAGACGTAAAGTATTCAACGCTGGCGCCGAACTCTGGCAACTCGAACTCATAATCAGCGATGGCGTCTGCGAAGATCATGAGACGATACGACGCCTGGTCCGCCAAGCTCAAGAAGAGCGCATTATGATCGTATTCGTAATTGTGGACGCGTTGTTGAAGGGAGAGTCGATTATGGATATGAAACAGGCGGTTTTTGAGCCCGATGTCATAGGGGAGACCAAGTTGAAGATTAAGCGGTACCTAGATGGGTTCCCTTTCGCGTATTACCTCGTAGTGGGTGATGTGAGAGATTTACCCGGTGTACTTGCCCAAGCTTTGAGGCAATGGTTCGCTGAGGTTGTGGAAAGTGGGTGAGAGGTGTACGGTTTTTTACGGCAGGCACGATAGAGGTTGTATGACAAGCATTATCTTTGAGCAACACGCATTGTCTTCCCATGGATCCACAACTACTAGGCGGCTTCTCGTACTGATTTTCTTATTCAGATTGACTCTATCAATAGATCTACATTCGTGGAAAATTCTCTCTGTTACCTAGGCATGTCGGCGGCCAGACTGCGGACTACTCTGTTACTGATGTGAAGAGTGGTTTAGGTCCTTAGCTGAAACCTTCCTTCGTTTTGAGCAAAATACGTGAGCAAGATACCTGAGTCACCAAGGCCATTGGGACGTAGAAGTTTCTGATATCCGGTTCTTGGAGAAGGCCAAGGAAGAAGAGGCTGTCGCCAAGACTGGCTAGCCCCTGGGTCAAGTAAAAATATAAATTTTCATAACAATATGAGCCGGGCTATCAAATTTTCAGATGGGTTTTACCGTCAAGCCTCTAAACGGAGAGGCATAAAAGGCAGAAGACAGGGCTCTCTCCCTTTCTCTTTACACACTCCCACTCATACTCTTCCTCGCCATATAACTTCATAGCATACCTTTGCAAGAAGCTCTCCTCTTCACTCACATCACGTCTACCAGCACTAAGATAATCAATAGTAACAAACAGCAGCCAGCAAGATGTGGAAAATGGGTTCGACCTCAGATGCCCAGGATTCCTTGACCCAATTCCTCGGGAAGGAGCACTCCAGCTACTTCAATCAACGCCAGACAGTCTCACTGAGGGAAGTGAACAACCAAGAGTCGACCAGACATCCCACGAATAACCAGCCTTTATCCTTACAAGGTTATAATCCAGCAGTAAGTCTCGCATTGCCATCTTTACATTGGGGTCCAAAAGCTGATATAACGTTTCAGGGCATGAGTGCTTCCAGGCCGTCCAGTTCACCTCAAAGTGTCTCATCAGCGCAGCATCAAATTGTAATTCTTTCAACTCTTCTGTCATGCACTGATCAACGACTTGGAAATTGACTTGTTTTCCAGACCGACAACCCCCAAACATCAGCACAGAACCCCCAGAGCCCCCAGAAACCACCAAAACGCGGCAGAGGGTGGACAGGGTTGCCCAAGGGAAGACCTCTGGGAGCCAAGAACAAGCCAAAAGGTCCTGACCATGGTCTGCCAAAGGTATGTAACATCAGACTGTCGCTTGTTTCCAAATGAGCCTTCATGCTAATAGCCAACAAACAGATGTCCAAGAAAAGAGGAAGGCCATTAGGAGCGAAGAACAAGTACCCCCGCGGAGCCCACAACGCGTATCCGTCTACGCCAGATAGCAATAGCAGCTCGATCGAGAGCGGAACCCCGCAAACACCAATTCCAATCGTGATCGGCACTGCTCTCGTCATGGCCCCAACAACTCCAACAGAGGCCCAGACGACGTACACATACCCTCTCGGATACGCACAGTCAACATCCTTTTCCGACTCCCTCAATGATGACGACCGCGGCTGGGACAATGAGACCGGAACCTGGTACTCCATAAAGGCTCGAGCCAGGGAAGAACTGGAAACCTACGGCGCCACCTCAACCGCCCCAGAAGACTTCATGAGACCCATGGCGATGACCTATTCTCCTCCACCTAATTCATCTTACGGCAACCAGGGTGATTTTGGAGAGCCTAACCATAGCCATGGTTCTCAGTACCCACCACCGCCCGTGCCTAACCACGCCTTCGGCAGCGGTATCTTCGCCTACGGCAACGGCAACAGCAGCCGTCCCTACCCGTCGTCCAGCCCTTATCCCGGAGGCATGTCAGCATACAGTGACCCGACTCAACCCCCAAGGACTACAACCGAATATGGACGTCACCAACTCCAGGCACCTGCAACTTCACAATCATACAATGCCTCAAGCTCCGTTACCGATGCTGACAACAACTTTCCGAGGCTACGACCATACTCGACCATCAACCGAAATCTGGGTACTGGGGCTCAGTACCAATCCCCAGCGCCAGCGACTCTAGGACCGTTCGAGGACAACACCACCAGCTCGGTCACCGAGACCGAGAACATCTTCGACAAGCTGATGAATTTGAGGGACTGGAATGACTTGAACTAGGAGAATGGTGGGATGGCAGACGGTATGCTTTTCAGGGCTGTCGACTCTTTACTTACCATTCCTAACGTCTAATTCAGAATCTCTAGCGACAGAGAATTGATTAGGGTGGTGGCATTGATGGCAACAGCGTATGGGATGGGCGACGGTATGCTTGTCACCGCTGTCGATTTTGTGCTTACTGTTGCTAACGTCTGACTTCAGACAGCTCCAGCGACAGGGAAACGATTAGGGCAGTGGCAGTGGTGGATGTGGTGGATGGTACGAGCGAAGGTTTGGGTATCAGCGGTCATTGATCAGCATTGACAGGTTCGAGATTAACATCGGCATTCGCATTGGTATTGCATTGGCGATTGGATTGATTTACGGATCAGCGTTGGAGTTGGATCACAGCATGGATTGGATTATGGATCGGCGTTGAAATTGCATCGCCCTATGGGTTTGCATTGGAATTGGTGGAATTGGTTATTTTGATGGACTGACTCCACCAGTGTTGGGATACACTACTATAGATAGATCCAATGACATTGTTTTCATCAATACATCTTTGCTGTCATCATTGGTTCTCTTGATGCTGTTCTGGTCGAGGCCGCACATTGCCCAAGAGGGTAGAGTAGATCGGCTCACAGGCGAGATAGGCGACCCCTTTGACATTTGCTTTTGGTCTTGATCTTAGTTGAAGGAGAAGTTCGGATGTCTACAAGGCTGCCGGGTGGTCTGTATGTTCAAGATGTGTGGGATGGGCTAGCTTTGGGAATGGCAGTAGTAGTATACTGTCTATGTGCGCTCGTCTCTGGGACCTGGCAAATTTTTTGAATGAGTCATCGCGATTATATGGATGGTATCTACGCTTTCGTCACCCGTAAAATCGTAAGGATATGTACATCACCCCTATCCGTCTTCCTATGCTCTTGCTCTCCTCATGCAAAGACCTTCACCCTTTAAGATCCCTCCTTCTCCTCCTTCTCCTCCTCGTCACCAACCATATTTGCTCCCCGCCTCCTTCTTATTCCTCCTCCCACTCGCAAACTGCTCCTCCAGCGCATCCTTCTGGTTGCTAGCCGCATTCACCAACTGCTTCAAACTATGTTTGCCCGGAGCGATGCCTCGCACGGGGTTGTGTTGGACAGTCTCGCCTGCTTGCCGGAGCAATTCGTTGGCCGCGTATTCTTCGTCGGTGTTGAAGTTCACAATGTTGGGTATGTTGGAGGGCTGGGAGGGATGGGTTTTGTTGGTATTGTGGTGCCGGCCGAGGAGTTGGCGTTTGGCGGAGGCCGAGAGGTTCAGGTCGGTGGCTATTGCAGAGAGGGATTGGGGTTGCGGTCGCGTGGGTTGGTCGGGTAAGTATGTTGTTTCGGCGGCAGTGTAATTTTGTGCAATGGTGGGTTCTTCAGTGTATGGATTTGTAGCGGGCGTGATTGTTGGGCTGTCCGCGTGGTATACCATGGGCTGATATGTTCCTTTGGTTGCCAACCCATTACTCGAGGATTCATGTACCTCGTCTCCAGCTGAGAACAATGACATTTTGGGGGTTGCTTTTACTTGCTTTGTCAATCCTCCCTCTGTAGACCCCGCTGCACCTCGGCTAGCCACAGGCGGAGCTTTCTTCCTCTGAGGCTTCTTGTTGGCAACGGATAACGGCTTGAACATCGTGGACTTCTTCTTCAGTTCCACACCATTTCCTGGAATCGGTATATCTGGTAGATTTACTGCCGGTGATATGATCGTTTCCGCATGCCTGCTATGCCCTTGGCTCTCTTCCTCTGATCGGCCTTCGGTACCTCCATTCCAGTCTGAGCCTTCCTCCACGCTTGGTGCAGGTTCTCTGCTGAAACCTGGTGCAGCTCCTGTCTTAAGACTGACACCACTACCTAGTCCACCTCTTCTTATACCCCCGATTCCAGATGTTTCACTTGGTGCTGCCGTGCGCTTGGGCGCAGGAAGGAAGGAGTTGAATCCGCTCATTCCCCCTGAGCTAATCTTGGCTCGCTTTGCGGGGGGTCCTGATTCCAGATTTCCATCCTCTGTCGTCGCTTTTGCTGGTTCCGGGAGGCTGACTTTGATCTTGTGAGGGTTCGAGCGGTTGACGACCTTTTGGAAGGCAGGCTTGTTGGAGGTCGGCTTAGGTTTGGCAGGTTCTGGAATTGTGCCTTTTTCTTCCTTTTCTGAGTCGGATTCGGACCCGGAGTAGTCAACGAGAGCCATTGTCAGCCTTTCTTCGATGTCCTTCTCGGTGGTTGTGATCTCGATAAGTAGATGTTTTGGCATCCCGCGCGAAGGCGGTAAATTACCCGCTTGCCGCGCTTTGTCTCATCCATAAAGTACCTGCATTGCATAAAGTAGACAGGATCATCAATTTGCGCCAAAGTGATGCGAACTCCCTTCCAGGAGTGGGAGATGGACGTCTCTAGAGTCAACCAGCCAGAAGTGTAATGTTTACTGAGATGGCTTTGCTACAGAACGAAGAGTATGTATGTCCTGTACTATGGTTGCAGGATGAAGCGGGGAAACAAGTCTCCGGTCGAGTCGTACCTACTCTAGAATCGGTCCCATGAGCAATGGACTGCGTTTGGAAAGCTCTTAATTCTGACTATAGAATAGCTTCCTTATTTGGCAGCTCCGAACATCATACTTGACCCATAACAAGGATGGCATTGGCGAGCGTCTCATCAATGTCGACTCTAGTGTTCTTAATGATCCCAGCTTCCGTGCGGCAGGGTGGACTGCCAACATCGCGGACATCAAGAGGACGTATTCTCCGCCAATCCCAACTACCATTTCATCTGACTACTTCGCTGCTCCTCCCAGATCTGCCGGCATTGCTCCCGCGGGGTTCGAAGATGAGGATGAGGAAGGCGGTATGGTGACGGGACGAGGGAGTACTGAAACAGTTGGCCCAGGCCCAAACGTCAAGAGAAGACGGCTTCGTGAACAACATGACGAAGATGATAGCAGTGATCTGAGCGACGAGAGCGACGAAGACACTGAAGGCAGTAGACGGTAAAGAATTTGTCTTCTTACTCTCAACGCTTCAGGACTAATTACAATCTGAAGGGCCGCACAGCAAATCAAGTTCGCAAAGATGCCTGTGAGGAATCGATCAGGGTCGTCGCCCATCCGCAGCTCTTTTGCGACAGATGGAGTTGAGGTCCTCATCACATCACCATCCAGGCGATCAAACGAGGGTAGATTACGGAGCGGGTCTCTAACATGCGTTGAGGCCGTGAAGCAGAGGGCTAGGAGGGACACGACCACAAGCAGTGAGATGTCGTCCGAGAACGAGCTCGATCCTTCAATTTTCGGAGCAAGGCGCAAACAGACTAATCCTGTCAAGGCAGCCAAAGCCGGTAGCCTTCTGACTGAGAAGCACAAGGAGGATGAGCGGCAGCAAATGCGCAATTTGACCACCACGATCAATGAAGATTCGGAAGCAGAGTCAGATAGAAGCGATCTCTCTTCGGAATTTGCAGAAACCGCCGACTCAGAGTCGCTCTTAGATGACATTGCTGCTTCCTCACTGACTGATATGCCGCCACCATTGAACGTTAACAAGGACTCTCCAAGCAAGCTGAAGAACGCACCATCGTCTCTTCTTCATCCGCTACCTCCAGCGCGGCCCATCAGTACCCTCCAATCCGTTAGTCTTCTGGGACAAGCCTTGAGAGCCGGGAAATCCAAGCCCAAGAACCCTGTGGAGGCATTTGCCAGGCTATCTGGTAAAGGAGCTTTGGACCCTCTCAATATCCGAATATATGCACCTTTCTCAGAATCACCGGACAAACCATTTGAAATGCCCTTGCTGAAGAATGTGCAAGCTACGGACTCCGGTGAAATCCCATTAGTCACCGTGGCAGATGCGATTGGATTGAGCTTATGGAGATATCGCGAAGAAGGCCTGAAACCCCCTATCGACGAATCTAGGCTCAGCGTTAATCTTTGGGTATTACGAATGGTCGAAGATGGAGAAGTCGAATATGACTTCCCTCCTTTGAACCGAACGCAGCCCATTGTCGCTTTCACCTCGAACAACAATCGTGGTCCTCGAGGAAGGTCTAGAGAGAAGCCATATGATGAGTTTGCTTTGGTAGAGGCTACTCAAGCTCAGATACAGGAAAACAAGAAGCTCACTCCCAAATTCGACAAATTGCTAGAAGCAACGAAAGTGGAGGCACCCGAAGCGGGTTCGCAGCGCCAGAGTCAGACTGAGAGAAAAGAAGCAGCTCTTGCTGCGACAGCACCTCGGAAACCAGCGCCAGCGCCAGCAGACAAGCCAGCCCTTCCTACAATTCACTCAACACCACGGATGGGTCCACCAAAGATGCTCAAGATCCACTTCACAAGTCTCGAAGCCTTCAGCCAAATCAGTACCATCGAGGTGACCACAGACACATACCTCGCCGAGGTCTTAGATATCGTCTGTAAGAGATGGAAACTCGACAAGTCCTACCAAATCTTGAAAGTATCCGGCACCAATACTATCGCCCCCGTAGATCGAACAGTTGAATCTCTCGGCGCTCGCACAGATCTCGATCTCGTACGCAGACGTTTCGCAAACGATGGCGCTCTCGGTCTCGGAGGGTCGCCGGGCAGTAGCTCGCCTAATGCACCCTTGATTCTGGCAGAGGAAAGTGCAACGAAGGGCCAAAGGAAGGGGAAACTAATGCATCCGCTGGCCCAAAACTCTGAAATGCTGAACAGTACCGCTAAGTACAAGAAGTACAACGTCATTAGGAAACAACCTATGTCTTTCGCGCCTTCGCATCAACGAGTGCTGCTGATGGACGAAGATTACATGCATATCTTACCCGGAGAGACGGGGAAGACTTTGTTTGATAGCAGCGTAAAGACAAGTCGGGTGCCATTCAGTATGATTGTAGGGTGTAAAGTCAGCAGAAGGCATCCGAAGACATTCCGGGTAGGTCAGCGCCTCACTCTGACGATGCGAAATCCGACTTGCTGACGTTCCATAACTCTCCAGGTGATTATCATAAGAGAAAAAGACGATACGAAACGTTATGATTTCGAGGCGCAGAGCACCGTCGATGCTGCAGAAATCGTGGAGGAGATCAGGAAGGGTATGGAGCCGTATGATCAGCAACATCAAATGATGGCGTGATGCTTGGACCCATCGCCGATGAGCAAACGTCAATTATTTTATGATCCCTCCGCGGCTACAATACCCTTGCTTCTCTTCCACTCTGCATACGGCTCCTTGTCTCGCCTCTCTCCCTCTACGATCTGTTCAACACCATACTCGCACGCGTGCCACACCCTAAGCTGTTCACAAAAGCCGCGATTTGGGCTCGCCATCGGTCTCTTCCCTTTTACGAAGAGCTGCGCTTCAGGGAATCCCACGCCCCACGCCCGCATTACTACGATGGGGATCAAGCCAGTCAGCGTCATCGATCGTGGCGCATACATTTGGGTACTTCGAAGTGAACAGGGAGATGGAGACATACTATAAGCCATCACCAAAGTTACACTTCGACTAATCCCCATCCTGCAATGTACGAGTACCTTCTTTCCCTCCGCCCTCTTCTCCTCAATCAGATCGCACGTTGAGCCAAAAATGGAGAGAAGATCTTCGGCCGGTTTGTCATCTTTGTTGAATCGCGCCGTCACGATGCCCAGCTCTAAATGCTCTTGGAGAGTTGGGGCTGACAGGTCGGAGCTCATTATTGTGAGCACGAAGGTTATGTCGGTGGAGCGGAGGGAGTCGATGTTTGAGGCTGCCAGATAGCTGGGAACATGTAAGGCACTTGAACCATGGCTTTTCGCATATAGCTGCCTGGAACAGTGTGAAGGATGCTTACCCGCCGAGATAGAGATTTGGCATTATTTCGTTCAATGAAAGGGAGACGCAGCAGTTCCATAACGCTTTCTCTATCATGACCTTGGTGAGCCCACCTCTGGTTTCTGGATTGGACATGGCGATGAGAGTATAGACTCTAGAAATTCTGATTTGGTGTTGGTGATTTTGATAAGTAAGTAGTGAAAAACGCGTGTCGCAGGTTCATGTCTCATCGCCTAGACACGTGACTTTAAAGTAGGCGCGAAAGCGGGTACACAGGGCTACAGCCGGCTCTCCAATCAAAACATGCGAGTTGGCCCATAATTCCATTCATTCAACTTCAAGCATCTTCTCCCATTTTCATGAACATGGTTCCTCGGAAGGAGCTCGGTATCTCTCGCTCTTCGATGCATTAGCTGACAGCGTCGTCAATGAGCGAAACGCTCGCCTGAAAAGCAAGACCGTTCAACCCACGCTTCTGATAGCTAGCTGGAAAAACCTGGCGGGAGACCCGCTTGAAGCGACAGGCGGGAATATCGCTCTCGAGCATCAAAGGCTCAGACTGTTCAACCCCTGCACCACTTCCTCTAGACCATCCCTGACCCCGCCGCTCGCACCATCCACCTTCGCTAATAGTGCTTCCGCATATTTCTGCAACTCCACGACGGCACTCCTTCTCCGATTCCTGATGCCCCGAGGTGCCCGGACCATGAGCTCTACCGCGAGCTGACAGATCGCTACACCCAGCTCAAGGTTCGTCGCGTCGGCTGCGTGTACGACGGATTGGCGAGCTACTTCAACAATAGGCATCCATTCCTCCTTCGCGGGGCCAGTGACATCGGCTTCAACGACTGCCAACAGTACGCGAATAATCTCGATGCCGCGTGGGTGCTCCGAGGGAATGGGGAGTATGTAGTTTTCTAGGTCAGCAGTGAGGATGGCCCAGCCTTCTTCGCGGAGAAAAGCTTCGACGCCTTCGGCGATTTCGCTAATGCCTTCGAGAGATAACAAGACAGGATAGCGGAAGTCTTGACCAGATATATCTTGGTACAGGGCAAGGAAGACATCCATTATACTGGAAGCTTCTGTGCGAAGGGCGTCGTTCTCTTCCTCGCGGAGCCACAGAGACAATGCACGAAGCTGTGAGAGGGTTAACGGGTCTTCCGATATTCCACTTGATGTATCCCAAGCTATTGGAAGGGGACTGGCTGATCCTTCACCAAGAGTGCGAGCGGAGGGATGCAGGCCAGCCGCGCCCGCCGTGGAGGAGTCATAGCGGTCGCGGAGATGTTCGATAGTCAGAGACATTACTTCTGAGATGTTCGCTCGAAGCTTCATGAGGAGGTCGCCGGGCATTGGGGCTGGGAATCCGGGACCAGATCCCACATCTTCATTGTCATCGTCATTGTCTAAAGCCTCAAGACTCTGCACAAGGAAGCCGATAAAGGCGGAGATTATGTCGTAGGCTCTAGCTATACGCTCTGAGATATCAGGGTACTTGGCAGAATGTAGCCTTTCTTGCAGAGATGGGATGGTGGAGCGAATATCGATCAGTAGCACTGTGACGAATATGTAGGACTTTGGCTTCTGGTCCGTCTTCTCGTCTTTGTCTCTGGCACCGAAGACGGCTTGCGATCCTTCCCTTGTAGTTGCCAGCGTAGCGAGTATTTCCATGATCTGGGTGGCAGTTTCTGGAGGAGTGGAGCGCAAAACAGACATCAGCAGTGGCACTCGGCCAACAAACCGGTCGTCCTTCTCTGGAGCGTCCATAATCGTCATGAAGGCGTGTAGTACTGCCACCGCCAACCCAACCATGCTGCCGACTTCTTCTCTTGTTCTCTTGCTTTCCAGCTTGGTTTTCAAGAGTCGATCCAGGAACTTTACGGGTATTGCGCGCCAGCATTGTTCTATCACTGTACGTGTGCCCTCCTCTTCTGTGCCACCTTTTCGGCTGAGTTCCTGTTCAAGAACAGGCTTCAATAGGGCCAGCCCAACAAAACGGGAGGTATCATCCTTTGCTCTGAGTAACTCCAATGCCTTTTCGAGCTCTTTGGTGGGGGCATTGATGGCTGGTGGTTGGGTTTTTTCGGATTTTTGCGCCATATTTTCTTTGATAGGATGCTGCTGTGAGAATTCAAGGGTGCCGTCTCTGGGCGTTTTGGTCTGCAGGCTGAGCATTATGCTGAGGAGGGGGCTCCTCTCGTTCTCCGTTCAGGAAATCACGGATGAGGGCTCTGGTGTTTGGATACTTATGCGAAAAGTTGGCCAAACTGTCCCAACAGTGGAACGCACCCCATGCAATGACTGCAAGCTGTATGATCTCATACTCCTGCTTTGATAGATAGAGCTCCATAACGTACCAATGCTTGAATCGCAAACAGTAATTTCAAGGTGAACTGTAAAACTGTTAGTTCATTGACCGATGTTCAACCGAGATCGCGCTAGTGAAATGTAAAGAATCAGTGGACCAAAAGCTTTGACAAAATCTCCGCGACATCTAACCATTGCACCGATTGACGATGTCCCTCTCCTCTACATCTACTGCACGCTGCTGCGCGCGGGCACTACGCAACTCTTCAAGACCAAGACCACCATGTCCCGCCTCTTCAGTGGCCTCACAACGCCAACGAAGAGTGCCATCGCGGCGTTGGGAATCCACAGCAGCAGCAGCATCTACGAATCCTAAGGTGTCTTCCATAGTCGACCAAATAAGTCAATTGACTTTACTGGAGACTGCAGATCTCGTTTCCAACCTCAAGGTCAGTCACCTCGCATTTTAGCCGGAGATTTGCACGCACCTACTCCTCCTGCGAGCTCCCACAATCCGAAAGCTAACGCTGTCCCGCTGTTCTCAGTCTCGCCTCAACATCCCCGACATGCCCATGGGTGGGTTCTCCGCCGCTGCAGCGCCTGCAGCCGCTGCACCCGTCGAAGAAGAAGAAGCCGCCCCAGCAGCGCAAGAAAAGACCCTGTTCGCCCTCACACTCAAGTCGTTCGATGCGGCGGCAAAGCCGAAAGTTATCAAAGAGATCAAGAGCATGCTGGGCCTGAGTTTGGTGGATAGTAAGAAATTTGTGGAGAGTGCGCCGAAGCAGATGAAGGAGGGAGTACCGAAGGACGAGTCGGAGAAGATCATTGAGACGATGAAAGGCCTCGGGGCTGTGGTTACTATGGATTGAGAGGAATTTTTAGGTGCTACGGTGTAGGAGATGGCGAAGATGCATCATTGCGCGGAGTTTGAGCCATGTACATGTACGGCAAGCATTAAAGGCATTGTTCTGGAGCATCCCTTCAGACGCCTCTTCCCGGCAGTTGACCTTTTCATCATCTCTTCCTTTTCTGAAAGTGAGCGCTTTCATCAAGCTTCAGCAACGCCTTTTTGATCTTTCGCCGTGGTCCGTTGCTGCTAAACCGCAACTCTCGGTCTTTGCGCTACTGTATCAATCATCGAGTTTTTTGGACTCTGGATGACAGAGAAAAATCGACAAGTGAAATCCTTCTGCCGGCGACACTGATTATTGGGGCTTCCTTGCTTTTCAGTATGGCTGTAAAGCTTGGAAAGGCTTCATGTAGCCTCTGATGGCTATTATATCTGAAAAGCACCCAAGCTTTGAAATAGGAGTAACTGAACTGACAGGCTACTGCAGTTGCCACAGATCGAGCGACCAAGAAGCTGGGACTTCTGGTCCGAGGCGTTCATGAAGTAACTATCTTGGCTGCAACCTAGCTTGGCTTTAGCCAGATCCTAGAACAAAACCGCCGGGCTTCCAACAATGGTAATAAGGGTTCGACTCCCACTGGAGCGCGGAGTTTGCACCGCTTCACCTTGATCGGAGACTTGTTCCAGGACACGGAACAGAAATGGCTGGAGCTCAGCTGAGGGTCGCGTGGTGGATCGACAAAAGATGCTGAAGGCCCTTCCGTATCTGTAAGCAGCCGGCATAGCAATGCTCCAGGGTTGCCGATGCAGCGAGCTGCACATCGAGCTTGCGTGAAAGAGGGGTAGCACGCCGGTGGAGGAGTTTGGAAATCAATCATCGTTCGATGACTGATCTTCAGACCCTTAGAGACGACCTGTCGTCAACAAGTTAAAATAAAGCGTTTCTCGGAGTAAGCTTGCAAGAATGGTGTAGTGCGAAAAATTTATTGTATGTCTTGTGATTTATGTTAGAAGATGAGTTCCACCTCAATAATGGCTACATGTCTAAATGCGAGGCAGCACTTGACGGCACTGACACCTGTGAGGACTACGACAACTTAAAACCACTCCACAAGACAGTCGAAGAACTCGATAATGGCATTGCTAAGCAGGTTCTCAACAGCAACATGTGGTCAAAATGACTGCAGAGCGTGTAGCGGACGCAATGAACCAAGCAAGGGGTCTCAGTAATCGTGCCACGCAATGAGCTCGTTCCTCGTGCGTAGCACGATCGTTTTGATCAACGACGATGGTCTTCAATGCTCTCCCATGGCCTCCCGTGTTGCCTCCGCCCAATGTCCATCCATACATACAACAAATCAAAAACTGGGCGGTACCAACATCGCCCCGGCTATGGTGCTCGCCGTCCTGTTACAACTCTCAGACATCCCGTTCTGGTATGCGTTGTACGTGATGGTAAACTCTCCCACAACGCCCATTTCCTCACTCTCGTTCTCGGTGGACTGGTACCCCTCGGTGTTCTCTGTTCGAATGATATTCACCGGCTTGTAGTCTTCCAACCAAGAGCACATACTCTGACTTCGTGTATCAAGACATTCTCGTACTTCCGCCTCTAGAGGCCACAGGGCGGAGTCCTGCGGCTTTCGACGAGGGAGAATGTCAAAAGCTGATACGGCATCTATGCCATCTTTTCTCTTCGCATCATGGTCTGGGTTTGACGAGGAGGATTAATGCAGTGGATATTGTAGTCAGTGAGTCTCGATCCTTTTTGTATGTTCAAGGATTGCTTGCTTGGGATTAAGTCAAGGTGTGGGAATGTTTGAATGCGGTTGTCTGATTTGGGGTTGGGCATTAGGAAAAGAGACAAGCGCTAGGGCCAATACAAGCCTTGAAATTTATGGCCAAAGCTTCAGGGTACTCTTGAGGATCAAGAAGAGTGTGATGTGAGTGGTCTGCAGTGAGCATGAGCGGTTTGACGGCTTAAGATCTCCTTTGACTTATCTCCCTCGTGGAAACAGCCGAAGAAGCTCGTTATGATGAACAATAGAATATCAACATCCCACACTCTCTCGGGCCCCTCTCACCGTCTCTCAAGATTCGCGTGCAGTTTGTGCTGCCTCATGAACAAGCTCGAGACAGACGCCAGGACACTAAACCCACAGACAACAATAAAAACACCTTGAACAGCTTCCATGTAATCCTGCTGCACCAGTCCCCTCAACTCAGCCGGTAGCCGGCCAATCTCGTCGAAATCCTCCCTGATCTTATCAATGATCCCCTCGGCATCTGCCACGCTACCGATACTTCTATGCAACTTGACGCGCAGCAGATTCTGAAAAGTAGCGGATGCTATCGTGAGGCCGATGACAGAGCCAGTCGACCTGAAGGCGAATCCGGCTGATGTGACCACTGCTTGGTGTTCTTGCTCCACAGCACTGACGAGAGCGATGAGGGTAGTTACCAGGATGCCGCCGACTCCTAGGCCGAACACGGCTAGGTAGATGAAGGGATACACGGTTGGTGTATTCGCGTTCATCGTCACTGTGAGCGCGGTGGAAAGTACAAGTAGTGCGTGAGAACATTTGTCGAGGTAGTAGTAGTTGCCCGTCGCTTTCATGATGAGGCCTGCAGCAAATGCCCCAACCGCTGCGCCAGCGCTAAACGGAATGAATCGCAGGCCAGCTTCGGTGGGCGATTTGCCGAGAAGTTGTAGATAGACGGGCATGAAGTATGTGAGGCCAAAGTACGCCATGAATACGAACCAGTAGCTGAGACAGGCAGAGGCGACGGTACGGTTAAGGAGGAGTCGGATCGGGATGATGGGTTCGAGTGCCCTGTTTTCTTCAACGTAGACAAAGATGGAGAGAAATACTATAGATAGTGGTAGCGCGGTCAAGACTAGAGGGTGAGTCCAGGGCAGGACATTGCCTCCCGTATTCAGACCCAGGAGGAAGAGCACCAGAGCACAGGTCAGAGTGAACGATCCCAGGTAGTCGACACGTTTCAGCGCTGACCTCTCGCTTATCTTGACAGGGACTTTGACGGTGAAGAACACCATCACGGCACCAACTATCACAAAGGGTACTTGCACCAAAAAGGCAACCCTCCATCCTGCTAACTCGTTGATCCAGCCACCCAACAAGCCTCCAATCCCAGACCCGGCACCGATGATGATGTTTCCGATACCTTGCAGCACGCCTCGTTTCCTCAGGGGCACCAGGTCACCAGCGACGAACATGCAGATCGTGACCGTTGCTCCGCCTCCTAAGCCAGCAATGGTGCGGCCTGTGATGAGGACCCATTCGCTCGGAGCCACGCCACAGAGCAGAGTTCCCAGACCGAAAACGAAATTGCAGACCAGAAGACCTTGGCGGCGGCCAAAGATGTCTGTGAGGCGGCCACTGAGGGGTTGAGTGACGGATTGGCCAATCAGGTAGGCTGAACCGATCCAAGAAAGCGTCTTGAGTGAGGAGAAGGAGCTTGAAATTGGAACCAAGAGGGTTGCAACGATTGTTGAATCTGTGTAAGTATCTGCTTGAGTCGTCTTTTCCACGAGAAAACGAAAGAATCCAAGTATCGATGAAAGGAAAAGGTATTGAAGTACTGACCAACAGCTATCAAAACCACACCAACCTAAGCAAATCAGCCTCAAGCTCCCAAATGGGTATTCAGGGCACAAGCTACCCATATACTGCCCATAATCAAAGCTAACCTGGCGTTGGATAGCTGCTCATGTCGTGAAGGCAAGGAATTTGAAACTCCCCATTCGCCATCGTCATGAGGTTTGCCCTCGGCAGGCACGTTTTGAGCATCATTCGCTTGTCTGAGAAGGGGACTTCGCTCGCTGGGCTTCGACAGCGACATTGATGAGTTGACGATGGCATGTTCAGAAATGGACGGGGATATCACGGGTTATCAAAAGAGCGAATGCTCGGATTTGGAGCTGCCATTGTAAACGCTTAAGAGCTTCACCTAATCAAGCGAATGTGTGGTGCGCTTGTGCGATCTCGCTTGGTCAGATTACCGTGCATATTACACCATCAGCTACTCGTGGTTAGGCTCAACTTTGGCGCCCCAACGAATTTGCCGCTCGTTTCCATGACGCATGATTAGCACATCACTACAAGATGTTCATGGCGGTAATGACGACGTGACTCGAAAGCTTGAACATTGGGATCGGCGGCGTAGCAAGTTGTATCAGTCTGTAAGCGTGAAAAACCTGGCCTGGGTAGATACTTGTACACTATTGCTGAACATCCTCCAAGTCTTTCAGCCTCTCACTCACCTACATGAAGAGGCGGGATTTCCAACAGCCCGTAGGGTCTATGTAAGTTAGTGGGTTAAGGTGGGAGCCCATCAATGGTAGCAGTGATGACGTATTGCTACTCCGTAGAGCGGTTCCACCTATGGATGCAGACCTAGATGTTCGCGCTTTGTCAGCCAATGAGGGTTGGAATGACCTTTCGAATAGAGCTGATACCCACCCTGAGATTCCAACCAGTTCTGTAAACCCCCAGATGGACCGCATGAGCGGCGAGCTGGCTCCCATTGTTTCGCCTCCATGGGCTTTTCCGCATATGTCAAGGGATCTCACACACGTACACCCCGTTTCGATACATGTACACTACCTCAGTAATCCCTCGCACCCTTGACCGTTGAAGAAGTCGGACCCGTGTCCTATAGGACTATCTCAAAACACAGCAACTTTGATATGCACTGAATTCATAGAATCTCATACATAATAGAAAACCCTTTTTGATGCATGTACATATCCTTAGCAATCCCTCGCACTCGTGACTATTGGAATAGTCGGACCCGTTTCTGCAGAGTGGTCTTAGAACACGGCAACTTTGATCTGCACTGCAACCTTTGATATTCAAGTACTGGGACCCGGTTGCTGCAGAACCAATTCAAGAAAATGCAGCATCAAAATGCATCAAAAAATGGCCTCATACCTTTACGAGTGTCCAAAGACTATTGTTTTAAAGAAGTTCCTCGCCAGAAAAATGTTTGATATGGTAACCGATCTGATGGGAATGATCCCAGTGTTTCTCCCCCGGATGCTCTTACACGCCTGTGAATTGGATGTCCGAACGGGTGACATACTCAAACTAGTCTTCCGTTTTCTCCAGAGTCAAAGGTTTGTCTTGTTCGATCTCACCACGGGCCACACGCTTGTACAAACCGAGAACCGGCCAGGATCCGGTACCTGCAGCTGGCTTATGTGGCAAACTGCGGCGGTGAGAAATGGCAAAATCAGGCGCCTAAGATTGGCGGAGACACAGTCTCACGTACAATAGTATCATTGGGTTGACAGCTTCCAAAGATTTCACTGTGTCGAGCGTCTCTGTGTTTCGTCGGTCGGTGACATGGGAAAAAGAACCAAGTAAATTGAGCAGGCGGCTCGACTAAGACTGGTATGGATGTTGAAATTACTTCCCGGCCTCGCTACTGTCTTGCGGTCCATGTTTAGTCAGTCTGGAGCTTGAAGTGAGATGCAAGTGACTGTTAAATAAGCCTGAAATCGCATGCTTATCATGTTCCGCGTATCCTGCGAAACAATTGGAATTGCATGAAACTGGCAATGACGGATCTATCTAGTTACGTCCCCGTGTCGTTCTTGTCTTTTTCGACCATGAGGCTTTTCCACCTAAAGTAAAACTCAAACGCGCCCGACCCATTTCTTACCGGCCCTACCCAGCGATGTTCACGCTGCTTGGCGAAGTGCGGCACATTACTTAGCCCAAGTCTAGCCAGCTTCTCCCGGTCCCATACGCTGAAGCCAAGACGCCGGAACGGCTCGAAGTCAGCACGCTCAAACGGCTCGAAGCCGGAACCATGAAGTGTCCTATCGAATGATTGGTGAATCAATTGAAGCGTGCTGACTCCTGGACTGCTGCGACTGAGATGCATTGTAGTTTGGCGCCATTTGGTTGACACGTAATCGTGGTAGGGAATAGGTTTCGGTACAGTCACAAATTTCGGCTCCAGGTCGGGAAGCCTAGATAAGTGCGGTGGGCGAGCTGATAGCGTTGTTGTTGCATCCGAGGATTCACACAGAAATTCATAGATACTGTCCATCTCGTCAAGCTCCTATAAGCATTTGAACCCACCCCAGACGCGGTGCGGTCCTTCGTTCTTGAGCAGGTGCCATACTTGATTAGGAATGGCTAGGCTTGGTCTGGTGATCGTCACCAGGTCGAAGTAGAACTGTAGACGCCACAAGGCCCGGTAGACCCGTTGTTCTTCAATCCACGAAGGATGGCCGCACTTAAGTGGTCGTAGGGGCGGCCTTCGGGAAGCTTCCCGCAGTAGCCTTTAATGTCGCACAGCTCATCAACGAGGTGGGATGGCTTGATACTGTTCGCCCTGCCCAGGAACTCCTCGAAGAAGGATGTGGAGATCTGTTGCACATGGCTGGCGGACTTGGTAAAGCTTCTGGCCGCTGATAATGATACGTTGCGTTGGAAATTGGGTTGGCACCGGCGTTTTTGTCGAGCGCATAGATGGCTAGGAGGTTGTCAAGGGCCTCAAGAGAATCAAGTTCACCACCTATAGTCGAGTAATCGGAACGTGTGATTACAATTGTACGTAGTAGCTGCTGTAGCTGGGGTACGTAGTTGGACAGCACGGCCTCTATAATCTTTAGTATTTTTCGAAGATGATGTTTGCGGCTGGTGAGGATTGTAGTAGGTAGTTGAGCGTAGACAGGTCTCCGATGCCCTCAAAAACCATGAGAGGCAGAGGCGCTGGAAGCGTGCTGAACGGATCCGGGCATGTTGAGAGATATGGGAGGATTGGTCCATGATTCTCGAGTCAGCGCGGCAAAGAGAATTTCGGTTGGGTAAGAGATAAAGTCTTGGCGCTTACTAAGCGGACGTCAGAATTTCTCAAGTACTTGCCTCAGTCCCTCAGAACGTGCCAAGATCGCTAAGCCCCTTCGGGTTAGCTTACCTCGCTAAGCCCCTTCGGGTTAGCGCCTTCTGCTTACTGCAGAGCCGTTTAGCTGCGAAGTCAGCAGGCTAACCCGAAGGGGCTTAGCGATCTTGGCAGGTCTGAGGGACTGAGGCAATCAAGTTCGGGATTACAAGAAATCATATCTGTAGTGGTTCTGGTTGCCTTGAGAGATCTCTAAGTCCTCGAATACCGACTTGTAGTCATCTATGCCGGCTAATAGGTCGGTGAACTCATAGACGCTCCATCCATTGCCAGAACCTTCAGGGGTGCCTTCGGAACCCTAGACCATCCTGAAGTCAGCGCATATTCCTCCCGCGCGATTCTTGCACCACGACACCAATCGCGAGGCAGGATTTCCAGAGGTTAGTTTCTTGGGAAAAGAGGTTGCAAATGGAAAATAAAGAGGTCGTTTGCGGAACTTTCTTAAAAGTAGGCGTACCTGCATATCGGACAAGCTAAGGTACGGGGATTCCGTTCTGGATCCATTGAGTCTCCCCAGTTGAATGAGGCCATGCGCTTTGGCGGCGTCCCTAGAGATTTTGGTAGGTCATTGGCTAGATCCTTAATCAAGACCGGATCTGAAGTCAAGAAACGTAGAAGTGTATGTTGTTGCTACTAAGTCATTCGGGAGACGGGCAAAGACTTGGGGGAGCTCACCAGGTAAGAGTCATATCGTCCCTCTTCACACAGGAGAACGGCGACAGAGGGTTGCCATTAGGGTAGCCTCGTTGCGGGGCAGCTTTGTTCCCAAAGGGAACTGCAATCTTGGTGATGAAAACTTCCACTTCAGGTTTGACCAAGGCCGCTGGGACAGCAGCTTTGCTACCGGACGCAACTTAATTGCTGATGGAGACATCACTGTTCGTGAAAACGCTCACGAGGAGTAGAAAGAAGCATGCTGCACCGGCAACAAATACTGAGAGACGTACCAAAGTGAGACGCGCCATTGTTGGTATGTGCAGGTTGGAGGATCAGTGCAGATTGATCAGTACTCAAAGACTATATTGTGCTAGTAGATAGCGAAGGCCGAGAACTAGGAAAGACTTTTGGATTTAGGGTCATCCTCTACCCCTTATGTTGGGGAGTTGTTATTCATTCAACATCCGTGGTATCGTTGAAAGAAATTGCCTACTAGGCACATTTCGCGACTAAGGTTTCCTGCATCACACCAAGACACCCCAACAGGTTGTCGTCATCGGCAACGGCAGGACAGGGGAAAGATCCTTGGGGGGAGGTGTCACCTGCTTGTCGATGAAAACCAATCGGACAGTTCCCGTAACGGTAGGGATTCGCACGATCCAAGAATGCTCAACTAGCTCCATGAAACGCTGCTGCAGGTTCCCGTTGAAAAGGCCAGGTAAGAGTACCTTTTAAATTGCCTTCCCCAGCGTACTTCTTCATGCAGAGTGCCTTTCAAAGACATGCAGTAACTAAGGCTGGTATAGTCTTCCAGAAATGTGGAGGGCCCTCGAGCGAAGATGTCACTCGCTTGCCGAACAACGCGAAGCGAGAACTCTCGTAGTATCATGGGTTCACAAGACTCAATAATTATAAATTAGCTTCATGAAACGCTACTGTAGATTACTGGTAGCAAGGCCAGGTACGTTAAGCTGAACATTCCCGCGGCTCCTTCATTCGGAGATTGCCTTCTAGACACAGGCCGTAATCGACACTTATCTCATTTCCCCAAGATGCTCGAACACATTGCTGTGACTGTATATGCCACGAAAAGGCGAAAAACTCTCGAGTGGAGATGTCACTGCCCTGTCGAATAAAACCAATAAGAATTATCGGAGAGCTCTCGTGTCCTGAGGATTCGTGCAATACAACAACACCCATATACTTCCATGGAAAGCTCATGCATACTCCTGCTACAACCGAGAGTGATACGGGGAAATACTCATCACGAGCCAAGGTAGCTCTCGGTTAGCCCTCCGGGTTATTGTTAACAATCTCCCATGAAGTCAGACAGTTCCCGTCGTCTCTCTCAAGTATCTGTATCTAGTGCTGTCTTGTTCTAGCTCCTGCAACTTGGAAGCCTGTTCGTTCCTGGGTTGAGATTTACCTTCCAAAAGTATCGAATCATTGTGGGACTGTCCTTTCCGCAAATTCTCCCAAAAGGTTATTCAATCACCACGGAATTATCCTTGTCATCGGGGTGCAACTGTCGTGATGGCTCCACTAATCACGGGCTCATGGGTGGTGAAGCTTGCGACCATCTGTGTAGCGACCTTAGCTTCTCTACCATTTGGGACAAGCATATTTGCACAGAATTGGAGCTCACTACCAACTTGACCAAGCCTCGCGACGGTGGGTTGGACCCCGATCCTGAACCTTCTCCTCAGCCCACACCTTCGCCTACATCATGCTCAGAGTCAACTATCACCGACCTCTGGGTACCATGCACATCAATGAGCTCTGACTCTTCGAGCTGCACAACAACAAGCTCATCTCTTGTCATAGGTTGCGTCACAGCGAGCGCTACGACTACTGGGGCTGAATCTTGCTCAACAGCAGACGCCATCGGGGATCAAGGCGAAGATGGTGGCCCAGCCCCAGCCGCAGAGTCTACCAGCTCGGCTAGCGCCTTGGCTACCATCACTCCTCCTCCAAACACACCCACTCCGGCTCCGACCCCAACGCCATCTTGCTACCTCCAGGATGAGGATCCCGATCTAGGTATCAATTCCGCTTATTGCGTATGCGAAGGAAGCTTGAACTATCTCGAACCTTCATCCACAGGCAGTTGTGCATTTACGGCGCTGCCTTCACGGACCATTAATCCAACAATATCGCCTAGCGTAGTCACCAGCAATTGTCAAGTCTGCACAGTCGTAGACGTCAACAACGGCGAGTGCACCACGATGCCCAACTGCGTCCCAACAACGTCATCAACGGCTCCATCACCGCCTGCTTCCCCGAAGCCGCCGCCTGCACCACCTCAGTACTCAACATTGGCTACTTCGATGAATGTGAGCCTGACGGCGGTTTAGGAGAGGGAGGAGGAGCATCATGCGAGAGCTACTGGACAGTCTTCGCCGACCCTCAAGGAGTAATCTACAATCCTTGCAACGACAAAGCCATCTGGGACGACACAAAGGCCTTTGACGGTAATGAGATTAAGTATCCCGTGTCAGAAGGCCCATTCAATGGTGGCGGCTTGACCGGCTGCGTGTACAGTCAGCTTTCATCTACGGATGTTGGGAGCATGGCGTGCGGCGGAGTGGTTGGGACTTGCGTGAAGGATACGAGCGGGAGACAAAGCTGTGATGGAAGAGACGATACATGGGCGCCTGTGTCGATCTGCACCTTCACATAAGGGCTCGGTAAGCGGATATGATTCGGTGGTGTCTTCAGAGCTTCTATTCTTGAGGTATGTTTTTTTAGATACTTAAATATTTATAGACAAGTAAAGTAAGAGCCTTGATTAGAGATCCAAGAGGTCAGATCTTGCTCCTGTACATAAAAAATTAGGCAATCCAATTTCGTGCAATGAGGGGATCGAGTGCTAGCACCCTGACTCAACCAGTGCAATTCCAGCAGGATCGACCGTCTTTAGTTGATGGGCACCAGCCCGGCTACTACATATATGCACTACTACGTGTTTTATCTACACGTGACGAGCTCGATAAGGCTCTTGGCGAGCTCGCAGGAAAGGCAACTCGGTGCGAGTTGGCCCGAAGATTGAGACACGGTAGTAGTTGAATGGCTAAAGGTAGGTAGGTAGGTGGAACGACCATGTAGGAAGAACATAAGGAATCAATAATTAATATGCAGGTAGGCATCGACCGCTTCATGTACATGAAATCGCCTGGAAAACTCCCCCTGATATCACCTCATTTGGGAGGCAAAAGATTAATATTCGGGTCGAACCGTAGGTCAGAACTCGTATCTAAAGCAAGTACGAAATGAATGTAATACCTAACATCAACTACCAAACTGCCGAAGCGAAATTATTCGTACAATCAGAAGTGAGTTCTTTGATAGAGCGAGGACACCAATAGATATTTCCACTTAGCCGAATATCGGTTATCTATTGGTGTCCTTACTCTATCAAAGAACTCACTTCTGGATTATACGAGTACCTTACTTATTTTATTACCAACTTCCAGCAAGCATTACACTAGTCAACTTATGGGTAGTCCGTCGTCGCTACCAACGAGACAGGACGTTCTGCGTCTGAGCGTGCATACTGGTGCATAGAGCCGATAGCCGAGCCTACGTGCTTCCCGATTGCAATGTTGACACTTCTTATCAATGCGGTGTTTCTGATGATGTACCTATCTGAGCAAGGGGTAAACAAATATCTAGGTAGGTAGCTGTTCGCCTCGAGTTCTCTGTCCCAAAGTCGTGTTGGATTCAACATCCTCTAAGGCAAATACTAAAGATTCCACCCATCATGTGGGAATGTGACACATGCACCCGTACTTTCAACAGCCTGAAGGCATCCGAGCAGCATATGAACGCCCGTGGTCACTGGGAACATTACTGTACGCCATGCCGGCGGATGTTCGATAACGGGAACAATCTCCGCATGGTATTCCTTCCCTTATCCCTCTATTCTCTATCCTGTCTATATATCATCCTAGCTGACAAAAAGTCCTCCCAGCACCTCAATTCCCGCACCCATCGCGGCGCCAATGTCTCATGTCCCTTCTGCCAGCGAGCCTTCACTTCCGCTAGTGGCGTCTCACATCACCTCGAAGCCGGCTCTTGCCCAAACGCACGCTGCGTCAACCGTGAGAGTATCTTCCACACCCTGCGACAGCGCGATCGAAACGGCATCATTACGAACAACCTCTTGGAATGGCACGGAGAGACCTGGACTACTGAAAACGCCTGGAACGGCCACGCATACCAGTGCTACCTTTGCCGCCGCGGATTCACTGCTACGGGCG